CGTCAGCAGCGCCAGCACGCGGAGCAGCTGCACCCAGAGCAGCACCTGCAGGTGGAGCAGCAGACAGGGGAGCAGCAGCCAAGGGAGCAGCTGGAGTGGGAGCAGCAGCTGCCAGAGCCACCGCCACCACCGCCGCCCACACTATACTTCTTTGGCCTCTGGGGATCCCAGGTACAGGACCCTCAGGCTTGGGGGCTCGGCACGCGGCCGGCACATGAGTTTGTAGTGAGGGAGGCCACCGCGCGGCGACAGGTGCTTCACAGGATCAGCAAGGGGGAGGCCAGCCCGGCGGGCCCGCTGCGACCAGCCATCTGGGCTGATACCACAGATGATCAGCGCAGCGGCCTTCGGGCGCTCGAGGCGCGATGGGAGGCCAGGGCTGCAGCTGCTGGTACCGCGTCGCAGGTCTTAGGCAAGAGGCCTCGAGGGCAGCCTGATCCCTCCTCCTGGGCGATCTGGATGGCTGCGCCGCAGCCACGTCCGGTTCCGCTGCGGGACCGCGGCGGGCCTGCGGGCGCGCCAGCGGGCCCTTCACCAGTGCCACAGGGAGCAGATGTCACTGTTGATCCTGCTGCTGCTGTCACAGCAGACCCATCAGCACCTTGGGCTCATGTGTGGCAAGTGGTGCACGCTTCCCATCTGGACCGGCGGCAGCGCGTGACAGCGTGGAGGCTGCTGCATGGCCAGCTCTTCGTCGGCGGCTTCTCGCGTCACGTCCACCGCGCCGATCCCGCCGGTCACGTTTGCCCGCATCCGAGCTGTGCAGGTCAGCTGGCCACACTCACCCATGTCTTCATCATCTGCCCTCTCGCCGCCGGGGTGTGGGACTGGTTCGCAGCGACATGGGCCGCGGTGACCGGAGACGACGCGCCACCGCGCAGCGCCGACCTTCTTCTCGCCGATGACACCAGGATCTGGGGACCGCCGCAGCAGCTCAGGCAGCTCTGGGATCGCCTGCGGCTCGCTACGATCTGTCAGCTGTGGGCAGCATATCAGCGCGGCCGCCACCAGCCAGATACGGCGGCGATCACCCCCGGAGCGGTTGCGGCTCGCATCCTGTCTTCCTGCAAGAAGGCCCTGCTTGCCGATTGGCGGCTCGCGACCGTCAACGTCCGGCAGACAGCAGGTGTGCTCAGCGACTGGCTTCGCGGACGCGACCCGATGATCACCAGGGAGCAGTTCGCGGCGCGATGGTGCCACCGCGCGGTCCTCTGCGCGCTGGAGGAGCTGCCGGGCGCGCAACCTGTCATCCACTGGAGTGCCCAGCATCCCGTGCCGCTTCCAGCGTGACGCTTCCGATCCACCATTCACTGTACCCAGCCGGCCACGGCTATAACTTGGCTATCTGTATGACCATGCTCTCATTTGGCCTTCTGCCATGACACCCGCTCGTGTCGATTCTTGTGTTGAACTCACACCCTCTCTTAGGGGGGCCTTTGCGATAGGTGCTCTGGGCACCTGGGCGCTAAGAGCCTTCGTCATACCATAGTCAGGCACGGATGACTCACCTTTCACCAGTCCCGATCCCACCCCGGCAAAGCCCGGCCTGTCGTTCCTTGTCTGAGACCCCTTTTTGCCTTAGAGCCCTGGGACCACAGATTGCCTACCAGACGCTTTGCGCCTCTCCTACTTCTAACCTTTGCCAGCGCGGAATGGGGCTCCGAGTCACGTGCTTCCACTGGTCGAGGGACCTGTCGAGCTCGGCCCAACACGGCCCCGGGGGTGCCTCCTTCACCCCTGGGGCACTGGCCTCGCCATCCAGTGCCGGTGGCCTCGCCCACCACCGGACGTGTTTGCGCGGCTCACCCCTTGGGTATCCCTCGGCCAGACGGATCCATCGTGCGCCCCGCTACCTGTGGAGTACCGTGCCGGAGAGCTGGAGCGTTGGCGCGAGCTTACAGAAGACCACCCTGCCCAGGGCTTTAGGCTATCAATAGTTTTCCAGTGATCCTCCGATGTTTCTGTCTCACCAGCAGCCCCAACAATCCCCGTGGCTAACCCGAACTGCGCCAGCATGCCCGCCCTACCTTCCAACCTTCATGTCATCCGTGGCCTTTTGCCTTAGTGTCTGTCCTCCTCACCATTCACAGTAGTTCATTGAAGGCTATCTCAAGGGTTTAGGGTTTCCAACCCCAGTATCCACCCTTGAACCTGAGCGGGTGTCTAGGACCTTGGACATGATGCCTCCTGCCTATCCCCGCCTCCGATGTGGTGGGTGTGTGTATCTGGTCGAGTTCTCGCCAGCCTACCTGTTTTTCGCCTCATTTGCGGCTTCGTATCTCCCATATGCCACCGTTTGCTTGTGCCCCACCTTGCTGGCAGATTGAGGCATAGTTCAGGGTCACATTGCCAGCCCCGAGCGGCCCCTAGTGGTAATGGGTCCGAACGCGATCCTGTTCTATCCCTGTCGGCCAACCATATAAACGTGCCTTTCATGTCTGTTCCACCACTGGTTGCCCGCACATCCATAACTGCCTACCAGTGATTGATGATTGCCTGCTTTGCTGTGACCCCTGCCTCCAGCTGCAAGCCCTAGGCTTGCCCCGTGGGTCCTCCAACGTCACCTCAGCGGTGTTGCGTTGCCGGCGGGCTGGAGTGCGCCTCTGGGGATGAGGTTACCCTCTGGTGCTTGGGACATGTCCATCGCTAGGCGCCTTTCTGTTGCCTTTCTGTGGTATGCCTTCATGCTTGCGCTTCTCTTCGGTATCGCCTTATCCTCCTGCGGGAGTGCTCTGCGTGCCCCAACTCTCACAGGTTTCCCCAAATATCCTATTGCATGCGTGCTGGGAAGCGTGCGATTGGCACCTATGTAATAGCGGGGGCTCCCCCTTAAAAAAAAAAAAAAAAAAAAAGCTGGCAGCGCGGGCGATCGCCAGCCGCATCGGCCCGCTGCTCAACCAGGTTGTGGACGCCACCCAGACAGGCTTCCTCCCCAAGCGCTGGATTGGGGACAACGTGCCAGCCCACCTTGAGGACATCAGCTACCTGGCAGCCACCCAGCAGCCAGTTAGGAACTCACAAGTTAAGAGTATCACAACGTTGTTAACCCACCACTCACGCTTTCCACAGATCGACCAATGAGTCTTATAAACCAACCCTTGCAGTCCTGGTGTTCCTGGACTTCGATAAGGCCTTCGACCGTCTCGACAGGGCCTGGATCGAGCGGTGCATGCTGACAGTCGGCTTTGGGCCCGGAGCGCTGCGCTGGGTGCAGCTCTTGTACTGCGGCACGACAGCACGCGTCGTCTTCAACGGCTGGCACACCGACGCCTTCCCAGTGGACTCGGGCGTCTTCCAGGGCAGCCCGCTGTCGCCGCTCCTCTCGTGCTCGCGGCGCAGCCGATGGCAGCACATGCCAGGCTCCTCGCGCAGCAGCAGGTCTTCCAACCCATCAGGCTCCCTTCCGGACAGCCAGCACCAGTCATGCACCAGCATGCCGATAACACGACAGTGCACGCGAGGAGCCCCAGCGACGCCCAGATAGTTCTGGACTCCAGCGTGGGCCTGCACTGCGCAGCCACGGGTGCGAGGCAGCCCAGCAAGAGTCAGGCGCTGGGCCTTCTTTAGGGTTTAGGATTTAGGATTTAAACTGCTGGGATTGTGAAACATAATGATGCATCAACACGCCGATCCGGCTGACTGGCTATGAAGGTAGGTCACGATAAGAAGTCGAGAGCAGCACACCCACCGAGTGCACAGGTGGGGATAGGCAGGAGGCATGAGTGTTCAAAATCCTAGACACCCGCTCATGGTGGTGCACATGAGACAACTGCCGAGGAGGCAATCTAAATTTCCTAAGGCAAAGGGCCACGGATGACGATGATGCAACGGCCACGGTCGAGAAAATGGCTGAAAACTATCGTGGAACAATCGGAAAGGCCTGGTGAGGCTCAAGGTGAAGCATGCGAAGGTGGAACAACAAGAACTGACATCCGAGAGCCTTGGGCATGGTGATATGGGCTTCTGCGTACTGGCGACGGCGCTCCGGCGCTCTGGTCTTGATCTCCACTGGTAGCGGGGCCCACGACTGAGCCGCCCGGCCGAGGGATACCCATGGTGTGAGCAGCCCGAGCACGGTGGGTGGGGGGCGAGGCCACCAACACTGGGGGGCGAGGCCAGTGTCCCGGGGCTGGAGGGTGCACCCCAGGGACCGTGCAGAGCTGAGCTCGGCGGGTCCCTCGACCGGTGGTACCGCGTGCTTGAGGCCCCATTCCGCGCTGGCAAATGGTGAAGGCGCAAGGAGCTCCGTCGCGGCAATCTGTGACCCCAGGGCTCTAAGGAAAACATACAAGGTGACAAGCCGGGCTGACCCGGGGTGGAACTGCAGGAGTGAAAGCCGTCATCCGTGCCTGATACAACCCAAGGGGCTCTTAGCGCCCAGATGTCCAGTGAACTGTGGTGGTGACCAAAGTATGAGAAGAAACGAGCGGGTGTCATGGCAAAAGGCCAGGAGAGCATGGTCATACAGAGTGCCTAGTTAAGTTTTTTTTTTTTTTTTTAAAAGGGGAAGCCCCCGCTATTACACAGGTGCCAGTCGCACGCTTCCCAGCACGCATGCAATAGGATATTTGGGGAAACCTGTTAGAGTTGGGGCACGCAGAGCACTCCCGCAGGAGGATAATGCGATACTTAAGAGAAGCGCAAGCATGAAGGCATATCACAGAAAGGCAACAGAAAGGCTCCTAGCGATGGACATGTCCCAAGCACCAGAGGGTAACCTCATCCCCAGAGGCGCACTCCAGCCCGCCGGCAACGCAACACCGCTGAGGTGACGTTGGAGGACCCACGGGGCAAGCCTAGGGCTTGCAGCTGGGGGCAGGGGTCACAGCAAAGCAGGCAATCATCAATCACTGGCAGGCAATTATGGATGTGCGGGCAACCAATGGTGGAACAGACATGAAAGGCACGTTTATACGGTTGGCCGACAGGGATGGAACAGGATCGCGTTCGGACCCATTACCACTAGGTGCCGCTCGGGGCTGGCAATGTGACCCTAAACTATGCCTCAATCTGCCAGCAAGGTGGGGCACAAGCAAACGGTGGCATATGGGAGATATGAAGCCGCCAATGAGGCGAAAAACAGGTAGGCTGGCGAGAACTCGACCAGATACACACACCCACCACATCGGAGGCGGGGATAGGCAGGAGGCATCATGTCCAAGGTCCTAGACACCCGCTCAGGTTCAAGGGTGGATACTGGGGTTGGAAACCCTAAACCCTTCAGATAGCCTTCAATGAACTACTGTGAATGGTGAGGAGGACAGACACTAAGGCAGAAGGCCACGGATGACAGGCCAAGGGGATTGTTGGGGCTGCTGGTGAGACAGAAACATCGGAGGATCACTGGAAAACTATTGATAGCCTAAAGCCCTGGGCAGGGTGGTCTTCTGTAAGCTTGCGCCAACGCTCTGGCTCTCCGGCACGGTACTCCACCGGTAGCGGGGCGCACGATGGATCCGTCTGGCCGAGGGATACCCAAGGGGTGAGCCGCGCAAACACGTCCGGTGGTGGGCGAGGCCACCGGCACTGGGTGGCGAGGCCAGTGCCCCAGGGGTGAAGGAGGCACCCCCGGGGCCGTGTTGGGCCGAGCTCGACAGGTCCCTCGACCAGTGGAAGCACGTGACTCGGAGCCCCATTCCGCGCTGGCAAAGGTTAGAGGTAGGAGAGGCGCAAAGCTTCTGGTAGGCAATCTGTGGTCCCAGGGCTCTAAGGCAAAAAGGGGTCTCAGACAAGGAACGACAGGCCGGGCTTTGCCGGGGTGGGATCGGGACTGGTGAAAGGTGAGTCATCCGTGCCTGACTATGGTATGACGAAGGCTCTTAGCGCCCAGGTGCCCAGAGCACCTATCGCAAAGGCCCCCCTAAGAGAGGGTGTGAGTTCAACACAAGAATCGACACGAGCGGGTGTCATGGCAGAAGGCCAAATGAGAGCATGGTCATACAGATAGCCAAGTTAGAGCCGTGGCCGGCTGGGTACAGTGAATGGTGGATCGGAAGCGTCACGCTGGAAGCGGCACGGGATGCTGGGCACTCCAGTGGATGACAGGTTGCGCGCCCGGCAGCTCCTCCAGCGCGCAGAGGACCGCGCGGTGGCACCATCGCGCCGCGAACTGCTCCCTGGTGATCATCGGGTCGCGTCCGCGAAGCCAGTCGCTGAGCACACCTGCTGTCTGCCGGACGTTGACGGTCGCGAGCCGCCAATCGGCAAGCAGGGCCTTCTTGCAGGAAGACAGGATGCGAGCCGCAACCGCTCCGGGGGTGATCGCCGCCGTATCTGGCTGGTGGCGGCCGCGCTGATATGCTGCCCACAGCTGACAGATCGTAGCGAGCCGCAGGCGATCCCAGAGCTGCCTGAGCTGCTGCGGCGGTCCCCAGATCCTGGTGTCATCGGCGAGAAGAAGGTCGGCGCTGCGCGGTGGCGCGTCGTCTCCGGTCACCGCGGCCCATGTCGCTGCGAACCAGTCCCACACCCCGGCGGCGAGAGGGCAGATGATGAAGACATGGGTGAGTGTGGCCAGCTGACCTGCACAGCTCGGATGCGGGCAAACGTGACCGGCGGGATCGGCGCGGTGGACGTGACGCGAGAAGCCGCCGACGAAGAGCTGGCCATGCAGCAGCCTCCACGCTGTCACGCGCTGCCGCCGGTCCAGATGGGAAGCGTGCACCACTTGCCACACATGAGCCCAAGGTGCTGATGGGTCTGCTGTGACAGCAGCAGCAGGATCAACAGTGACATCTGCTCCCTGTGGCACTGGTGAAGGGCCCGCTGGCGCGCCCGCAGGCCCGCCGCGGTCCCGCAGCGGAACCGGACGTGGCTGCGGCGCAGCCATCCAGATCGCCCAGGAGGAGGGATCAGGCTGCCCTCGAGGCCTCTTGCCTAAGACCTGCGACGCGGTACCAGCAGCTGCAGCCCTGGCCTCCCATCGCGCCTCGAGCGCCCGAAGGCCGCTGCGCTGATCATCTGTGGTATCAGCCCAGATGGCTGGTCGCAGCGGGCCCGCCGGGCTGGCCTCCCCCTTGCTGATCCTGTGAAGCACCTGTCGCCGCGCGGTGGCCTCCCTCACTACAAACTCATGTGCCGGCCGCGTGCCGAGCCCCCAAGCCTGAGGGTCCTGTACCTGGGATCCCCAGAGGCCAAAGAAGTATAGTGTGGGCGGCGGTGGTGGCGGTGGCTCTGGCAGCTGCTGCTCCCACTCCAGCTGCTCCCTTGGCTGCTGCTCCCCTGTCTGCTGCTCCACCTGCAGGTGCTGCTCTGGGTGCAGCTGCTCCGCGTGCTGGCGCTGCTGACGTGTGCCGCTGCGTGGATGCCAGGGCCTGGTGATGTCCCAGTGCTGAACCAATGCAGGCTGCGCGGCCGGAGGAAGGAATGCGTGCATGGATGCAACGCCTCCTTCCACTGGCACAAGGGCTCCTGTGCTGCTTACTGTGTGGCTGAGAAGGTAGGTGCTACCTTCGGCTGTGCGAGACCAGACTCGGCGATCCGACGGGTCCGGCAATGCGCACCACATAGCGGCCGGTGGCTGCACCTGAATGAGCGCTCTCCAGGCTGCTGGCAAGGCAGCCAGGAGGATGGGCACGCGCTCTCGCACCACCCGATCCGGATGCTCCGGGCCGCGCACGACATCGCGCAGGTGGCTGATCCTGACCAGGCCAAGCCTGGCCCAGTCCTCCCAGGCAAAGGGCTGCCTGACTGCATCTGTGAGCTGCCTGTTGAAGAACAGTGGCTCACCCATGACTGCGTCGTAGCCGATCGCTTCCGGCTTCTGCAGGTGATGGGGCCGCAGCTGCTGGTAGGCATGCAGGTACTGCCGGACGCGCTGCGGGGCCTCCACATGCTTCGCTGCAAAGGTGGAGAAGAGCAGGAATCTTCCCAGCTGCCAGATGTGCTGCCGCCGTGCTGACACCGTGCCGGGTTCCTGCGCTGCCAGCCAGGCTGTGCTCCTGTACAGCCAGTGGTCGAAGTAGGCCTTCCAGGCCAGCTGCTCCGGCTCCAACAGCCTGCCCACCACCTTGGCCTGGAGAGCCAGGATCTGGGCCCTGATGTCCACCAGCGCGATGCCGCCGTGTGCGGGCGCGCGGAAGCAGACCTCCTTGCCTGGGAACAGCGCCGCCGCTGCGCCAGGGGTCACCGGCCGGTTCGCCGCGACAAAAGTGTGGATGGCTCTGATGAGCCTCTGTAGCAAGTCCTGTGGCACCGGTATGAAGGTGGCATGGTAGGTGACCATGGAGGCCAGCACCTGTTTTGCGACGAAGTTTAAGGCCACCTTGCTGGCAGATTGAGGCATAGTTTAGGGTCACATTGCCAGCCCCGAGCGGCACCTAGTGGTAATGGGTCCGAACGCGATCCTGTTCCATCCCTGTCGGCCAACCGTATAAACGTGCCTTTCATGTCTGTTCCACCACTGGTTGCCCGCACATCCATAATTGCCTGCCAGTGATTGATGATTGCCTGCTTTTTTTTTTTTTTTTTTTATTTTTTTTTTTTTTTTTTAAAGGGGGAGCCCCCGCTATTACATAGGTGCCAATCGCACGCTTCCCAGCACGCATGCAATAGGATATTTGGGGAAACCTGTCAGAGTTGGGGCACGCAGAGCACTCCCGCAGGAGGATAATGCGATACCTAAGAAAAGCGCAAGCATGAAGGCATACCACAGAAAGGCAACAGAAAGGCTCCTAGCGATGGACATGTCCCAAGCACCAGAGGGCAACCTCATCCCCAGAGGCGCGCTCCAGCCCGCCGGCAACGCAACACCGCTGAGGTGACGTTGGAGGACCCACGGGGCAAGCCTAGGGCTTGCAGCTGGAGGCAGGGGTCACAGCAAAGAAGGCAATCATCAATCACTGGCAGGCAATTATGGATGTGCGGGCAACCAGTGGTGGAACAGACATGAAAGGCACGTTGATACGGTTGGCCGACAGGGATAGAACAGGATCGCGTTCGGACCCATTACCACTAGGGGCCGCTCGGGGCTGGCAATGTGACCCTAAACTATGCCTCAATCTGTCAGCAAGGTGGGGCACAAGCAAACGGTGGCATATGGGAGATATGAAGCCGCAAATGAGGCGAAAAACAGGTAGGCTGGCGAGAACTCGACCAGATACACACACCCACCACATCGGAGGCGGGGATAGGCAGGAGGCATCATGTCCAAGGTCCTAGACACCCGCTCAGGTTCAAGGGTGGATACTGGGGTTGGAAACCCTAAACCCTTCAGATAGCCTTCAATGAACTACTGTGAATGGTGAGGAGGACAGACACTAAGGCAAAAGGCCACGGATGACATGAAGGTTGGAAGGTAGGGCGGGCATGCTGGCGCAGTTCGGGTTAGCCACGGGGATTGTTGGGGCTGCTGGTGAGACAGAAACATCGGAGGATCACTGGAAAACTATTGATAGCCTAAAGCCCTGGGCAGGGTGGTCTTCTGTAAGCTCGCGCCAACGCTCCAGCTCTCCGGCACGGTACTCCACAGGTAGCGGGGCGCACGATGGATCCGTCTGGCCGAGGGATACCCAAGGGGTGAGCCGCGCAAACACGTCCGGTGGTGGGCGAGGCCACCGGCACTGGATGGCGAGGCCAGTGCCCCAGGGGTGAAGGAGGCACCCCCGGGGCCGTGTTGGGCCGAGCTCGACAGGTCCCTCGACCAGTGGAAGCACGTGACTCGGAGCCCCATTCCGCGCTGGCAAAGGTTAGAAGTAGGAGAGGCGCAAAGCGTCTGGTAGGCAATCTGTGGTCCCAGGGCTCTAAGGCAAAAAGGGGTCTCAGACAAGGAACGACAGGCCGGGCTTTGCCGGGGTGGGATCGGGACTGGTGAAAGGTGAGTCATCCGTGCCTGACTATGGTATGACGAAGGCTCTTAGCGCCCAGGTGCCCAGAGCACCTATCGCAAAGGCCCCCCTAAGAGAGGGTGTGAGTTCAACACAAGAATCGACACGAGCGGGTGTCATGGCAGAAGGCCAAATGAGAGCATGGTCATACAGATAGCCAAGTTATAGCCGTGACCCCTTGGGTATCCCTCGGCCAGACGGATCCATCGTGCGCCCCGCTACCTGTGGAGTACCGTGCCGGAGAGCCAGAGCGTTGGCGCAAGCTTACAGAAGACCACCCTGCCCAGGGCTTTAGGCTATCAATAGTTTTCCAGTGATCCTCCGATGTTTCTGTCTCACCAGCAGCCCCAACAATCCCCTTGGCCTGTCATCCGTGGCCTTCTGCCTTAGTGTCTGTCCTCCTCACCATTCACAGTAGTTCATTGAAGGCTATCTGAAGGGTTTAGGGTTTCCAACCCCAGTATCCACCCTTGAACCTGAGCGGGTGTCTAGGACCTTGGACATGATGCCTCCTGCCTATCCCCGCCTCCAATGTGGTGGGTGTGTGTATCTGGTCGAGTTCTCACCAGCCTACCTGTTTTTCGCCTCATTTGCGGCTTCATATCTCCCATATGCCACCGTTTGCTTGTGCCCCACCTTGCTGGCAGATTGAGGCATAGTTTAGGGTCACATTGCCAGCCCCGAGCGGCACCTAGTGGTAATGGGTCCGAACGCGATCCTGTTCCATCCCTGTCGGCCAACCGTATAAACGTGCCTTTCATGTCTGTTCCACCACTGGTTGCCCGCACATCCATAATTGCCTGCCAGTGATTGATGATTGCCTGCTTTGCTGTGACCCCTGCCTCCAGCTGCAAGCCCTAGGCTTGCCCCGTGGGTCCTCCAACGTCACCTCAGCGGTGTTGCGTTGCCGGCGGGCTGGAGTGCGCCTCTGGGGATGAGGTAACCCTCTGGTGCTTGGGACATGTCCATCGCTAGGAGCCTTTCTGTTGCCTTTCTGTGGTATGCCTTCATGCTTGCGCTTCTCTTAAGTATCGCATTATCCTCCTGCGGGAGTGCTCTGCGTGCCCCAACTCTGACAGGTTTCCCCAAATATCCTATTGCATGCGTGCTGGGAAGCGTGCGACTGGCACCTGTGTAATAGCGGGGGCTTCCCCTTTAAAAAAAAAAAAAAAAAAAAAAAAAAAATATAGCCGTGGCCGGCTGGGTACAGTGAATGGTGGATCGGAAGCGTCACGCTGGAAGCGGCACGGGATGCTGGGCACTCCAGTGGATGACAGGTTGCGCGCCCGGCAGCTCCTCCAGCGCGCAGAGGACCGCGCGGTGGCACCATCGCGCCGCGAACTGCTCCCTGGTGATCATCGGGTCGCGTCCGCGAAGCCAGTCGCTGAGCACACCTGCTGTCTGCCGGACGTTGACGGTCGCGAGCCGCCAATCGGCAAGCAGGGCCTTCTTGCAGGAAGACAGGATGCGAGCCGCAACCGCTCCGGGGGTGATCGCCGCCGTATCTGGCTGGTGGCGGCCGCGCTGATATGCTGCCCACAGCTGACAGATCGTAGCGAGCCGCAGGCGATCCCAGAGCTGCCTGAGCTGCTGCGGCGGTCCCCAGATCCTGGTGTCATCGGCGAGAAGAAGGTCGGCGCTGCGCGGTGGCGCGTCGTCTCCGGTCACCGCGGCCCATGTCGCTGCGAACCAGTCCCACACCCCGGCGGCGAGAGGGCAGATGATGAAGACATGGGTGAGTGTGGCCAGCTGACCTGCACAGCTCGGATGCGGGCAAACGTGACCGGCGGGATCGGCGCGGTGGACGTGACGCGAGAAGCCGCCGACGAAGAGCTGGCCATGCAGCAGCCTCCACGCTGTCACGCGCTGCCGCCGGTCCAGATGGGAAGCGTGCACCACTTGCCACACATGAGCCCAAGGTGCTGATGGGTCTGCTGTGACAGCAGCAGCAGGATCAACAGTGACATCTGCTCCCTGTGGCACTGGTGAAGGGCCCGCTGGCGCGCCCGCAGGCCCGCCGCGGTCCCGCAGCGGAACCGGACGTGGCTGCGGCGCAGCCATCCAGATCGCCCAGGAGGAGGGATCAGGCTGCCCTCGAGGCCTCTTGCCTAAGACCTGCGACGCGGTACCAGCAGCTGCAGCCCTGGCCTCCCATCGCGCCTCGAGCGCCCGAAGGCCGCTGCGCTGATCATCTGTGGTATCAGCCCAGATGGCTGGTCGCAGCGGGCCCGCCGGGCTGGCCTCCCCCTTGCTGATCCTGTGAAGCACCTGTCGCCGCGCGGTGGCCTCCCTCACTACAAACTCATGTGCCGGCCGCGTGCCGAGCCCCCAAGCCTGAGGGTCCTGTACCTGGGATCCCCAGAGGCCAAAGAAGTATAGTGTGGGCGGCGGTGGTGGCGGTGGCTCTGGCAGCTGCTGCTCCCACTCCAGCTGCTCCCTTGGCTGCTGCTCCCCTGTCTGCTGCTCCACCTGCAGGTGCTGCTCTGGGTGCAGCTGCTCTGCGTGCTGGCGCTGCTGACGTGTGCCGCTGCGTGGATGCCAGGGCCTGGTGATGTCCCAGTGCTGAACCAATGCAGGCTGCGCGGCCGGAGGAAGGAATGCGTGCATGGCTGCAACGCCTCCTTCCACTGGCACAAGGGCTCCTGTGCTGCTTACTGTGTGGCTGAGAAGGTAGGTGCTACCTTCGGCTGTGCGAGACCAGACTCGGCGATCCGACGGGTCCGGCAATGCGCACCACATAGCGGCCGGTGGCTGCACCTGAATGAGCGCTCTCCAGGCTGCTGGCAAGGCAGCCAGGAGGATGGGCACGCGCTCTCGCACCACCCGATCCGGATGCTCCGGGCCGCGCACGACATCGCGCAGGTGGCTGATCCTGACCAGGCCAAGCCTGGCCCAGTCCTCCCAGGCAAAGGGCTGCCTGACTGCATCTGTGAGCTGCCTGTTGAAGAACAGGGGCTCACCCATGACTGCGTCGTAGCCGATCGCTTCCGGCTTCCGCAGGTGATGGGGCCGCAGCTGCTGGTAGGCATGCAGGTACTGCCGGACGCGCTGCGGTGCCTCCACATGCTTCGCTGCAAAGGTGGAGAAGAGCAGGAATCTTCCCAGCTGCCAGATGTGCTGCCGCCGCGCTGACACCGTGCCGGGTTCCTGCGCTGCCAGCCAGGCTGTGCTCCTGTACAGCCAGTGGTCGAAGTAGGCCTTCCAGGCCAGCTGCTCCGGCTCCAACAGCCTGCCCACCACCTTGGCCTGGAGAGCCAGGATCTGGGCCCTGATGTCCACCAGCGCGATGCCGCCGTGTGCGGCCGCGCGGAAGCAGACGTCCTTGCCTGGGAACAGCGCCGCCGCTGCGCCAGGGGTCACCGGCCGGTTCGCCGCGACGAAAGTGTGGATGGCTCTGCAGAGCCTCTGTAGCAAGTCTTGTGGCACCGGTATGAAGGTGGCATGGTAGGTGACCATGGAGGCCAGCACCTGTTTTGCGACGTACGCTCGGCCCAGCAGGCTGAGTCTGAAGCCGGACCAGCGGGCGATGCGGGCCTCCACCTTCTCAATGATGGCTGTGTATATTTTATTTTTTTTTAAAAGGGGAAGCCCCCGCTATTACACAGGTGCCAGTCGCACGCTTCCCAGCACGCATGCAATAGGATATTTGGGGAAACCTGTCAGAGTTGGGGCACGCAGAGCACTCCCGCAGGAGGATAATGCGATACTTAAGAGAAGCGCAAGCATGAAGGCATACCACAGAAAGGCAACAGAAAGGCTCCTAGCGATGGACATGTCCCAAGCACCAGAGGGTAACCTCATCCCCAGAGGCGCACTCCAGCCCGCCGGCAACGCAACACCGCTGAGGTGACGTTGGAGGACCCACGGGGCAAGCCTAGGGCTTGCAGCTGGAGGCAGGGGTCACAGCAAAGCAGGCAATCATCAATCACTGGCAGGCAATTATGGATGTGCGGGCAACCAGTGGTGGAACAGACATGAAAGGCACGTTTATACGGTTGGCCGACAGGGATGGAACAGGATCGCGTTCGGACCCATTACCACTAGGTGCCGCTCGGGGCTGGCAATGTGACCCTAAACTATGCCTCAATCTGCCAGCAAGGTGGGGCACAAGCAAACGGTGGCATATGGGAGATATGAAGCCGCAAATGAGGCGAAAAACAGGTAGGCTGGCGAGAACTCGACCAGATACACACACCCACCACATTGGAGGCGGGGATAGGCAGGAGGCATCATGTCCAAGGTCCTAGACACCCGCTCAGGTTCAAGGGTGGATACTGGGGTTGGAAACCCTAAACCCTTCAGATAGCCTTCAATGAACTACTGTGAATGGTGAGGAGGACAGACACTAAGGCAGAAGGCCACGGATGACAGGCCAAGGGGATTGTTGGGGCTGCCGGTGAGACAGAAACATCGGAGGATCACTGGAAAACTATTGATAGCCTAAAGCCCTGGGCAGGGTGGTCTTCTGTAAGCTTGCGCCAACGCTCTGGCTCTCCGGCACGGTACTCCACAGGTAGCGGGGCGCACGATGGATCCGTCTGGCCGAGGGATACCCAAGGGGTGAGCCGCGCAAACACGTCCGGTGGTGGGCGAGGCCACCGGCACTGGGTGGCGAGGCCAGTGCCCCAGGGGTGAAGGAGGCACCCCCGGGGCCGTGTTGGGCCGAGCTCGACAGGTCCCTCGACCAGTGGAAGCACGTGACTCGGAGCCCCATTCCGCGCTGGCAAAGGTTAGAGGTAGGAGAGGCGCAAAGCTTCTGGTAGGCAATCTGTGGTCCCAGGGCTCTAAGGCAAAAGGGGTCTCAGACAAGGAACGACAGGCCGGGCTTTGCCGGGGTGGGATCGGGACTGGTGAAAGGTTAGTCATCCGTGCCTGACTATGGTATGACGAAGGCTCTTAGCGCCCATGTGCCCAGAGCACCTATCGCAAAGGCCCCCCTAAGAGAGGGTGTGAGTTCAACACAAGAATCGACACGAGCGGGTGTCATGGCAGAAGGCCAAATGAGAGCATGGTCATACAGATAGCCAAGTTAGAGCCGTGGCCGGCTGCTTTGCTGTGACCCCTGCCTCCAGCTGCAAGCCCTAGGCTTGCCCCGTGGGTCCTCCAACGTCACCTCAGCGGTGTTGCGTTGCCGGCGGGCTGGAGTGCGCCTCTGGGGATGAGGTTACCCTCTGGTGCTTGGGACATGTCCATCGCTAGGAGCCTTTCTGTTGCCTTTCTGTGGTATGCCTTCATGCTTGCGCTTCTTTTTTTTTTTTTTTTTTTTAAAAGGGGAAGCCCCCGCTATTACACAGGTGCCAGTCGCACGCTTCCCAGCACGCATGCAATAGGATATTTGGGGAAACCTGTCAGAGTTGGGGCACGCAGAGCACTCCCGCAGGAGGATAATGCGATACCTAAGAAAAGCGCAAGCATGAAGGCATACCACAGAAAGGCAACAGAAAGGCTCCTAGCGATGGACATGTCCCAAGCACCAGAGGGCAACCTCATCCCCAGAGGCGCGCTCCAGCCCGCCGGCAACGCAACACCGCTGAGGTGACGTTGGAGGACCCACGGGGCAAGCCTAGGGCTTGCAGCTGGAGGCAGGGGTCACAGCAAAGAAGGCAATCATCAATCACTGGCAGGCAATTATGGATGTGCGGGCAACCAGTGGTGGAACAGACATGAAAGGCACGTTGATACGGTTGGCCGACAGGGATAGAACAGGATCGCGTTCGGACCCATTACCACTAGGGGCCGCTCGGGGCTGGCAATGTGACCCTAAACTATGCCTCAATCTGCCAGCAAGGTGGGGCACAAGCAAACGGTGGCATATGGGAGATATGAAGCCGCAAATGAGGCGAAAAACAGGTAGGCTGGCGAGAACTCGACCAGATACACACACCCACCACATTGGAGGCGGGGATAGGCAGGAGGCATCATGTCCAAGGTCCTAGACACCCGCTCAGGTTCAAGGGTGGATGCTGGGGTTGGAAACCCTAAACCCTTCAGATAGCCTTCAATGAACTACAGTGAATGGTGAGGAGGACAGACACTAAGGCAGAAGGCCACGGATGACATGAAGGTTGGAAGGTAGGGCGGGCATGCTGGCGCAGTTCGGGTTAGCCACGGGGATTGTTGGGGCTGCTGGTGAGACAGAAACATCGGAGGATCACTGGAAAACTATTGATAGCCTAAAGCCCTGGGCAGGGTGGTCTTCTGTAAGCTTGCGCCAACGCTCCAGCTCTCCGGCACGGTACTCCACAGGTAGCGGGGCGCACGATGGATCCGTCTGGCCGAGGGATACCCAAGATGTGAGCCGCGCAAACACGTCCGGTGGTGGGCGAGGCCACCGGCACTGGATGGCGAGGCCAGTGCCCCAGGGGTGAAGGAGGCACCCCCGGGGCCGTGTTGGGCCGAGCTCGACAGGTCCCTCGACCAGTGGAAGCACGTGACTCGGAGCCCCATTCCGCGCTGGCAAAGGTTAGAAGTAGGAGAGGCGCAAAGCGTCTGGTAGGCAATCTGTGGTCCCAGGGCTCTAAGGCAAAAAGGGGTCTCAGACAAGGAACGACAGGCCGGGCTTTGCCGGGGTGGGATCGGGACTGGTGAAAGGTTAGTCATCCGTGCCTGACTATGGTATGACGAAGGCTCTTAGCGCCCATGTGCCCAGAGCACCTATCGCAAAGGCCCCCCTAAGAGAGGGTGTGAGTTCAACACAAGAATCGACACGAGCGGGTGTCATGGCAGAAGGCCAAATGAGAGCATGGTCATACAGATAGCCAAGTTAGAGCCGTGGCCGGCTGGGTACAGTGAATGGTGGATCGGAAGCGTCACGCTGGAAGCGGCACGGGATGCTGGGCACTCCAGTGGATGACTGGTTGCGCGCCCGGCAGCTCCTCCAGCGCGCAGAGGACCGCGCGGTGGCACCATCGCGCCGCAAACTGCTCCCTGGTGATCATCGGGTCGCGTCCGCGAAGCCAGTCGCTGAGCACACCTGCTGTCTGCCGGACGTTGACGGTCGCGAGCCGCCAATCGGCAAGCAGGGCCTTCTTGCAGGAAGACAGGATGCGAGCCGCAACCGCTCCGGGGGTGATCGCCGCCGCATCTGGCTGGTGGCGGCCGCGCTGATATGCTGCCCACAGCTGACAGATTGTAGCGAGCCTCAGGCGATCCCAGAGCTGCCTGAGCTGCCGCGGCGGTCCCCAGATCCTGGTGTCATCGGCGAGAAGAAGGTCGGCGCTGCGCGGTGGCGCGTCGTCTCCGGTCACCGCGGCCCATGTCGCTGCGAACCAGTCCCACACCCCGGCGGCGAGAGGGCAGATGATGAAGACATGGGTGAGTGTGGCCAGCTGACCTGCACAGCTCGGATGCGGGCAAACGTGACCGGCGGGATCGGCGCGGTGGACGTGACGCGCGAAGCCGCCGACGAAGAGCTGGCCATGCAGCAGCCTCCACGCTGTCACGCGCTGCCGCCGGTCCAGATGGGAAGCGTGCACCACTTGCCACTTCTTCTCTTCAGTATCGCATTATCCTCCTGCGGGAGTGCTCTGCGTGCCCCAACTCTGACAGGTTTCCCCAAATATCCTATTGCATGCGTGCTGGGAAGCGTGCGACTGGCACCTGTGTAATAGCGGGGGCTTCCCCTTTTAAAAAAAAAAAAAAAAAAAAAAAAGGCAGGCCACCTGGTTAAGGCCAAGGCAGGCCACCTGGTTAAGGCCAGGGCAGGCCACCTGTTGTAGGTCAAGGCAGGCCGGGTACGATGTTTGGTGAAGGAGAGCATCAAGCGGGCAGCGGCACTGGGTGCTGTGCGCTCCAGCGGATGACTGGCTGTGCGTCCGGCAGGGCGTCCACCGTGCAGAGGACTCCGCGGTGGCACCAGCGCGCTGTGAACTCCTCCCGGCTGAAAGTGGGATCGCGTCCCCGGAGCCAGTCGCTGAGCACGCCCGGTGACAGCCGAATGTTGGCGGTGGCAAGTCGCCAGTCGGCCAGGAGAGCCTTCCTGCAGGAAGACAAGATGCGGCTGCGAGCTGCCCGGGCGATGTGTGGGCGTCCGGCTGATGACGGCCGCGCTAGTAGGCGGCCTTTTTTTTTTTTTTTTTTAAAGGGGGAGCCCCTTTAAGGCCTAGATGGTAGCTAAGCGGAGGCGCTGCCAGAGAGGCTTGAGTTGCCGCGGCGGCTCCCACACCCTGGTGTCATCTGCCAGCAGCAGGTCCGTGCTGCGAGGCGGCGCGGCCTCCCCTGTGACGGCTGCCCATGTCGCTGCATGCCAGTCCCACACCCCTGCTGCCAAGGGCAATTGATGAAGACGTGGGTGAATGTGGCGGGCTGACTCTCGCAGCCGCTATGCGGGCAGCTGTGTCCTGCTGGATCTGCGCGGCGGATGTGCTGTGAGAAGGCGCCGACGAAGAGCTTGCCGTGAAGCAGCCCCCAGGCCGTGATATGCTGCCGCCGGTCGAGATGGGAAGTGTGAATGAGGATCAGGCGGATGGCTGTTGAAAGTGATAACGATTGTATATGAACAGCAACTGGGCCACACGATGGGCACAGTCCCGCCACCCGCCACCGCCACATGCAGTACAACAGAGCTGCCCACGGATATCAAGAAGGGGATTCTCTGCTGTCAGCATTTCTCACCTTTTGTCAAAGGGACCATACCCAACAGACAGGCCAATCCAATCTGACCGGCCTTTTGCGACACGATCTCGGAAGAACTCAGGGTTCTCAGCTGCAGGTTGTAGAATCACAGTTCAGATTATGTCCCGTTTGAATTCGTATTTTGGCCTCTGCCTAAATAGCTCCGGGTAGAGGGACGCTGTTGCAGACAGACGTCGTGTTGTCTTAGGCAGTTTGTGCTCCAGCAGAGCTACAACTGTGCAGCGCTCCCTGAGCACAGGCCGAAGCTTTGAATTCGCTAAGGTCTGTAACAGTTCCAACTGTGCGCTGCCCGGAATCCTATGTTGTCACTGTTGGTTTCGATCGGTATCGGTATGCATTAAGGGACATTGAACCAGAGCAGTATGCTGGAGCACACAGCTGCAGAATGAATGCGCTGCTCTCATCTCACAGAGACGAGAGTGCCGAGATTGCTGGCTGCCTGCTGCTTCGGTTGCCATTTACTAGCCTATTTGCCGTCAGATCTTGTTGCCGCCATATTTGCTGCTGCTCCTGCTTGCTCAGTATGATTGACATAAAACAGACTGCCTCAAACAGCAAGTGCAAGAGTTGCAAGAAATGCGCCTCCATAGCCCTGACTATGTCACCGCTCCTCTACATGCCAGGGCATATTCCGGGCCTTTCAAAGACGCCAGCACCTGATATTTACCTGGCTACACTTAGCTCAGTGCGACTATTAGTAAATTATGAGCTCAGCTGCTTTATTATGAATCATTCGTTAAATGGTGCCATCCACAGGATGGCTCAGCATCAGACGGGCAGGACAGCCCAATACCAACTTGTTCGTGAGTCTCAAGAACAGGGTCTTCACTTTCATACAGCAGTCTGAGCTCTCCATGACAGAGTAGGATTGCTCCACTATCCTGCTCAAGGTCATTTTAAGCTGCACAGACGACTTCACAGAAGGCAATAAGAGTCTGTCTGCATGAGACACAGCACAGATGACATAGAAATCGCATGCACGTCAGGCAAACTCATTGGCCACATGCAGCAGATGTCTTGGGATAGCGTGAAAAGCAGCGACGCACATGAGAGGATGTGTTCACTGTTGACGCGGTCTAGCGCGCCATATAGCGCAAGGATCTGCACAACGCTGAGTGGCCCGGAGCAGGCGTGAGATTCCACGCACATCATGCATGCATGCGTTACAACACTGTTGGCAAGTGGCCCTGTTGCCTCAAGGGCCAGAGACGCGGTAGCAGGCAAGCGTCCTGCTTCTTGCTGACGCGGTAATGATGTGAAGTCCATATAGGTAACGGTGCCCTGTGCCTAGGATGCTGGCGTCGACAGAGTGCTGGAAACCGCAGCAGAATGTGGGTCACTTTATGGTCTGAGCTTCCTTCAAAAGCTGGATATTGTACAGGTGCCTGTTCAACATAGGAAATGGTGCAGCAGGGCATCCTCTCAGTCAAAGAACAGTAAAATTGAAAATCGGAAAATGTCTTCAAACTTTCGAATCGTGCATCATGTAATCTGTTGGTCGCATCGATATGAACCAATTGGTGTTTAAAATGCACATGCGGGATATGGAATACTGTGACGTAGGTGCATCGCGCGACCTGAATTGTTTTGAAGTCTATCAAGGAGCCAGGTTTCAAGTTGGAGGTTCGTTCGTGAGTAAAGGGAAATGCATACATTATTGTGGACTGGAAACGACAATGCTCTTGCAAAGTTTCTGCGCTGGAATTTAAATCCTATCTGAAGAGATGCCTACTCTATTCCTTTTTCGCAGAAATTGCAAGCTTTCCTGGATGCATGTATATGTCGTGACACCCCCCTGCCATCTATGCCAAGTTGATGGGCTTTAAAACCGATTGATGTTGTGAGGCTCGACGACGTCAGTCCTCAAAGTTGCTTTTAATTCGTACACGTTTTGTTGGAGCGATTGATGGCACGGCCCATTGCACCCGTGCCTGCAGCAACAGTCCATCGCATTGCAAGTGGACAGGTCATTTTGGATCTTGCAACAGCAGTCAAAGAGCTTCTTGAAAATGCTTTGGACGCTGGTGCAACCAACATCGAGGTGATCTTGTTTCCAGGAAGTAATTTGCAACACCTTGATGGTCCAAAATTTTTGATTGCTGAACTTTGCTGCCTGCATTGCTCTCTCAGATAAAGCTCAAAGAGTACGGCAGCGAGCTCATCGAGGTAGCTGATAATGGATGTGGTATCTCAAATGAAAACTATCGGGCTCTGACATTGAAGTATCACACTTCCAAGCTGACCTCCTTTGCAGATCTACAGGTGCGTGTTCTTGCCAGTTTTCAAATCCAACACCGCCAAATTTGCCAGCCAGAGTCCCTTCTTGATCGTTAGTTGGATGCACAGGAGCTGAGCAGCTTTGGCTTCCGTGGGGAAGCTCTGAGTTCACTCTGCGCAGTTGCAGAGGTCACTGTTTCCACTCGAACAGAGGACAGCACCACCGGCACCAGGATAGCCTATGATAAGAATGGTAGCATCCTCTCAACAGCAGCTGTTGCCCGTGCCAAGGGCACCACCGTTGCTGTCAAAGAACTTTTCAAGCCACTTCCAGTGCGCTTCAAGGTGTGCAGAGAATCAAGCCAAGGAGGCCCTCCATCTCTGGCAACCAACGCATGCGGCACCACCACATGCGGTAATCAATGTCAAGGTGTTGGAATGGCTGGTTCTGAACATCCTCTGTGCTGATCAGGAGCTGAGACGGCACCTGAAGCGAGAATTTGCAAAGCTGCTTACCCTTCTGCAAGCGTATGCAATTATTTCCACTGGAGTGCGCATCATCTGTACCAATCAGGTGAAATTTTTGTGCGCCCAATCAAGCTCCTCGGCCTGTGACTTCCAGGTCAATGTTGTCGGTGAATGATTGACTGCATGAGCCTTGTGAGCAGGTGGGTACAGGTCCTCGGACAAGGATCATTTCAACCCAGGGGCTTGCAAGCATGCGCGACAACATCGTCACTGTGTTTGGGAGCCGCACGGCTGAGGCGTTGATACCCTTGGATGAAGCATCAACGAATGAAATCTCTATGCACGGGTGTGCGTCTACTCTGCATGGGCACATGGAGGGCAGATGCTCTTGCATGTCTTCTGCCTCTAATGGTCGGTGTTTCCTCAGGTTTGTCTCAAGAGCATCAGCATCTTTTGGAAAATTAGCTGGGGAACGGCACTACTTCTTCCTAAACGGGCGCCCTGTCAACCTGCCGAAGGCAAGCACCTGCCCTGCCCTGTCACATGTGTAGATGCGTCGATGGTCCCTGTTGTCAGGAGCCTCCTGCCACAGTATAAGGTTGTGCAACTGTGCAGTTTTCCAAGGTGCTCATGGAGACTTACCGAACCTACACAAGCTGCGGAAATGCAGCAAATGTCCGGCCGACAGCCTTCGTTGACATCAGACTTCCCAAGGACAGGTTTGTCTGATGCAACTCTGATCTGCCACAATCTACAGTCGTAGAAGCACATTCGGCTCAGACAGTAGCTCTTGGCTGTGCACGTGCAGCTACGACATCAATGTCACACCCGACAAGCGCAAGGCGCTCATCCATCAGGAGCAGGCACTGTTGGAGGCATTTCAGAAGGTGCATGCTCCTTTCACAATATGATTTCTAATGCTGGCATGATATGTTGCATCAATTTTGTATGACCTTTCAATCTTGCACAGGCGCTGGTTCGAATGTGGGAGCCAGCAGCCGTGACACTGGCACCACAACCCGATGCGGCTGCTGCGAGTAGCCATGGTTACACTGGTGACAGTCAGGTAGACGAGCCTGCATTCTGCCGTGTGAACAAATTGCATGCATAGAACATATGTCCAGGGCATGCTCTGTCCCCTCTCACCCCGCTGTGAACGGCGCAGGAGATGAGTGACGATGAGGCGGCGGAGGCACCTGAAGACAGCCTGCAGTCAACATCGCCAGCGGCCCCTCTGCTCAGCAGGTGCAAGCAATTCCCTCTCCTATGCTTTTACACTTCTCCTGAATATGCACAAGAATTGATCACTCAGAGTTTGACCTGTCCAGCAGGCGGCTGCCTGTGGGAGGACTGGGCTCATTTGGTCGCAAGGGAGTTGTTTGTGGTGATCAGCCCCATGGAGCCAGGACCAGCATCAGCCGTCAGCCGAGGGGGCAGCTGAGGTCAACACAGCCCTTGTTGACCTCATTTCTCGTTCCAGAACCTGGTAAGTCATCCTGGGCAACGACAAGTTGTGCCCCTCCATCTGCTGCTCCCATCCTTTTCAATTGCCTCCCAACAGCGCCAGTGCATTCTGACGTGTCTTAGGAGGTCACGTGAAGCGCAGGCCATCGTCTTAGTCTTTCCCCCAGGAGTCCTGGCACTGATGCAGCTGCGACGCAAGAACCTTCTTCTGCTGGAGTCTCTTCCACCATCAGTGGTGCAAGCATGTCCGCCGACTCACTGTACGGTCCTCTCATACAATTCCTTATGTCAGCAAGTGGTTCAACAATGCTCAATGTCTCCTTAATCCTTGTCATGACACACAAGCATAGATGAGACCCTTCAAATGCATGTCGCGCCATCAGGCCGCCCATCCCAGCGCCCTCTTGCGCCCGTCCCATACCAGAAATACCTGTGGAGGAGGCTTGCAGCCCATCTGCAACAGGTGATCTTTCATCTGCAGTGAACACGGCAGAAGAGATGTGCAGGATTCATTATGTTGGATATCCAAGCACTAAAATTTTATTCCAGTTTTGTAAACATCCTCGGATGATGCTAAATAGCAGTGGATCATGCCTGCTGCAGAGCATGCACAAAATTCACCGGTGGTGAGGGACACCTCGGATGCCTGTCCAGAAGAGGAGCTTCCTGATGAAAAGGTGAGTTGCTGGAGTCCCAACATGCGGCTCATCTTCAAATTTAGGGCATTTGTGTGTCTGTTCAAGTAAGGGCTCTGAGCCAAAATGTTTCGTCTGCACATCACAGCAGCTAGGCGGCTGTACAAATGCCGATGGGAGGGCCAGCATGGAAAAGCGAAGGAGGATGTCTGAGCCCCCTGCCACGGTTGTGCATGTGGATTTAGATGCCATCCGCTTGGCATGGACGTCAAGAGACTCTGCCAAGCTGGGCTCTGAGCAAGCTGGCACGTGCCAATACAGCGCAGCTTCTCTGAAGGTAATGAAAATGAGAGAACACATCACAGTATGGGACATGCATTTCCGGGGAGCTCAAACTCTTCTTGATCATGCCATGATGTTAGCAGGAGGATGAACCTCGTGATGCTGGAGATGCTGCGTCATTCGAGCTGGAGCGCATCTTCCAGAAGAGTGACTTTGCGCGTATGGACGTCGTCGGCCAATTCAACCTCGGCTTCATCCTCGCCAAACTTGGCAAAGATCTGTTCATTGTAGACCAGCATGCAGCAGATGAGAAGTACAATTTTGAGAGGCTTCAGCAGATCACACTTCTGAATCGACAGCCGCTGCTGCGCCCTCAGCCCCTCCACCTAACCCCAGCGGAGGCTATCCTGCTGAAGTGAGGCGCTGTCTCCTCTGCTGTGGTCAGCAACTCAATGTACGCTGCGATTTTATTGTGACAAAGCACTCCGGTTTGAGATACTATCCTTGCATGTGCAGGGACAAAATTGACATCTTCCACACAAATGGCTTCGACTTCAAGGAGGACGACCAAGGACAACTTCACTTGACGGCTGTCCCCTTCAGCAAGGACACTGTCTTTGGCATCCAAGATGTTCAAGAGCTGCTGCATCTTATGATCAGTGGGAACTCTGCAGCATTTCAGATGTCTAGCCAAGCTGTGAGCAGTGCTGCTTCGCAGCCAGCCAAGGTGGTGCGGCCAAGCAGGTACTGCACATTTTGGCTTTGGTGCATATGTTGCAACTGTGATCCGACTTCTACAAGGTTACGTGGCCAAATATGTCTTGAACCTCACTATGTTTGCAGGGTGCGCGCAATGCTGGCCATGCGAGCGTGCCGGTCGTCTGTGATGATTGGCAAAGCACTCACAGCGTCGCAGATGCAGACAATACTGTCAAGGTTGTCGGCCCTGGAGTCCCCCTGGAACTGCCCTCATGGTCGTCCGACGCTGCGCCATCTCAGCACATTGGCTCAGGAGTGATGTCCTTAAGATAATGTAGAGAGCACGGTTGCCATTAATAACAATATTGCTCAGTGCTGGAGGTACCGATCATGGCAAGGATCATTATGTCAGTGCTAGCACTAGCGCCACTGTGTAAGTTGCCGATACGCATATAAGATTACGAAGCACTGCATGCATGCTCCATTGCAATCGGCCTATGCATGAATTCATCCACCGAGCAATGCAAATCAGAGGGAAGCACTCAAGAAAATGCGATTGGCATTGACCAACAGTCGAGCGGCATAGGCGCAATGGTACACATCTCAACTAACATATGCTTCGACTCAAAGTTAACATAGATGACAGAAGCACTTCAGTATTACATGCCTCATCATCCATGCCATCATCTCACGAGGAATACGTGCGGAAATGCGCAGACTGCCTTGGGATCTGGATCTTGTATAGAACCCTACACCAACATCGTTGAGGTGACATGACAGCATGCTTGCGCAAATGTGAAGATCCTGAGTCCTACGGTTCTCTTCAGAGACTATTCAGCCACAGTTCCCAGACTGTCTCCGGGTTCCAAGTTCAATATTCCAGCCATGATGCCCCATGCAGGCATCATGTAGGCATCCCTCTCTCCTCCTGAATGCATATTTTCTCAAGATGACTGATGTATATCTGGGCTGACATTATATCAAAGACAAAATTTCCAGCTGACTTCCAGACACGTGATGCTGGGAACTCACCTGACCATATTATTGCTGCAGCATTTGGACGCCATCACACCCTTCTATGCTGACCGGCTCCAACCTCCACTGGCACTTCAAGCTTGGTATTTGCAACACCGACCTTGGAGAGGATATCTGAGGTGTCCATCTCGTCTGAGAGGCTTCTTAGTCTGGCGAGTATTTGAGGAGCGGACAGGCCGGATGTATCAAATGTGTCGGATCTTTTATTGCTGTATTCCACGGTGACGGAAGGGCGGCCTGATACTCTCAGCTGAGTTGTAATCTGGCAGTCTGGGTTCGTTCCTTGGGCAGAGGTTATCCTAGCCAGAAAATCTCTGGCACTGCGACAATCAGTCGACCAGGGAGAAAATCGGACGGCAATCCTTGTGATCCGCGCTAATGACATCGTGCTTCAAGCAAGCATAGAGAAACGAAGCAAGCAAGACACACCAACTTGCCCAACCTTTGCCACAAACAAGTTCATTAGATCACCATCTACTGATCTTGCACACCACTTCGAGCTTTTGGCACACAATCTAGAAGTCAAGAAGTCAATTTGTTGAGACCGAAACATTGAACGCACAAGACAGGCTGGTGGCTTTGCCAAGTAGCAGCACGTGCACGCATGCATCTTTCTAATACGCAAGTGATCTTTAGCAGCAAAAAGAGGGAATTTATGCAAATTTACTTGATGCGAGGTCTGTCGCAGGAGCACAATGATTGTGTCGACTGCGAGCTACATGCACCAGTACTAAGGACAGCAGATCCTCTTCAGATGGGGTGCTACGTTTTTCTACAGGTCCTTTTTGCAGATATAACATTAAATGGAAGTACTTAAAAAAGTACAACTTTGGGCTCCATACAATCCATTTATCGGGTCTTATGTGGCGGTGTGACCTTCTGAGCATAACTTCAAGATTTTGCGTTGGGAAGAATGGCCAATACAACAGCTCCTTCGAGGTTGTTGGAGGCTGGGACAAGTCTTTTCAGCCCTGCGGAAGTACAAGTGGTGCGGATCTTTGATCATGATTGACAACGTCCAAGCACCAGTCCCGCTGTATCCACAAGGGGACTTTCTGGTAGTGCGACTATCATGGACCTACAATGTTTGCTGCAGGTTGTCGTCCCTGTCGGAGACATCCCGCAAGAAACGCTAGCTCAGTACTGCAGGCTGTTGACAAAGCACCGCCAAGTGGAACTGCAACTGCTGCGGTCCTTTTACAAGGAGCAGCAGAAGAGTCCATTCACTTTTTTCCCCTGGAAAAATGGCTTCATGCACTTCCGCTTCTTGCCGGTATGGCTGTGCAAGCAGAAGATGTGATTAGTCGCGTTGGGTGCTCGGGCACATGAGCCGTATCTCACACGTAAATGTGACCCTGTGGTTCAGGAAGAAGCTGCTGCGCATAAGAGTGCCCTGACGCCCTTGCACATGTACCGGAAGGTGCTGGGCGTCATCGGCATATGCCACGGTCCTGCCGTGACAGATATTGGCTCTGCATACCGGCAATTTGAGACCCGCTGCAGGTGATGCATACATTTTACTGCGGGGCACGTCTCGTAAATGGAATGTGTCCAGGTCACGCCGCGTCCTGGAATCTGGTGCCCTGATTTGCAGGGCATACTCGGATGCCATCACTCAGAGGTGCTTCTTCTTTGAGCCGGGTGATGCCGCTGTGGAGGAGGACAAGAGCGACAAGCCCTACCTCATGATGTTTCCTCCAACGGAGTCAGGTGCAATACTCTACTGTGCTTGTTCTGGTTCAAGCCATACCTCCGAAAAGTAACAGCACTGTGACACCCTCAATGCCTGTCCAGGTGGTCTGGACCAGCTGGCGAGCCACGCTGAGGTTGTTATGCTTGACTTTGCGGCTGGCATGCTCGCTGAGCTGGAAAGATTCATGCTGACAGCTGGCCCTGCCATGATTGACCTCAACACATTCTGCGACACCTCAGACAAGCTCATGAGCTCTGTCTCTGTTGTGGAAGAAGTGCAGAGGCGACTCTACACAGACGAGGTGCATGGTCTGCAGCAATAACTTGCCTCATCTGGACTTTATGGTATTACCTTCCGCAACAGCTGACAGCATTACTGATTCCCAGGAAATGATGCGCAAGCGGCGGTACTGCCGTGTGCAGAAGGCGATGGGGGATGTTTCATTGCTGGCAGGGTCTCCTGCTGATGCAGCAGAGCACTATTTGACTGCAGTCGACTTGGCTCGCACCTGCTCAGACACTGCATGGCATGGCACTGCCTTGGCTGGCCTTGCGAGTGCAAAGGTACTGCTCCTCTTATTTGGAGTGGAGCACATTAAGCTTGCTACTGCATCCCATGCCTTGCACACTGGCATCTCGTGCATGACCAGATCGCTTGGCTGACTACTTGCAGATTCTGGAGAGCTGCATCAAAAGTGGAGCGCTGCGGAGCACTGCACCCCCGCCTGGCATTGAGACCCAGACGCGCCACCCCTCAATTGCACGCCTGCAGGCTGAGGACGCTGGGAGTGCGGGCTCACGCGGCTCGTCAGGTTTTGGCGGCCCGGATTTCTGGACGTCTCTGCGGCAGGTCGTCGGGCTGGAAGCGGAAGTGCGGGCGCTCCTGGCAGACGCTCGCTCTGTCCTGCGGCGGCGCAGCGTCCTCCCGCTGATGGTGAGTCGAGGCTTGGCCGCACTGCTGACCTACAGCGGCTGGCACCCCCAAGTGCTTCTCTGTACTTAGCATGTCCTGCCCTGTATGACAGGTTGAGCAGGACCTTGCTTGGGCGAGGTTTCTGGTGGGGCTGCGTGGCTCTAAGGCGCGGCGCGAAGTCAGCGACCTCATCAGTGGCGTCGTTGAACTGGGGGCTGGCTTGCAGTTCACTGAGGACAAGCTCGCCAACATCATGGAGGCGGCGCAGGTGTGATAATGCCATGTATCTGCTGGCCTGCATTTGATAACGCGCTGCAAGGCCCGAAACCTCGCGTAACATCCAGGACTTGTTGCCACTGTGAAAACAATAATGTGGCTTTAAGTCCATATGCATGTGTGTTTGTGTGTTTGAGCTGCCCCTGTTGAGTCAAGAGTTGTAAATCAATCGTAAGGTATCTCGATTCTGCCATGTCTCAGGTCATGGGGATGGTGGGCTCGCTCCGGAAGCGTGTGCTCTTGCTCTGGCAGGCAGTGGAGTTCTCAAGAAGTTCTGAGCGTCCCAACCTCGCCACTCTGCAGGTGGGGCCACTGCCAGGGATGCGACGAGCCGCATGCTGGCACTGTGAGAGCTGTGTCGAGCAGGGTGAAAGGCAAAGGATTGAGGCGCAGTGTTGTGCCGGCAGATCGCGCGCAGGGCCCTGGAGCCGCCTGATATGGCGGATGAGGATGGGGATGAGGAGCTGCTGCCTGCGCGACGGCCGCTCTCCGCTGGTGTGCTGCACCACTGGAGCGTGGTGCGGTGCGGCTGCATAGAGGGCGTGCTTGCCACAGCCATCCTTGCGGGTCAGCATGCAGACGTGTGGGACGCTGCTTCGCTGCTGCTCAGGGAGCACTGCAGGTGCTTGTCGCGCAGTCATAGCTGTTTGTCAGTTTGTTTGCAGGGAGAGGGTTTGTGCCTCCTCCTGCCAGCTGATCTCCTGCCATTGCACAGGGACCTGCCGCCCAGCCGGCAGCAGGCGCTGCAGCGGACACTCGAAGCAGCGGCCAATCAGATGACGCCAGCAGAGAAGCGGCGCGGCGGCCCAGGCCCACCCCCGCTGCTGTCCCTGGTGCAGCCCATGCCGGCTGCAGAAGCGCTGCAGCCTCGTGGGGTTGTGGTCAAGGCATCCGTCGATGCTTCCGTGGCCCTTGCCGAGGGCAGCCTGGCCGGCAGCCTCAGCCCCTTCATATACAACGCCTTCAGGGCGGTGAGGGACCTTGCACAGCCCCCTGTGCGCAAATTTGCTGAGAATTTGAGCATTGCTGCCGGTGTAGTAGCCATGTGCTGTACAGAAGAGGCCTCTGATGACAGATACATATGCCGATGTCCAGGTGACGGGTAAGGAGAGGCCTGTGGTGCCCGTTGGGGAGGCGGGATCGATTTCTTGGGTGTGCGGGGAGGTGGCAACCGTCGAGGTCGAGATTCGCAACCCCACCGTTATCCCAATCAAGGTGGGCAGCCTCCGCAAGCCTTCTGCCAATCTTTGCTTTAAAAAGCAATTCTGCTGGCACACTGGCCAATTGCATGCTCTGAAGGTCCACATGTTAGCCAGGTTGAGCGACTGACGCTGGAGGTGGAGTGGGCCGGGCACCCTTCAGTGGCGCCGCGTGACCAAATGGCCTCCCAACAGGCTGTGTGGAAGCCCAACCCGGTTGCCATGTGGCTTCCACCTCAGACACCCGCCACAAAGGTGTGCTTGGGTTCCGCAGTTTTCCAGCTGAATTCAGACTCTGCTGTTGCACAAGCCCGGGCGTTGAAGCAGCAGAGCGCAAATCAGTGAGTGTGTTGGAATGCCACGGCCGGGAAGCTGATGATGCTTTTGCGCTCGGTGTGCAGGTCCTGCTGACTGGAATTCCGCTGACTGTGGGCATGTTCACGGTGGTGGGATGCGATGTGACGGCACTGGGAGTGTCTTGGAGGCAGCCCTGGACGCCTCGTCACCTCTTCCTGGCTGGGGCGGCCTGGCCAAAGGAACATGCCTCCAGTAAGGAGCTTGGAGGCGGGGCCCAGGTTGGATGTCTACTGAGGTCCCCAAGATGAGCATGTGTTGGGTCCTGGCCATCGCATGTCTGGCGCGACAATGAAAGAACTGATTTTGCTGGCGGGCTTGTGCACAGGCCAGAGTGAGCGTGGTGGATCCGCTTCCACTTGTGGAGGCGCGCATTGAGGTGGCCCCCACGTGTGTGGCGCGTCCAGCCGAACGTGCTGAAGCTGCGCCTCCAAAGAAGGAGAGCAAGACTGCTGCGAGCGCCAAGAATCAGGGTTCTGCCGCTGTGACCTTGACGAAAGCCGCCGCCCTCAAGGGGCAGGTGCTAAAATGGTGCATCAGCCTTGCCAACATTGGTGAGGTCACGCCCCGTGCCTCTTCCCTTTGCAAACACTTAATTGCAGCATCTGCCATCATGATCTGACAGAAGAGTGTTGCGGCGCAGGTAAGCTGCCGGTGGTCGCCGCAGTGATCAACGTTGAACAGCAGGGAGGCCAATCTCAAGGAGCGCAGCCACGTTCACTGACAGGCACACTGAAAGGCAATGAGATGCCCAGCATATCAGCGGGGCCCCCGCACAGGGCACAGGTGGTCAACGTTGCGGTGTCGGCGGATGAAGCGCACCTGCAAGCAGCTGTGCCTCTGCTTCCTCAGAAGGCCCGCACCAAAGTGCCGCTGTTGCTGCATGCCGCGCAGGTAAGCACCTGTTCTCTGCTCAGCAGTGTTTTCCCATGCAATCCCTTTTCCGGCTGGATGCATGTACGACACAATTTGCCCTTGCTGCAGGTGGCTTCATACACAGGAGACGAAGAGGCTCGTCTGGATGTTCGCTTGGAGTATGCTTCTAGTGTGGATGAGGCTTCCAGGGAAGACACCATTGGGCGGCGCATCACGTTGCCCATCCACCTACGCTTCTTGCCCTCGTTGCAGGTAAGTTGTCAGAAGTCTTCCTCTGCCGTGCACTATCAATGGGTCAGATACAAATGGCGGACCTTATCAACACCTGTTGCAGGTGGTGTCAGTGGCTTTCCATGAGCACGATATGGCGGCGCAAACCAGAGAGCAGGAGAGCAAGACCTCTTCCATCCGGCGCTCCTCTTCCCTGGGGGACCTCAACCTGTCCTCGGCCTCCAAGCGAGCCGGCGGTCTTCGGCCCAAACCCAAGATTGCGGCTGCGCAGCCACTGGACCCAGCCAGCGTGCGAGAAGAGGCGCCGGATGCGCGGGCGGCCATGTACATGGATGCTGGAGTGTCCAGGTGCTGCGTCATGGAGGTGGACGCCATGAACTGCTCAGACGTTGTTCTCCAGGTACGTCTGCAGCCTGCAGCTCTCTGTGCCTGACATGCTCGGGGCTTCATTTGCGCATCCAACTCCATCCAGGCTCCCTCAGGGTAGTGCAAATCTCTCACATGAATTTGCCTGACCAGGTATGGCTGGGGCGGCGAGTGACACCCGCACCAGCTTCACCAGCTTGGGAGGGCGTTGCAGACAGCCCAAGGCCATGGGCAGCGCGATCCCCAGGTCTGTTGGAGCTGTTGTCTGGTTATGTGCATGCAATCACTCTTTTATATAGAAGTCAAGCTTTGTTGCAGGCGCAGATTCCAAGTACGAACCTCCGTGAGACGGCTGATTGTGCCTGGTGCGCAGATGGCCATGCCCCGCTGAACGCCCACTGCAAGCTGGTCCCGGCAAGGCAGCGCGTGACAGTGTCCTGCATAGTGGACTGCAGCACGGCCACTGCGTACCGGCTGCGCTCCAGCAGATGGCCAGGGGAACGCGCAGAGGGCGGCCGCAGCATGGACAGCAGCGAACGCTACACCATGGAGACTGTGGCAGAGGAGCTGTGCGGGAGCTTCTCCATTTACTGGCGACATGAGGACTTGCATGATGCAGGTAGCTGTTGCTGCATTGAGTCCCCAATCAATTCCTCAGGCAGGCGTGCGCTTTAGAACAGTAGAATGCTGAAGGCTGGTGTGCTCTGCTGCAGCAATGCCCATGGAGATTGGTGTGCTGCCTCTGCCGCAAGATCTGGTGTCACAGGGGCTTGACGCTCGGGCCCTCACTCTTTTATGCCCTCCGCCACTGGGATCGCCGCTCAGTATATCATTCCTTCCCTTTGAAAGCGAAGCAGGTAATGTCTTTGTGCTTCTTAACTCTTTGCACACAGTGGATGGCTGCATTTACGTTGAGGGACGATTGAGTGAGCGCCGCCCGACCAATGCTTCAACGAATGAGGTGCTGACGATCCTGTAAGGAAATGCAGGTGGTGAGATGGCACCCTGCAGGATGCAAGAGATTCTGGCAGCTGGAGACAAGCTGTCAGATGCCTGGGTATCACGGGGTTCCTTGTGGGGCCCCTCTGTGCCGGCAGGCTACCCTCTTCATGTCAGCGTGCAGGTGCCTGCCCTCCCATCTGATTATTATCATGTCAAGCTCTTCTTCTTGCAGCAGTCTGGTACAATTCTGCCCTTTGTAATGGAGAGGTTCCCACAGATTCTGGTGCTTCAGGCAAGCAACAGCACCAGTAGCAGTCAGTTTTTTGACCTCTCGGTGTCATGCCATGACGGGAGCCACTTGAGAGGACGGTTTGAGGGGGCTTTTGACACATCAAGCGCAATGGCCGCCGGACAGGTGTCAGGTGAGCTGTCATTTCGCCCACGTATATGTTGGCCAATGCTTTGTTCTCGGTCCTCCTGATGCCTTGTGTCGTGTGAGTGTCCGCAGGGCTGCAGCTTTCTGTAGATCAAGGGGGACGAGCTTCGAGTAGCTTTGCAGTCACATTCTTCCATCCCGGCGTATACTGCCTGTCCGCCGTGGATGTCCATGCAAGACCAGCAGATCCTGCCAGAGCCGAGTCAGTGCACGGAAACGTTGCCATCTACCCTTTGTATGTCCTTGTCAACGCTTGAAATGCCTGATGTAAATGCAGGAATTTATCTTTTACTGTAAGATCAGGGTAGTACAGGTAAGGCCTTGAAATAGGAATAAGGCTGGAGGTTTCATTTTGATGATTACCGCAATTGTCGAGTTGCTTGATTTGTCCTGTGTATCTAGAAGTTTTTTTTTGTAGAACATGGAATTTGAATCTGCCGATATTGCTCTGCTCACAATGGGGACGTAGCATGCATGCAATGGCCATGGCTGACATATGATGATATGAATGTAGCCATTGCTTGGTAAATCTGTTGCACACCGGTTGGAAAAATTGTCAAGAGTATGCTGTCTGCCGACTTGAATTGAATCTTCAAGACGAGCAAAATAACTTGGTACCACCGATGCTAGCTATAGCACTGAATGCATGACCCTGCAAGCTTTTGCTCTTCATGATCATGCAGACGTCAACCTAGCTACCTGGAAAGCCATCCATCCTTATTAAGTGCCATGCAGCTACCAGCAGTGGAAGTTGGGTCGCATGCGGAGGCCAGCGGCTGCAGCTGCAGTGGCAATAGTACTAATTAGTTAGAACACGTGTGCTGAATTTCGTAAATGTCGTTCTCAGAGTCAGAGTCTGTGTAGATGTCTACCTCTCATTTGACATCTGTCGGAAGCAACAATGTGAAGGAGGATCCGTAAGACCTTGATTCTCACTTCCTCGGTCCGTCAATTCCGTCAATGTGAACATTTTGGCTGCATTAATATTAATGCTGCATTAATGCCCCCTTCTATAGCCTACGAAGGGTTTATTCCATTTTTGGGAGCCAAGAAGAATCTCTTTTTGCATCAAAAACCAGTGATCTTTTCATATTCACCTCCGACGGGGATACTTTATATACTCAGGAACTCGTAATCTGTACTTACGTGTCCAGGCCTGTTCGCTGCGAACTCATAGTGATCTGAACAGGAGTAGTCCTCCTTCGTTTCTAGTGCTTGTTGGCATACATAAGCCAAGGTGAGCGGATCAAGTATTGTAGTCCGTCAACTTTCCAATTAACACACAAGTGCTAGAACCCTGGACGTGCAGACCGCAATGGCAGTGGCAGTGCAAAAGGTGAACCCTACCACAGATCACTTTCATTTTCCCATACTCTAAGCCGTGGAAGGCTTCGATCCAAGGGAATGTCTGATGTCAGACATTCCCTTGGACACTAAGTGTCAACAGTCAGTTCATCTGCATTTGATCGATGTAGGTTTCTGGAGATCCCAGGCGGCCAGGAGAGGTTAAGAAGTACAAACTGCCCCCTAAACCTGCCAGTTCAGCCGACATCCTCACTGTTCTGGGGTCTTTGGCGGGAGTAGCTTCCATACTATTGAAGGTTGGGCCCATCGCCGCCGGTGCATACTCATTTCGTGGAAAGCATCCAGACTAAGCCAGCCCCTATTTTAATTGGTTGCAGGTCAAAGCAGCAGCTTGGATTGCACTTGTATGCTGTTTGGCCTCTGTGGCCAATATGAAATCGGGAGATCTTGGTGGGAAGCACATCTTAACGTCCATCATGTGAGGCTCCTTCGACCAGGCATTGCTTCTATTTACTGTGAAATGGGAGAGCGTATGCATTTGCGTCTGTGCCCTTGAAATGGGAGAATAGATCAAGGGACAGCTGGGCGCTTTGGTGTACACTGCCATTGGCACAGCTGACAGGAGACTGTGTTGATCCATGCAGGTTTGCAGTATTCTGCCTGTTTACAATCTACCAGCAGGCGCTTCTAGTTCCTACACCACCACCGCCCTCAACCTGATCATGGATGAAGGGAGTCCGCTTGTTGACCGGCCTCAAGTTGACTGAAATGTTTTATCTGGAGAGAAATTCTCAGCTGTGCTGTTAGCCAGCTAATTGCAAGGACCTCCGCGGTCTGCGGCAGTCTGATTTCACATCCTCACTACTGAATTAGGGAAAGAGGAACTCGAATGCAGACATTATCAGATTAAACCATGACAGAATAAATCCAATTGTAATATTAAATTTAACAACGTTTTGATGCAGCCCTTTCTCCAATACTGGCGCCCGCGATGCCTTCATTTCTAGAAGAGAGTTTGCGTCTCTCTTCTCTTTGTTTGCAAGACTCTTCTGCCAGAGTCTCAGACACAACAGAGATCCCAAATGCTGAACCAATCACCATAACTGTGACAGCTACACGGACACCACTTGAACAACATGACTGAAACAAATACTTCTCAGAGGACCTCCCGCTGCAGGCGTCTCGTGAAAACTTTACGAAAACAGTACATTGCCCGGAAGGGCCTGTACAACAAGGCGTGATACAAATCATGAAATGTGGCTCGAATCAATCTCACCACTCGTTCATAATCCTTATATCTCAGCGCATTTGATGAACTTTTAAGCTTCCACAGCAAGCATTGACTTTGGGCTATGTTCCAAGCCAAGCATGCTTCCACTGGACCTCTGTAGGGCCCAACCAGGCGAGAGGGCAACCACTTCACCAATGACGATGAGCGTGGGTGACTTCAGCCGGGCAGCGGCCACATCTGCGGCGAGCATGCTCAAGGGCGCAAAGACGGTGCGCTGCTCTGGTGTGGTACCCCGCTCTATGGCAACAGCGGGCATGCCAGAGTCACACCCCGCCGTCTGCAGCTGCTGCGCCAGCTTTGGCAGGGTGCCCAAGCCCATGTACACGACCAGGGTTGTGTGCGCGTCTGTGATGGTGTCCATTGAGGCGTCCAGCTCCTCTTCGCCGCCCTCCCTCGAGTGGCCCGTGAGGAAGCGGACGCTGGTGGCAAGGCCTCTGTGCGTCATTGGTATGCCCAGGTCGGCACAGATGCCAGAGGCAGCAGTGATCCCTGCATTCAACAATTACCAGGTTCAATACTGGCACCTATTCCCAGCTCTCTGGCTGATAAATAATCCCATACGCACGAGAACATACTCCAATAGAATTGCTGTTGCAAATTCACAGCTGTATCCATGCTCAGGCCTTAAATTTTATAATATGAGCTATGCGCTGTCACAGCCTGCGTGAGCACATAAAGGTATGTTACCTGGCACGCAGTGCACTGCTATTCCACGATCACGCAGGTACTCTGCCTCCTCACCCCCTCGCCCAAAGATGAAGGGATCTCCACCTTTCAGCCTCAGAACTGTGGATCCCTTCTCCGCAAATTGGCAAAGCAGGGCATGAATCTCGTCCTGTGACCGAGTGTGCAGCCCTGCCTCCTTTCCCACATAGATCATGTTGGCTCCCGCATGTACAAGCCGCAGGATGTCGTGAGACACAAGCCTGAATCGCGCAAAATGTTGTTTTTAGAGGGAGTCTTCTTAGTGCGCCAGGTGTTCAGTGCTAGGTCACTGACAGCCCCAGACAACAGCCTTGAATAGTGGCTATGACACGCACCGGTCATACAGAACGACATCTGCGCTCTGCATCAGCTGAACAGCCCGCAGTGTTAGCAACAATGGATCACCAGGACCGGTGCCCACCAGATACACGCTACCAGGCCCTGACCCTGGGGCACACACACGAATGAGTTGAATCTGCCTCATCTGCGACGGTCAATTGGAACAGACACAACCAGCAAGCAGTTGAAGTGAAAGATCAGCATCCTAAATTGTACCTGTGGCCCTCAATTCTTTACGGTTTGCCAAAATTGCTTCCGGAGAGAGACGACTGAGGTCGGCAAACTCGCCGTTGGTGGCACCGTTGGTGTTGCTAACTGTGCAAGAGACTGGACATCGTCGAGTATACAGTCTCCCGCACGAGGGAAGCAAAGGCAGCAGAGAGGTCAGCTGAGGTGGTGATTTGTGCAGGTGCTGCTGTAAGGACCCAGAGTTGAAGGACACAAACTGGAATGCTTGACACACCATCGGATCTAGTCAAATATGATACGCACTTCCGAGCTGAAAGTAATGACGTGAGAAGCACATCGCACCGCCTTCTCGTTGTCGAGCCATGTGACTGGAGCCCAATGAGGCGAAAGGGGCAGCCTAAAAACCTGTGGTAATCGTTAGTCATCAGCTTGCCAAATCTGGCTACTGCATGCATTGCTCTGACAAGCTCTCCAACCACAGAGCCAGATCAAAAACATTAGACCCATGTTGGCGATATGATGGAGCGTCAAACGATGGTGGGCAGCAGCACGAGTTTGCTTCAATATTGCAGACCGACACTGCGCACTTCTGCTTTCCGATCAGCTTTACCAAGGGGCAAATTCTGCGTTAGAGCTAGTGGTGATGAGGGCGCCCAAAGCAACAGAAGGTCTGGGACTATGAAATATTATCCATTCAAATACGTCTGATGGTTTTGTCCAAATTGAGCAAAGCACACGAAGTAAAAAAAGCACAGATCACCCAGATCACTGCAGGATGCCTTTATTCCTGCAGAATTGGGTGCCATGAGATGCTGATGCAAATGACGAGGAACCAGTATCATTTTTGCAGGAATGTCAATGATGGGATGTATGAGCGATACTTCACGTCTTATGAACAGGGAGGTGCTCCTGAATGGATTGAACGTCGGGATTATCGCGTCTCTCTTCACGTTTGGGGCCGCTCCTCGCCCCAATGCACTCGGAGTCAAGGACTACAGTGGGTTCAAGGCTCTTGGATTATGTCCAAGCACCGAAAACTGCGTCAGTACAGCTGAGGAGGCCAATGACATAGCACACTTCATTCCTCCATGTGAGTGTTGGTCCCTGAACACGTCATCATTTACCAGCAGCGTGTGACCTGCTAGGTGCATTGACATGAAATGGTCCCTGGCGCTTGATTGACGCTGAGGTGCGAAAGCATCTGTTGCATGACATATGTGCTTGGGCAATGTTGCAGGGACTTTCAATTCCGAGGAGTCCAAGCGCAAAGGACTCAAGAAGACTCAAGCTGAGGCAATGGAGGAGCTTGCCAGTGTGGTGCGTTGTTGGAATGGATGGTTATCCCCTTTTTCTGTCCACGCATTCGCCAGACTTGATAAGTGCAGACTCTGCAAGGCTCACTCTCATTCTCAGCGTGGTGTGAACTTAAGAGGATGTGTGTATCCTTGCAGGTGTCCAGTCTCAAGCCTGACAATTTTGAGCCTCGAATTGTGAAACAGACAGATAGCTACTTATATGCGGAGTACCAAAGCCCAACGTTCGGGTGCTGGCATTCACATCCTTGTTTTCCTTCCCTTTCCTTTCTTTCCTATCCCCTTTCCATGTCATGATATGACATTCCCGTTTGTTGATGACACAGGTTTATTGATGATGTGGAATTCTTCTTCCCTGGCAATGACAGAGTGGAATACAGATCTGCATCCCGCATTGGAGAGAGTGATGGCAAGGTCAACAGGAAGCGCATCAAGGCACTTCGACAGGTATTCCTCACAGCATTTCTGATCATTCCAGCAGATTTGCTAATCTGTGAAAGGCTGGGTCTAAGATCGTCTGTGGCGGTTGATGCAGGCTCTAGAAAAGAAGGGCTGGGAGTCAGTTGGATTCTAGAATCATGCAGATGCTCACAGGAGCTGCCAGACTCATGTGCAAATTTGATCTTTCATCATGAATGTTTCATGCGCTGACGATGTACCGTATGTATCTAAAAGATTAACGGGAGGGAACTGTAATATTGCTCTTTCTTGAGAGCTTGAGAGCTATAATCGGTCTGCAAAGCTTGCTCCGAAATGTCTGTTGGCCAACACAATTGCTCTTTATTCCCTTCTTATGAATGAAGGTTTTAGGTTATCACAATTGTAGTATTGCCTGGCTATATAGATAGATATTAAAGGTGGCCAAGTTTCAGGTGGACAAACTGGCCATGCAAAAGAACATCATCGACCTGTCAATCTTTATCTCTTGCACACTGCGGCCTTTCTTGAAACTGAGGGCTTTTCATGGCTTTGTAAATTTGGGTTTCCGGACAAATGGGTTGCCACCAGTCTCCTTCCTTTTCTCTCCGACAGTCTTTTGAGGACCGTCTGCTGATGCTTTGCCTTGTGAAGCTTTTTGCCCAGCCTCTCCGTTGTTGATCTTTTTCTCCCTGCAAGACAAGAAATGAAGTACTAATTTGACCCCGATTTAAATCCATCCTGCATAATAAATCAGCTAGAGCATCCTGAGACCCACACTGCTCATTTTCTTCCCAGAAACTTTGCTAAGTGATGATAAAAGCGCTTACCGTAGCATCTGGGAGCTCAGTGGGGTTTTGCTGGCCTCGAGTTCGTGGACAGTGTCAGTGCCATTCTCAGACTTCCCGGCAGCATGGTCATCATCCTGAAAAAATGCCAGCAGCTTAGTTTGCACTGTCTTTGCTCTGCACAACTGCTGTCTGTACTTGTTCTCTTGAAACAACACCAAGACAGAGGGGCTCGGACCTCTGCTGTGATGTCCCTCGGGCAGACACCCGTCAAGCTGCTTGCATATCTTGGGGCAAGGTAAGCATCCCTGTTGTCATCCTGGTTTGCCTCCTCTATCAGGGCTTGCACACGCTCAGCAAGCGCAGTCACCCTGCAAGCCGTGCCCGGGTTTTGAGACGACATGAGAATGTGCCTGCTTAACCAAAAAATTGAAAGCAACAACAGAGGCGTCACACCTGTGATGGGTGGCCAGTTTGAGCGCGCCCTGGAGAGAGGCAGGTAGAACAAGCTGTGCAGCCACTTCCAGGGCACGGGCAATCTTCTCAGCCTTTATTGCTGCATGGAAAACCCTCAGCAGCGCTTTGTCTGCATCCCTCTGGGCTGCCTCTATCTCATTCTCTGCGTCGTCTCTTGTTCCCTGTGCAGGAACCACACACTTTTATTCAATGAGACAGACATATTACTGTAAACTTTTTGGCCTGCCTTCCATTACACTGCCTGATCCACAGCACTGGCAAGCTCACCTCGAGGTCTTGCATGTGTGTGACGCAAACGTGCAGCCGCAATGCATCAGCTTCAAGCTGTGCGGAGACAGCATCCACGGCCACAACTGGGATATGCAGGGGCAGCACACTCAGCACAGGACGTGGTACAACCTGCGTGCATCAATTTATGCTCCTCTGCACAACGAATTCTTACATCAGGTCACACTCGTGTTTTTGGACAGTGTGCAAGTATGTGCTGAAGGCCCCAGTCACTACCTGGGGTCCAGACGCGCTGGCAGCGCTGATGATGCAGTAGATCTCTGATGAGCTGATGCCAATGGGCCAGCATGTCTGGTTTTCTGAGCACCCCTTCGACACCTCGAATACAGGGACCCAGCAGCCTCCATATACTGAGGACCGCAGACGCATCACGCCCTTCATGTCACACGCACTCTAGATGGTCAAACATTGCTACAGTGAATAATGAGGTTGATCCTTCTCCTTTGGGCTTCCTCAGTCTGTCCTTGAGCTGCACAATGACCCTATGGGGGATTGTAGACGCACCAGGGAGTCGTGAGTGGCAAGCATGCCCTCCTCGCTGAAGCCCATCCAGCTGAGACTGGACTGTGGGCTGAGGCAGAGCATGCCACTATGCACCAGCTCCTGCCCATCAACCCGATACAGGCTGTATGCCAGAGCCTGGTGGCCATCTTGGGCAGGCATGCCAGCATGCCACACGACAGCCACCAGGTTCCCATGCGCGGCCATAGCAACAACCCGCCCGGGAATGCTAGTGACGCTGAGCTGCAGGCCTGCCAGGACACAGAAGTTTGGTCACATCATGCATCATTCATGACTTCAGCAGGTCAGACTCCAGAGTCAACATGCAAGTCACACGAATTTGCTATAGATTGATCAGGACATGGCGCGTCCGCTTGCCTGCTGCAGAGAACACACGGAGCAGCTGCCGGGATGTGGCCACAGCGCAGAACGACTCTCCTGCTGCCACAGCGCAGGCCTCCTCCCCGGCTGGAAGACCGACTGTCCAGTCGCTGTTGGGCGCCCAGCTCTCAAAGGGTCGGTACATCACCATGGAAGGAGCATCCGCATTGGAGGTGCTGGCAAAGAGAGCGCCCTGGCTCCGCCATGCCACGCGTTATCAGACATTGCCACAGGACAGCAAGAGGAAAACTAGACAAAGTGCTTCACACTCTACTAGAAGGAGGCCAAGGGACGCACCGTTGCACCGAGGCTGGCCATGGAGAAATGATAAAAGTCATTCAGCAGAGGGACACGCTTCCGATGGCGCGAGGTGTCATGAAAGCTGACCTCCACCACACAGAACCCATCATCCTCCCTGCTGCTGATGCAGCCACTCACGTTATATGCCAGCCATCGACGCTTGCCTTCCCCTGACACACCAGAGAGCATTTGATTCTTCATCAAAATGCTTGACCACGATCAATCATAGACGACTTGGTGATCATTATAATGCTTGGATCGCGTCAGAAATTGTACCAGTGGGAGTTGAGCCAGGGTGAATCGGGTTCTGCAGCTTTGGCAGCTTTGGCATCCGCTGCAGAGGCCTTCCTTGGTATGCAGACTTGGGTTGCGGTCTAACCCTTGGCCCTGCCTCCATGGATCCAGCAGTGTCCCCAGAGAGAACTCCAGCATCATTGGCGCATTCAGAGTTTTCAGCTGGACTGGTGGACATTTCCATGTCTCCATCACCTGGTGAAATATGCCAAAGCGCATCAGGGCACGAATCAATGCACATGAGAGTACCAAGGATTTCGAAAATACAATGCTGTGCTGCACTCATAGTGGGAAACACTTATGGGTCGCACTGTGGCCCTCACCGTCAAGATCGGCTGTTCCATCGTCATGATTGTCAGCCTCTAGCCCAGGGGAGGGGTCGTCCATGTTTGCTGGTCGTGGCAGGTGCTCTGGGATCACATCACGCCAAAGGGTGATACAGCCGTCCTCACTGATACCCGCCAGGATGTTCTCCTCCTTGCCAGGATGCCAGGCCAGAGCAGAAAGGACAGCGGGAGCCTTGCATTTTGTAATTACGGATTTCTGGGACACATCCCAGATGATGACATCGTTGTCGCGGCTGGCACTTGCAATATAGAGGCCTGTTATGCACCAACTCACAGCTGCTTAATGCCTTTGACACTGAGTGTTTAGGGGAGCTACAATTGCTCAGAAAGAAATTTTGCAAAGTATACGACTTCAGGGACAATTGACATTGATCATACCGTTGGGAGAGAACTGCAGTGAATTGACTGGCGCTGTGTGCCCGTCAAGGTGCATGATGGGATCCCAAGACAGCTTCTCATAGAGAGTGATGCCATTGTTTGTGTCCGACAAGGCAAGAAGGCTCCCGTCCGGATGCCAGGCCAGGCCACAGCGAGCAGGTGATGCAGTGTCCACCTGCAGAGCACGCATGCTGAGATCTGCGGAAAAAAGAGGAAATTGGGATGACATTATTTTCTAATACACCCATTTGTGTGAAGGATATCCATACCTTAGGGGCTGCTTTTTGAAGACTGAAAGCAGTTCCTGTTGTGGTGTCCCAAATCTGAAGATGACCGTGTGCAGAAACAGATGCCAGGAACTTGCCGTCGCACTCATATGCCAGGGCTCGTGTGTATGGCCCGGCCTTGAGAGTTCGGAAGACCTCCACGACACATGAGCAGGCTTCAAGTGAAACACTTCCCGGGCTCTGTTGCTGGTCACATGACAAGTAGCACAGCCATGCAGCTGATGCATCAAGCAACTTTTGCGTTGCATACCTTGCTGTCGGAAACATTCACAAGTTTGATGCCGTCATCATCTCCTGCTGCTGCAATATTTGTGCCACTCGGGCTGAAAGCAACCGCTCGAACAGGCAAAGAGAACCTGGTTGCCACCTTGTCAAACTCCCCTGAGGGTAGCTTGAAGACCTGCAGAGGGCAACAAGAACACTAAATGGGGTCGCACTGTGGGGATAGCTACTTTTGTATGCAGTTGGCCCAAAAGAGTATTAAACAAGATGGGGGGCAAACCTTGACAAAATTCGCATCGTCGCCAACCGCCAGAATCTTCCCCACAGGATGCACCGCCAAGCAAGTCAGCTTCGCAGTCTCATTCTTTCCAAGCAGCCTCGTTGTCGCGCTTGCTGGGTCTGTGACCAGTAAATTACCATCGGCTCCACAACTGAACAGCTCAAACGCGGTATCGGATGGCATCCACGCGAGATCAGCCATACCGTCACCATGCAGCATGACACCATCAATTCTTTCCATGGTCAGCCGAACTGAACCTAAGCAGCTCACATCAACACTTGAACTTGAAACACACTATACACTGAACGCATGTAGATTTAATTTCCTTGCAATGCGTACGTAGATATAAGAGAGAACATACACCTATCAGATGGTGCATCAGGTAGATGTCTTCTTGGCTTGTCTTCTTGGCTTCCTGCTCACAACCGGTGACTCATGAGGCCAGCGTATGCATGGTGAGTCATGCCTTGCACAATGTTGCATCCCGTCCACTTCGACCGAGAACAATTGATACATTAGGACTTGGTTGTCTTCAAATCTGGAGATCATTCACTAGGGAGGTTTACTGGAGCTTGGGGTTTGTGCGCATGGATGGGCACCTGATGGGCATCCAGAGCAAGAAAGACGGCAAACGCAAGAGATCGTCGAGTGAAGTTTCCCAGACCCACGATGCCAAACGAACAGCAAAAGGGGACACCATCAAGAATGGGCCCTCAGGAGATATGGCCAGACGTCGGCAGGAGATCAGGAGACTATATGAGAGCTATCTCTTGCTTTCTTCCAAGGCATCAAAAGGCGACCTCAGAGCCTTTGAACATCTGCTTAGTAGAACCAAAGGTCTGCATCTTAAGCAAGCACCAGTCGATAGCCCATGCAGGGGAATCACTGACACTCATGAACAGCAACTTAGTTCTGACTAGTAAGAATCTGGCCAGGATCCCTTGGAGAACAGCGATTGGTTTCGACTCTTATTCCCAGTTTCGCAGCGAATTTCCCCGACAAAGCAGATGCTGCTGTGAGCGGCCTGATACACTTGTCCAGACCTAGTGCAAGCTGGGAGACCGAGCCTGCGCTTGCTGAAGCGTCCTGCCTCAGTGCCCTGGAAGGTCTGGGGACTGTGTGCAAGGCTGCTGCTGAGACGTCCCAGGAGAGGGCTGTCATGAAAGGCGCAGAATTCCTACTAAGGTGTGTGTTTTGCATTCTTGTGCGCTTCCTTCACGCACATGTTGTAGCCACTCAGAATCTAGACCTGACCGTATCGTAAATGTGTATCAGGGACCTCTCCCTGTCAATGTCAGGCAGGCCGGACTCGCAGCAGCGCCAACGGGGATCTGAGCAGGGCAGGCAAAGTCAGGAGGCGTCACGGGCCAAGGCATCTGTGATGACAACCGCCTTGAGTGCGATCTTCAGGACAGCCCCTCAGAAAGTCCTCTCTGCCTGCTTGCGTGGGCTTCAGAAGGGACATGGGGATCTCTTCCATGGTGCAAAGCGCTTCATGTCTGATATCCTCCTAAGACCCTCTGAGGCAGATGCCACAGAAGCCAATAGGCAAGGGGCAAGTACTGCTGATACAGACTCACAGGGCAACTGCCTGGCAGCCGAGGTGCTGCAATCAATGCCCCATGTGCAGCACTGGATAACGGAGTCCATCTCCAGCTCGCAACAACATGCAGGTAAAGATACATGTTCAGTGTGCATGTCAGCAGGAGTGTAACTACGTTTTCAGCCTGATTGAATGTGGCAGCAATTCTCTGAAGCTGAGGCACTACAAGAGTTGCATGCATTGTGCAGGGAGCCCCTTGAGCAAAAGCACAGGAGAAGCTGGGCAGATGTTGACCCTCTTACTGCAGGCGCTTCCACCGGTCGCACCAGGCAGTGAACAGTGGCCAGCAGCAAAGCCGTTTCTGCCAATTTCTCCTGCAGATGCAAGAGAGGATGTGCAGCCGCGCCCATCCCCACTCGCCAGTCCCTTTGCTGGGCAGCGTGAAGGTGCATGCAGGTATGGCAGGTCCATCTTTTTCTCTGGCGCTCATACTGGACCTGCTCCTTGATCAACAATGGGTACTAATCCAAATGTGGTGGTATGCAGACCTGGATCCTTCTCGCTTGAGGGCTTTTCGCTAGAGGCGAGCGGGCAAACTGATCCGCAAGGACAAGGACAAGTCCTTGCAGATGACGGTGGGGCACGTCCCCACTTGTAGTTGTCACTTGAATGAATATAATTTGCTGCATGCCAATCTCAGGAGCTTTGGGCCGGTCCTGTGTGCTTTTAGACAATCACTGGGATGAATGGAGGGGATTATGCTCCAGGGAGTGAGAGGGCGAGTCACGTCGCGTTGCCTACCGTGAGCATTGATCCCCAGCAACTGCAGCCTGGCGGAGACGTGTGCTTGGCTTCGTCAATCTTGTGGTTGACTGGGATCCCACCAGGCCTATCAGATGCTGCCATAAGGGCAGAGTGCAGTTCTTTTGGCACGGTTGTGGACGTGCTGCAGCCCACAGCTCCTCGTGATGAAGCATTTGTGGTCTTTGCTGACATCAGGTTTGCATCGCCACCTTCCAGGCCTGTCCTGCCTGTGCATGGGTATGCTCTTTCAATTCTGTTTGTTTTGCCAGTATTGATTCAAGGACGTTTGATGAGCTCAGTATGCACGACTGCATGCAGGGATGCAGCATGTTGCTATGAGGCAATGTGCGATGCGCCCGTGTGGGGTGCACAGCGATCCAATGTCAGATTCTGCAAAGTACCAGATCAGCCTTCCGGGTGAGAGACATGAAAGGCTTTGACCAGTTTTGCAGCCATCTGGTGTCTAAATTGTTTGCCAAGATTGTTAGGGCGCATGGTTCACCACCGCAGAAGATCTCATAGTAGTCCTTGCATGAGGAAACCATCCCAACGCCTCCCACCCGCATTTTGCTCGAGCTGGTTCTATCCCAAGGAGCAAAATCTGTTTATGTGCATAACATGAGCTTTGGTGCATGCACAGGGTTGATGGAATGGATGGCAAGGTGCATGTGTGGGTGGGTGGAGTGGGCAGCCCCCGTGGCGAGGAGGGGGTGCTTAGGAGGCTGGTTGATGAGGGTGTTGCAGCGCCTGTCAGCATACTGCGAGTGGCTGGGATCAGGCCAGGCCTCATCCTGCAGTATCCGACTGTCTCACAGGCAACGCCCCTTTGCGCCCTTTTTCAGTGGTGCCCGTTCATGCAGTGTTTCAGTCATTCGTGGACCAACCACAAGCTTGGTCAGATACTTCTTGATGATTCAATGACATGGCAACGGCAATCTTTCATGCGTTCGGTGTCTCTTACTTATTCACCCAAAACTGATCCATGCAGGGTGCCAAGGCAGTGCAAGCGCTGGACCGTGACGCTGCATCCCAGGGCAGAGACCCACCCGCATCTGCACCACTATCTGGGCCTCCTCTGGGAGGTGGAAGCCGCACCCTTTGGGTTGGCCAGGTCAGTGCCAGTGTCACTGGCGCACTGTGTGATCCAATTAGTGCTTTCAAAGGTGTATTAACTGCCCTGCCCATTTGGCCCGGGAACAATATGAGCACGGAACACTGCGTCAATTGCTTGAAACTTGCGAGTCCAATAAGGGGTATATTTTATGGCCAGCCTTGATTTAGAGCTGTAGCTCTCTGCACATGCACCTTGCCTCTTGTTGCAGGAACAGCATAGAACAGTACTGTAATTGTGAACATAACAAGAACTCCGGCATGCGACCATTCTCAGCCTTGCTTCTACAGCGGTCCCTGTTGTCCTCAAAAGGCTTCTTAATCTGCGGCAGGTGGGTCCGGCGGTGAATGAGGACAGGCTGATAGCTGCCTTACGGGATTACGGCATGGTCACGGGATGGAAATTCCTGCGCCGCTCCAACTGCGCCTTCATAGACTTTGACACGCCGGGCTCTGCAGCAGCTGCCTTGGAGGCCCTGCAGGGTGCCAACTTCAATGGGTCTCATGTTCGAATTGAGTTCAAGGACGAGAGGGGCCAGTCAGGGTCTCACTCGGGGGGACGAGGCCACCCGCGTGGAGGCAGGTTCCCTCCATCCCCTGGCCGGCCTGGCTGGCAGCCAAGCCACAGGAGCAGCGGCCCTCGTGGAGATTCACCGCCAGTCAGGCAAGCACTGCAACCATTTCCTGGGAGCCACGATGAGAGAACGAAGTTTGTCACAATGTACAGATGCCTGTTGTGAAGGTGAGAAAGATCTGTTAATCTTCCTGAAGCAGAGCAAAGATAACTGTGGGATGAAGTTCAAGGATTTGCTTGCTTGGAACAGGAGACCGCGCTTTGCAAGGGATAACTCACCACAGCTTTCCTGGCCACCAGCATTATCGGATCAGGGGCCCCCATCACGTGTCCCAGTCCCAGCGCGAGCTTTCTATGAGCCGCATGGGTCCATGTCAGGTTGGTGAATCAGTCCGAAACCTCTTGACGACATCGAGATTGGATCAGCAGCTGGTCTGACATCCTTTGCGTTCCAGTTGAGGTACAGCACCATATCATTATCTTACAAGCCACGTCCCCTGCGCAGGAGAAATGAAGAGGGGAAGGAGCTTTGCTGATCATTCTTCGCCAGCCCAGCCTTATTCTGCAAGACTGGATGAAAGGCTCTCGGTGTCCAGCAGAAGATCCGGCAGAGTCTCAAAATGGGATGCCCCAGCAGGCCTCGCAGATACAGCTGCTGAGCACAAGCAAGAGACATTGCCTGGGCCGCCTACCAGCCTGCAGAGGAGGAGCTCTGTAGAAGAAGGTGACTGGTGTTCCTTTGTGATAGTGAAATGCCTGACACATGACGGCACAAGATGGCGTCTAAAACTTTTGTACGGTATATGCAGGGCAAATTTCCATGCCTGCGGAACCCCCGGCACTCACCTCAAGGCCCTCCAGCGTGGACGGTGGAACATGGCCGCGATGGAAGGGCATGCTGGCCAAGAGCGGCAGCCCCGTCTGCGAGATGATCTGCACCGCAGAAACCAGCAGCTCTGGTGTGTGGCTCTGCCCTCCATTGCTGTACACCTAGCTTTCTCACTCGACCTGCGATCAAGTGTCTTGGGCGCTTATGCTTTGCCAAGCGGTGCAACTCATGTGACTGTATCACATTGTCTTTTTTTTGTCTGTTTAATGGAGATCACGCGAGTATTAGAAGGGATGCCCTGCTGATTGCATGAATGCTGGTGTGTGGACAGTGCGTGAGCTGCAGAGCTGGCCGGGCACCCTGGATGTGACAGTGCGCGCCGACCTGAGCTACGTGCTGAGCAACGTCTCTGCCATGAGCGCCGTCCTGTGCCTGGCTCCAGCCCCCCAGCCCGATGCTGATCGGCGCACGCGGCAGCGCGGCATGTTCATCGATTTCATCAACAACCTGTCCAGTCGCTCGCGGGCCGGGGTGGTGCAGGGCCTGACAGCTGTCGACCCTGTGGCTGGCCCCCGAATGCTTTACCTGGTGCCGCCATCTGTGTCAGTGGCAGAGCGCCTGAAGGTGGTCTGGGACCACAAGGAATGCGTCTTTGCTGTGGTCATGCCTGCTTCGTTCAGTTGATACTACCGCTAAATTCTGCAAATGCGCTTGGCCATCCAAAAGTATTACAACCAACTCGGATCTGTACACCAACTTGCTTCTGTTGCTTGGACTCGCGGTGTGGGCATAGTCAAAACCAGTGAGCGTTGTGATCAACGGATCTAATCTTTCCTCAAGGGATATTCTTTCAGTAAGGTCCACGAGCAGAGTGTATTGTCTTCTGTTGGCGTTCTCCACAATGTAATGCTGTCAATGGGCATTGCTTGAGACAAAACCTCCTCCTCCTTCCCGAGTCGTTCCATTTCAGCATCAACAATGGATTCCCTGGATTGCAAAATATGCTGTTGGGGATCCGCCAGGTCAATCTAATGCAGACAAATCCCGTAACTCCATAAGTGGATGCTAAAAAAGACGCACCTCGTGTCTTGATCCATATCGGAGTAGAGGAGTGAGATATGAGGCATGTAGTCACTGAGATCATCATTGTGATTGAACGCTTTCCTTATGGAAGCAGCAGCTTCCATCAGGGGCTTGTCTCGCTGACACAAGATATACACGCATTGATGAAATAGCTTGCCGGCAGCAGGTTTGGTCAATTCCACAGAAAAAGCCTGCAGAGTTGAAGGACAAGTGCCTGAAGAAAGGTCTGTTTTCTACATGAACGCCTTGGAAAATGTTATTCAATAATCCAACACATCACCTTGATTTGATTTGCCACACCCTCACTTCTTTTCAAGACGAACTCCTCGGAAACGTTGGAAATTCCTCCGAGCAACGTGATGTGTGGTGTGAATTTCGGTGCATTGTGTGCTGAGGCTAGCTGATTAATTTCCTGCTGCAACTTATGTCGTACAGAACCTGCGAGGAAGCTGGTTTCAATCCTCCACTGGAACCCAGATCACTATCGAAACCATGAACGTCAAGATGCCGCACCTTTCGGCTCTGCCCAAAGAGAGTAGCTCATGCTTGACAAAGACGAAAGGAGTTGAGACACTTCCAACTGAATGACAGTCAATCCCGAATGAGAACTCCAACACTCGCTTTTGGAGTTCTCATTCTCATTCAATATCCTGACAGGGCGTCTAATAGATATGACGTCATTGACGTGTCAGCTCAAAATTGAAAATTTAAACCTTGGAAATCCACTTTCCTCCTTCAAATATTTTCTCAAAGAATCAACATACTGTGGATGAAATTAGTGACATTACAGCGATCTGACCATACCATGCATAGTGCCAAGTTGCACCGCATGTATGCACCATACATTTAGTCACTGTCACCCGACACTGCCAGTGTTCAACAGTAGCTTTGGCAACTTGTAACTTCAAGTCGGCAACAGCCTGTGTGCTGGGAGCAGACTACCGTTGGTACTATGGTACGTCCTACAATATATTACATTTGCACTTCAAGCGGAAAATGTTCACCTTCAGAGTGGCATGTACTAAAGCCTTCAGCAGGGCACGTACACATCAAGTGCAGGAGGTTCAAACCAGGTCTGAAGTGCACTGGTGTGTTGCCAGGCAATTCACAATTGCCAGTGGCCAATGTGTTTCCAAGACTGCTGACATGCGGAGATGCTGTGTAATCAATTCACAAGTACAACCTAGTGTCCAAGGAAACTCCTGCAAGAGGCCTGCATGGTCACAATCGCCTTGTGCTCCTCACATCAAGTATGGTGGCCCGAGCTCGAAGAACAGCCTCTCTGAAGTGTCCATCGATCACTGCGGTGGGAATTCCCATTGATGTTTCCCTCAGCCATGAGATCAGAGAATTCAGGGACTCGGGCGAAGGCCAATCTTTGGCCGTGTCCCCCTCAGGCTGCTGGGCGGCTGATCGCTTGCTGTTGAGCCCCGCAGGTTTCCGTCTATCCTGCTCCCAGTAGAGCTTTGCCTTTGTGTATGTCTGAAAGATCCTTCCATAAGGTGATTGATAGACCTTATCTGTGCCAGACATGTAATTTATCACCACATGCCCAAAGATGTGCTTTGTCAAGATCTCTCCAGAAGTCCAGTGGTTTATGCCTCTTTTCAATCTTGTCATACATGCAATGAGGAGAGGGTGGTGCTCACATTTTCTGCCGTCTCCAATTACTCTGTAAAACACCTTCCAGCCTTTCGGCAGAGGTCCTGCTGGCATAGGCGTGTCATCATCCACTCCTTGAGATGCACCATTCTGGCGATCTGTTCGCCCACCCTTCTGAGAGCTGATGTGTTCAAGCGCTGCTGCCGTGCCTGCATTGCGTCTCCTCTTACTCGCACGCTCTCCAACACGCAAATCCTGACACTCTGACGTGAACACTATTTTCAAATCCTGTTGGGCCTGTGGCTCTTCTGTGACGCCCTGGTCTGCAAAGCACTCCACAATAGATATCAAGTCCTGTCCTGACAACACTACATCGCTCTCTGGAGCACCGAAAGATAGGTACATCTGCATTTTCGGAATAATCTGTAAAATTATTTCTCACTTATACCTCATGAAGCTCTTCTTGGGCATTTCTCGGACTTCTCATTATATCCCCATAAACCCTACCACGTGCACGAGGGATTCAGGTTAGGCCTCTGAAACGGAAGAGGGCTCAATATTTTATGGCAGGGAATCCTTAAATGGCTGTCTGCAACATATATGAAACTTTGTTTTTCATTATTGAATTGTAGCCGTCATCGTGGCATGGAAGATGTTCACAAGCCCACATCAAAAGTTTCTCGACACACTGATCAAAGCCTTTGCTTATGCCAAATGTGGTGCAATTGCAGATTGACAGATCGTCAGAACAACGTATTTCACGCTTGTGATCTTTCGTGAGTGGAATCCGTCTGGCAAAAATGGTGAAGGCTGGCAGGTCGAGGCCTCCCCACAGCCCTGCCAAAGTTGTGGAAAAGCCTGAAAACCGTCTTAAACGAAACACTCCCTTTGTCAGCAATGTAAGGTTTCGCACCAGCCTGCCGGAGGTGAGTGCCGAGTTCTCGCCTTGTGGTATAGTGCTTGCCATACAAGCCAGCATCAACACTCGAAGCAAAATGGGGGCTGTCCATCAATGTGCAGGTGCCGTGCGACCCCAAGATGCTGGTTGCAGTGCTTCAGCCGGACAAGCTGTCACAGTTCAATATCACCACCCTGGAGCAGGAAATGCGGCAGGACCTCATCCTGGAGAGCGGTGTGGGCATCCCGCTGAGTTTGCTGGATACGCAGCGCTATGCTGTCCCAGACATCGCCCAACCATTGGCTCCAGAGGATGCTGCATTAGTCATGGTATGCCTGCATGGACGAGTTGCAGTGCTGATCTGCATGCTGACTGTTTGGGAGGGCGCCTGTGTATCTGCTTACATGATGGACATTGGTGTGGCAGGGCCCGACAACAGAAGAGGGACCGGGGGCTACAAAGAGAAGGGAGAGATTGCGTGGCGAGGGAACGGAACTGTCTTGGCTCATGCGGACCACCTACATTGCCAATGACATGGAGGAGCGCAGGCAGCAGAGGAGTGCAGAGAAATCCGGAGTGGCGGCCACTGAAGACGAAGCCATCGATCGCGATGCGCAGATTGCTGCGATTGAGGTGGATCTGTCCTTGCTGCGCTCACACTCTGTGGTTTTATTTGCTGCACATCCCTGATTTAGAGTGTTTGAAGGTGAGCTAAGTTGTTCTGCTGACCACGACAGGCAACCTTTGAGGAAGCAAGGGCCCCCCCAACACACATCCGAGATCCCAGCCTGACTCCTGTGGAGATCATGCCCGGTATGAGCAGCCCCTATGTCTCTTGCTCCTCGGATTCCGCGTCTCAGCTGACTTTCAAATTTCACTGAGTTTGCTGGGTGGCTGCAGTCCTCCCTGACCTTGACAGATTGGGGAACATATACGTGCGCATGGCGTTTGATGGAGAGCCAACAGCTGATCATGACAGGCTCGCAAGCCTCCCACCAGACAGCGTGAAGCGATTAGCCGGTGAGCTTCAGATACTTGCAACTGTGATGAACAGCTCTAGTTCAAAACCTTCCATGTCTAGAAGTTGTGCTGACATTGGGTTTCTCTGCTGCGTAGAACACGCGATCATGAAGTCCTTCACTCTGAACAGTGACCAGCACGGGAAGGAGCAGAGATTTGTGGCATACCTGCTGCCTGAAGAGGATCCTGTTCAGCGCAATGCTGATGAGCCATCCTCGAGCCGGTGTGCACTGGTGCCTCACCCTGCACACATTCTGCGTTTGTTTGTTGGGAGTACTTTGCATCCCCTAATCTGGCACGCATGTTGAGGCTTCTGATGATGCATGGGAGCAGGGATGATGCTGAGGATCATATCTCCTATGAGTGGATCAGGGAATACAACTACAAGGTTCACAATGATGAGGACCATAGCACCTTTTGGTTCTATTTCGACAAGGGCCGTGTGACCTTCACAGACCTTGACACAAAGCTGTCTCTGTTCAAACGTGGCAAGCAGGCCACAACACAAGCCTTTCAGCGACCATCAGGGGTAGGGCCAGCCCGGTCATGTGATCATCTCTTTGTGAAGACACTGCAACCCATACAGTCACTGCCTTGATCATGTATGAGCAACGCAGTCCCTGAAGCAGTCATGTATCTGGCAGGTCACATTGAAGAGACGGAAGGAGAGGAGTTCTGAAGAAGATGAGACAGCAAGACAAAGGATGCAAAAATTGACTGCAGACGATGTTCAGGAAGATTGATGTTGTCTTCTGAAGACATGTCGAGCTCATGTGCAAGTTGCAGCCACACTTCATGCATAAGATTCATCCATACGGATCTTGATCAATACACTGGTTGGTTGATCATTTTTTGCTTTCATGAGAGGGCTTACGACTGCATGCGTCTGACTTCATGCAAGTTTTTCTGTTGTCTTTAATAGCTTTCAAACTAAGGCAGTAAACTAGTGACATGATGCATGCATGAAGCCACTGATCAAACCGCAGATAAGCTTCACGGATGGTGAGCACGTTGTCATGCGTGCATACATGGAATGCACGTTCCATACGTACTTTTCCACAAGCGTGTTGCAAGTACGTATACTTGCAAGTACCACTAGTGAGGATATATCGATACACTGGCAACTCCTGTGTTCGTATTACTTATATAAACTCCCACACAGTTGTCCCCAACACGTCAATGGGAGTGCATTTGCACTGCCAGGCTGCGCTGATTTTTTGTAGCCGCACTAAAAATAACGCAGCGGCTGCGCAGTTGTTTGAATGGAGCGGTGGCATCGTATGGTGGCACAAGACGCCAGCTATATGGACCGGGGAGTTGCGCTTGCATTGCCCATAAATGGATCCACAAAATTCCTAACACAAAGACACATGCCCTGCATGTTGCATGCCTCACTGCATAGTTCATGCTACTCTTCAACAAGGTGGAAACATTTCCTGAAGCAATCCTGATCTTGCAGTTGCACTAGGCAAAAAGTGCAAAAATCCTGTGTGTTCCTTTACTCCAATCGTTGCCACAATTTTCCTCTATAAGTTGTCTTGATGTGTGCGCATTCATCATCAGAGCTGTCTGAAATGGTGGCATCAGACAGCAATCCTGCTTCCCGCCCTTCCAAAATGTACCGTGTCACCTGAACAATCCCAGAAACCATCTTAAAAGTCATATGAGGCTCTGAAAATAAGGTAAGTGCGAGCCTGACCAGCCTCACCTCTCGTATAAGAGGACAGATGGGAGGGCAACTGTTGGGATCTGCAGCTGGGTCAAGCCAGAAGAGGACGCCGCCCCCAAGACGACGCCCACTACTGTACCTCAGATATTGCCTGCTTTTCCCTGTGAGCCACAAGTGGAGTCAATGCATGCACCGACTGCGCATTAGTGCTTTGCAACTGATGTTGCATCCTCTTCATGTTGATGTATTGAGCACATCAGACTGGCAGACGACACGCCTTTCACAAGGTCCCGGACTGCCTCTCTGAATAGCTGCTGCCCGGTTGCTTCTCGGAAAGTGATGCCGCATGCCTTCTCATACATGCGCATCCATCTGCCCTCCTTCCTTGCCTCATTATGCCAGGCGGTACAGACGCAAGCAGAGACACCCAAGGAGCAAGGATCCAAGCGGTCGAACACTGCTTCCACTAGCTCAGGCGCCAAATCAGTCCAGGCAATTCCTTCACCATCTACTGCACCTAACACCCTTGCTGCTCGCTTCTGCTCCTTAATGGCCTCTATTGACTGAGTTTTGACAAGCCGTTGCAGTTGTTTTTTCTTTGCTTGTGGCAGCACTTTCACAGCCGCTGAGACCAGGCCTTCGCAGGCATCTGCATTCCTTCCTGTCCTGTGCAACCATTGACACCCAGGAGCATTAAGATCATACACTCCGGTGTGATGCAGTCTCTGCCAACAAAGACACTAGTCCAAACCTACCCGTCGCACAGGCTCACAGCCATCATCGTGTCTCTGAAAAGTACATCCTGTAAAGGTTTTCGAGTCTTGTGACTTCTGCCATTGCCTAGATGCTGCCAAAGATCAGCTAGCTCCAAGTTTGCACGCTCAAAATTGAACGTATTTCGCAGAGCAGCAGAATAGCCTGCAGCATTGTATCTTTCTAGGACTGCACAAGGACTGCACGCGTCACAATCAGAATCGCTCTCCGATGGAATACTCATTTCCTATTGCTTGCTTGGCTGCAGTACTAGTCTGCAGTCAACGGACTCCTTGGTGAATCGTGCTGAAACTTGATGTATCTGGCCGACTGGATTATACATATGTATACTGCAGTAGTGCTCAGCTTTTGTATTTCAATTTGGGGAGCATTTGGCAGTCAGAGAGCGTTCATTTCTATGAGGGTGTTGCCCCTTCAAGATATACAAACCCCTCGGGAACCCTCCCACTGAACTCTCACCAACGGGGGCCATGCCATTACTTTCTCGCTACAAAGCTTTTGACAGCATCACATTCATCGAAAGTAAACTTTGCAAGTGGCCAAAGTTACCTGCTGCATCGTTCAATTACCGATGAACAGGGGTTTCCTTTATGGCTTTCACCCACATTTCCGAAAGCTAGACTTAACAAATCGCGGGTAGTCACCATCTTCGAAATGGTCGTGTGGACAACTAAATGGAAACAAAGAAATATTTGGGGAGAGGGTCGATCATTTTTCTGATACTATTGATTACTTTGTATTATCTCCCTGCCTGGAAGCGGAATGCAGAAAAAACTGCAAGGACGCCCATTAATGTCTCGACGTAAGCCTCTGCAATTGCAATGCTATACTTCTCGCAGCTCACGTAGTGCATGAGGTTGCTCCCACCTCCACCCAGTTGAAGGGCGTCATCACTGTGCAGGGCAAGGACTGGGTTTCGATTTGAATACGATGATTTCTGCGATACTCGATTCAATTCAGGGGGATGGGTGGGAATCCCAAATGTCAGGTGGGCGCCTCCGACTGGCGGGTTCTTGGGCCCAGTGCTGGTGCCTGCAAAATGATTTGTCCCCCAAGTTACACACGCGCTGTCCTCGCATGTCGAGGTCCTCACATGGAATGCGGTGGTGCTGTCACAGTTGTGATACCAGTACGAGGAGTGTAGCCACGTGCGGGCCAAGCCATGCAGACAACTGGCAGTGGTCCAGTGAAGCCCTGCGGTGCGGAGCAAGGCGCCAAGGACCCGCAGACATGCGGAAGGCTCTGGCAGATCGCTGGATTGTGGTTGCGGGGGACTCCATTGCGAGGTTCTTCTTTGCAGCGCTTCTGCGTCTTGCTTCAAACAATGAATGTAAGCCCAGCCGGGATCAACAGCGCCTGCCCCAGGAGAACTCGCATAACATGACTAGCTGACCTTGCGGCAACTTATTCACTGCCAATGACTGAGTTTGTGTGCGACTGCTACAACAGCACAGCAGATTGTGTATGGACATCAAGATTTTGAGTACATACTGCCCAACAACATCAGAGCCACTTTCAAATGGGCACCATACATCGCTAATCTAACAGAGCTATTTGGCAACTGGTGGGTGCAAAACCTTTCTGAGAAAAAATGGGGTCAGCTCTTCTGAAGAGTTACCGGCAAATGTCCTGTGCGTTGTGGCACTTTGAACCTCACACTTTCCAAATTTCTGGGCATGCAGGAGTAGGGCGAATGTGGCTCCCGATGCAGTTGTAATGAGTGTGGGGCTATGGCACATGCTGCACATTGATGATCCTGCTGACTATGCCAAGCAGTTGCAGGCGCTTAGACACGCCGTACATGGTTTTGTCAGTGCCTCAAAGGTATGACCTTGTGACTTCATTGACTATGGTAATTGTGGACATGTGATTACCCTCAACTAGAGCGCTGACTGAGATGTTCCTTACTGGTTTATCAGGTTATTGCTCTGCCACCCATGTCCTTTTTCAGCATCTCTGAAGTTTTCCCGCCAAAATTGAAGACGGAAGAGAAGAGAAAGCACTTGACATACCAGAATGTTGATCTCTACAACGAAGCCATACAGAAGGCAGGCCTACTGGTGCCTGATGGGGCACTGTACCTCGTGGACCTGCATCACCTAACTCAAGGTGCAGCAGTGATTGTCCCTGTAGCAGTATGACAACCTGCACATTTGCCTTGAAAGGAATGTCTGATTTGATCGATGGGGTCGTGCAAATCAGGGGTTCCTTGCCTGAAGGCTTGATGTGCATGCACACAGGCTGCGGACCAATGTGCTCACATGATGGCTTGCACTACAGCAATGCTACATATGATGCTGCATTGCAGATATGGGCAGTGAATACCCTCTCATTAATGACATCCTAAGTTGCTAAATTGCCCTCGTCGAGCCGCTGCAGCTCTGTCACCGTTTGCTCTGCTAAACCATAATCAACACCCATGCATCGGCTTCTAGCTGCCCTGTGCACACTGTGGCATGCACATGAGAGGAGCCTGCTTCCGCTGCACAGCAAGCAACAGAAGGTTGCTCATGCGGCTCTTCACCACGCTGTCTGGTGCTGGCAGTTCATGACATGCCTTTGCCTGGTGTTTGTGCTCGGGCCTTCCTGCCGTCGGCCTGTCAGCAGCCTCATGCTGCCGCCGAGAGCCGAGTTGCTGCGGAGTGCTTGTCAGCCCCCTCATCAGAATTACTAGAATTGCGGCGCCTTGGTGTGCCTGGCACAGAAAACCCTTCTGAGCATTATGCTTGCTATAGACAGCATATGCCGACACTGTAATCATAATGAACATAATGCATGACAAGGGTGTTTTGTGACAAGAAGCACCTGGCACAGAACGCCCTTCCTAGCAGTCTCTTGCTATAGACAGAATGTGCATGAAAGGGGCACTTTTGTGACAACAAGCAGCCTGGCACAGGAATCCCATTGCTAGCAGTCTCTTGCTATAGACAGCATGTGCATGAGAGGTGCAATTTTTATAATAGCAAGCAGCCTGGCACAGAATCCCCGTTCCATCAGGCTGCTTGCTATAGACAGCATGTGCGTGAGGGGAGATTTTGTGACAGCACGCAGCAGCACAGCTACATCGCTCATGCTGCCGTAACCTGCAAGTCACAGCATGCCTTGGCTTATGCCACCTGTTCATCTCAGTCGGCACCTGCCAATTTTTCTGCTGGTGCAGTCGCGGCCTTGCGCTCGGTACCGCCGCTCATGTTGGCATGGCTTGCCTCTGCACCTCGCACAAGAGGTCCAACTGGGCACACTTCGAGTAATACAGCAATACATGCATACAACCATCACCAGTAGGTAGAAGTATTGTCAATAGCCCGGGTGGCACCTTGATGTGCTATCGGCAAGGGGTACCGTACAAACAAACCCACGAAATATTTGACCGGTCACAAGATTTCCAGGAAAGTCCTGCCAACTTGCTAACCAGCTGGTGCTGTGATTGAAGGGAGCGGTGGACGTGAGGGAAGCCCCCGAGGTATTTTTGGTGTCGATCATTCTCCCTGACAAGGCCAATTTTATGTTCATTATCCCAAATTCAGCACGATTTCTTTCTCTCAACATATACACTGTGCTGGCAGGTGAGTTACAGCGGACGAAATCACATTAGTACTGGACACACTAGAGGACTGGAGAAGCCTGATGGTGTCTGGAAAGGAATGAACCAAGCTAGAGACTGCACGAAGGCACTCAAAATACCATGCCAGTTCCCACAGCAAAGTCACATACTGGACGCACTGGCCTGCAGTGCTGACTTTATAGAAGACCGATAAGAATCAGCAAGTTGCATCATGTGCACAGCATATGCATGTTGCACAGGTTGCCAATTCCAGTTGGTGTCCACCTCAGCAGCAGAAGCCCTCGTTGCCGGGCATCACAATGTCCTATCTCTGATCGGCACTTGCATTTGATCCCTCATGTGATAATTCTCTGTCCTTCCTGAAGTGCTGCCACATGAAGAATTGCTGGTTCTCGATGAGTTCCTGCAAATTTCAGCAGGTCTGTCAGCAAAATATGCCTTTGATACCTCCAGATGCATAGGTGCCATGGTGTCAGAGGCGCACCCGTACTGGGGCAAGGGCAACTGCCGTCCTGAACTCCGGGCTCTGCAGCAGCCCCAAGAAGTGAAGGGAATGAGGATATCTGCACCCGCGCACCCTCATGAGCACGTGCTGATCAGCCAAGGGTAGTACAGGCCTACTCAAGAAAGATGCATGGAGCAGGCAAGGAGATGCAAATTAGAGAAAGCCTACATGATGTATTTTGCGAATTGCGGTTGTTTCCAGTAGAGCAGGTATTGCAGGTACTCTAGAAAAGATGTGTCATTCCCATATGTCTGTGCTATCCCTGTTACAGCATCACAGGCTGAGAAGGTTAGACTGATTGACTGTGCAGGACCATTTTGACAAAGGTAAAACCACAAAGAATCTTACACTGCACATATTGCGGATTGGCCAAGGAGTTGATGAACTCGAGTTCCAACTCAAAGCGCCGTCGCTCGTCAGGCAAAGCTGCCATGCGCCAGTTTGAACATTTAGATCCAACTATCTGAGTCACAATGTGTGGACAATGTCTTTTCTGGGGCACTTCAGCTGAATCAGCTCTGCAGGCATCCACGGTGATGAGTCATTCCTACGGTTCGAATATATATATCGATATTATATTCTTATTATATTTACGGGTCAGCTGATCAGTCATGACCCATCTCACACAAATGTCCATGGTTGAACCTCGCCAGAGAAAGATTGTGTGGGATTACCACGCCTGCATTACGTTCAGAGCGCAAGCAGTCTCTGGAAATCCATTTGGTGACAGCCACTGAGCCCAGAAACAATATTTCCACAAAGGATGGGCGGGGACAGACCTGTATTTTGTGGTAATTTTGAGTACGACGCCAGCGTGCGGGAGATTGAGAGGCTTTTCGACAGATATGGATCGCTGGACAGGGTGGACATGAAAACTGGTGAGGCTCATCAACTGACACGCCAGACAACCTCGTGGCAACCCATCCCCTTCTCCGCCCTCACCCTGACCTGCATCCGCGGGACATCTACGTCCAAGCGCACAGACGAAGGCTTGCCGCGATCGACGTGTGCCTTACGAGCCCGGAGCAACCTTAGACACCCACATGACTTTTCTGCCATCACCAACCAGCAATCCAACCTCAGTTTCAACTGTTGCCTTCCTGACACTCAAGAGTAGACTCGGCGCAGCAATTGCTGGGTTGAAGGTGCGATGCGGCCCCCTGTGCATTGTCTGGATATTTTGGAGACGTGTGGCTTGATCTTGACAATGGAGCTTGTGTGCAGGTTTTGCATTTGTCTACATGAGGGACTCTCGAGATGGCGATGATGCCATCAGGGGACTTGATGGGTGAGGCTCCCTTTTTCTAATGCTGTATTATCGCCACCAGGCCTGAAGGCTCAAATATTTAAGCTGCACTTCTTCCTGCTGGCAGGCGTGAATTTGGGAACCGAAGGCGAAGACTTCGTGTTGAGTGGGCGAAGGTGGGTTGGCCTCATCCCTTTCTCGGGCATCCGCATCTCAAGCTACTGCTTCAAAGTGTTCATACGTTGCATGTCTGTGAGCCAACAGAGCGGGTGCTGGTCAGATGGATGGGGAAGTGCGGCGCCGTGAGGATCTGAGACGGCGGCAGATGAAGCCTGCGACCACTCTCTTTGTGGTCAACTTTGATGCGGATCGGACACGCGAGCGTGACTTGGAGAAGCACTTTGAGCCCTTTGGTCGGCTGAAGCGCGTGCAGATCAAGCGCAACTATGCATTTGTGCAGTTTGAGAATGTAGATCAGGCGGCCGATGCTCTCAAATCTGTGAACGGCACCCACCTGCCAGGCGCGCACCATACTTGCTGATGACTCGCAGAAAGCAAAATCATTGTTCTGACTGCATTCGTCAAGGTCTTCAGATGTTACATTCTTTGGGTATGCCAGGTTCCTTTCCATAACTGAGTGTGGATGAACAGGTGACACTCGCCCTCTGTCTGTGGAGTATGTAGCACGTGAAGCCGATGGCCGTACACTCTCTGAAGGTGTGCGGAGCCGCAGCCGCACCCGGTCCCCCTACCGGAGGCCACGCAGCAGATCTCCTGTCTACACCCGCCGCTCGCCTACCCCCAGGCAAGAACTACACTGCCGCCATGAACATGCACAATACCGAGCGCGATCCTTGCCAGCTGTGAAGCCTGTGTTTACATCATGGCATCTTGAGGTGCAAAGTGCTTGCTCTCACTGACGACCTTGGGAAACGGTGCAGGGGCCGTGCCGCCAGCCTCAGCCGATCCCCTGTGAGAGAGTACAGCAGATCGCGCTCGCCGCGGCGCTCCCTCTCGCCGCGGCGCTCTCTGTCCCGGGGTCGCTCTTTGACCCCGCGCCGCTCTCTGTCGCCGCGCCGCTCTCTGTCACCGCGCCGCTCTCTGTCTCGGTCACCCAGACGGCTTTCGCGCTCGCCTTAGGTCGCACATTGCAGCATGCTTTGCCACAGAGCACGCCCGCAGAAAGTAACGGTGGCAGCATTCGCAAGTTCTCATTTTATTGACAGTGGGCTGACGGTCTCAAGGGGCAGTGGCACGGGGTCCTGCATTGAAGTTGCGGTTTGAGTGATCTAATGAGAAGTCGTAACAATCACGAGCATCAGTGCACATGTACGTATGCAGTCTGCTATGAAAGCTTTGGATTTGTAATCACCAGCCAGCACATAAACATGCTTGGCGCACATATTATAATGGAATGCTTAATACACAGCATTTTACACAAGCCTTCTGCGTACTAGTGGATGATTGCCAGTTCAACCTGGACAGTCTCACAGTGCGCAACGGCTGCAGTCGCTGGTGTTGCATGGACAGATTCTAGCTCTTCCAGCAATTATGATGCAAGTAGAGCAATTCAAATCTCAGCACATCTGCTCAAACTCGTCATTGAGTCATGATTACAGTTCGCGAAGTTCAGCAAGTGTCCAATTATGCTTGCTACCCTTTTGGGACTTTTCAAACACTGACCTCACCCAGAACTTGGGCCAAGAGTGCTCATTTCTTCTTGTCAGATTTCCGGGCAAGGTATCTTTGCCGGGCTGCATCGACTGCGGCTAAATCATTCTTGCGAGCATTTGCCACTGGTACATTCTTCACCACTTGTTTCTCAGACAAGTCTCCCACAACTGCTGCTCGCTTTGCAGCTTTCTTTGTAGTCATTCCTCCACTCAGACGCTCCACATCAATGTTGCGCAGCTTTGGCAAAATGTCCTCCACCCATTCTGAATCCATAGGGCACACCTACAATTGCGCATAACACCTCAATGCCAAAAAATGTGTAGTGTACAGCTACGTATCTGGCAAGTCCAACAAGGGGTAGGATTGTGGCAGCCTTCAACTGCAGCTTGTCTGCAGGACATACCTTGCCTTTTGGCAGGACAAGCGTGTAATATTAATAACAACAAAAATATAGCTCCGTCAGCTGAGATCCATCTACCAGATCAGATTTTGCTTTAACACACATGACAACTGCACAGACCTTGGGAAAACATGTACTGTCTGAAAGGTCCCACCTTGCTCAGAAACACCTTGGCTGTTGCAAAGAGAGCGTAATAGATGACAAACTCCGGCATCAGGCCGTCTTCATCAGCCGCTATCCTTGCGGTTGCCGGGTGCAACTGTGCCAGGGTGGCCCTCTCGTTTAGGGTCTTGTAACCATTGTGCCGGGGCATTCTGCGCGCCAGGCGGTTTGCAAACCCCACCAGCAAAGCCCTCCGCAAAGCATCCACCCCTGCAAGGCACAATCCACCCCTTGCTTGACTTTTACATGAGCCACTAAAGGGAAAGGCATGCTTTGCTGTGATGGCTAGTGGCACAGACATGCTCAAGCACCTGAGCTATGCCGCCTGCGTTTTGCTTCCCTCCTGTCCTCTGCATTGTTCGCAATGGATTTGGCGCAAGCCAGAGAGGCTTCAGGCAGCACCTTGGCCCCTGCATGTGCCAACAGGTCTGCCAGCTGCTTGCGCACCTCCCTTGCAAAGTGCATGCCCCGCACATCCAAACCCATGTCTTTGCACCATTTTGATGAGAAGCTGTTCCTTTCCCAGGCCTGCGTCGCAGATCGAATTTCAAATTTTGGGCAGCTGCCAACTGAATGGTTCATGCAGGGCCTAAACAGAAAGAGAGCTCGGGGTCCGCATGGGGGAGCTGTATGTGGACATGTCAGCCTTCAAGGCTCATTCGCGCGGAGACGGGCCCACAAAGATGGAGGACAAAGATCCTGCTGGAAGGCTCCTTTTTGTCTGCAGCATAAAAGGAGACCAACCTGAAAGATGCGCAGCATGAGGATGTGGTCTCCCAAGCCTTCTTTCATCAGCTCTGCCAGAGCTGCACGGCCCTGCTCTGACAGTTCTCCCTGCCTCCCATGCGCGCCAGCCTCATTCCTCAACAGCTGCACGGGCCCCCTGTCGCACAGTATCAAGGTTTAGCCTCTGAGCAGACGGTGCCTTTGACGCTCCTAGGATCCGAGGGGAAGGACCAATAGCACCTGTTCCCCAAGAAGATAGTCTCGGCAGACAGCATGGCCGCAGCCGTCAGAGTCTCTGGCAGACAGTCATGATCTGCAGCGGCCAGGAGTGAGCGGGCAAGGCTGGGCTCAAGGGGCAGAGCAGCCATGCGCCTGCCCAGCTCTGTGATGTGGCCGTCCCTGTCTAGGGCGTCCAGAATGAGCAGCTGCCGCAGCGCATCCTCCAACGCTTCTGACTGCCAACAAAAAGGTTGCCTGTCTCAGCACAGGCCAAACTGACCAATACAGATGGCTGCACAGGGGGCCATTGCGCTTTTCCCGCTGTAGGTCTGGTTGCAGGAAATGCAGCGTACGAGAGCGGGAGATGTGTCTGACCCCTGGAGAGTCGAGGTAGTCGAACGCCAGCACATCGATGTCTAGCGGCAGGCTCTTCAAGTACAGCACCGCCGTCAGCATGTTGGTGCGCTGGATCTCAGGCACCGTTGTCTCGCTCATCTCCCTCTCAAAGAACTGGGCTGTGTACAGCCGATAGCACTTGCCATTGCACACGCGCCCCGCTCTGCCAGCCCTCTGCGTGGCTTGCACCCTGCACCAGAAGGAGTGCGATGCCCCTTACTTAAAAGAAGCAAAGCCTTTTCTTCCCCAGTGACGAAGGAGATTGCATGGGCATGACACGGCGGCGAGGCTTGTAGACGGACCTTGAGATGGGCACCACGTGCAGAGACTCCATGCCTGTGGCTGGGGTGTAGGACTTCTGCTTGACCATGCCAGGGTCCACCACATACACAACGCCGTCCACAGTGATGGACGTCTCAGCAATGTTGGTGGCCATGATCAAGCGCCGGCAACCATCTGGCGGCGGAGCAAACACCCGAGCCTGCCGCAACATTCACCTCCAGTTAGCACATTTGCGATCCCATCACGTGTCTTTGAGGCCCTTCAACATAATGTCTGGTCGTGTAGGACAAGTGTACATACAAGGCAAGAGTAAAAAAGGTAGTTCCTGCTACTGCATACCTGAAGCTCCAAGGGCATGGCAGCATACAGGGGAAGAATCAGAAGATCAGGGCAGGAGTCTTCTGGCAGCTCGGCAATTGCCTCACTAAGCTGTTTGACAGCCTGAAGCACAAATACAGAGTTAAGTTATAGAATGCCATGCACGGACACTGAACAGGTAACACACACGAAAGAATTCATGCTATGATGATGACGCACGTACTGGAAACCTTACCTTGTCAATCTCAGCCTGCCCTGTCAGAAATACAAGGATGTCTCCGGGAGGCTGATGCAGGTGGATATCAAGTGCTGTGTCGACAGCAGCAGCAAGATAGTCATTCTCATGGTTGCCTTGTGAGTGGACAATCTGCACTTCATACTGCCGGCCAGGAATGTTGAGGACTGGGCAGCCATCAAAGTACGCAGAGAATTTGGCAGAATCAAGCGTGGCTGACGTGAGAATGAGTTTTAGCGGCTTCTGCCTGCATGTGTTCAGGCAATTCTCCGTCAGACTGCCCGATGACCATGTTCTAGGCAGCAAGCTTTGGGTGCTGACATGATGAGCACAATCCCTCACCTCGTCTTCACCAAACTCTTCAGGACGCCAAAGAGGACGTCGGTGTTGAGGCTGCGCTCATGTGCCTCATCCAGCACTATCACCGAGTATGCAGACAACTCTGGATCGTCCAACATCTCCCGTAGCAGCGTGCCGTCTGTAAGGCAATGGCTAGCAACTCAACAGGATGGCTGGAGGTACATCAGAAGATTGCCGTGCAAGTCAAGTAATTGTGTGGGAAAGGTACCTGTCAAATAGACAATGCGCGTCCTCCTGGAAGTCCGCTCCTCAAACCTGACACGATACCCAACCTCCTGCCCCACTTCACACCTCATTTCCTCTGCCACTCTCCGGGCAACAGTAAGTGCAGCCTGCAAAGGTGAGCCAGACATTCAGGCGTGCGTCTTCCCTTGAGCAATTCAAGACACTTGTCAAATGCAGAGCTTGGATGCCAGTAGCTGAGCTTCTCACTTACCACCCTCCGCGGTTGTGTCACTCCAATGCAACCTTCTCTGGCACAATACGCTTTGTCTAGCATCTATACGGCACAAAAAATAAGTCATCCTTGAATGCGTGTTATTGAGTGCAACCTTTATAGCGACCTCGAGGGCTCCAAAGCATTGGAGAGTTACTGGACCTGGGCGATCTGTGTAGTTTTTCCAGATCCTGTCTCGCCAATTATGACTGTGATGGGGTGTTTGAAGACCGTATCGAGTATCGTCTGCCTGAAGGGCCATATTGGCAGCTCCTTAGCTGTCATCGGTGCACCCAAGCCTTGTCAAGATCGACAAACTACAAAATTGACTTGGACGTGTATTTGATGACAGGTGCTTATCAATGAGCGGATCAAGTATCGATGCATAAAATCAAATATAGCACAATTGCTCTTCTAAGGACGTGCCTAACGCGAAGGACAGGATCCAATAATAGTTGTTTTTTCGATGGAAATTAAAGCACGCTCCTAAAACGATAGCCTAAGGTACATTTGTTTTTCACCGTACTGTTGTTCCACAACACCAGTAGATGGGATATTGTCAAACTTCCCTGCAAAAATTTACCATGCATGCGGCCCCCCAGTCCTGTCTACGGACCAGAGTCGGGAATATCCGCCCGTATACGCGTGGGCACGGTCCTGTCTTCGAGAGCTTCGTGCCCTTCCCATGGCGGACTGCCAGTACAAAAAATTCAAATTACCGCTGGAATTTGTTGCAGAATGTTGTGCATATGAAGAGGGTGGTGAGTAACAGCACCGTTGTGTGGGCGCTGGTGGTGTGTGGCGGCATTTTCCTTCTGGGAGGTGTTCTTTTGGCTGTAGCCCTCGGCCAGGATGATCTACACGAACCTTGATAATTTCTACCTCAGCAAGGAAGATCTTGAAAGGAGCCCATCGAGACAGGATGGTGTGTCCGAGGACACAGAGACAGAACTCAGAATATTTGGGACTACCCTCATCCAGACGGGCGGCTATTTGCTGGAGCTTCCTCAAGTTGTTATGGCAACAGGACAAGTGCTGTTCCACCGCTTTTTCTGCAAAGAATCGATGGCGAAATTCGATGTAGAGGTAGGATCCTTGCCCACCCTGGATTTTGTTTAGCACGGTTGAATTTAAGCAGCACAACGCCTCTGATGTGGAATTTTCAATGCAGAAAGTGGCCTGGACATGCTGCTGGCTCGCCACAAAGCTAGAAGAAATTCCACGCCGCGTACGGGACGTTCTGGCTGTCTTCTACCGCTTGCAGCTCAGGCGGCAGGCTCTTCCCCTGAAACCACTAGACTTCTACACTGTGGTGCGCATCTTGATTGTTCTACCCTTGTATCCGAAGTCCTCTTTTGTCCGAAGTACTCTTGGTGTCCCCCGGTGGTTTTGCCTGGTGGTTTTGCTCAGGTTGCATTTGTGCACTGCATGCTTATGCTGAATGCCTGGCTTGTGCGGTGCTGTGCAGGAGTATGAGACGATGAAGCTCGAACTTATAAGAGTGGAGCGTATGATTTTGCGCGAATTTGGCTTCATTGTGCACGTTGAGCATCCGCACAAGCTGGTCTTGAACCACTTGCATATGATGCTGGGCACAGGGCATCGAGAGCTGATGCAAGAAGCCTGGAACCTCACGAATGACAGGTGAGGTGCAAGTGACATAATGGCAGCTGTAACAGCCCTTGCATTCTGCATTTTCTGGTCAAGTTATAAGGTACATGCTGACTGAAGCGCGCTTGTGCGTTGTACAGCCTGAGGACGACGTTGTGCGTGCGCCTGAAGAGCGAAGTGGTGGCTTGCGGCATAATCTTCATGGCCGCGCGGCGTCTCAAGGTAAGGAGTGCTGACCGAGCAGCCTGCGCAGCGCAATCTTTGAGTGTTCTTGTCTTTTCAGTACTTTGCCTGGTCCAGCTCTGCCTGTGATGTGGTGTGATTGTGGGGGTGCGGCAGATCCCCCTGCCTGAGGAGCCTCCCTGGTGGGAGCTGCACAATATCACCTTTGAGGACATCTGTGAGGTCTGCATGGAGGTGCACAGCTTGTATCAGCGGCCACCTGCGCGCTACATTGCTCTGACGCGAGGCGCGCAGGCGAGCAGCGCAGCCGCGACTCCACAGGCCTCTCCAATGACGGGCCAGGGCAGCCCTGTCATGTCGCTCGGGCCACCGGGAGCTGCCAGCTCTCGCGGTGCAGCAGCTGTGGACAGCGGTGCTCAGCCGCCACATGCTGCGGAGACGTCCCTGCCAAACGGGGTGCGATGTGGACCTTTACTCCAGTATGCTGGTGTGAAAGTGCTGCAAAGGAGCTCATGCTGACTGCATTACTAGTGACACCCCTAGTGCATCATGTGCAGGTTCTTCTGATCTCTGATAGTACTGCTACCTCATTCTGCAAGCTGTGGCAGTACTTCAAGAAGATTACTCCATTCACTTTCTGTGAGATAGATGCGACCAAATATGCGAGGCAGTGTGTGACGTTGTGCACCCTGGCTGTTCCAGGTGGTGGCCAAGGCAGCGCCAAGCAAGGACAAGGAGGAGGACAGCAAGCAGCAACGCCCAGAGCGTAGGCGAACAAAGGAGAGGGAGAGAGAGAGAGCGAGGGAGGCAGGGGCGGGCAAAGAGCGCGAGCGCGCCTCACACAGGGACAGGGATGGGCGCGAGAGGGAGGCCAGGGGGCGCGATCGCGATAGGGACAGCAGGAGCGAGCGCCACGACAGGGACAGGGCCCACAGGGACAGGGGGGCTGAGCGCGCCCGACCAGACGAGAGGGGAAGTCGCGGCCGAAGGGATGTCACAGAGGCAGGCCACAAGCGCAGCCGCACGGACGACCCACAGGAGAGGGAGAGTAGGAGGGTGCGGGTTGTGGAGTACTCTGACAGGGCCCGGGACAGAGCCGAGCGGTCGTCCGCCGCTCAAGACGGCTCCGACAGGGGTTTGGACTGCTGGCGATCCGATGCGTACCGGCAGGCCCACAGCTCGAGCTCAGCCCTGCACCAAGACTCTGAGCGCGCCCTGAAAGCTGGCGGCGCACAGTTGGGCGCTGACAGGAATCATGCGGGGAAGTGGCCAGCCAGTGACAGACTGACAAGCGTCGCTGACAGGGATACAAGGCGGCCCAATGGAAGCATGTCAGAGTCGCCGAGGAGCTCCCGCGCAAATGGCAGCCTTTGCGGCGGCGGCCGTGGCAGGTTTGCAAGCGGCCAGCCGAGCCCAGGGGACAGCTTGGATGGGAAGGGGGCTAGCAGGTCACTGCAGCCTGCTGAGCGCGGCAGCCCCTCAGACCCAGACAGATCAGTGCAGAACGGCTCAGGCGGGAGGCGGCCGCTCAAGCGCAGTTGCTCCAGGAGCAACTCTGTGGAGGTCCCCTTCCCTCAGAGCCCCAGCTCTTTCCACAAAGGTACACAGCCCAAGCCATATCCTCGCTCGTGGATTCCTGCAATTGCCAGCCTGCAAGCTATGTGTTCCATTTGTTCCCGAGTTGGAATGTTCCTCATGCTAGCAGCGGCTCCCAGACTGCAATGGGCAATACCAAGATGTTGGAAGCAGAGTGGGCTCCTGGGAGTGGCATGGCCACCTCCTGATTGCTCAAAGGTTGTGAGGGGCCTCGCCTTCTATGGCCGTTGTCTCTTGTGGTCCCTGCTGTAATGTAGCTGATGACACTCTGAGCATATTGATATCGGCCAATGTCAATAGCATTGACACTCTTCATTGATGCAAGTGCACCAACCTCACGGGTATCAGAGCAGCTTTGGTGCCGGAATGTTGAAGCGTGTTTGGTGTGTGGGTAGGCCTTACAAGAAGCCCAGTTGGGGTGGTTTGGGCGGGTGGGGTGCTGTGCCTGCGGAGGACCCCATTTGGCTGGCCGCCGGTCCGTCCTTGCAGGGGTGGCAGTGGTGGTGAGTCAGCGCAGCATTTCGCAGCGGCAGCTGTCCCCCTGCAAGGATGTCGTGGGGCTGCGGCAGCGGTGGTGCGGTGTAGGCCGGGGCCCTTCTGCAGCCCCACATGACGCGGTGCAGCTGCACTGTTCTGGCAGTCAGCTCCCCACCCGTCAAAGGGGGTGTTCTGGAAGTGTCATAACCCCTTAATTCCTTCCTCTCTTGTGCTACTGCCCCGCTAATTGGTGGCGCTAGTCCCATCTCTGTGTGGGTCTGCTCTGCGCATTGGCCTAATGTCATTCTTTTGCTGGCCCAATTTGAGGCACATTAGGTGTATCGCCTTGGTGAAGTCTCAAGAGTCATCTTGATCTGACCATGTGTGCCCCCTTCCTCCTGCAGACAGGTGATGAGGTGCTAATCGAGGAAGCACACCACGCCTGTGCACAGGTCTGTCTCCTTGTGCTCCATATTTTGATGCAAGAGCAGCTTCTTTGGCCCGATGATTAACAAAACATATACGCTATGCTGAGCAAGCTATCTAGCTCATGCGGAGGAAAAAATCGTATGAGGGCTACTGCTTTTGTGGCATGTGTTGATAAGGGCTTCTGAACAGTGCATGAAGAATCTTCTGATCAGCAACTTGCTTTGGCAGGAGCTGCGGAGCCCGTTTCAGCTGCTTCGTGGGACGGCGTGCGTCAGTAATTCAACTGAAGACCACTCACATTAGTTTTGCAGCAGCTTGGCCCCTCCTTCCTTGACCCAAGCCCCAAGGCCTTGATGCAGTTGGGACAATTTTATTTGCTTCTCCTAACAAATTTGTGGCTTTCAGTGGGCATCAGGGATCAGTGATGCCGCATCACGCTTGTTTGTGCTGGCTCTGTATTGGAGGAGCGAGGGCAATCACAATCTCATGGTCTGGTGTCAGACGTAGGACACATTGTGTGTTCGTAATTTGTAAATGCCGGGGCACAGGCACCCCAGGATGGCAGATATGTCCTGCAGAAATATATCGTGTGGAAGTGTGCAGGGCTTGTGTCCACCTCAAAGTCTGTCCTTTTATAGAAGCACCAACGTATGCATCTGGTTGAGAATTCCTGTAGTTGATCTGCCAGAAATGGTATTTATCACAAGTCTGAGATGCCCTGAGGAATGAGAATGGTGTCCTCCTGCCTTGTTCTGTGCAAGTGTGCTCTGTTAATATGCCAGGCACGAACAGGAGACACTTGCTGGGGGCAGACTGCTTTTGGTGTCTTCACCAGCAGTACTGTGTAACGACTGTAGAATTTGTCGATCAGGTGATCAGAACAAATAGGGACGCTCAGGGACTACTGGATGCATGCCCATGTTCTGCACCAACCCATTATCACATGATCAAGCGCATGCTTTGCGCACTTGTAATGTCTCTGTACACAAACAGATCCAGTGAATAATTAAAACAATGCCCAGCATTTGGTGCGCCACGTGGCAACATTGATCTTCACACTGCCGTAAGAATTCTTATCAGGTCTTTGCACCCCATATCGACCGATGGCTTTAGCAAGGAAAGATGCTGATTTCCATCAATTACAGTTGCACAGGACCATGAGGAACAGGTTGTTGCGACAAAGTCATGTAGTCCACTACACCTGTGCTGTCATCCACACTTGCAAGCAGCAGCAGCTTGCGTGCACCAAATGCGCTGCGCACTGCAGCAGCAAGAAGGATGGGGTCTGGGGGAGTCCCCGGCTGAAGGATGCGCACACAAGCTGCAGCATGGCACGTGCTGGGATCCCCAATGTACAACAAGTAGTCTGCTCCAAATTTGGACCCCGATGTGAGCTGGTACCTGCAGCAGTGCATAAAGAAATTAAAATATCCTTGAGCTACATCCGTTTCATTTCCTGACAGCATCCAAAACTTCTTTAGATCAAAGGCATCAGAAGATAGACTGACCCATGCAATTGCAGGTCTTCCAGGACTGCCTGCTTGTGCTTTTCAGTGACTGCGCTAGTGGGAATGTCATGGGCAGTCATGTTAGTCAATTGCGTCTACCTCAAGGGAAGTCCTGCCCTTCACAGCACAGGAGAAGTCTGAAATTCTGGCAAGTCTGCATACTCTGCATATGTTCACAGGACAGATCGAGCTCAGAGTCTTCTCAGAGTCTTCTCAGAGCATGCAAGCTATATTGCTCTCCTTTAGCTGCAAAGAACGTCGCTCACAGCTGGTGCCCGTAGATGTGTTCAGTGATTGAAACCCTACAAACAAATCAATATTACTGCGTCACCTTCAGGAATTCCGTAAAGGGCAAGGTCATGTAGAAGGCACAGTATGGTCCTGGTGCATCGATATACCGGCGTCAACCTCTCAATCGTGCAAGTTGGGTGCAACATCAAGCATCTTGTGAACACTTGTTGCCTCGCGATGTTGCATGACTCAGCAAGAGAGAAGCTCACACCATCCTGGTATATTAGATGTATTGTGCTAAGGGTATATGAGCTATCTAGGTTGCGTGAATATCACCTGAGATCACCAAAATATGCTTTATGCAGAACGAGATCTGAGATCACCGTTCCTCGTTTTAGAAGAAGACTCAAAAGATTATTGCTAGATCCACACAGTGTAATTTGGAGTCCTACAGAAACCCTTGAGAACCGTTCGATTCTTCATTGCTTTATTTGATTCAGATATTGGCTCGAATTTGATAGAGCGCCATTTGCAGATTTTAACCCCTAGTTTGTGGGTCGATATATAACTTTTCTGCCTGGAACCCTACCATCAGCTTTCTCTGCAAGTCTGTGGAAAGCCTGAAATGCAAGGAATTTGTAGCTTCCTTGCATGACTATGGAGATTATCAGTGCAGCTGGATATGGTTTTGATTTATGATCATCCCAGTCAACATTTCATCAGGCAGCGTCAGTTTTAATCCAAGTTCAACTGGGTACACCGGTGCCAACAGTGTTTGTATTGCCTTCATGACCATCAAGGACAAGATTCGCGGCCTTCTCTATTGCTTTGAGTAAGGTTGTGAATATCCAAGTCAGCGTCCTCCACATTTCAGTGTCCAATACACTTCTGCCTGCAGTCAAGACGAAGGCAATGCGCTCTTTATCGGGCGCAGTATGTCCCACTTCCAGCTCATTTCTGTCCCTGCAGGCTCTTTCTGACGAGCGCTCTGCTTGTCGTCTGCGGTATGCCTCACCGTGTCTGCGTTGGCAAGAATGTATGCAGCGGCGGCTTCGCACTCCGATGTGAGATCTGAGAGAGCCTGCATGGCATGGATGCACATCACTGCGCAGCTGTGCACACATTCTCACCTAGCCAACCCAGCGCAGCAGCGCAGCAGACCTACTTCATGAAGACAAGTGAGAATCACAGCCAGTTCTGCTTGCACGCATGCAGGCTGGGCTTGCCTGCTGGAGGGTGCGCGCGTCTGCTTCGTGGCCCAGCATGATGAGCAGCTCGCACAGCTGTGCGGCCTCTGCCAGCTGCTGCGCGCGCGGCTGCAGCTCCAGGATGTGGGCTGCCAGGGCCTTGTCCTCTCCCGGGCCACCCTGCCTGATGCGGTTCGCCTTGGAGCCCTGCTCCCACAATAAATCAGTCACTAATGCTGTGCCGGAAGCAGACACACCCATGATTGCTGCGGATGTGTGCTGGGTGTATAGAACTCACGTGGCATCTCCGACCTCACAATAAATGTCAGGTTCGCAGCCTGTGCCTGCCTGCCGCTGTCCAGTAAGAAAGGAACCGCGAGGGAGATAAAGCGTAGGAGCCCAGACCTTCTGGCGCCGGCGTTGGGGGCGGCGGCCGCCGACGGTGGAGGGTGCGAAGGTGCCAGTGGAGGTGGGCCCTGATGTGGCGGCCGCGCTGTGCTGCGTGTAAGCGCTGAGGCCGCTGACGACGCTGGACACGTCAGACATGTCGTCCGCGGCCGCGCCGTCGGCGTCGCCGTCCTCTTGGGCCGCCAGCGCCGCCTCCATGGCCGCGCGCTTCTCCCTCAGCTGCACATCGGCAACCAATGTCACCTAAAAAAAAGGTGAGAATCCAGAGAATGAAATGTGCTCATCTTTTTATGTGTCCTCCACACAACACCCCAGGGCAAAGACATCAAGCTATGCGTGCTTCGTGCACACAATTTCCGGTATTTTATCAGCAACTGTCACCTCTTTGAGGCGGCCAAGGTACTTGCAAGTGCGTTTGCGGTCGTCCAGAGCACGGCTGAGGAGAGTGGCTGCTGCATCGGCTGCTGCGGGCGCTATGACAGTCTCAATCAAGTCCTCACGCCCCTCCTGGTACGCTGTGTACGACGCCTGCCAGACACACAACCTCAGGAGGTGCGCGAACTTGACCTAGGAACGCGCATGCTTTCTCCATGGCATTGCTCCAAGTCATTCTCATGTCATGGTCCATGAGGCCAAAGGCGAATGCCCAATGAGAATGCCGTATCAGCGCAGGATGCACACCTGGCGCCACTCGTGGGCCTGGGAGAAGAGGTGCACGGCGGATTCAATGTCATGCAGGTGGGTGGCAGCCACAGTGGCGGCCTCTGCCGGCCGCCCCATGCCGCTCAGGCCCTCCACCAGCTCTGCTGCCAGCGCCTGCACCTGCTTCGCCGCCCACCCCAGCCGCCCTGCTCCCTTTTGCACGTCAGTTGCATATGATTCCACGCTGCAACCTCTCAACCCACCCTCCCTTACTCCTCACATCGCAAGCTGAGCGCTGGGCAGAACATACCGTACATTTTAGTATGAACAGCGGTCTTTGGTGCAATGAGGGCTTGCCTGCCAGCACGAAGGCCATGCACCACTGGCCGGCCACCTTGTACCGGGCCAACGCCTGCTCCAGGCAGCCTGCAGCCAGGAACGCCAGCGCTGCGTCCTCTGTCAGATTGCGGGCGGCAAGCGCCTCCCCATATGCCTCAAGCACCTGCGCGCGCCGCGCGTCGCCGGCAGGCAACGCTCCCAATAGCTCCCGCAGCAGACCCTGCACTCATAGCGCCCTCTCACCATTTCGTCATCCTGGAGTTTGCAGCGCAGTGCTGCATGGAAGGGCAGTAGTCAGTGCTGCAAGGTCGGGCGGGGTTTTCTGGCTTATCAGAGGGGGTACCTTGTCGCGGGCGAGGCGCAGGGCAGCGTCGAAGTGGGCGTCGCCGGCTTGGAGCAGGGCGTGCAGCGCATGCCACCAGCGGCCCAGGTGCATGTCGAGGGCGTGCCGGCGCAGGGGCCCCGGGGGCAGCGCTGCAAAGGTCTGCAGCTGCGCCATGTACTCGCCAGGGTCGCGCTGGCTGTGCGCCACCACCATGAACGCCAGCTCCAGCTCATACATCTCCAGCGCAGACCTGCACCCACAGAGCCATCCTTTCAAGCCACCAACACCTCCCTAATCATCCAACATTGTCCTGCAGCTCCTATGCAACAGACAGCTGTGGCACGTGGGGCTGTTGGGGGAATGTCATTACCCCCCAAAGCAAGGAGTGCTGCAGAACAAGAAAGACAATTACACAATCCAGCAAGCAACAAGAAGGGAAGGATTGGGAGCGAGGTGGGCACCTGAAGAGGCGATCAACGTCCACGGAGAGGAGCAGGTGGCGCAGGGCGTCCTCGGCCGTCGGTACGGCCCGCGCCACACGCCTGCGCCACCGCCCCAGAGCTCCTATCCCCGCCAGCTCCACACCGCTGCCATTCGCAAACCCTGCACCAGCTGCTGCCTGGTCCCCTGCACAACAGATTACAAGAGTCAATACGCCATATTCTTTGTGCAACACATGACAGCATATATCTGTACATAGGCAGCGGGCCGTGCAACCAGCGTACCTCCTGCAGCTGCGCCAGGCTCTCCGGTGCCATTGACCTGTGGGGCTTCATCTCTGGCGAGCTGGGCCTCCTTGGCGTCCTTTATGAGCTGGAGAGCACCATGGATGTCGCCCAGAGTGGTGCGTGCTGTGACCAGTGGCCGCAGGTAAGCAGCCGCATCAATGGCGACCAGAGCATCACTCACTGCCCGGCTCACGGCAGCCACTTTGCCTTCCTCAACCGCCTGTGGTGCCTCCTGCACACGACCACAATGGTGCTTAGCAAGTTCATGAGGTCTCTGCGAACAGGCTAACACTGACCATTGATCAAACTCTGTACCCTGAGCATGCTGTGACAAAAAAGCAGCAAATCAGGCAAACCGCAGGGCCAAGCAGAATGTGTGGTATGCAAAGTGTTGTGATAATAGCGAGAAAAACGTACTGTGGAAGGGTTAGGGTGAGGCAGGGCAGAGGCATAGGACCCGCCGGGGGCAGCCACGCTGTCTAGCCGAAGAGCCGCCAGCAGGTCGCACACGGCCTGGTCATCCACCACTGCTTGCACAAAGTCGGATGCGTGGGCCAGGAAGCGCGGCCATGCATAGTCCACGATCAGGTTGAGATCCACTCTGTTTACAACGGCCAACCGCCAAGCCGCCGCATAATCGTCCTCCTGTGACATTAAATGAAAGTCTCAATTTCTAAACATTCCTTAGACAGCAAATTTAATCCCCACAAATAATCCCTAAATAGGTGCATAGGAGAATATAGCAACTGGCAGTTGCAATGCAAAATACTGGTGGGGAATTGGCTTCTAAAAATGAGAGGGAGGAGCGGCTGACCAGGAGGGCATGGGCGAGAGCGGCCAGCACAAGGGCGCGGGGAGAGACAGTCTCCAGGTTGCCCCGGGGCAGCTGCAGCACTGCAAAGTCGGCGCCGCGCGGCGCGGCCACGAGACGGCTGCCGGCCTCAACGGCGCGCACGCTGGCATCCCGGCCGCTGGTCGACGCGATGCCGTGACCGCGCATGGCTGCATGCATGTCCGCATAGTGCCGCGCCTGCCCGTCCTGCTTCCTGGCTGCTGGCCTGGGGGATGGACAGGCAGCAGCCAATTCAGTGGGTTGGACATCAATGGACATCCATGCCATGCCAAGCTTGCCATTACTCTACACTCCAACCAACGATCTTGGCTCCCTGCTCTGCAAATGTGTGTTTCATCCTGATGTTCTTCGAACATGCTGCACTACAAGTAAACGCATATTGAGTGAAAGTTGGTACTCACCTTTTATGAGTATCTGCTTGGGGACTCGAGTCTGTGGGCTTCAGCAGGCTGGTAAAGGGCAGTGTATGCAGCACATTGTCCCTCGTGACGAAAAGCAAGTATGGGCCGCCGGCGCCCTCTGCGCGTACTGCAAAGGATGTGCAGTCTTCCCAGAGCAGCAGCGGGCCCCAATAGAGCTTGCCCTTGTCGGAGAGTCCCAAGACGGGCGGCAGCTCTCCCCCTGTCGAAATGCAGCATGTTTAAACCACAAAGAGCATTGATCAGGCCTTTGCTCCTTCCATGTCCTCCTCATGTAGGACTTTGTGAAACAAATATACTCAGAAATGGTTTCTGACACGAATCTTACATGGAGCAATCGGAAGCATACCCTCTATTAAGAGTGCACCAGCGGGTGACGCGCACATGACAGGGCAGAACTCTGGGAAGCAGTCTGGGGCGGGCAGAGATTCCAGGCTGCCCCCATGACACTTGTGGAGCAAGCCATTGCCTGACTGTAGCAGAGCGCCGCCCTGCGGAAGGGACACTGCGGCCTGGATGTCCAGGGGGTCAATTACTATTTGACCTGCAGAAAAGGAGAGCCTGACTGAGATGATCATCAGTCAGCAAGACACAGGGGAAAGTCTCCTTCAGCGGCCAGGCTCCTGCTCATGCAAGTAATCAGCCGCCAGACATGCATGCATTTGTGCTCGATGGAAGTTCAGTATTATTGACAAGCATTTGTAACGCAGGGAGCCCACTCGTTAAGGCTGCCAATGGTTTGTTCGTATGGTCTGGGAATGCATGCCATGACAGGCACAGCTCTGTCAGCACGTCCTGCTCCTCAGCAGCAGGCCCCGATGACACACGAGTGACCACCAGAAGTGTGGCATCTGATGTCCATACCATAATCCTGCATGCATGTCAACATTTAGTGAACGCGAAGCAAAGGCAAAGGAATTTACAAACAATGTTGTTGAAATGTTGTTAAGATGACCAGGCTTCGCAGACAAGGGCAACTCTGAATGCCACACACCGGGAGCCTTGCAGGTCAAGGCCTCTTGGCAGGACTATGCAGTCCATTGAAAGCTCGCTGGCACAGGCAGGAAGGCCGTCCGGGCCCTCCGGCTTGCCTGAGGCAGCTAGTGTCTCAACTGTCACCTCCCAATCATCTTCCTCAAGGCAGCTGATCACCGCCAGCCTGCCATCTGATAGGACCATGGCAATCGCCTGCAGATCAACATGAAAAGCATGAAAACAATGCAGACAGTCAGTGTCTGCAATCTGATCACATACATATATGTACATATCATGACACAGGGTGCACAGGCAACCACTGCTTAAGGAGATGCTTGTAATCCGTGCGAGGTATCTGGGGAGGAAGCAAGCACCTCTGCTCCAGTGAAGTCCCTGATGGCAACGCAGGAGGCAGGAGCCGGCGCAAGCAGGACGACAGCGCTGAGGGGCGGCGGAACAACGGCCAGGCCCAGAGGTGTGATCAACACTTTGGCTCCGTCAATAACAGCCGCCGTGCCCCGCTCACTCACGCAAGTGTGTGCATTGAACTTCACCTGTTGACGAGCCCAGCAAGCCCTCAGCACCAGATTGCCACCTTACGCATTGCTATGCTACTGCAAGAAATTGACTAAGGTCTTGGGGGAGTCACAAGTCGAGAGGCTCACGCTGCCAAAGGTCCCATTGCTGGCGACCATGTCTAAGGCCAGCGCTGTTTCGCTCCATGCAACATGGAGCTCAGAGCCACTGTATGGGCGAAGCTCCTGCTTCAAGTACCAGTGCCAATTGATGCGCTGCCAGATTTGCACCCTGTGCTGCTCCTGGTCCACATCCTGACCAGAATGAGAGGTGTCAGTCAGGAGACCGCGATGCTGTGCAAGTGGTCCAAATCGACTGGACCAAATCCAGGAAAATATTTGGCAAGCTTGTGTTGAGCAATATTGAGCAGGTTGCACCTGTTGGGGGCCTGCTGCACTCTCAGCAGATGACAGGACAATGGCAAGGCACTCCGAGTCGGGGCTCCATTCCATTCTAGTAATGGTGCCTGCATTGCGTCAATTGACTCGGTCTTGACCCACAAACATGGGAGATCCCACACTCTGCAAGCAACATGCACGCCGGGAGAAACTAAAATTCAAAGCCTTGCCTTTTCCCGGCACATCAAAGCCGCCGTGCTGCAGTCCATTGCGCTCAAAGAGCAGCACGCGCAGAGCGCCGTCGGGTTGCCTGCATGCCGCATACAGGTTGCGCCCGTTGGGCTGCCATGCCAGCTTCCCCAGCAGGCCCGGCGCATGCTCCCCCACTGCATGCAGCGCGCCACTCTCGCGCTCCCAAATCCGCACCACCCATGGCTCACCTGTGGCGCACGATGATGTGCATGACATGTTTCAGCCCTAACAAGAGCAAAGTTCGTGGTACTTGCTTGGGGTGCACAGTATACCAACCCAAGTTTGTTACAAACATGAAGTGCAGGCTGTCCTGGTGGCTCCCCAAGATCGCATCCTCACAGTGGATTCCATATGAGCAGTCCATGGCATGTACCTGTCTGTGCGCGGCTGGCAGTGGCAAAGAACTTGCCGTCTCCTCGCCAGTGAAGGCTGACGTCATCAGAGCCCAGCCAGACACTGTCAGGGATGGCTTCTGCGGCCAGCGGCCGGGCAGGGATGGGGTTCTCGATGGAGCCAAAAAGCCATGTCTCTGCTATGGTGTCCCAGTCCTGCATCAACAGCGAGTGACCTTCATTTTCAAAAAAGGTCAACCCACTTCATTTCAAAAAGATGAGATAGGCACAAGGGGAGGCAAGAACCGGGCCTATGTCCGGGTCTGGCATGTTGCTGATTCAGTAGGAGATGACCTTGTTCATGAGGAGCAGCTGGCCTTGCCCAGACACCAATGAAAGCACCTCCCCATCTGGGCTCCATCGAGCAGCAGCTACTCCACCCGTCACAGCTCCTACCTGCACACAGGGCAATTGTATCCAACTAGTGTTTGGCTTGCCTGTTCTGGACTTCATATATCCCCATATGTGAGTCACACAGAGCACAAAAGCGACTCTGATGCAGCAGTATCATAGTAGCAATCCCCACACCTCTTCGACTTCAGCCTGCTCTTCAACGTGGATAACGAACAAGTGTCCAGATGCCGTCGCCACAAATAATGCATCTAGTTCTGAGATGTGCTCAAAGGAGATTATTCTGTCTTGCTCGTTAGCACTGCAATGCGCCTCAAGCTGCACGTCCCACATCGCCTACAACCAGGTATACATGCTGCGCTGATCCACATATACTTGCAGCACACACATTAGAAGCCAAAAACTCTCCGGCTGCCAGTTTCCAGTAGGAACCATTTTCAGTACTAGGAATCAGACTCCTGAGATTTAACATGCAAGCTAATGCGCTGTTCTCAACTTTTTGTCACGATGGGATCCGAGAAATAGCAGAGATCGCGAACCTGTTCACCAGGGCCTCCATAGCATCGAATGGAGCAGTCAGACATAGCTACGTAGATCTGCCCACTGATAGCATCCCTACAAAATGCAGCTATTGTTCTAGCATCAGATGTGGCCGTGAAGCCACATAATTGGGTGATGCGTTCCCGCAATATACTCAGACTCTGCATTGCTTTGCAGTGGGGGCCGGCTGCCCAAGCGCTCGCTGGCCCTCCTCAGTTTGCGTAATTTATAATGAGCCTGAGTTTTTTAAGCACGTTATGGTAGTAAGTATAGTAGAGCATATTCAGAAGGAGACAAGCAGAACACCATGCGCTATGATGGAATGGCGCCCAATAGGGCAGATCGGGCCAGGCGGGCAGCATCCTCCAGCTTCCTGGATGCATCTGGTGGGTTGGAGATGATTTAGTCCACACAAAAATGGAAGATAACAAATGGAGGGCGCAGCGCATGTATTGATCCGTGAAGCGCGAGCTTCCGATATTCCAGGGATCTTGCATTTGCTCGAACTTTTATTTGCAATCGAAGTTGACTTCTCTTTCGACTACAAAAAACAGCAGAAGGGCGTAGAGCTCCTGCTGTCGAGTAAAGATGCATATGTACTTGTTGCTGAGATCAATGGCGAGGTATGTTTTAAAAAATAGCTAAGGGAAAATTCGTACTAGGGTTTGCCGATGTTGCCGGTCCCAGAACCTCCCTTGATCTGTTCTGCAGGTGGTGGGCGTCATCACTTCTCAGAAGTTGATTTCGACTGCTGAGGGAGGTTTTGTGGGGCTCGTTGAAGACGTGAGTGTCAAGAAAGAATACCGCAGCAAAGGTAGACAAATTCTACCCCTATTTGACTGAAACCAAGTTGTCCTTCAGTTGTCAACAATAATATTATGGACTTTTGCTTAATGATTTCAGGCATTGGGAAACAGCTTGAGAGAGCTGCATCAGACTGGGCATCCACACAAGGATTGTTGAGACTTCAACTCTTGGCAGACAGCTCCAACACTCCAGCAATTAAGTTTTATTCAAAGATGGGATGGAAGCATACCAGCCTTATAGCTCTTCGCAAAGCCATGACTTAGTAAGCATGTGCCCGCAATGTATCAGACACTGTCGCGTTGATGCATTTACTCCACAAAATCCATGAACAGGCCTAGAGGGTACTAAAGACTACTGGAATACTCTTCAGTACCCCCTGCCATGCAGTGCCAACGTGATATGATATGTACTTTATAAGCATTTTAATGTATTCATCATCATGGAAACACCATTTGCATCCCAATGTCATCAACAAGTATTGCATTGCTTATGACGTCACTCTCCACCCAACAGCGCCACAAAGCACTGCGCTCACCATACTTCAAGTTCCAGTGGACGGTATCGTCAAAAATCACAGGATCCTCTATGATACAGGAACTGACTGTGACGTCTGGAACGGCAGGAAATAGTCATGTCTAGACATATATGTAGCACACAAAGCTCACAATTCACAGCATAGCAAGTTGCCTTCCATCTGAAATAGGCAAATGCTGCGTAATGCGCTTGACAAAAAGGCTCCATGGGAAGTCAACTCGCACTAGCCAACAGTTGTCCACATATAGGGCACAACTCAAATCCCTTTGAACATCCCTCCCCAAAATTGTTTGCACTGGTACTGGCAAGCGAGCAAACTGCTCTTTCTGGACAAGCAGGCACGACAAAGCTGCATATAATGCACCACATCTGATCACATAACACTGCCACAAAAAACAGAGCATTTCTCGATCTGTCCAATAATTGAATGGCCGGCTATCCAAAAAGATTATGCCGAAAATTCATATTGGCGCCTGGGCTGAGGTTTCTGCACGAATCTGCTCACTGATCAGGAGTCAAACTCTGGCACAATATTCAAGAAATGGAATGCACACATGCACATGAAGATGGGTTCAGGCCCTTGATGACTGGGAAGGTTATTGCTGGGCCAAAGCCAAAACAATTGAACATCACGTGACTATCATGCCACCCCTTGATTCCCAACACCATCTTCTACTTCGATAATATATTAGAACGGGACAATGCAACACTTGCCGAGAGGACATGCAGAGGTTGGTTGGACCAAAACCCCACTCTTGACCTGATGGCACATCTGGCAGCAACAGGCTCTGGCTGCACGCTCAGTTGGCAGACGGCTGAGTGCATCCGCGATGGAAGATGGAGGCTTCAACGGGGGCAGGAAAACGCACGGGCGCCCAGAGACATGCGATCATCAGTGGCTGCGTGGGTCTGCATGGCCTTTATCTCCCGCTGGACCTCTGCGAATGTGGGCCGGCCATCCGGCGTGTAGTTCATGCACCGCCGCCCCAACCTGGAACGTGCACAGGCAACCTGGTGTCACAAACTCTATGTAGACTCACTTGTTGCGCACATGGCGAGGCTTGAAGGCTCGATGCCACAGGAGGACACCTTACCGGTCAAGGCACAACAGAAAATAAGAAACGTGCACTGGGCACATGGGGGCTGGCGCCCAGGCGCACCTGTTGAGCTCTGGCAGGGGTGTGGGGGGCAGTGTGAGCATGTTCTGCTGCAGGGCGATTGCCAGCATGACCTGCGCAGGGGTCTGCTTGTCCCACGCGCGCTCGCCGCTCAGCATCTCCCACAGCAGCACACCAAACGCAAACACGTCCGCAGCCTGCACGCACCCAGACCATGTTTTTTTGCTCAAGCAACCCAGACCCACAAATCCTGCCTTGATCTCCTCACTGACTTTAGCAGTTATGCTTTAGACAGTGTCTTGGAGACCTAGTGTCACTTGTTGGCAGCACGCAATGCAATGTTGCTAGCCACACAGCTTCCTTCAGAAGAACCTGTAGGGAGCCATGGGATTGGGTTTATGTTGACAAAATGGGGAGGACAGAGGCCGACCTTGCTGATGATGCCATGGCTGAGCACCTCTGGGGGCATGTGCGTTACTGTGCCAGTGGTCTTCGTCTCCACTCGGCTGACCACGTCCATGTCCCGCGCCAGCCCAAAGTCAGACACCTTGGCGCAGAAGCCATGCGGATTCGCCGCGCATGACGTCAGCAGCACATTGCCTGCGCAAACAACACTCCCTCACTCAGCAATACACATGTGCAGTCCCTGCCGAAAGAGTGCAATCTTTGCTGCATGCGCAACGGCGGCACGCAGTGGTTCATTCTTGGAACTAGACAGAGTTCAGTCTTATATTTATCACAAGCGAAGTAGCAATGAATGTGCAGGTTTTATGAGAATACAGCACAAAGTGTGGAGGTGGACAGACCTGAGCTGAGGTCTCCGTGGACGATTCCGCGCGAGTGCAGGTGCGCCATGCCTGAGGCAATCTCGCCGGCAGTCGCCAGCACCGTCGCCATGTTGGGCGGCCCATCTGGCGTCAGCCGGAACCAGCCCCCCAACACAGCATCCTGCCAGGAACACCACCACAGCCAATCAATCACGTGCTTTCTCTGAATGCCTCCCCTAATCACTGGCCACTGCATGCAACATCTGATCCGCTGACAGAAGAGGGATTGCGCTTGCATTCACACATCAGCAACAAGAAAGACAACAGGGGAGACTGCGCACAATGAAGGAGCCCTGGTCGCAGTATTCCAGAAGCAGCCATGTCTCCTCCACAGGCTGCTCCTCTTTACCCGGGCTGGCCACAGGGGTCTTTGCTGGGCTCTCAGGGGCTGCAGCAGCATCCTGGGTGACCTCCCAGTTCAGCTTGTGCAGGGGTTCCCTGTAGGCCGACGCGGTATCAATGGTTCGGACGAGGTTTGGGTGCGCCAGGTGGGCGGTGACATCAGCCTCAATGGGCACACCCTCCTTGTTGCGGCGCACTTTGTTGCTGTCACACACCTGTTTCATCATGCACCGCACCATCTCAGAACTCATGTATGATCGAGTAATAACCTGGCTAGAGCATGTGCACAGATGCACTGTCGTGTCAGATTAATCAGCAAGGAGGTTCGCAGCGCAGCAGGTGTGCTCTAGACACATCCTCATGAGATCATGCCACCAGGGTGATGCAGCATTTCCTCCTAGGCCCACGTGCCAGTTTTCAAGAAACCCCATCCATATGTCTGCCCCAGGTTGAGAAAGTCTCCTGTCCTTGAGCAGGTTGCTGATCATTCGTATTTCAAGTCTTCAATTCTGTAAAGAGACCATCTTTGACATGATTGAGAGATCACCTTATACAGTGGAGTCTGGCACTCCATGGCAGGTGTAACTATCGCACATGCACGGATATTTTTACAACCTCAACATGCAGTCTATCCCATTAAGACAAAAAAATCATACATAGCATTGTCACTGCAAGGCACATTAATTGCCAAGAACATCCATTTTACAGAGCACCAACAATGACTGCATGTTCGACTTTCATAGAGCAGGGCACCTGAGCGCCTGAAAAGAGCAAAGAAACGCAGGAACAGTTCCATGAGAATCAACAACTTGATCTCCTCGAAGTCTTTCCAAACATCTGCTAGCACTTGTATGCATCCAAAAAGGATCCTATCCTTTCAAGAAAACCCCATTTCCATGGACAGCCTGCTGAAGGGAACGCCTTTGCGCGCGCACCTTCACAGCGACCACCTTGCCGTGGTAGTAGCCCTTGTAGACGCGGCCGTAGGCGCCCTTGCCCAGCAGCAGGCCCAGCTGCAGGCCCACGAAGGGCGACCGCTCGGCCGCGCTCGTCAGCGCAGCGTCAGCATCCAGGCGCACGCCCACAAAGTAGTAGTGCCGCCCCGCATTGCTGATCGGCCGCTGCTTCTCCGCCTCTGCTGCCCCGACCGCCTCCCCATCCGCCATGCTTTCCATCGCAGCCGGCCTGAGGGCACCCCAGTCACTGTCAGCTCTGTGCTGTGAAGAAACTTTGACAGCAGGGCTCGATGCGCGCCCGTGTCCCCTTGATAATTCCATTGGAGTGTGGCTACATCCGCGGCACCAAGGGGGTCAAAAGCAAGTTTTGTATCTTGCTATTATGATGATGGCTGACAGCTGCCATTACAACCATGCCATGCTATGGACAGCTGGCATTTTTGCTAAATACCTGCTGTTTCTGTTTACACAAACGGTGGTCATGAGTTGATGACTAAAATTGCATATGTGGCTTTGCACATGCTACAGAGCAGGACAGAAGGGGAAGCACCTAAAGACCAGTGCGAAGGGAACAGCGGATGACGTCTCCGCAGTTGAGGCCTGCATTGCCTGCAGAGTGAACTCCTGGCCGCACGCCGACGCTTCTGACACGCTCTTCAATTTCTGCAGACACGCCCCAGCATCAGCTACAGCAGCTGCAGTAGCAGCACATACAGTAACATGTTGGCTGGGACTCTCTCACCACGAGTACACATGTTGCAACATTCTGGAGGGCCGCACCACTGAATTGCTCTCCTCCACTCCTTTGAACACGTCCCAGAAAGGCCTCTCCGCAGCTACTGCAATGTCCAGCCCTGCACATTGATCCACATCCGCTCATAAACAGGCAATCAAGATCACACAACACAAAACAATCTCTTTTAGAGAGGGTCTTCAGACAAGCCCACAATTTATCAGAATAGAGGAAATGGATGTCAAAACAATGAGCAAGGGTGCAAAGGTTCAAGGGGATTCGCTAGGAAAATTCACCTGTGACGCTGATGGCGGCATCGTTGAGGTGCAGCAGGTGCCAGGGCTGTGTCTGCGAGGCCTCCACGAAAAGCAGCGGCTCACTGTAGCACTCCACCACACGTATGAGCTGCATGATGCGCTGCCTGTGGGCGTGCTCATAGGCGCCCCAGATCTCCCTCACCATCAGGTCCGCCATGCTGCCTATGATCAACTGCGTCGTCATGTCAAACTTCTGCGGCTTGGAGTGACACAAGCACCTGCCACCCCAGGCCCCACATGGTCAGCGCGTGCAATGTGCATAAATTCAGTGGACTCACTCCCAAGGCATGGAATGTGCTGATGGACAAATCTGGGGTTGGTCACAGAAAGCATGGGGCAGGCCACTCACAAGGAGCCCAGGCGGTAGCCGTTCGCGGCGACCAAAGGAGTGGCGGCAAAGAACATGACCTCCGCTCTAATGTCAGGCCTGTCCTTCACCCTGCAACCCCACACCAACATGTCTCCCTCTGCGGTCCTGCATGACTGAATAGGACACGAATCATTGCACGGGGCGATCTCCATAATGACAGTGGCACTTTGCAGACATGACTGGCAGAGGCTGCAGACCTGCCATCCGCCGCGACATCCTCCACAACAGTGATGCCTCGCTGCGCCGGCTCCAGCAGCCGGCACGCCGCTGCACGGATGCCGGGCGAGAAAGCATCGTCGCCACCACGCGCAAACACCTGGTCCCCGTCCCGGAGGTGCAGCAGCACCGAGTCTGTTCGGAACACCGACATGGCCAGGCCCAGTATGTGATCTGCACGCACAACACCCCGGCTCTATCAAGGTCTTCTCACACATGCCTGTGGCAGCTGTCCTTCACGGTGAAGCTTCCTTCTTGTAGAAAGGGACATTCAGATGAGGGACGAGCTCGGTCATAATTGTCTGGTCTCAAGCAGTGGCGCACCAACACTGGGCTCGGGCGCCTGCTCGAGCCCTTTGTCGCTATTGCGGGCGGCCCCCAGGGACATGCGGGAAGCCCGGGGCGCTGCGGGGCCGGTGAACATGGAGTGCGCGCGCGCAGGCGGCGGTGAGCGGCCCAGCAGCATGTGCTCGGGGACGCTCATGGCAGGCTGCAGCTCCAGGACGTGCCCCGCGCCCCCCACTTCCTCATAATGTTCCGCCACAGACGCTGCAAAGGCAGACACCGCGCCGTCCTCTGCTATACTGCTGCAAGCTGGGGTAACCGGCTTGAAGGCGCTGCCGCTGCCGGCGCTTCCTTGCGTGGGGGAGCCACGTGAGGGCGGGGGCGCGCTGCGCACAGGCGGCATGGAGGAGCCGGTGGACGGCGTGCGCGCTGGTGGCAGCGGCGGTTTGCTCAGGGAGTGCTGCCGCGTGGCGTCGCTGCTCAGAGACACTGAGCGCGGGGACTGCAGATCGGCAGACCCCCGGCGTCCGGGGGAGGATGCCTCGCCCGCGTCTGCAGCACTGCTGCTGGTGGCAGCGCTCCCCTGCTGCCCCGATTCTGCTGTCCTGCGCTCAGAATCCAGGCTCCCTGGCCTGCCATTGGCGTACTGGGCCTGCCAGAATATTGCTCAGCGCTCAGTTGCTATTCAGGAGGCCCCCAGCCCTGCTCCACTCAGCCATACAGTCTTTCTAATTAAATCCGGTGTTGCTCACTACAAATCTTATGCGCATGATGGGCTGCTCAATCTCAAGAGCAGTGCAGCTGGATGAAGTCACCCGCCCTCACTCTGAACTCCAGACGGCTACCTTGGCGATTGAAATGAAAGTCATATGATGAGAGAAATCTTCCAGAATGAGCTGCAGATGTGTGCTCCATTTTGCCTCTCCTAGCTGTCCGCTTCCTTTGGAAACGATGCCTATTAACATTTAGCCTGTCTCCTCGAGTACATGCAGGAACGCACCGGCTCTGCAGCAACCTCCGCTTTCGCCGCTTTTATACTCAAATTATGCTCAGTATCGTTTGCTGAAGCAGAAGCACAGCCACCCATCACAAAGGATCGCTCACATCTGGACTTCCTTTAGGCCTGTAAAAAGCTGATAAAAGCATAGAGGGGCAGCTCATAACGTGCGAAGAGCTAGTGACCAGCATAGATGTGCGTCTCTGCTCCCAAGAGAAGTTCGAGTGTTCTCTGCCGCTGAACCTTGAAGTTGGATCAGGCACGTGCAACAAACCCATTCAGAAGATATATTTTTAGCTCTCATCCCAATTAAGGTGGCCTCGTTTTAGGGCACGGTATTGGTGATAAAGTTTGCGTTGTCGGGTCCGGAAACAGCTTTTTGAGGTTCCGTCAACCTTAGTAATCTGTAGTCATCACCCGATTGCATGGTTACTAACGTCCTCAGGTCTGGACACGCGTGTCGCGGTGTCGCGGTGTCGCGAACGTTCGCAAACGCGTGTCCAAATTTTGACCAGCCGTGTCGTGCAACTATGGTTGTCTGCCGCAGTGAAGGGATATTGATGGCCATATGGCAATGCAAATTATTGCAGCTGCGGAGCATTCTTGTCAGTGATGTACGCCAGCCGGCGCCATGATCCGCATGCATGCGCGCAGTGTCCTCACATGAGAACAATTGAGCCCAGATCTTGCAGAGCCAGTTTATAGATAGCCAGACTAGTCTTCCAAAGTAAAGATTGTACTTTCTTGAAGAAACGATGTCAGCTGACAATATCATAGGGCCTCCACTGAAGCCCCCCGCTCGATTTACCAGCATGCTCACCTTAATCACCCATAGAAAGCGCGCTCATTTGATATCAACTGTTCAACAACTTATTGAAATGCCATTGCAGAGGCATTTGCAAATGATTCTTTTCACTGCAAAACAACACCCTAAAGAGATGGACATGTATTACTAGGTCGAGCAATCCAATGGTGCATGCTAAGTGACAGCAAAACTACTTCAGGCGTAATTTCTGACGCAGCAGCACTACTGCCTGCAGAATACAGGATTTCCAAGTGCCAGAAACACTTCTTTCAGTCATTTTGCTGTTAGAGAGCTTCATTCATAACACTCTCGTGAACAGCAACAGTCAGACAAAGAGTGCAGAAAGTTGACAGACCAGCCAGAAGCGTTCTACAGCCATAAGCCTGGTCTTTGTTCTTGAGATGCGTCGCATTGCTCATCTTCCTAGGCAACAGATACGGCAGCAGGTGCTCTTGCCAGTGAGGGTGCGGCTTCCAAGATTTTGTAGGCGCACATCCGGCCTGACAGGGTGGCGCCCTCCCTGCAGCACAAGCATGCAGCCCATCAGCTCTTTGATCACGGTCTGCACGGCAGATTCAGGAAGGCTTTTGAACAGCAAATCTGACACTCTTGTGGGACACTCCAGGGATAATGGCACATGAAGGAGGAACATTGAGTATGTGAGGGCCATTACATGCTGTCGATGTAGTCCTGCTTGGTGTACGAGCCTGCAAGGAACATGCGCTTGACTGGGGTCTGCTGGTCTGGCCGGAAGGGGTCCATGCCCGGCCCCTCATTGTACAGGGACTGCCCGATCTTCACGATGGAATGCCACGTCACCTCCAGGCCCTTTGCTGTGGGGAACAAGCGCAGCACCTGCAGCCACAAGGTGGATGAGTAATGCATTGTGCTGGCCGCGAGGCCATACGCTACACCAAGAGAAAGGTCTGCAAGGCTGTTGTTCCCGCCATCTCGTGCCAAAAGCGACACATCGTCAACTTGGAATATCATGTGTGGAAAACGATACACGAGGGTGCACAGGCATCTTGAGAATGTTGGCTCACCTGCTCGTGGACCTTGGCGGCGATTTCCTCATTGGGAAGAGGCATGTAGGGGTCGGCAGGAGTCAGCACACACTGCAGCAGGCTGCCCTGCCCCTCCTTATAGTACTCCACTGGTGAGGTCACGGCCAGATCAGCGAAACAGGAGAAGTCAGCGTCTGCACTGTATAACAAGTTGTCCATTCCTTGGGCACCCTGCAAAGGCAGATGAAGGTATTCAGATAGACATGTGACACATAGTATTCTGTCTGTTCCTTGCACACAGACTTGCCTGCTGCATTTGCTTGCAGCAGATGCGGCAGTGTGTGGGTGTAAAGCTGCTGAAAACTCACCTTGGTGAGATCCCTGAGTTTGGCAGGGTCCTGCAGCTCTGTGACCCATCCATTGTAGCGCAATTGTACTGTGATCACTGGCACGCCCGTCAGTGTGAAGATGTTGTCAAAGAGCGGCCACTTCCTCCATTCCTGCGGTACTAACCGCTTGGCACCTGCAGCCAGGCAGGGTCTTAGTGTCATATCTGGGGGGAATCAATATACCGTAAAATCGACCCATGTGGATGCATTCCCACAAAGAAGCCCTTGATGAGATCAAATTATTCTGGTGACTTCGCAATGCAGCCCACCTGGCACGTCCAGTGCAGCAACGTAGACATCAGCCTTGGCGATATGCTCGACGCCAGCCCTTGTCAGGCGCAGCCCAGTCACTTCCGTTTCACCGTTGCCCGCTTCCTCATAAAGTATTTCTCTGCAGCCCCATCGCGTGTGTATTCTGCCACCCCTGCACGATAATCATGAATGTCAGGTGCTTGCCAGGCCAGGCCTTTCTTTGAAGGCAGTTGCAGCAGAGCGCACTAATTTGAAAGTAGAAGCACTTACTTGGATGCTATGTAATCTGAGATGGGTGCCAGCAGGCGGTCTGCAGGTGAGCCGTTGAGCATGCGCAGCGCGGAGGCGTCTGTCTTGGTTGCAAAGAACTGGAAGATGGACAGCATGCAGCGAGCGCTGATGTCGTCACACGACAGAAAACCCAGCGCATACGCCACAGGGTTCCTGCAGCCACACAGATTCATAAGCGACCCATGTCCCACTCCCAAGCCTTTTATCCAGAGCAGAGCCCAAGATAACTGCAGATCGAAATCAATGAAAAGCAACCACCACACGGCATGCGCAGTGCATCCTCAGGCACGTATATCCGCAGGTTCAGATTTTCTAAGAGCGTCAAAGTGGCTGCATGGCTGGCACGCACCACATGCGGTCAATGGAGGCCTGGCTGCCGCCGTGGCTCTTGAACCACAGTGTGAAGGACACGCTGTCCAGAGCGCGCACAGAGCGCATGCCGCCCTCCGGGTCAAACAGCGCCCTCACCACTGGCGAGGTGCCCAGCGCCAGTGAATTGGCCACCTGCCCACACATCCTGACCATGAAAAAACCCCGCCGGGATATTTCTTGGACAAAGACCATTCTACTTTAACAAGTGCTCCTCGTATGGTCTGTGGGGCAAAGGAAGCTGAAAGACTACAGCATGCAGCGGACCTTGTCGAGAGTTGACAGCTGCGGCGTGGTGAAGAAGGCTTTGAGGCCATGGAAGGGGGCGCCGATCTTCATGTTCCCCAGGAAGAACCGGAAGTCCAGCTCGCGCACGTCGCCGCCAGTGTTGACAAAAGTGTGCACGTGCTCTTTGAGCAGCAGGTTTTGCAGCACGCCGCACTTGGCCATCAGCCTGAACAGGTTGAAGTAGCAGCCAAAGAACTGCGGACAGGCACACAAGCGCTGTTTCAGAGACTGCCTGACCCGTCCGTACTGCAGTGAGCATAGATGAGGGAGCAGAAAAATTCAAGATTGGCATGGGGAGCACACCACATGTAGCCCCATCTCAACATGGTTGCCATCCTTCTGCCAGCTGGCAACCTTTCCGCCAATGAATGGCCGTGACTCATACACATCCACCTCATAGCCCTGATCCAGCAGCTCCACAGCAGTGGACAGCCCGGCCAGCCCACTGCCCACAATCGCCACCTTCAACTTTGGGGCACCCTGCAGGCATGCAGGACCACTCAACACAGTCGAAAACAGGAGGAACAAGCCCTTCTTGCAGTTGCAGCAACCATCAAAGTGACGAAAGCAAGGAGTTGTGGCGCTCACAGGCGCTATGTTGGGGATTTCAGGGAAGAGCGATCGCAGGGGAGCATCCTTAAGTCCCACATCATCTACACCAGGCTCTGTGCGCCCCAGTGGCGCCGCTAAGGCAGCAGAAACTGCACAAACAATACGTCACCAAATTGCTGATCACCGGCGTAGAAAGAATCAGAAACAAGCATTGACGATCGTCAGATTGTCAAAGGTATATTGGCAGAGAAATCGAGGCCAACGACCTGCCACACCAAAGCTGCCCAAAACTAGACCACTTACCTTGCCTCCTGGCGTGTGTATGCTGGATAGGACGCAAAGATGATCGCCTGTTTGTGAAAAAGAAACAAGAGTGCTGCGCACTCAACGTGGGCCTGACATTCATGAGCCTGTATGTTTCACTCGCCATTGGTGTTCTCATCAACTCACGGTCGAATAATGAGAAGCTTCACATTGAGGAAGCACAATGCATTGGAAAAACAGTAAGTTTAAGAAGGAAAAGTTAGTGGAGATCCAGTAAGGAAGAAATAAGTTCTAGCCCATCGCGGACGTATGGATAGAGATAGAGGTCGCCACGTCGATGGTGATGATGATGAGATCACATGGGAACTCTTATTCGACAGCTAGGCAATAACTGAAGTCTGCTTAAAGCATTTGTGCTATTACTCGTATTTCTGCTCGCTGTGGAAACCCTCTGCACAGCCTTCCTCTCGTTGATTGCACGATTTGAAAATATTGGTTATCACAGATGGCAGATGGCGGTGCTCCTCGTGTGGAGATCAAAACAACGCTGGGAACTTTTGAAGTAGAACTATATGTGAAGCACGCTCCCCGCACATGCAAAAACTTCTTGGAGCTGTCTCGAAGAGGGTATTACAACAACACTGTGGTGAGGCCATCAGTTGGTTCCAAGAAGCTTTTACAATGAAGCGTGGTAGGTGGCTCTGGGTCTGATGTTTCCACGCGTCTGCACAGATGCACAGGATAATAAAGGACTTCATGATTCAAGCAGGAGACCCCACAGGTATGTTCGAACAGAAGATTAGTGTGATCTCCCAGGACCTGAAGTGAAATTGCTTAAAGGTGTCATCATGCATAGTACGTGTCGTCCACAGGCACGGGGAGAGGGGGAGAGTCCATCTTTGGTGGAAAATTTGAGGTATGCTATTGTCTGGTCCAAGCTTAATGGTTGTGCAAGACCCTGAGATGGTTCATCGTTCACTTTGCAAAACTTGACAGAGATGGCTTGGGTTCATTGCAGGACGAGATACATCAACAGTTGCGTCACACAGGAGCGGGCATCTTGAGTAAGCGGTCCCACTGGCAATCCTTGGGTTTTGCATTGCATGTGTAAGCATGTGAAAATGCTTCATCTTTCAGAATGTCAGGCCAGTCCAGACCATCCCTTATGTTGTCTTCCAGGTATGGCCAACTCAGGCAAGGACACTAACGGCAGCCAGGCAAGCTCCCGCTCTCTCACTTGCATCTGGTTGCAAAGAGCATGGCGTTAATACTGGCAACTTTATACTATTTTGTCAAATCTGATGGCTGTGTGCAGTTCTTCATCACACTCAATCTCACACCGCATCTTGATGGGAAGCATACAATTTTTGGGCGTGTCTGCAACGGGATGAGCGTTGTAAAGAGGATAGGAAACACTCAAACAGGTGCCTATTGACCAGCTATTCTTCTTAGCCTGCCACTCATGCCTCCAGTGTCCAGGTGGTGATCCAAACAGTGCAATTCTGTATCTTTCTTATGCACGTGTGCCATGTGCAGACGCTAATGATCGGCCAACAACAGCAATAAAGATTCTATCAGCAGCGCCTCTATAGCACTAGCGAGCCTGTAAGGTCTTCTTCTGTTTCCACAACTCAATGGCTCATCGTTGAGGTCTCCAGTGTCCATGTTCGAGGGCGCACTTATCACTGATGTTCAACATGCTTTATGACTGGGCATTACATGGCTGGATGCATTCTGACAAGGGCCTCACTGGGAGCGTTCTCTGGTTAAGGTGTGCATATGTCTTGTGGTGATGATATTCTAGCTTGGAGCCCACTGGCAGAATTTGCAATGCTTTTGGAGGTAGATACAATGCAGAGAGACACTTCTTAAACATGCAGCTACGAGTTTGGCCGCATAATTAAATCCCATGTTGCGCAAAATTGTTGCATCAGCTGAGACGAGTTGGGTGTCACGGGAGGGCACCGACTGATTGCAACAGCTGGAATGAGGGGAGACTTCAGCTTGTACTGTATCGCAAGCTTGCAAAGGAATTTGTGGTAGCTACCATACCTGTGAGAGATTGTCGTGCTGAACGCTAGCGCTATAGCGCTATAGATCCTGGTTTTTTAGATCAGAATCCAGGGCGCAATTCCCTCGCATTGATGCAGAAAGCCGATGTCAACATCATCTGCACAGGGAAAAGACACTGCAACAACACAGAATAATCCTCTTCTCAAAATTTTTGCAATTGTGGGGAATTTGGAAGCTCTAAAACTGATCATCCACTTGAGTTTGTTGAGCTCTTGAGATTGATGAGCTTCTGCATCACTCCAGCTGTGAGCGTGGAAAGAATGTGCAGAATGCTGATGATCTTCTACTCATACTCCTTCGAACTTGAAGCGCCAGAGGGTATTTACAATCTCCTGGGAGATCACCCATGGCTGGGCCAGGTAGGTTGGCCGGATCCCTGCTAGCTCAGCCGCAAGAAAGACCAGCTGCTATACAAATACCTCTAATACTGCACAAAGCATGTTCCCTATCGGTGATTCAGTACAAATACACAAGTAACAAAGACCCTGTGTCGCGGGATTTGCTACAAAACGAAATGCGTGAGAGCTTGCAGAAACGATAAACCCCGCGCCCACGGCCAGTCGCATAGCAACTGAGAGCTCTCCCTCAGCGAGTCATACTGTCATTATATTAGCTCTGACACTTTAAATGCCCCTGCAGCACTCAAGGCATTGCAATGTTTAAAACAAACTGATCCTCGCGGAGATGTCAGCATTAAACGCCAGAGCGTGAAAGTTTCCACAGGTGGACATTCTGCAAATAAATGATGATGCTTAATCCAGGTTGCCGTTACTGCACCCTGACAGCAGCCCCTGCTGCCAGCTGGCTGTTCATCGCCTGGTCCAGTGTCTGCTGGACTCCAACACTCTGAGCCATGTGGTTCTGCTGTGACGCCTGTTGCTGCATGGTGGCCTCCCCCTGTGAGGGTGACGGCGCTGAATCTGATGCATGCATGCCATCCCGGTCAGCATCTGGCGCAGCAGGCAGGAAGACAGAGTCTGCAGGGCCGTTGGGCTGCTGGTTCCTGCTGTCTGCCTGGCTGTCGCTGGGCTGGCTGGATGCTGCGCCACTGTTGGAGTTGCCGCTGATCTCCCCTGACAGCTCCAGGGCCCTCGCCTCCTGCGCGGTCAGGAAGCGGCCGCCCGCCCCGCGTATGCGCCGCGTCGCGTGGTTGTGCCGTGACTGGTGCAGGTAGGGCTGCGCATGGGGACAAGATGTCAGCGCATGCCAGTGCAGCAGGACAGACGCAGTGCTTCAGCCCGGAGAACCAGGCAGCATCTATCTATGTAACAGCACATGTGAAGCATGCATTGGCATTTTTTTATTCTGTGCCGGCAGCAGTCAGAGGGCCACTCACTCTGCGTGTTTTGATCAGCTTGTTTTCTGCTTCTGCCTTGGCTCGCTGCTGGCGTCGCCTCAGTATGCAGTGGTATTGCTTCGCATTGACGTACACCGGCTCCTCTTCCATGATTTCTGTGGGGAGTGCCAAGCGGGCCTGGCCACCGGCCACCGTCGGTGCTGCTGCCGCCTGCAGTTGTCAAAACACAGCTATCTCTAGCGTGGACTGAACACCTGTTGAGTTTTTGTCCACCATGGATCCGACACGGGTTAGCTATGTGCAGCTATTGGCTGACAGGATGACGCCAATGACAGTGAGGGGGTGAGGGACGTACCACCGGCTGGTTATACATCAGGCTGCCATAGTACGGATCATACTGGTAAGGTCCCTGCACAGTATAACAGCCGTTCAACCGCACATGTCCATATTCGTCACAACTGGAGCACCTGAATTGCATGCATGCCACAGGCAGATATTTCAAAGGTATCTTACCTGCGGATAATAGTATTCAGGCGCGGCAACAACGCCTGACACAGCGGCCTGTGCACCACCCTGAAGCATTCCTGCTTCATACCCTGCGTCCACATTAAAGAATTTGTCCACAACTGCATACCGGGCGATCTCAGAGCTTCAATCAAGGCAATGATGATGTCACACCTGCAACTGCGGGCGGCCCATGCAGCCCCATCCCGGACTCTGCCGCGCCATCTCTTGCCAGTGCTGATAGGTTTGTGGAGCCCTCTGGCTGTACAATCAGCGCTCTGCTGAATGCTTGGGCACTTGCATCACTGAGACGATCGCCAGAGGCACTCAGGTCGTGACTGCTCCCCGCATTTGACGGGAGCATAGGTGAAGTCCCTGATGAAGGAAGGGTCACGCTTACGTCGACGTGTTTCTTCGACCAGACAATCTGCCCCAACAGGTTGGTGTTGCTTTCAGTCCAGCCCCCCTTTGTGGTGCTTCGGAGAGGAAATGAGCCCTGGAGATTTCACATCATGCCAGAGAGGGCAATCAGTGCCAACTGGCAGCCCTCTGTGGAGTATGTGCTCAAATGAGGTTTTAAGCGCCCTTGATGACAAGAATAATGCAAATTGACACCAAGTGGGCACTGCCGGACGTCGCCGATGGGCAAATTGAGCGGCTGCTATGGCTTTAGAAGGGAGTGAGCCTCGCTCTGCCTGCCCAATTCCCTTGCGTAACGCAAAATTCGACGCGAATCAGAACGCTATCTTTTTCAAAACCCTAGGTAAAACCTACCATTTTGCGGGGAGGTTAGAGGGTTTGGAAATAACTAATCTCCATCCCTAAATTCTGGATGCCCTGATAATCTAGACGGTAATCTTCTTCATCCTCTTCTTATGACCCAGCAGGACAGCACAAACTTGAAGTGAGCACCGATAACTCTTGCATGCAGTGTTGTCTCTGTGCATTGTGAAGGCAGCATGGCCATGGGACTCCCGATCGGATCATCACGATGATGACATGCACCAAGGCCGCCTTCAGCCGCGCGCATCTTGGCCGGAACCCATGCATTTGCGCCGGAACCCATGCATGTGCGCACGCCACCGGCCGGTGATACTGCCGGTGTGGACACCGTCGCCATGTCATACATATGTAGCAGTTGGTACCCCCGCACGGCATCAAATCACAAGTCAGCGTGTAGCCCATCTATGCCATCAATCACATCTCCATGAACAGGATGACGCTTGGTCTGTCTTCAAGACAAAGTTTGCAGATTGGTCATCGCATAAAATGACTACTTTGTTATGTCAGTCTTCAACTTACATTACAGAAAATTGTGTATTGTAACGGCCATGAACTGGGTCAAGGCACCCTGTCGCACAGATTATGTACCATGTTGACTAGAGCCAGTGACTCGAATTCACTGGCGCGAGCATAGTGCTAATTGGCGGCATTGGCTCCAATGGCTTCATGCTGGCGTCAAGAGAGAGAGAGAGATTACACTTTTTCCAGCCACGCAGGGCTGATTAAGCGTCCCACATATCTCAAACCATCAGTAGCACACACATCATGAATACTCGAAAATATGCATCCCAGCACGCAGACAAGTATCAACTGCCAAAAAGGACTGCAAGGCTGCTTGTGGATGTATGTCGGTCCAAATCAGCGACAAGTCAAGGGCAGGACATGGACGCAAATCACAGGCCAAACAGATTGTGCGTGCTGCGGGTGGGTCCAGCCATTTGCTGTCATTGTAAAGACTGCCCAAATCCTTGCAATAACAGCGCTTCTCGGTGAAACAAGCAAGGGGGGTACCCAATGCCCCACAATGCTTGCCGCCACCTGTATTGCTAAGCTACTACACAGCAGCATGTAGACCCGTACCGAACCAGCAATGCAAGGTCACCAAACAGAGCCTCAGACCTGCACTTGTACTGTGGATCAAGTACCCCCACAAGGAGCACAGCTGAGTGGTTTGCAAAGGCACACCTGGACTGGCAGGTGTTCAAGGAGCTGCAATCAGGTGAAAACTGCAGGAGGTTAGACTAAAATCTCCTCAAAGCCCCAATACAGCTTGTACGCGCTTTGTCCTAGGTTTGGACCAGGACCCAGAACATCCTGCCTGGGTTTTGCAGGGCACACACAAGAACGCAACACTGCAAAATCTGCTTGTTCTGTAAAAGGTCTCATGGCCATTTCTATTACTGCGGTCGATTCTTCGCGTCAGACAATGATGCAAACAGCCGTCGCATCCTTCTTTTACTGGTAATGGCGGCTGGCGGCTGTTGCCTCTTCCGCCCCAACCAAAGCTTGGCCGTCCTAGATATTTTTACTACTGTGTCATTAACATCAATTTATTATTATGCTTCCCAGCCGCTATCGCCTGGCCTCTGTCTGCTCCGTTTTTGTATACCCACATTGTTGCTGTCAGGGCAACCTCTGTTGAAGCGTCGCTTTGTGCCCGGCGATTATTTCGTCTGATTACATCCTTTTCATTCAATTCTCTGTGATGTTGCCTGGCTGCTGAAGCCCGACCCAGTTGATCAGTGGTTTATGGTGATGCCGATAACTGTAAAAGGGCCGCCTCTATCGAAGCACCTTGCCCAGCCATTATGTATGTTGCCATGATTGTCGAGGAGCCGGATCCCGAAGGACCCAGGCCCCACCAGAACCTTTTAAGATGACCCTGACATTCACTGAATGCATCTCAGGCAAGAAACAAAAGGCTCAAGCACTGCTGAGATGATTTCAAATGTCCATAAAAGTGTAAATAACAGACACACGACCTCGATCTAATGCCAGGATCGCAGACATAGAAACCCATGGCATGCAATTGTCAATGAAGCTGTAGGAAACCAATGCTTATTTGGCATGGCCATTGAGATTTGCTTGGCTAGCAAGAATAGAATGCTGATCAGCTGACAGATAAGTAATTTGGCAATGGCCCTTAAAGATTTTTCAAGAAATGCTGGAAAGGTTGAAAGGAGATTACTCAATGCTGACAGATCAAGAGCATACGCACTGCTCTTCAGAGTTCTTTGCATATGTCCAATATCCAAAGTACTCAGCTCACTTCTGACTGCAAGTAATACTCTCTTCTGATTCTAAGAGATCAAACCTCCGTTCTGAATCTGTGCCTTGGTGCTTCCCTTGAACTGAGCTACAGCTTTCTCAGCAGGGATCAATTCCGCAGTGCCGCCAAACTCTGTGGGTAGCACCTGCACATGTAATAGCAGCAAACATCAAGATGCTTCAGACTCAATTGATGCACATCACCAAAATAGTGAAGACCATCCGGAAAGGTGTCAATTTACGGCTGAAAAAGATGCTTATGGGCAATTGCCAGAACTGAAAATGTGGCTGCTTTAGGTTGTCACCTCTGGAGAAATGATGCTCTGGATTTCTTTTGCCCCTGAGGAGCCGTACACAAAAATCACTTTCTTCTTTGTCTCTGGATCAATGAAAGGGCTGACTGCGTGCCAGAGAGCCCAGAAAATTGTCGGAGCTTCATACATGTAGAGGGCCCCAAGCCTGCCGCATGCACCAGCACACATCAAATGGATGCAATGGCCATTGTTGGTACATCCTGGACAACACAGCCAGCATAGAAAACCTCCGCACCTCTCAGGATAATGGTTTTGCAGGAGGTCAAACACAGCCCGCAGAGCACCAGCGTCCAAGCAGTCCATGCCGATTCCTTCATATAGTGCCACCACCCTCTCAGACACTTGTCGGCGAAGTAGTGGGTCTCAAAAATGCAAAGAGACGAGCGCGCCTGTATAATAAAATTGTGGGCGCACCACGCATGTCAAAGATGCCGATGCCTTTTCCGTCCGGATTGCGCACTGCATCATGCAGCTGAATCTGCTGCTCCAAACTGTAGCAGATCAAACGCTTGGTCTCGTCCAGATCACGGGTTGACTTGCTGTGCCGTGCTGTCAGCAGTATAATAATCCCACGGCCAAACTTGTCACAGCCTTGCACGAAGACCTTTTGAGCAGCCAGCTCATTCTTGATCTCCTCCTGCAATGCATACAGACAGCGCATGATCAATGCCTATTGCATGCAGGAATGCTTCAAGGCAATCATGCAGGGCTGCCAGATTTCAGAGGTAGGTTACTAGTAAACTACCTCTGAGATGCTTCCATTAAGGAAGAACACTTTCCTCCATTCAGCATGCTCTCTAAGCCGCTTCTCTGCTTTGGGCACATTGTATTTTTCAGCCCGCAAGAAGCGCAGCAGAAGGGCTTCGAGGCCTCCCTTATCTTGCAACCCTTGCTCTCCACCGCTGTAAAGGACAAGCAGAGACTTGTAAGGAACAGAGAACACTTGATCAGCTTTCCCTTGGATACACCGAGTTGATTGTTCCTGGACGCATTTCATTTCGATATAACAGGCAAACAGCTGATACACACCTCCGAAGACTTGCTTCAACATCGGATCCGCTGATGTTCTTGATGAGGTGTTTCAATGCTGATGCCTTATCCTCTTCTTGCACCTATGGGCAACGCCAGATCACTTCACAGATCAGCAATTGACAAGCCCTCTCCCAACCAACACAATCCCAGACACCTCGCATACCTCAGATCCCTTGAGAAAGGAAAGCATTTTTCGTATTTTCAGATCAGTCCGTCGATGAGCAATAGATGCTGATCCAACACGCCTTCTAAGAAGACGCTCCCAAACCAGTGAGGCCCATACAAAGCTGAAGTGACGCCCTGCTATCCCTGTCAAACGCTGATTGATGTTATCTGGCCCGATTTTGAGTGTTGTTGTCGTGAGAATTCACTACAGCACTGTCACTCGGATTCCCCAAGGCAATGGATTCGCCAACCGGTGACATCACGTGGAAGCTTCCACGTGGGCCCACGAGGGATAAATTCGAAATGCACAGCCCAGGGAGCCCAAGAAAGCAGTTAGCAGAAAGCTGATTAATGTGAGCATCACATGACACTGCAAATATCTTCGATGTGGCATAGCTGACATTTGACCTGTGTAAGTTATTTGTGCCTTCCACTGGTTCCTTGTGTCTCACAGCAGCATCTCCTGCTATAGTCGAAAGACCTTCCTGCGATGGGGCCCCCCAGCGATGATGCTGACCTCTACACCAATGCAGAAGCAATACTTCGCTTTGAAGCATACAGGTACGACGAGTTTCCTGTGAGTTTGAGAGAAATTTTATCTTTATTGAAGTTCACTGAAACTGTCATTCATTGTTAATTTGTCTAAGATCATTGGGCTTTACACAGCCGACTCCAAGCAGCTGCTGTTGCTTTTGGAGAATCTCTGCCGATACCAGAGATCGTAGCTATCGGAGGGCAGGTGGGCACCAATCCCTTCAAGTCGCTGCCATTGCATGAGACAGGGGTTTTGCAACCACAATACTCCAGACAATAATGCTTTGTTTTACATCCTTGATGCCGTCATTTGTAACCTTGATCGATGGCTTGTACTTTACTGGCTGTTCTGCATGTCGTAGAGCGATGGGAAGTCTTCACTGTTGGAAGCATTCCTTGGATTCAAGTTCAACGTCAGGTGTGCTTGCTGATTTGAGAACTGGAAACAGTTCAATCGAAGCTTATTTTGCAACGCTGGTATCCTGAGTTCGGATTTTAAGCATTTAATTGATTGTTGTCCAGGGAGGTGGAGATGGGCACTCGCAGGTGTGCATCATTGCCATTGCAGACCTCCCTTTGTAAGATCGAAGAAATTACTACATGCCTCCCCAACTGCAAAAAAACTAATTAAAGTATGTTGTACAGGCCCCTCATTTGCCTAATGGTCCACGATCCCACAGCGGAGACACCGCGCTGCAGACTTCAGGCAGAGGACTCTGAGGAATTTGGCTCACCCATATACCCTGAGACTGCAGTGGCTGAGGCAATCAGAGAGATGACAGAGGCCCACCTGCGCCAAACAGGAGGCATGTGCCTGCACATGCACTCATTGCAGCAATTGAATACCAGCAAATGTGATCAGTTGGTAAAACCCAAGACAGAGGTTCAGCAATTGGGTGCACTGCTGGGACAGGAACCGTGTCAGCCAAGCCAATCGTGCTGCGTGTTGAGTTTGCATATGCGCCCAATCTGACCATAATCGACACACCTGGATTCATCCTCAAGGTGCGCCAAATTGAGCCCCTCAAATTTGCCAGATCATCTCCTGTATATGCTGCTCTTGATCCTCCTTTTGATGATGTGGGTTCTGACGGGGCTGTGAGCACAGGCGAGGCAGGGAGAGGGAGACAGCACTCCCAATGACATCTTGGAGATGGTCAAGGCTCAAGCTGCTCCTCCCAACAGGCACGTGCCTGTCCATGTACATGTTGCCAGTCCTAAATGCCATGGAGAATGGATAGAGTGAAACAGCGTTTTCGGGTGCAGGTTGATCCTCTTCCTCCAGCAGAGCAGCGTCGAGTGGTGCAGCTCCCTCTGGATGCATGTTGTCCAAGAGCTTGATCCGCACTTCCAGAGAACGGTGAGTGTGGCATGCCACTGCTCATGCCAACTTGAACATATACACATCCATCACTTTCAGCCAGATATAATGATTTCTGCTCTCTTACAACATGAATCGTGACATTTTGCCCGTGACAATGTGAAATCACAGCTGATGCCTGATCCTTGCTTGTTGCCAGATCGTGGTGGCCAGCAAGTTTGACAACCGTCTCAAGGAGTTTGCAGAGCGCTGGGAGGTGGACCGGTACCTGTCTGCTGCAGGCTACCTGAGCGCAAATGTGAAGCCCTTCTTCGTGGCGCTGCCAAAGGTGTGCACTCATCAGCATTGCTGACTGCTCTCTGATTCTCTTCACTTCAATATACATGGCTTTGTTGATTGGCCGGGTGTGGTAGTGGTATTGGGGTGCATGTGTGCAGGAGCGCACCATCATCAAGAGCAGCGAGTGGAGGGAGCAGATCCAGGCCGTGGACAGGGATTGCCTGCAGCACCTGCGCAAGGAGATCGCTGGCGGGTTTGACGAGGAGCGCTTTGGATCCTGCATCGGCTTCGGCAACCTCAAAAGGTGCCTTGCATGCGTGCCTGACAACATTGCGCTGCAACACCGCAGCAGAATTAGAACATCACTCATCGTGCTGAATCAGGTTTTCGTTTAGCACTTTGATCGTTTCCTGTAGGTATTTGGAGGAAGAGTTGGCCCGGAGGTACAGGGATGCAGCACCGGCGACACTGGCGTTGCTGCAGGAGCGCTCCAACACTCTGGCAGCCGAGCTGGCGCAGTCGGAGTCAAAGCTGCATGACATGCAGGACACGGCTTCCCTCAGGCGACTGGGTATGCCATGACCCCCCCTTTACAGCCTTACATTTCGCATGCATATATGACCAGCAGTGATAATGCAGCTGGCGTGATGACATGGGTCCGGTGCGCAGCCATGAAGCAGGTGGGAGGCGCGGTGACGAGCTTCCAGGAGATGCTGCTGGAGGGCGTTGCCTCACCCGAGCTCATGCAGCACGGCCTCACACTGGAGGAGGAGCGCGCAGCCAGTGGCACCCCTCAGGTCACCATCCAGAACATTCTCCTGTGGCCCACCCTCTTGGACTTCTCGTCGACGTTATACTCGCCGAGGATACTGACTGCAGCTCTTGTCTTGCATGCCTGAAGAGTGCTGGATTTGTGCGCGAGCTGACTGTGCTGCTGTGTGCGGGGACCAGTGGCCGGGAGTGCAGGGCGCGGCGGACGTGGCGAACGCAGAGCTGCGGCTGCTGGGGGGAGCCTCCTTCGAGCGCAGCATGGCCGACTTCCAGGCCGCCGTCACCCAGCTCCCCTTCCCTGGCGGTGAGCCCCTCCCAGCTGGCGCTTTGGGGGACCGCTACATGCACTCACCCTGGCTGTCGCTTATGCTGCGGACTGTGCCCTTCTCATCCCAGTGCTCCTGTTTTCCTGGAGGGCAGAGCACGCGCCGGATGTCTGACAACACTCGCGCCCATTGAAGATGAACATGATGCAAAAACCCAAGTCTCTTGTTCAAGTGCATATGGGAAGGCACGAGCGCACTGCTGAGAGGGTGTGCCAACGGGTGCAGTGGGTCACGCGAGCGTGGCAAATGTGCTGCTGTCGCTGAGCCTGAAGGGAGCGGGTGGCACGGCGGCGGCTGCGCGGGCGGCGCAGGATGTGGCGCGGTCGGCGGCGCGGACGCTGCTGCTGCCGCTGCTGGACCGCCTCATCGCGCGCCTGGCTGCCGTCCTGCTCCGCACCTGGCACATCGCCGTCGACCACGCCGCGCCCCAAGGTGGGGCATCATCCTGGGGGGTCAATTGCGCAGAGCTCCTTAGCAGTCGCTTCCGAGAGCACCGGAGAGGATTTGCAAAGACACCACCTCGGGCCCACCCCGGCCCCACGGTGGCACCGGCCCTTGCAGACTTGTCTCCTAGCTTTGACTGCGTTGAACGTTATGAGTCGTATTGGTCGCAACCTCCCCAATCCAAGACAAGCTGAGATCACTGTCGTCTCCGTGATGCGGCAGTGTCGCGTGGAGCCATGGAGTTCATGGCACTTGGCTGAGATGATGTAGACGCTGTGAATTTTGCTGCTTGATGGTGCATGGTGAGATTTTAACGGGGATTAAACGGGGGTGCGCAGACAGCGCGCTGCGGCCGTATGTGGCGTTCAACGCGGAGCTGCGTGCTGCGTTCCAGGCGTTTGTGGGCGGCCTGGAGGAGCACTGCCGCGGCATCGTGCGCCACCAGCTCGACGTGGCCACCAGCGCCTACGCTGCCAAGGCCCACTCCATCGCCGCGCTCAGCCTCGCGGACGATGATGACTGCGAGGAGAACATGCCACCTGCGCCCACCCAAGTCCTGCACGACAGGTACGGCACCCTCTAGCTGAGCCTCCCCTTGATGTCTTGCTTGCCTGCAATAGGGAGGCTGGAAGGAGGCAGGAGGTAGGCGAGGAGCGCTAAGATGTGTGATGTGTTGGGATCAAGTAGATGATACACTGCATGCATGCAGGGACATGATGGCGGCGAGCCAGATGACGGTGCCTGAGACACCGTCGCCGGAGGTGCTGGCCAACACCCGGCGTGCGCGACGGCCTCTGGCCTCCTTCCAGACCACGGCCCCATCCAAGCCCGCCAGCAACTCAGTGCGGACCCCTCTTTCCCATCCCGCCCCCCGGATTCGCCCTGAACAACTTTTTCCATAACTTGCAGAGGGATATGACTTCAATGCTTGTCAGATCCCTTAACAAGGGTGTGCCTCTGGTGCACATGGCTCGGAGCACAGAAGTACTGTCCTTCAAGATTTTCAAAGCAGCAAGGTATAATTATGGAGGACTGTAGTTCCAAAAGGTGGTTGTACATGCCGATTGTGATGGCTGCAGCTTTGCTAGCCTGCCATGTAGGTAATGTAAGCCATCAGGTGGTTAGTAGTCTCAGAGCCGTGACATGACTGTTGATGCTGCAGGTGAACAAGACGTACAGCAGCGTGTGCGCGATGGCGGAGCGTCACTTTATGGCAATCCGGCGCAGCGTGGCGGCCGAGGAGGCTCCGGCGACGCTAAAGGCCGCCTTCCTCGAGCCCATATCGCGCCGCCTGGCCACAGACCTGTCCATCCACCTCTTCGCGCGCACCGACCAGCACTTCATGACCTGGTTTGCATGTGAGCCCCGAATACCACTGACACTGGATGCTTTGACAACAGAGCCCGGTTCAGCACTGTTGCAGCATCCTGTGTTGCATGGCTTCAAGAATACTGTTGTGGAATCCACAGATATCAGGGATCATGAAGTAGTGTTTGGGCGGACTGGCAAAGGGGAAAGTTGGGCTGAGGCAGTTGTGTGGTGCAGCTCCTGGGGCGGTGGAGGTGCTGACTGCAAAGAGGGACGGCCTGGCACGGAGGGTAGAGGGACTGGTCAGGTGCAAGAATGAGTTTGCAGAGCTGGCGCGCTGCTTGTAGCCAGTTTCATATCGCACATGAGAAGACCTGTGTATCTGACACCGCACTTGAAATCTGTTCACGGATGAAGTGCATCTTGATCTAAATTCTTTACCACGCTGTCAGATCTGAGTCTAGCTTAGTCTGTACTGCACAAAGATCTCAGTAAGTCACAGAAGCTTATTCAGATCGTATCCACAAGCCTCTTTACAATTAGCTATATATTTGTCGCTGTGAGCGAGGTTGTCAGCATAGTCTTATTCGTCGCACTCTATGATACTCGCATCAGTTAGTCAACAAATGAGCGTCAAAGCTATGTAAAATCAGTGCTAAAACATGGAGCGTTGCACTTGATGTCAACTGCGCCAACGAATGCAACAAGTAGACATGATACACAGGGTCATGCACATTCGTCCTCCTATAAAGAATTGGGACAGGCAAGGGCAGCGGCCCACACTGGCACAAACCGTTTGTGGTGGATAATTCACATGATACATCAAGCATGAGCACCGGGGTGCGCAGGCATCGAGATGTCCAGCGCAAAATTGACAGCTGATGGCAGCAAAGCAACAGAGAGCTGCATGAGCGGCTCTTTTAAAAGTCAGAAGTCCTCGTCCATTGTGAAAACATAGGCCTGCCGCTCTCCAGCTGGCTGTGCGCCATTCATCACCCCGGCCCTCTGGTACTCGCCCACCCGCCTCTCAAAGAAATTGGTCTTCCCCTGCACGCACCACTCTCTTGCTCAGAGCACTGTCCCAGATATGCAAGCCTTGCTGGCTTCTGCAACCAGATATGTACTCCCGCAATCTACTCCAAACATACATTGGAGCATGCACGTAATCACAGGCGAAGAGTGTTCCATGGCGAAGGCGCAACAACCCACTGCCTCCTGCCTTCAGGCAAAGTTTCCAGTAAATTTGCACTCCAGATTCCAAGCACCAAATCAGCAAATTGCACGTGAAGAGTGGCCCATGCAAGAAGAGCACCTGCAGGGAGATCATCTCCATCCAGTCGAATGGGTTGGCGGTGTTGTACAGCTTCTCACAGCCCAGGGCCACCAGCAGGCGGTCGGCCACGTAGTCAATGTACTGGCGCATGAGGTCAGCGTTCATGCCCACCAGCGCGCAGCTGAGCGCCTCGCAGCAGAACTCGTGCTCCAGCTCCACCGCCTCCCGCACTATTCTGTACACCGCCGCCTGCGACACCCAGCACCTCCAGTAAGACTCCAATACTTTGTCACAAAGTGATGCATTGGTAACTTGACGTGTGCCGCCATGGGGTCTCTCACATCATCGTGAAGTTGAGCCCCTTGACAGTCGAGGTAGCAGTAATTCTGATGAGCGTGCTCGGGGCTTGTCACAAGAACGGCTTCTCTGACACCCTGTCTCTATGCCCTCAACATGCAGCTCATGAAAGCGCACGCAAAGGTGAGTTGTGGGCACATGGGTGCGCACCTGGTCGAGGGGGTGCTGCAGTTGGCTGTAGAGGAGGCAGGCAAAGTCGGTGTGCAGGCCTTCGTCACGCGAGATGAGCTCGTTGGAGAAGGTGAGCCCGGGCATGAGCAGGCGCTTCTTCAGCCAGAAGATGGCGCAGAAGGAGCCGCTGAAGTGGATGCCCTCCACGCAAGCGAACGCGACCAGCCGCTCGGCAAAGCTCTCCCCGCCGCCGATCCATCGTTGCGCCCACTCCGCCTTCTTCCCCACGCACGGCACCGTCTGGATAGCCTGTGCAGACGAGCGCAGCAAGCACCCCTCAAGATTGCCAAGTATCTGCAGCATTACGGTACTGCAATCTGCCTCATGCAGCCCTCCCTTCCCTTGGCAGTGCCTGGCTACAAGTTGCCAGCCACCGTCACAGCATGGACTCCAGGCAAGCCATGCCCGAGTTGACAAATGTTTCCAAGGCTGCTTTTAGAGAGGCAGCATGGCATCTGGCAAATAGAGGGCATCTAGAGGAGCTTCTGGCATCTGAGCGGAATATGCTTGCACTGGCAGCGGGGGTGAGAGGAGGCGGCCGCGCACCCTCAGCATCTTGTCTTTCTGGTCCACATCCCGGATGTAGTGATCTAGCAGCAGGCTGTACATCTCGCTGTGCACATTCTCGATGGCTATCTGGAAGCCATAGAACGCCCTCGCCTCCGGAATTTGGACCTCTGTGGCGGCATTCAGCACACTAAGTTGCTGCTCTGCATTCTGCCGCAATTTTGCAAGCTGCAGATTTCGGAGAGTGGTCAGAGCTTCTGAATGTTAACTGCTACCAAATTAAGTACCTGACATGAAGCGGACAGCCAGGTTCTCCATCACAATCCCGTCAGAAGCAGCAAAAAAGGCCAGGATGTGCGTGATGAAGTGTCTCTCGTCATCTGCGCGGCACAGCCCTCAGCAACTTTGTCTACAAGTTCCCGCACACACGTTGACCTTTGTACTGGAACGCTGCTACAACTGGGAGCCAACTTCACAACGGATCATGCTGCACCGATGGAAACTGAAAGCATGCAGGCCCAATAGCTCGCATGTTGCATCGCCACCGCACCTGAGAGTTTCTCCCAGTCGCGCATGTCCTGGGACAGGTCAACCTCCTCTACCGTCCAAAAACTCGCTACTGCCTTTTTGTACATTTCAAAAACGCCTTGGTACCTGCGCATGCATCACTCTCACACTGAAATGGGCCATGAAACTCACAGATTGCGTCACTCACGACATCAGGCTCCTTTCACCTAGGACACCTAGGACACACCTGTCAACATCCATGTCAAACATATTTGATCCAGCCTGGACCCAAGTTTTGATTTTTGCATCCCAGTGACAAGGAGAATGCCAAATCTTGACGCATGGCAGCATATTGCAAGGATCTCACCTCACTGGGTACATTACAAAGCGGTCCCCGTTTGGAGAGAGAAGAGGCTCATCGCTCTCTTCATTTCTCGAGGAGTTTGAGGATGATGGTGACATAACATCTATGTCAGCACCAGAAGGCCTGCCATCCTCAGCCTCGCCAACATCTGCACTCCTCGAATCATGCTCTGCCACGTCTCGTGGGGTTGCAACGTCTAGCTTTAACGGAGGTGATCTTGGTACAAATCCATTTAGATGAACTGAATCTAACGATCTAGCTAGAGAAGGAATGCTGCAAGGATAATGGTGGACGTCGGAGTGCAGATCACGTCCCAGGAAGTTGGGGGCGCAAAAGTCGACCGTCATCATCGCAATTGCACCAGTCCTGTGACCTCTGCACCCATGAATTTTACAGGTTGGCAATTAGGTGAACATAAGTCGGGCAGCCGCGAGAATGGAGGAGAGAGCAGCCGCACGAAAACGAAAGAAGCTGGGCCGCCTTACCGCCGTGGCCCCCTCAGAGGGAGTTAAAGTCAAGAGAATGCATGCATGATTTTGGAAAGAAGGAAGAAAGGAGAAAGGAATTAACTAATGTCACTCGCTCCATGGCATGATCATCATGCATGATTCGTGCCCGCCTTTTTGAAGATTGTTCAGGAATTGGCCCGATTCACGATGCACGGCGCCGCAGCGGCTGCAGCAAATCCAATTGGAACGAGTCATCATGATAATGGCAAGCGAGTGGGCGCGGCTGCAGGTTTGGACTCGCAACCCGGACTAGCGTTAAACTTGAACCATCACTACTGATTACCTGCCAGCTTGCCTTACATCCCTGCATCTCAGATCTGAGACGATCGAACCCTGCAATCTGAACCTACTAGTAATCCTCTCACTTGAACTCTGTCCTCAACACAATAATCTATTGAGCGCCTATCTTGCTGATCTTCAGGTGAAAGATTAGGTCAAAAGTCATACTTCACATCTCAATGGTGCTGCATGCCCCTCAAGCCTGCCGGGTAGCAGAGCCTTCCTCGTCCACCTTCTTCTGAATGCTCTCCAAGAAATCGGCCACAGTGTACCCCTGTACACAGCACAAGTAACTTGACAACCCTTTCAAGCAGGAAAGCTTGCTGAACTTCCCCAATACACCAGTAGTGGTGACAGGCAATGCCTTGGTATGACAGAGCTGCGACACACCGCAGCGGACAGTCCAAATTGCGAGGGATCCAGCTGGGCGGTCTGCAGTGCGGCGCCCAAAACATACAGCTGGTGGCGCAGCTGCGCGCTGGCCGCCAGCTCCATCAGCGCGGCGTCATTCCGGTGCTCTTCCTGCACCTCAGCACCCAAGTCTTCGACTGTCTATGATGCCCAAGCATGTGCATTGGATGTCCACCTTTCCAGCGGTCTTGTGTTCGGGTTGTCATACACATCCTCTGCGCAGTGGATCTCTCATTACTTCGCCGGAGGTTCCCTCAGCCTTGTCAGGACATGCCCCAGTACCCCACTCACCTCTGGTTGCATTTGCTAATGTGAATGTTGGGGTCCTAACATTCTCGGCATGTGCAAAGAAAGCATACATTCTGCAAATTTCATAGAGTAGCAACAGAGCAAAGGCTTGCAGGATGGTGGCGCACCGGCAGGTGGGGGGCCAGGCGCTCCAGGACCCCTGGCTGGCGCAGCAGGGGGATGATGACTTCGGGGGTCAGAACGTCGGCCAGGTTGGGGCCCGGAGCCCGCTGCATCTGTACCTGCCCGCTGCTGATGCTGCCCAGAGCTGCCGCCAACGCTCTCGCGTCCACTGCAGGCGCGCTGGCCGACGGCGCAGCAGCTGCCGATGATGTCGCAGGTTGCCGAGGCGGGCACTGGATGCTCCTGTTATATTTGATCCCCTCTTGAGCTCTTAGAGGTGCGTCAATGGCTGACGAATGCATGAGCCTGGATATCTGGTGAGGGATTCAAGAGTCTTGCTCACCCCAACATCTCGGCCAGGCGTTTGGCTACAAGGCCGCTCATCTCGGGTTGTACATCTGCTGTGGCGGTGTCCTCATCCTCAGAATCACTTTCAGCTGCTGCACAGACAGACAGAATTTCTTTGGCGGCCTGCCCAAGCATCGCCATAGTATCAAACCAGATTAATTTATTGCGGGGTGCTCTTTGCTCACCTGCACCCCCAGCATTGAGGCAGGTTGTTATTGTCTCGGCAACCACGCTGTCCTGACTCGAATCAGGCTCCTGGGCCCTGCCACAGCACAACCACAGATTGTGAAGCCATCGTACTTTTAGAGATCCAATGTCTGACTGGAAATCAAACTCCTGCAATCCCAGAGCTCACTGAGACTCACCAGAAAAAGTACTGCTGCTCTTCGTACTTCATCACCCAGACCCGCCTCCCCTGTATCAATTCAAAAGTTGCAGACGTTCCGGGCATGACAATGCACTCCACTTCGGGCTCCACCAGCTTTCCATCGCTGTACAGAGCTCCACCATCTGGCAGTCTCTCGGTCCAGGTCAAATGCACCAGGTTGTCTTGGTCCTGTTGCAGCAAGTGCATTAAATGTAAGCTATTTGGTGCCTTTGAAATGACGTCATCCTCAGCATACATGCAAGTACATGAGTAGTCCTCAATCAGAAAAAAACAAAAAATTGGGTTGAGTAAGTAGTTTGTCACAGGGGTCTGATAGAGAATGCAACTCACGCTTAAAACTTCCAATTTTCCCGTTCTAGGATCTGCTACCAGCTGCTTGTCAACCAGATGGCTGATTCCAGCATTAATCCTGAAAATGATCATGTTCTCGACAGACCTGTGAACGGTGGAGACTGCTTCGATGCTTTGAGCGATGTTGAAATACACCTGGTGATGGCAAAATAGTTCTCGATTGATTTGTAGAGCCAAAAAGGTGTGATTGAGAAAAAATTTCTTCCCAATCTCAACATGAACGCAGAAGACGATGGAGATCAATGGAACGCCATTGTAGACACCGACACGACGCCCTCGGCAGAACCCATTTGTGAAATGGTCCACTTCTACAGGTTAAAAGCGTCATTAGATCGCAAAGACTGTCCGTGAGAGATCTGTAAACTATTCCTTGCATTCGAAGATCTGGTGAAGGCATTACTTGCAACGTTGATGAGGTGATGTTCAAGAAATTCACCCCAGAGGACGTCTCGACACAAAACCAGGTGAAATCGTCCATCCAAAGAGGCATCAGAGGTAATTTTTCAATCAGACCTATACTAAGTTAGTTCAGCATCATGCTGCAGGAACAAGTTAATTGCTGATCCTGAAGATAAATGGCTGAATATTGCAACACCTGAGATATATCATTGTTGTGCGCAGCTAAAGTATGTAGTACTTATCCAATTCTGGAAGAGACTGGTGCCATTGAAGACATTCTTCCAAAGAAGGAACAGGCAATCCTCGCCAAACTGTGAGCCCCTTTCTGCCTTCTTTTTGCAATTATTGCTTCTCATGTCCGTTTGGCGATCATTCGTGCATACTATGCATTTAAAGTACACGCTAGGGTCTTGAGAGTGATGGTGGCTTTATTGCAGGCCTGACAGAGTGCAAGTCATTTGCATCAATGGAGAGCCACTGTTCTTCGCCCAAAGAGAGGACAACTGGTTTCCCACTCTTAGACTGCTTCACAAGTACCCGGATATGATGCCAAAGCTACGAGCAGACACAGGCGCCATAAAATTTGTCCTGTCCGGAGCAAACATCATGTGCCCTGGGCTCACATCTCCTGGCGCAACACTTCACGATGAGGTGACTTTGCTGCTGCTCTTCTGAAGCTTTGCACAGCCTGTTGGCACATAATGAAGTGCATAATAGTTTCTCATTGGCGTGTGGTGATTGACTTGTGCTGAATTGAATGGTCAGGTGGATGCCGAATCACCTGTCGCAATTTACGCGGAAGGAAAGGAGCATGCAATGGCGGTGGGTCTCACGAAGATGTCCACAAAGGACATAAAGGAGATCAACAAGGGCATTGCTGTGGAGAACGTCCACTACCTCAATGATGGTCTCTGGAAGAACAACAAGTTTCTTTAGCTGCTCATCTGCGCTTTGTCCACAATATGCTTGTGCCATATGGCATTGCATCGCGTATAATGCATTGCCTAAAGAGCTCTTGCTAAGAGAGAGGGCAGAGCTTTGAACACACAGCGTACTCTCAAAGGATGCAGATAGTTGAGTGGTGTCAAGAGGAGAGCAGCCTGAGGTCAGCAACCTGTCCTCAAACTCATTTTAAGATGGTATCATATTGTTTACAGACTTGGTAAATTTTCAACGAGTAGAGTCATTGCCTGCGCCGTAAGCGTGCACCAAAAGCCCCATCAATGCCATGCACATGTGGGAAAGTGGCCATGAAGCCATTGTCATCAAGGACGCTGTCTGGCAGAAGACCTGGTGGGGCTGGCTCCGCAGTGAAGTCAGGATGCCTTGAAAGGAACGCATCGACGCGCAAGTCATTCTCCTCTGGCTCGATGCTGCACGTGCTGTAGACCAACAGGCCGCCAGGCCTCACAAGCTGCGCAGCCGCGTCCAATAGTTCATCCTGCACAAATGTTCATGGTGCTCTCCTTAAGGTCAGAACTTTCCATGCACCGCTTCTGCGCTCACCAGCAGAACACGCACTCCCACTGAGCACGTGTTCATGCTCAGCAGTATGCGAGCCAGCAATAATCACCTGGCTCAGTCAGGTGGAGACACGCATAGCATTGAGCCACGAGGCAGGAAAAAGCAGACCTGCAGCAGCGCATTGCTCTGGATGTCGGCCGGCTGTCGGCGCCAGCGCAGGTCGGCGCGCTTGGCAAGCACGCCCAGCCCAGAGCAGGGCGCGTCAAGCAGGACGCGGTCAAAGGGCACGTGGCGTTGCCCGGACTGCTCCCGTAGATCTGCCGATCCCACCGTCAGGAAGCCGGCAGGCAACCCCTGCCGCGCGGCAGTGCCAGGCAGCCCCCGCAGCCGCCGTGCGTTAGCGTCGTTGGCCACCAGCTGCCCCTGCGCGCGCAGCTCACCATCTCACACTCTCTCCACTCAACAAATTTGAAGCGGTAACAGAGATGACGGTGAGGGAGCCCCACTGACGCAATCCATCTCTCCCATTGCTATATTCCTACTCTTCTCTTCCTCCCTGGTTCTCACTTTTCACTTCACATGTTGAAAAAAGCAAGGGTGCTGCAAAGCACCTTGCCCAGCATCCTGGCGGCCGCGAATAGCGCTTTGCCGCCAGGAGCAGCGCACGCGTCCAGCACGTGCTCGCCCGGCTGAGGATCCAGCAGCGACACCACCATGCCCGCTGACTCATCCTGCACCTGCATCCCCACAACCACATCTTCGGGTCTTGCTAAGTTGCGCCCCAACCAGGTCAGGGGAGACTCTGTCTTATTGGTAGCAACCTCCAGATCAGCCACTCTGCTCACCTGGCATAGCCCATCCTTGAGCAGTCCTTGCCCCAGGACCTCCTGAAGCCCGCTGTTCACCTGTGGCATGCCAAGCAAGCTTTTAGGAGATGGCATGCGGCGTCTTGGTGTGCTGGAGTACATCTCGTATCAGCAGTAGGGCCCTGGGAAAGCCAAAATGGCGATTCTGAATTGCTAGAGTCTTGCAGGTCACGTACCCGCAAGTACTCCTCTGGCAAATAGGGCGATCGCTCCACATCTACACCACCTTCCTGCAGCTCTTGTTCCAGAACGCCAATGTCCACCTTCATGGTGTTGACACGGAGACTGTACACTGGCCGCCTGCAAAGAGGTACACAAGATGCTTATGCAGGTACAGAGTGCTCAATAATAAAAGAGCTGTCACCATCTCTTACTTCAGACACCTCGAGAAAACCCAGCGGACCTGTTGTTGCTCGCCAGCAGCTTGAGAGTCTCTGCCTCCCCAAAGCGCTGCATCCAGCGCTCAACGAGCCAGGAGGGGTGACTGGCAGCGATGCCAAAGACATCTGCCCGCTGACTCTGACTGAACCCCGGCTCGAGCTTGGGCTTAGGAATCGCATTTGCGGTGCGCATGCGCGTCAAGTTTCTCAAGACCCCTGCAGCAGCAATGCCCGTATTGTCTTCCTGCATCATCTGCCATGTGGCACATCAGCTCTGCAAAAAAGACGCAACTGCTTTGCAAGTCAACACCTGGTGTCCTCAATGTGCGCACCATTCACAAGACGAGCAGCCTCAGGTCGTACTAGTTCCTTTGCCAGGTCGACATGGCTATTGATTGCCCAGTCCGGCTTTCTAAGCTCGAGGAGCTCAAAGATGCCCAGCCTGAGTATCTGCAGGAGCTGTGGATCCAGGGCCCCTCCTGTTGGTCTGAGCTGGCTGATCAGCCAATCCAACCTCCTTCTCCATCGAGTCACACCTGTTGCAGTCCCAACAGGCTGCTCACCATGAATCTGGACAGACTGGAGCACGGTACACCTTGGATATTTCCAGATATTGGTGGTAGGTTACAAAATGCAGCATTACAAGAGCTCACCAAAGACCAGCTCTGTTACAAATCTGGCGTCTCTGCTGTCTAGAGGCGCAGATGGACTATTCTTCCTGGCATGTGGCTGTGTCCTAGTGGGTGAGCCGCCCACCAGTCCAACAAATGCTCCTTCCTCATCTATCCTCATCAGCTGCGGTGGAAGTAACGATCAGCCTCCAGTACCCACTCAGGCCTTGAGCACACCTTACATCTGCTGAGGAATCGTACCTGCTGGACAGCCGCAACCCTCGCTCTGTTTTCCCCTGTTGGATGCTTGTTGGATGCAGTGCGTTGCATCCTCAACACAAGAGTAATTCTCTGAGGTCTCCCCAACAGGTGTCGGTGACAGGGAATTTGTCCGCCCCTTGGTACACCCAAGACATCTCTTCTGCACATTATGAACAGTCAGTTGTACCGACAAGGACACAGCCTGGGGATCTGTTGCCAAACTTGCCAAGGCTGCAGGCGATTGATGTCAAGGCATGGCAACTGCTGCAAAGTTTGTTTATATTGCGATCAATCGTCAGAGTCGACAGGAATGACGTGCAGCGTGATCTGTCTCGATATTTTCTATCATCGGTACAATAGATCACACAAGACCGCAAGCTTTCCATAGGGTAGGAAGCTGCTCGGACCTGCCACTTGGACTCGATGACTCATCATGAAACAGGCAATGAAGATGAGAAGTCACGGAATCGTGCATTATCAGGCTCCTGTGACGTGATGATTCTCCAAAAATTCATGCTTTTGGGGACCACTCAAGTTGACGCCGCATGTGCATAGCTATGCAGTGCATGCATATGCCGCGGCCGGCAACAGCCACCGTGACGGTGGCGCCACCACCTATCGGCCGCCCAATTTACCTATGGCTTTGCAAATTGGCAGCTGACGATGCATCCATTTCGATATCGATTTAAGTAACCTTTTTAAATTGACAACTTGTCAATGACAAGCATACATTGAGGAGCTGCTACAAGCAAGGAAACTTGGCCCACACCATGATGGTGGCCATGTTCATGCGGTGCATGATCATCATGTTGATAGAAACAGTGCATGCGCGTCATGAACACTGTAGCTGTAGATCTGGAAATATGCAGCAAGATCAGATTACACTGAAGAAATGCAACAGCGGCAACTTTTCGTCACCTGCAAGACCCACCATGTGAGTCCAGAATATAGTACCTGCCTACTTCCAGGTCTTACTAAGTAGTACCTACCACATGTGTCATCGACTTCCATCTGAAATAGACAAGAACGCCTGCAAATTGAATCCAACAGTCTGACAGATGGCGGCCTTCCACAGAGGGTGCCTCGCAAACTCCAAACTATAGAGGACAGATGAAGTTCTAGTGTCCTTGACCACCACTCGTACTCACTGATCGCTGCAATGCAAAGTCTGAACACCGAGCTTGAAGGGCCGCAGCAGGCTGCAAGTTTTCCCGCGTAGAATTATCTGGCCACTCCCAACAACCCTACTCCTTCAGCTGGTTCAGGACAACGTTCGCCAGGGAGCATGTGAGACCTGCAGAAACAGGCGCCACAATAATTTAGTCTGCGCACCTTCAGGTTCCTGTAAAACAATGCAGCTCAGAAATGAGATGCGCTGCAAATGAATGAGATATGGGCAACGCACCACTGCCATCCGGCTCCACATTGAGGTGAGTGATGACGTTGTCCTTGACAATTGCGCTGTACCTCTTCGAGCGCTTGGTTCCCAGCATGCCCTCAGCATCAAGCACCAGCCCAAGCCCCTGCATGACAATTTGTACGAGTCAGACAACTCCAGCAGCCCCTTCCTATGCCTCAAATGGCTCACAGATCCAAGCGCGCCATTATATGCACCATTGGGAAGGCCGATGCTTTAATAAATATCCAGAAAATTTGCATTGAAGTGCTCGGCTGAACTCACCTTTGTCAACTCCAAATGGGGGTCAGCCAGAATCTTGACCTGGAAAAGCACAGAGTTATGAGCACACAAAGGTATATGTGTGTCACAGCATTTTCATGGAAGAAGCCGAGCGCAATGTAAATGGATGACAGAGGAGACTAATTAAGAGGATGTGCACCTTGCCATCAGCACCGTTTGCCTCGCCCCATGCTGCTGCCACAAAGGCATCGTTCACAGTGACGCATGCAATCAATTCTGCACCAGCCTTAGTGAGTTTGTCATAGTCTCCCACGTATCCTGGCAACTGCGCGCACACAAAACGAACTATTGAGCGGGTACAGATATTCGTCGAAATGTACCAAGAATCGTCACCTTCCAGCAGTTCTGGAGGGTCTCTTAACCCTGTCAATCCACGGTGCAACAAGTACCAGAATGGCCACAGACGCATGTGACAAGTTTTGTTGGGTCTTGTGATGGACGCGCATGCAAGTTTTCATACAGGAAGTCAAATTGGGGGATTCAAGGGTGTGAAACATACGTGTGTCTTCGAGCAGCCTGGAGTGAACGCCCCTGTGAAAAAAAAAGAAACTCCACTTCAGGTGCCGTCCAGTCAACAGAGCAGCTAAAAAGTGACATGTTTGTTTTGCCCTAGGATCCACACCTGGCACTCCAAACAAGATACCCTTCTTGCCAGCGAAAAGATCACGGATCTTCACGGCATCTTTAGGAGTTCCCTCGTAGACGGTGGCGTCTGGCAGCTGGTCTCCGACCTGTCAACGAGGCGACAACGCACAAACGTGGGTAAGACCTCAAGTGCTCTAAAGCAGGTGCTCGCCGGTGATCGGATTCGTTTTCCACTTAAATAATTTGCCGACTTAGAATGACGTCTTCAGATCAACCGCCAATCCCTTGTAAGGCTCAATTTGAGCATACTTACAATCACGGCATCCCACGATCACCCCGATATTTAAGGACGCTTTAGTACAAGAATGGATGTCAAGGAAAATCAGAAACACCGCGTTGCTTTTCCGGCCAATTCTTCACATAAATTAAAATAAGACGTTCACTGGACCGCAGGTATCTAGGGTGTTTGGAGAGATCCGACAGTACCTTGATGGTGCTCATCTTGGCGATCTGTGAATTGGAAACTAGATGGCGTTGCAAAGTCTTTGCAAATATGAGAGTCCGAAGCATCAGGTAAGGCAGCACACAGCAAACGCGTGGGTGCTCTTGTGAGAAGTTGCATGGTCTAATGTTTCATAATTTTCAGACCGACGGCGTGCCTGTCTTCAGGGTCTGGGGTCTGCTATGGGGCTTTGCAGGGTTTCCAAATCTCACTCAGCAATTTCCTCAATAAGAAAAATTAAGTTGAAGATCTGGCATACGTTCAGAGCATCGAGATAGAAGGGCAGGCTCGTTCCAATGTCGTGGGCAAGTGTGGCTAAGAAAGAGCCGCAGTTGGCTGCAGTTCAAGAGACGGCGGAACCATCTGTAAGTCAGCAAAGCACGACGGCTGTTATCGATGCAAATGCTATTATAGCTGGAATGCGCATGGATGGGATCGCAGATCAGATATGCACCATCCCGGAGGTGCTGCAGGAAATCAAGGATAAAAAGTCTCGGGAGAATTTGGAGGCCTTTCCACAGACCATAAAGGTCATCCAGCCCACAGAGGAGTCTGTCCGAGCAGGTGCGTCAAAACCCATACAACATATGAATTCACGCTCGATCGTCCCCTATAAGCTGGCCCGCCTTGGGTTAGTACTTCGGTTTACTGAAGGGGCTTTTACTAGTGCCATAGTCGTAGAGAGAAAGCTGTCAATTTCCTCATTTATCGTCCTCTCATTACCTTCTATGTCTGAACTTTCTTGCTACCAAGTGTCCGCACCCATCCTGTTTTTCATTCAACTCGGAGGCACTCACAGAAGCATCTTGCCGTATCTGCAGTGATGGCCTTCGCTCGGGAGAGCGGGGAGCTGCACTCCCTTTCCACGGTGGACATCAAGCTGATCGCGCTGGCGCACACCCTGGAGGTGGCCGCACATGGGCACACCAACCTGCGCAGCAAACCCCCTCCTCCGCGGGTCCACTCCAAGGCCAGCGTTAGTGTGAAGAAGCTGCCTGGTTGGGGCGAGGAAGGCGCGGACTGGGATGCCCTCGACCAGGCCACCCAGGACAGTCAGCAGAGCCAAGGTATCCTCCTGCCAGATGTATCCCTTCAAGTCTGCTGAGTCATCTTGAATGCTTTCTTGTATGCTGCTTGTGAAGCACATCTGATGGATGGGCGACTGGCGCATGCACAGGCGAGAGCAAGATCTGCTCCGAGATCGAAGCTTTGAATCTGGAGGACAGCAGCTATGCGGGAGAGCGCAGCGATGGGGAGGCTGCGGAGGGCAACACAGCAGAGCAGGGGGCGGCTGATGAGGTGCAGCAGGATGATGGAGATTGGGAAGTGGCGGCCGTCAGCGCAAATGCAGCTCGTCGGCGCAGGCGCAAGCAGTCCAAGTATGAGGCTCGTCTTGCCGCCAACAGCAGTGCAGAAGCAGCAAGCCAGCCGCCAGACAGCACACAGGGGGACGCGGCCGACGATGCATCAATATCAGATGATGGTGTGTTGTCAACCTCCCCTGTGTACCATCAGCAAATGGACCATGTTGTTCATCTGTGGAAGATTGCTCTCCTGGTACAGTGGCAGGTCTACTGTTGCAATCTGGTGCTAAAGAACATGGGATCTTGCTGATAGACATACCTGGCTTGCGTCAGGAAATGAGGAGGGAGCAGGTGCAGACGAGGCAGCAGATGAGGAGGCATCACATGGTGAAGACAGCGAGGACAATGAGGATGAGGAAAACGAGCAGCAGGAGGAGCCGAGCGAGGCGAGCACATCGAGCGTGGTGTGTGTGACGGGGGACTTTGCCATGCAGAACGTGATCCTGCAGATGGGCCTGCGGCTGGCCTCCCCCGATGGCCGCCTCATCCAGCAGACGCGCCGTTGGGCTCTGCGCTGCACCGCCTGCTCCCAGGTCTCCAAGGTCAGTTCTGCCTGCCCCTGTCCTGCTACTCTAATACCCATTCAACCCTGTATTCCTCACTCTATATAGCATCTGCTTGTGTGGTGCTTGGCAGGGCCGTGTCTGTGCACAGGATGAAGGACTGTGATAGTTTGTTTGGGGGTGTCATGTTTGTGAAGCAGTGGTGGGTGTGCATGCGCAGGAGGTGGGCCGTCTGTTCTGTGGCAGCTGTGGAAATGCGGCGCTGCAGAAGGTGGAGGTGGTTGTGGGCCCGCAGGGCACAGAGCAGTACGGCGTGCGCAAGAAGCACATCCTGCGCGGCACCCGCTTTCCTCTGCCCAAGCCCAAGGTCCACATTCTCTCATGCCTCTCCAATTACCCGCTCTCACCGTTAATCATCCTGGGCCATGTTCTGAGCGTTTCCATGCGTGGCGTGAGGAATATTTGAGACATCTAAAGGAACAGCTTACCATCAGATTTGATAAATGATCTCTTAAAGCAGCAGAGTCCCTGACAAGGGGCACAGAAGAGGCGTTGCAACAGTATTTGCCGGTTTTGACACTGGCGTCTGTGTTGTGGTGCGCAGGGCGGCAAGAACCGGAAGGACCCCATTCTGAGGGAGGACGTGCTGCTGCAGCGCGTGCCGCAGCTGAGAGCCAAGAAGAAGGCGGCCGCGGACCCATTCGCGCCCGAATTTGGCGTGGAGACATGGCACCAGAGGAACGCGGCGCTGCCCGCGCACGTGAAGGCTGCCGCTGCCGCTCTGGCCGTGTGGAAGCACAATCCCAACGAGCGCAAGCATGTCAGGACCAACCGCCGCAAGTGAAAAGCATGCTGTGGCTTCTATAGAAGGACTGTTGTTGAAGTGGGTAGCTGGTCGAAAGGCTTGAAAAGCCTGAAATAAGTGAAGTCGTGGTTGTCGGATGTATAGAACTTAGCAGGCAGCCAATCAACATGTACACTGCGTTTGTCAATACAGTGCCGTAGTGCATGTCTGTAGATCGTATCGTTGCACCTGTCGAAGCATTTACTGGTAGTGTACACAGAAGCCTGAAAGGCATGAATTCACGGTGTAATTGCTGTCATCACATCAGGATTGAGTGAGCACCTTTAATTTCTGGTTACATGTCACCACCCGTGTAAGACACATTGATTTGGTCTTTAATAATTCTGCAAGTCGAGTATTCAACATTCTAGATCACATATTGAAAGCCTCTGGAGCGCCAGACTGCAACAGACACCAGGCAGAGGTCCTTATGCACATGTGAGACTCGCTGGCATAAAAAGCGCACGTAATACTAATGTACAGCGTTTATGTGCAGCTTGTCAGACTTGCTCAGCTCTCCGCTCCAAGAGGGCTTTTTCAGATAAGCATGGACAGCTTGGCACGGCACATGACAGCTATACTCTGCAAGGATCATTTCAAGCCTTCAGGCATTCCCATGCGTTTTGATGTTGCCCCTTGACCATCGATGACACCTGCCATTGTCAGATCCTGCTCCGCCAGTTTCTTCCCCCTGCAAAGCACCATCTCCGCTCCTTCAGATCTGACCAACATGCAGATATCAATCATACCATTTTAATTGCTATACTCAATGCACACTCAAGAAGCAGCAGTCTTGCACATGAAGACATCAAAAAAAAGGGGAACGCAGACGTCAAAGCAGAGCAAGCGATTAGCAAGCACAGGTTTGCGCACGTTTGGAGGGCGGCCTTCATGTTGTAGTGCTGCTTGCGGTGCTGCTCAAAGCGCCTCCGCTTGAGGCTCTTGGCCTCCGAGGTCAGCCCCTCGCCATCGCTGCTGGTGTAGCCGCACCGCTCTGCCCCACTGGAATAGCCCCGGTCTGGGCCGCTGGAGTACCCGCCGCTGGACCTTGACATGGATGGCTCTGCTGCCTCCTGCCTCCGAGTCTCCTCCAACCGCGTGGACGCCTCTGCGATTGTTATGTGCGCGGTGTTTCTTGTCCTGTCCGCCGATGACCTGCAGCGACACTGCATGTGAGGATCTGACATATCGCAGACTGCCCGCTGCACGCTGTTTTTCCATGGCAAGGAACTTTTATTTTGAGCTATCAGCAGTAAGCCAGTTGAAAGCACACCTGGACAGGCTACCGGCAGGGGTTCGTGCATAATCATCCTCCAGAGTCAGAGGCGCCATGTCTGCAGCACCTGTACATTCCCCCTGTAGTCACGATGTGTCACTGAAAGCACGATGGTGTGCACAGCAAGTGTCCAGTAGGCCTTGCATGGGTCGTACCTTCGTCAGGATCATCGCTCTCCCCGAGAGGTGCATGATAAGGAGTCTTTGGCTCATTGATCTTCGTAGGCATAAGTTCTGCTTTTATTTTCTCGTTCTCTTCTAAGTTTGCTGCATGGACACAAGACACAGGTTGTAATTTGCAGAGACTGGTCATACGGCAGGAAGTCTGATCAGCTGTCGAAGAGAAGTTCTATCACTCTTCAGTTGCCAACATGAGCCCTTATTCACACTAATATACCCAACACGTTCTATGAGATCTCGTACGAGGGGGAGGTTAGTCTATTGATGTGTTACCCTCGTCCCAATGTATGCTTTTTGAAGAGCGAGTTGCACTGATATCTGCTGGGTCATCATGTCCAGGAATGCAGAGTTTGTCTGTGGTTTGCTCCATGCCGGAGACAATCCGTAATGTCTGGTACCTTCAGCAAACAATATTCAGCACCGATCGCTTCCAAAGTGCAGCGAGGCTTTCTTATAAGCATTTCGTATATATCAACTGCGTCAGATTCATCTCAAACACCAGAGGAGCGCATTTGCATGAGACATCGTCTGTGTATGATTAAATCCCTTTGCAGCTTCCTCGAGCCAATCAGAGAGCGCTATTCAGACATGAATTTGGAAGAATAAGGCCGAGTATGAGCTGAAAAATTCGGGGTCGTGATCATTTCTAGATATAATCTGTCTTGGCATCGTCGAATTGATCGCCCTTCACGGTAGGTGACTCACTGGCTGATCTAGGATGCGTTGATGCCAACAATACACAATGATCCTCGGCTTATCTACACACAATTACACTAGGACACCCCAACCAAATCGAGATGTTGCAAAAGCCATTGGCATTCAGAGGTCGAGAGTCCGCAACACTATTGCCAGGCCGACACAGATCTCATGCCTTGGCACAAGCAGACGTGCTCTTCTAGGCATGGGCTACCCATCTTGTCTTCTATCAATTTCATGTTGCAAAATTGCCTTCGTTTGTCGGGGCTGCTCTCATGAAGTCCTTTGGCTTCTGTGCTGTAGGCATGTCTTGCAGCTGTGGTCTCTGTCAGAGCAGGAGTCGAATGCAGTGGTATGATAAGTACTTTGCATGGAACATGAGCCAATTCGAAGAGGAATATGAGGAGCTTGTGGGCCCTGTGAGGACAGATCTGTTCAAAACCTTCATACCAACAGACCAAAGTTCAGTGAGCATCTTGGATGTTGGTGCTGGCACGCTGCCAAATGCGCAGTACTTCCAGGTGATTGGACTATTCTCCGTCCTGTTGAAGCCGTGGATCTGATCTGTGCTAGTTGCAGAATTGCACACTGTTTTATGCACAGTAGGATTTGGACGTGACTGCTGTGGACCCAAATCCAGAAATGTGGCCATATGCCCGTGCCAACGCCGCACAGCATGGGCTGAGGAGTCTAAATTTGGTCAACGGGGTTGCCGAAGAGCTGCCCTTCCCAGAGAGCACATTTGACAGAGTGGTTTGCACATTGGTGGGCCCCTTCATGTCCTCCAGCTGCCATGAAACTCCAGAAGTGACACGCCAGCCTGCCCTCGAATGCATGTTGTGACTGTTGCAGCTGACAAGGTGACTCGGCATGTTGGCTGGCTGCAACAGGTACTCTGTTCCGTCGCAGATGTACAAGCAGCCGTCCGGGAGATGCACAGGGTTCTAAAGCCGGGAGGAAAATTGCTTTTTCTGGAGCATGTAGCTGCTGGGCAAGAGCACCCGTTCTTGCGGCTGACCCAAGCGGTGTTGAATCCTCTGCAACAAGCACTGGCTGATGGCTGCAATCTCACCAGGTGATTTTCATTCCTTGGTGAGACAGCCCAGAATAGGAGCGGCTGTGGGGGTTTGCTGCTTTGTCTGTAAGGGTTTGCTGGTCCACACCAGCACAGGCAGGGGAGGAAAGGTGCAATTACACACACGACGAAGGTTGAAGGACGCAAATTTGCCGGTGCACAGGGACCCACTTGAAAAGATTGGGATCGAGTTCTCCACGCTGGAGCAGGAGAGACACTTTTCAGTGCCAGGCCTTGGCCTGATCGGCCCACATGTGTGTGGAATTGCAGTGCGTTGACTGAAATCAGCACTGTCAAGAGAGACATTGAAATGTGTCTTTTGAACCTGACAGTGCTGCATGTATATTACTGGAACGCATCTTCAAGATTGCCTCATATCGTCTACGAAACTATCTAGTTTCGGCATGCACGCCTGTAATGATGATCATACATGTATCGTATATTCAAAACGTCACCTACCTAGAGACAAGCTGGCTAAGATACATACACACTTACACAAAGTCAAAAGCAGACAGTGACTACCTAGTGCACTGCAATAGCAACATACTAAGAGATGATAGTCTAGAATGCATCTTGAAAATTGACCACCACATACACATCATGAACTGGCAGACAAGCCCATATTATGGGACTTGCCACAACCGTCATGCTGCCGGATCCACAAGGCGCATATCAAGCAGACTGGAGACCTGCAGAAAAGCATTGCACAGCCGATCCTCTGCGTTCTGCTGCGCTTGGATCACCAGCTGCCTCAGACCCCGCCTGTATGCTCTTGGCTGACTTGCCATGAAGTGGGCCTGCGCATGCACATGCACCCTATTACATCACACTGTCATCCTTGATGCGCCTATCCACACAAACATAGATAGTGCACATGCCGCATCATTAAGCAGAGGCCTGGGATACATGCAAAAAATTGGCAAGGGGAGGAACAGCTGGGATGTAATGTGATGGAATGTGATGACAACACCTGCAGGAAGCTGGCAGCGATGTGGCGCACACGAGGATCCCTGTCGTTGAGCACACCCACAAAGAAACTGCTGCCGCCGATAGCTGCCGTGTCCTCTAGGCTGCCCTTGCAGCGCGCTGCCAGCAACAGCAGCACTGCTGCGCGGACATCCCTCAGAGTCGTGCTTGACCAGGCCTGCATGCAAATGTGCATTCTCATACACACTGAATCACACGCCGGCTGCCTTGTCCCAGGGATGGCATTGAAGTCAATGACAGCTCTGTGTGCAGATCGCACAGCGGGTAATAGAGCAAGACATTGTATGGCAATGAGCCTGTGTGGTCTTACCTCTTTGGGGCTGCTCTGTGGCATATTCTGGAATATGTGGGCCAGCATCACCGGGGACACGCTGCTCAGCAGATCATGCGGCACGCCCAAAGTGCCCGCCAGGAATGCAGCCACCGTCCTGCAAAACACATATCATGCTCAGCCCTGTATGTAAAAGCTGCTTAGCAACGGACAGCGAAGAGGGTGCAAGCTATCCTTTGATGCAAAATGGTTAGTCGGATGCTGCGCACCCGACAGCATTCTGCTCTGATATGACGTCAGCATGCGGGTCCAGATCGGCGGCTGCGTCCAGTGAGAAGGATTTTGCCTGGGAGAAGGACACTTGCGCCGGCAAGACCAGGGAGATGATCAATAGACGGCCCAGCTCCAGGAAGGCCTCCTCCCTGCAGAAGGCACACCAGACACCATAATCAGCAAAAATCAGTATGACATGGGACTAATTCTGGCGTATTATGAAGCGTGCAACACACTGCACAAAATACAGAGGCGAATTCAGCTCACCTGCAGATGTCTGGCGCGTCCAAGAGCCAGTCGACAAGCACGGCCTGGGTGGGCAGGCTGAGCTCTGCAGCGCTGTAGCTGTGCCATACACTGGCCTCCTCCTCACCGCCCTGCTCCTCTTCCTCAGTCACCAGCACCTTGCGCGCGGATGCGCCACCGCCGTGCACTTCCGCGCCCGGCTCTGCAGCCGAAGCTCCGTCAGGAGCGTCGCCCTCGCTCTTCTGTTCCTGCCTCGCCATGTCTCCGCGGGCTGCAAGATCCATGCTGGCGCCCTCTGGACGTGGGCTGGGCTTCTCCACACCGGCCTCGCCAGCTTCATCCCCCGGCTCCGATTCCTCCTCGTCTTCTTTGTCTGCCGGCGATGCAGTGGCCGCGGTGTCATCTGATGCGGCGCCGTTGGACGCAGCAGGGTCCAGGGAGAAGCGCGAGGCCTGCCGCTCGGATGCCGGCAGTGGGGGAATCGAGAGGACCTCCTGGTCAGCACTCGCGCTGGCACTCGCGCTGTAGTATGTTTCGTCGGACAGCCGCAGCCGCCGCAGCGCTGCGTCCAGTGACGGCACGCGGTGGTGCCCGCTCCCCTCCTTGCCCGTGCTCGGCCTGCGCGCAGCGCCCTCACGTGCTGAATAGAGGTTTAGTTCCTCGATTGCCCAGAGCCGAGATAAGGTGCAGACTGGACCAGCCCTGGAGACCTTGCAATCGGCCCTGTCAAAAAACTGCTCCATCCTTTGAACATAAGTGCTGACACAGCGCGACTTTGATACAGAACACAAAAACAAGCCACTCGTTTGAAACACAATGCAACATCCGTTGACGCCATTATCAGGTAAGTGAGCAGTAAATAAGCAATTAGTATGTAAGAAGTAAGGTGAACGTCCTCGATGTATTGATACGACCTGGTGGACATTTCCAAAGGATGCTCTGGACTTATTCGGGAGTGGGCCGTGCCTGGGAGTGCAGATGCTGCGCGCGGCGCCGCGGAGGCTGCGCAGGAAGGGCGGCGAGATGGGCGGGGAGGTCAGCTCCATGGAGACGCTGTGCGTCAGGCTGCAGCGCTGCTTCACGACCAGCAGCAGGCGCCACACCACCCTCACCAGCCGCGCTACCGTGTTGACCCTTGGAGTGGCCTTGTCCAGTATGTGCTGGAGCACATCAGCCAACTGCTCCTGCTGAAGCCTGCAGCCATAATATGCCCTGATCTTGGTCTGCTCACAACATCATGAAGCTTACAAAGTGTGGCTGATCATAGCTTCAATGCAACAAGGTGCAGATGATGATGGGACTCAGAGGGTGAGGAGGAGGATCTCACCCAATGCTGTCTGAGCCGGTGCCCGGCGGCACTGGGAGAAGGGCCGGTGCGACTGCCTCCTCATGCTCCTGCAGATGCCTCTCTGCCGCAGCCACCAGCAGGCGGAGCAGCCATGACTCCGCAAGCTGCACCATAACTCTGCTGGTCAGGTGCCCGCCCACTATCAAAACTGTACAACATCATGCTGATTATAGCAATGATGGCACTCAGAGACGTGCAGGCAACATCCATACAGACCCAGCACGTATGTGGAGCTCAGATCTAGCGGGCTTAGCAGACCTGGGCAGAGCGGGGATCCGGGCTGCAGAAGAGGTCGGTCAGGCACGCCCAGACGCCGTTGGCGCCCTGCGAGGCGGCGGCTGCGCTGCTGACGCCGGCCAGCGTGTGGGTGAGTGCAGGCAGCAGCGCAGGCGTGAGCTCGCCGGCTGCAGTGCTGACTGCCAGGGCCTCCGCCTGTTCCAGCACCAGCCTTATTGCTGCCTGCATCCGCTCTGCCTCGCTCTCCTGCATCGACGCCTGCGCACATGCAGCTCGAGCTTTGTCACCCCACTCCAGCGACACCAGGTGATGCCATGACACCTTTAAGGCAAAAGTGGATTGGAATGAGTTGCATTGCATGCAAGACGTGTGGGTGGCTTTGCAGATAGCGCCGACGGACTGTCTTTGAAGTCGCTGTACTTTGTGTCATCATGTGTCATCGCTAGCAGCAGCGCAAAGCAATGGGCGACCTTGCAAGAAGGGAGGAATAGCACCGGCAGGCTGAGGCTGGAGGCAATGGGGAGCGCAAAGCCGGGAAGGCCGCAGAGGAACGCCGCGCTGAGGGCATCTGCCACATCGCTGGCGGCCATCATGCGGCAAATGAGCAAAGCATCCTCGGGACCCTCAAGGAGCTGTGAGATGTCGTTAGCCTCCTCGTGCAACCCCTGAGTGGCATGCAGAAAGATGTGCATAACATCTTGCAACCAAGCCACTCTTTCCCAGGGATGGTTACCAAATGATCAATGTTCTGACATTTCTTTCAGCGTGCACGGTGTCACCAGTTGAGATCTCGGGTATCTCCTGCTGAGCTGAACTTGCCTCACCGATTCTCACACCATCTCTGGGTTACATAAGCTTGCAACTGAATTTCCTTTTCACCTTTCATCAGCTGATTTGATTCAGCAAAACATCAAGAAGGTGATTACCACCTTGCAGAGACGGGCGACGATGCAGTCCAGCAGGATGCACAGTAGGTTACGGCGGGCCTCCCGAGAGGCTGCAGCTCGGAAGTGCCGCGCCACCTCTTCAACCCCCCCAAATGCCTGCAGCCGGGCGAGGGACAGGCGCAGGCCGGCATGGCTGCACGGCTGCGCGGCTGCTGGCTCGGAGTCTGTGGCGGCGGTCTTGAAGGACAGGCCGCCATCAGAGTTGCTGTCGGGGATGCTGTCTGCATTCTCCAGTCCGCCCTCTGGCTGCTGGCTGCTGCCCTTCCTGTCTGCTGCTGGGCTGTCATCTTCCACATACAGCAGGTTGGTCGTCAACCTGACCAGCTGGGTATGGAGGCTGTCCGGCCTGCAAGTACCCCAGCAAGTTTTCATTTGATTTGACCTTCAGCATACAGCCTGAATCCTGTGGACAGCAAAGGTGTAGACGCTGAGCTAGTGGCACACCAGTGATGTTGGCTGCTGCAGCGGAGGATTGCAGCCATTGCTCGGGGTGGCATGGGCTGCAGCCACTCTCGTTTCAGATCCCCTCCGCTTGAGCACAGATGGCACAGACAGCCGACTGCGGCTTGCCAAAGCTCCTCACTGGTTGCCTTGTTCTGCACACCACCCAGCAAATAAAGCAGATACGGCAAAGTCACATCATTGCAGATGTGGTAAGCATGCGATGGGAAGCGGCCTACCTGGGCCAGAAACAGCAGCAGCTCAAACAGCAGCATCCTCAGCCAGGTCTTTATCTGCTTTGTCTGCTCATTTCTGGTCTGCAGAGGGCTGTGTGCATTGTCAAAAGATTCATCGGAGAAGACGGCCACAAGCTCCACATCCGGCCCCTGAGATGCATGCTGCACATGAGTATGTGGATAGTGAGTACTTGCCCGTTAACAAGTACAGACACTGAGTACTGTGTAGGATTTGCTGCACCTGGACAGAAGGAGAGGTATTGTCCTTTGAGCCTGGAGATAGGATTTCGCAGTTCAGGGACATGTTATAAAGCACATCAAAAGCTCGCAGCTGCGTAGCCCTCCTGTCAGCCCTCAGCAACCTGTCATCACACACCAGAGCTTGTGACGATTCGCCAAGAATCATGCTGACCAACGTGACATGATGAACCAAATGAAGGGGCCGAACTCATGCCCGCTCCCTGTATCAATCTGATGCAGAGAGCGCCATGTCTGAATGGCTCACCTCCGAAGCAGAACCAGTGCAAGGGTGAAGGAATTCCCTGGTCCAGCGCGCTGCCAGAGATCCAGCAACAGGTGACTGAGAAGGCTGCAGCACATCTCAGGAGCCTCTGTGTGACCGCTGCTGCTCTCACCATTTGCTGATGCCCCACCCTACACAGAAGGACCACTTTGCAGCGCAGCAGTCCTGAGACCCCTTACAAATGATGAAATGCAGGAATTCATTGCTGTAGTAATTACTGAGCAGATCTTTACCGCTGCTGTGCTTGGCAGGGCAGAAGGCCCGCACACACTTTCCAAGATTGCTTCAATGTCATTTTCATCCAGGAGAAGGGCAGCTGCTTCACTGTTGCTGGCTGATACGCGGTGCTGCCTGCAGAAGAAAGATGCTGCCATCAGGACTGAGTAAAGCAATAAGACAGAAGGTGCCGGTTGGATCGCTATACGACATGGTAGTGCCACGGACCTCTTTCTGGCCGACGCTTCTGGGCTTCTCCTGTTTGGGAGATAAGCCGCATGCCTGCCCCGCATTTGATGCAGCGCTGCAATTGTGTTGAGCTGCTTCTGCAGTTTCAATGTCTCCCCAGCCAAGTTGTCTGGTGAAATGCTGTCTGCAAGGCCTTTGCTGAAGGCCCCTGGACAACAAGAAGGGCAGACCTTTCTGCTCCGGCAGTAGACAAAGAAACAAGCCAAACTTGGGACATCCTTAACTAGCTTGTACCTTACCTCGCTTGGATACCACAGCAAGCGACAGCACAAATGCTGCACAGCTCTCAAGAGAATGATATTCCTGAGCAGCCTCTGGCAGCCATGCGAACGTGAGCATATCTGGTATGAGGTCTGTTTCCTGGGATTGGTATCGTGACTCAGTAGCCCTGCTTTGGGATGCGGAATTGACATGCTCTGACGCCGGGCCTGCAGACAATAAGTGAAGTAAGAATCATTCTATACAACATGATGCAGTGGCATGCGTCCAGCATGATGGTCAATGTGAGGTGGCAATGCACAACATGTGCAACAAGTGTTTCTGAACAGCATGCCAAACAAGAAAGCCGGGATTGTACCACGAGGTGGCGTGCTAAGCTCTTGCCGGGAGACTGGTGAACCATGTCCAGCGGGTAAAATGTCCAAGCCTGCCTGTGAGTCATCTGCCTGCCTGCAAGGGTAGTCACAGAGGGCGTTATTGATCTTGATGACACCAAAGTTGTAAGAATGATTCTTACTTCTCCAGCCCAGGACATGTTTCTGGCGCCATGTCCAAAACTCATGATGCACCCTTTCCTGTCTCTTGCAATAGGACTCCAGCCAACAAACGCAGTAGCACAGTGGGTGAATTCCGACCTGAATAGCGTACGAGCTGGGGAACTCTCCCCTGCTTGCTGTGCCACCAGTGCTTGCAGAAATTGTAAGGAGCTGAGGAGGCCTGTCAATGTGGAATAGCCTTGAGTGCACAGGAGCACTGAAGTAGCCAAGCTTGAAAAGGTGTGTCAGTACCACTAGTTTTTGCCATCAAGGGCAGCACATACCAGGCTGCAAATCCTCCATGCTGGCCATGCAATCAGAGCAGAAAGCTCTGATCTCCTGTAGGGTGCTTGTGGATGCTTCAAATCTGCACACGGAAGAGTCACAGGGGAGGGTTTGTGGGCACTTTTCCCGATCCTTCCATGCAATGTCAGGCCCAAATTCTCATGAAAATGGACAGTGATACTTCATGCAGTGCTTTTCGCAACACGTACACATTGCTCACCTGGGAAGATATCTTTTCAGTAACTCCACGCACTTCACCCATACAGCCACACTGCACAACACGATGTCTTGTTGATCGCCGGTATCAGGAGAAAGGAAGATATTAGAATGGTTAAGATATTGAAAATATGCACACAATCGCACCTGAGCGGTTCAGCACGGGCTCTTCCAATGATGGTCATGTAGGTGGCATCGGCCGTGCTGGAGTCCAGCAAGAATTCCTAGCATGCGATGAAAAGACAACAATGTCACAGTCATACAATGAGAGGTACATTAGAGCGTCTTGGGCGTGTGAAAGACACTGGATATTGCATTCTGCCTGCGTCTGCACCTGGAGTGTTTGCAAGTACTGCCCATCCAAAGGCGATCCAGACGTCCGAGTGCAGAACCAGACAGCATGAGTGAGCCGAGGATTGTAAACGCTCTCGGTAGAACTCATATTGCGTGATCTGCTGGGTTCTCAAAGACAGGCCTTCAGATAGCAAGATGTCAATCTGCATACTTGATTCCTTGAACCACAATTCCCAAACTTGGACTCCTACTACCTTGCATGGCGCTATGAAATACACGACACGGCATCTGTCATCTCTTCGAAAGCTCGCAGATACTGAGTGTGTGCATGAAAGTCTGCATGCATATACCAAGGTTGCCAGATTAGGATTCACAAGAAATTGCTGATTGCATGAGCACAAACGGACCACTGCGAAGACGCACTAATGAAAAGGGACGCCCTGTAAGTCCTGGTCCACCCTACAGCTTGATTGAGCAGAACAAGGGACAAGTTTACTCACGGAATGTTCGACTGTTGTTGAGCATTGCATCAACATTTCAAGCTGTATTGAGCCTCACGAGATTAAGCATGGCAAACTGGATACAGAGCAGACTTAAGGCAGCGGAAGGCTTGCTGGAAGCCGTGGACAGGACAGCTAAGACTGTGGCTGTACCTCGATGGGATCAACAAGACGCTCCAACTTCTGTCGGAGGACGCAAACCTCCTGAGCAGGTGATGGGATTTGCAATCGAATGCTTTGTCGAGCACAAGATGTGCTTTTATATAAACTTTCTTGGATTTTCAGAGCGACTGAATGACAACACTTTTGAAGTCAGTTGCTGAACACACGCACTTCAGCGCGCGCCTTATCGTCGCTCCTTATTTTTTTAAGCTTTACATATCCTTGTGTTGCAGGCTGTAACGTCCGATCTTCCAGAGCGAAGAAGTACATCGGATGTTGAGATGCCATCTGCAGTAGGAGAAACCCCTACGGTCAAGCTATCAGACACCCTGGGAGATGCTGAAAAGGAGCATATTGCCATCACCAGTCCGAAAGGCACAGGGACTCAAGCAGACAAGCCAGTGCTGAGCTCTGGCATGGCAGCTGGAGAACCTCCTGGGAGCACCGGAATCTCTCCTGGTGTTGCAGCAGCGCAGCCGGACATTCCCTTTGCCCCAAGCAGTGCCAAAATTCCTTTTGAGAGCAGCCCTTCTGCCGTGATGCTCCAGTTGCCCTCCAAGGGAAGCGGCCAGATCGATCGGGAATCTCCCAGACCGGCCGTGCCTGAGCAAGGATCCCCAGCGGACTCAGCCAGAAAAGCAGAGAATGCAGTCCACTCTGCACCACTGACACCTCAGCCTGACTCAGATTCCACTGCAGTCCCAGCTGACAAGACAGAGGCAGACAGCCAGCTCTTGGGGAACCCCAGAGAGGCAACACCTGATGTTCAGAGTGACTCAAAGCCGGCAGATGCAATCGAGAGGGGCGACCCAGAGCAGCCGGGCACGAGCGAGCCACGGCCAAGCACGACCACGGCAGCACAGTCACAGGCACTTGCCATAGCGGAAGCCATCTCTGCTGCAGCTGCTGCCGCCGGCCCTCCTGCTGGTGCGAACCCGGGTCTTCCCAGTTCTCCACATACATACTCAACAAGGTGCAAATTCTTCTCCATCATCTGCAGTGTGCTAACAAGGGGATGGTGTGGCCTGCAGGGGAGGCTCCAGGCTCGGACCCTGCAGACATGCAGGGGTCGGCCAGCAACAACGAGAGGGAGGTTCGCCTCGTGCGGGTGGTCGAGCAGCTGCGGCGCCGCTTGGACCAGCTGCGAGGGGAGAACGAGCAGCTGGAGGAGGAGCTGCGCAACGCCGACAGCAAGCTCACCGGTGGCGTCCCTGTGCATGGCCTCATTGCCTTGCCTGGTCATCCCTGAAGACGTGGTCTATTGCCCCAGAACAACTCACGAATTGCACCCTGACTAGAACATTGTTCATGAATGGCTGTTTAATGCATGTGATATAGATACTGCTGGACGGGCGGAGAGGCTGGAGGACGAGCTGGCAAAGGCCCAGGTGGCGCGCGTGTCAGCAGAGGCGTCTACAAGTTCGGCCAACGCCGCGCAGCAGGCTGCAGAGGAGGCCCTGGAGCGCGAGAGGGGGGCCATGGCGGCGCGGCTGGCCGAGGCGGAGGCCCAGGCATCCAAGCTGGCCGAAGAAAACGCACGGCTGCAGACCGAAAGCCAGGTGTGAGAGCCTCCTCATGATGTTGCACAATCCCAGTCAGCAAGGAGCACAAGGTGGCAGGTGCGCACGGTGCGGTCACGGGGACTGAGCAGGGCCAAGGTCTCCAGAGAGCTGACCACTATTTGCTCGCACGCCCTGTATCTATAGTTGGCAACCAAGCAGATTCTGCGGCTCGACCTGAGCACTCAAAGCAGAGAAAGTAATAAGAATTTTACATGTGGTTGATGCAAGGAATGTATGAACAAATTAGGCAGACCAGGAGCGCAAGGGGTAAACAAATTTGGAGGTACTTTATCATCCTATTCAATGGCTCATGCAGGCGAGCCAGGAGGACATGGTGGCGGCGCTGCGGGCGGAGGCGGCTGCGGCGGAGCGTCGGCTGGAGGAGGAGCGGGGCGCGCATGCGGAGGCGCGACGCAGTTTCGTGGCGCGCGAGGCCGAGCTGGAAGCCGGCCTGGCCGACAGCGCCGCCGCGTTGACCGCCATGCAGCGCTCACTCGACGACCGCACCCGCCGCTGCACGCAGGCCGAGCAGCGTGCGCTCTCCGCCGAGCAGCGGGCCGATGCTCTCGCGCAGGACCTGGCCTTGCAGTCTGCCAGGTGCTTGGCCAGAAAGGCGTACATTTCTCCTTATGCTTTTTTCCTGATACATTCTGAGTGGGTGCTGGCCTTGCCTGCTGGCTCCGTCTCAGTTGAGAGCCCTGCTAGAGCGAAAAATGGTTTCTGTGCATTTCTGACTTGGAAGACGTTAAATGTACCTGTTTGGTGGTGCAGGATGGAGTCGGCTGGCAGCCAGGCGCAGCCAGGGACCCAGCAAGATGCTGGTGAGGTGGATGCGCTCCGCAGAACAGTTGGGGAGCAGGGTGCAGCTCTGCAGGAGGCAGCAGCGCAGCGGCAGGCAGCAGAGGACTGGGCGAGAAGGTTGCAGCAGGACGTCGATCGCCTGAGCAGCGAGCTGCATGAGGCTGGGCCGGCCTCTGACCTGCAGCGCCAGTTCAGAGAGGTGACTGCGCCCCGCTCATCACTTCTCTTTGTTCTTGTACTTGGCCATGTCACCCATTTTGGAGGATGGTATTTGATGCTGCTTGTGCATGACATCTTTTGAGTTGGGTGATCCAGATTGTTGAATCAGGTGCCCACAACGGCCTAGAAATATATGGATGACGAGCGGCGTTGAGCAGGTGACAGAGCTGCTGTACCTCAAGCAGACGCAGCTGGAGCGCCTGGCGGCGGAGAAAGCTGCGCAGCAGCTGTCCCTGGAACGCGAGCTGGCCGCTGCCCGCGAGCAGGCCGAGCGCGTCAATAGGTACCACTCTCTTCACCGCCCTTTATGTGTATGACGGCCATGGATAGTGTGGCATGCCACAGTGGAGTGCATAATATCAAGACTGATATTGTTTCCACTGGGAACACGGTTGTCTGGGAGGGTTCAAAGTGTCAGAATTTCGGGGCTCATTTCATTCAGCTCCACTGTGCTCGGCTGGCTTTGGACTTGAAAATGCAGCAGAGAGGCCTTCCTGAGGAAATCTTGAGAGTGGGAGTAGCAAATGCTCTTTGTTTGCAAATGTATGCTTCTGTATGACTGAGGAACAAGTGCCTGTTGTGCAGGCGCATGAAGAGCGACAGGTCGGCTGGGTATCTTGCGGAGGGGGATGTGGTGGTGCCGATGGAGGCCATGGGGGAGGCCTACTACCGCCTCGCCAACAACAACCGCGTCGGCGGCGCTGTCAAGGCCGGTGCCGCGTGAGTCCCCCCGCTGTCTTTCTGTGGGAAGTCTCTACTCGTTATACCCCTAATGATCACAGCTTGGCTCGAGAAATGGGTTAGAAAGGCATGCACAATTATGCAAAGCCACTGCATTGGGAGACAAGACACAGGCGCTGCGCAGGATTGAGTCCCTTGGTAGTGGTTGCACAGAGTTTGTCCTTGATGTGATGCCTGGATGGGATGTAAATTGCAATGCTGGAGCATGTGCATTGAGGCTGCTGGTGTGTGGCCTGCAGGATACTGGACACTACGGCGTCGACGGTTGTGCGCGTGCTGAAGCAGTACCCGCTGGGGCGCCTGGCGGCATTTGCCTATGCGATTTTTATCCACCTGTTCATCTGGATCCTCATCAACCGCCTGCAGCACCGCGCGCTGTCCACAGATCACCTAATGGCTGCCAATGCAACCCATGGCGATCTTCATCCTTGACAGCAAGAGCTGCTACATATTTGCCAAAAATTTGTTGTGCTATGCCAGCTGGACCTCTACAGTGCCATTCAGTGCGTGAAGAATCGTTTGTCTGACAACTGAGCAGTGATTACATTATTTCAAGGATCCAGGATGGGTTGGGCTGCCCAATGCGGCATGTGCTAAAGTGTCTGATAACATACAATGCTGTACTACTGCTACGCGGAGTAATGGCTGTAAACCTGTGATTCCGCTGTGTTTGTGATGGAAGCCTCTGACGATCCCCATATAAAGCACAAGCCTTTGTTCAGTGCTGGCGTTGAAAACACCGTAATAGAAATCGCTGATGTGATGTAAGCACTCATGCCTCTTCCACTCCCAAGTATCTCTCAGCCTCAGACGTCTGTTCTATGAGTGACAATTTAGCCGAACTGCTGACGCACATGTAGCACTAGGACAATCCTCTCAGCTCATCTCATCATCCAGACCATCCTTCATCCACTGCCTGGCAGCGCTATTGGCATCCGAGGTACCGAAAAGCTGAGATGCTCCGGTGCTGGCGGCTGGGAACCCCTGCTCGCCTGCGAGGTCTGCTGGGCCAACTCCAGAGGCGGAGTCCAACTGAGAGGCTGCCATCTGGCTGGTGGGCATGCGTTGCCGGTCAAACCCCTTGTTCAGCATCTTGCCAATCTCCTCTGCGCCACGCTGCATCACCTCCTGCACACCAGGGCCAGCACAGGCTCAGGCGCTTGCCCACACAGAAACCACACCAGGCAGTAAGCAACCGCACATATCAATTGTCCGCCTTCCATGGGGCCTGCAGAGCAATATTTTCCTTTGATGACTCTTTGCTGTGTCTTCTGTGGCATAGCTTTGGGCCAGGAAATCTAGCAGGGAGCAGCGTACCCCTGGCATACAGGCTGGGAACCGCACAGGCTGGGTTCAGCAATGATGTCTGGCCCGCACGTGATCTAGCTTGACAAGTGCAGACGGGCTGAGGGCCAGGTCAACTAGTATCCACAACTCTGAATGGGAAATGCCGAGGACTGCGAGATTCAAACTCAGATTTTGAAAGCAGAGTGCATCAGGGGCGCGCCTGGGTGCGGGGGTGGTGCGTGAGAGCGATCATGGCGATCAGAATCGCAATGGAGGATGCGATGAGAATGACGCGCGTGGCGGTGCCCCGGGCGCTGCAGCGGCCGCGGCTGTTCATGTCGGAGGCGCTGTCGGGGCGGCGGCGCAGCGGCGACAGCCAGCGCATGATGCCCGCCGTGTCCTCCATCGTGCTCGGCAGCAGATTGCGCCCCGCCAGCGTCTTGAAGCACGCCTCAAATGTCTCATACCCCTGCTCACACCAATTTCCATGTCCTCAGCCACTTTTGACATCTCTGGAAAAATAAATTTGAGTCCAGTGAGCCATGGCAACCGCTTGGGCTGCACGTGCAGCGATGGCGCGTGTACTCCAGATGATCCAGGTTGCATCTTGAGCTTGGGAGGATTAAATCTGGGATATGCATGGAACTGCAGCGAGCAAAACGGATCTGACATTGTGCAGAACCGGCAGGTTTGATGGGCATGGAGTTGTCTGAGAAGGGCAGAAAACTGACCTGCGGTGTGGATTTGCCATACATGAAGACTGAGAGCATCACGGCTGCCACGCCCACAATGAACCAGCCGCTGGGGTACTGGCTGAACAGCGGGATGGCCCCGATCACCGTGAATATCACGGACAGCGCATTCGCAAAATTCTTCAGGATGTTGTCAGCATACTTTACCACCATGCCCACAATCAAGCCCCCAAACACCTGCGCTCAATTGCAGCGCTGGTCTCTAAGAAAGCCCAACATGCAGGCACCCTTGAGGTGCTAAGAAGCATTATCATCACCAATCAGGCCAGCCTCCCATGTGCAAAGAAAGTGAGGCATGACACACCTGGAGTGCCACAACTCCCCATACAATTCCGTCAAAGCCCTGCATAAGTCCACCATTGGCCACAGATCTGCGCACCCACAGAATTGCCATCAGGCGTGCACCACAACTACTTGGCAAGGAGAGCGACACAGCCACGGTGATTTGCAAGGATGCTGACAGAGGCCCTCACCGGCCGTCCTTCAGGTAGGTGTATGCCAGCGACAGGCACACGCCATACAAGGACAGCTGCAGGTTCCGGATCCACAGCGTCTGCCCCTGCTTCCCCTTCACATACTTCTCAAAATACACCCCTGCAGCCACCCCACACAACACAGCGTAAGACAACCATCCGCCTAAAACTTTACCGCAGCAGCCCCAACAAGGCCCAAGACAAGAAAGCTGCCTCTGTGGCAGCTAGTGACAGAGGACGGTACTTCAGAACGGCATGCAGTTTGACAATTATGGTCCCTTGCGCTGCCGATTAAATACACTTTCATCTTGAGGGTGGTCAGATGACACATTGCTTCAAGATGGGGTGCATGAGGCAGGAGAGTCACCGGCATAGGCAGAGGACAGGCCAGACAGGGCCGAGGCGGCAAGGCCCAGTACAAGGTCGCTCTCGCCCTCAAAGCTGCCGCCGCCGGCCGGCGTGGAACCATTCATTGTGACAAAGACCACGCCGACGGCCAGAACGGGCAGCGAGGCCCACTGCAGCGGCGCCAGATACTGGCCCAGCAGCCACACCGCAAACAGCGCCGTTGGCATGATCTTGAAGGACTGCGAGCAGATCTGGAACGTCACGGCGTCCAGGTGGCTTGCCGCCACTATCACCAGAACCTGCACGGCACTTGAATGCCTCAAAACAGTCCAGCAGATATCCCCCATCCCAACCCACATGCAGCCAATGTAGCATATATTGCTGCTGACATCCCTCATGCCGAGACACCTGTAGTCTATTCCATCAAAATATCTGTCCTGCAGGACAGGCAGGAGCTCTTGAGAGCATGCAGAGATGATCTGAACAGAGGAGTGGGCAACATGAAGAATTATGGCTGGTCGATGACTTCAGTTGTGTGATGCATGTGGGGGTGGCATGCTCAGGAAGAAAGCGCGCCTGCTGCATGACGAAGAGGGCGGCGGGCACGAGCATGGGCCAGGAGCGGCCGAGGATCTCCTCGGCCTGATGCACCACCTCGGCCCGGAAGGCCAGGCCGCGCTGCCCCGCCGTGCGCCCGCACTCCACCATTTGCGCCACCATGCACACCAGCAGCTTTATGAGCTCCGTCCACACCACCGCCGCCGACGCCAGGTACTGAGTTCCTCCCCTTGTCCTGCCAGCACACCACCCGACATTCATCTCTGAACTTCCTTTCATCTGCATGTAATCAGATCTTTTACAGCTTCGGCAGCGACCAGATACCTAGCCACACGATGCTAGGTCAGCCTCCCCGTCCCTCTCCAATGCCGCTCTTGCACGTCATATTATCACTGATTTAAACTCGATTTTAAATTTCCAACCCTCAAATTCAGGCCCGACTCAATTAGGGGCAGTAGCTCCTTCAGAAAATAAATCAATTGTAGATGCTCCAAGAAGATGCTGTGACAGAGAGTGCCATGCAGCAGATGGTGTCGGCACCTTCGAACTCTCAACTTCAGGCCCAACTGTCAATCTAAAGGATAGCTGCTCCTTCGAAAACATCATCGATTACTAATGGTCCAAGAAGATGCTGACAGAGAGAAAGAGGGTGCTATGCAGCGGTGGTGTGGGCACCTGGAGAAGCGCAGAGTCAGGGACAGCGCAGTGCCCTGGAAGATGAGCAGCGCCATGCTCAGCAGGCCCAGCGCACCCTCTTTGCTCCTCAGAAATGCCACAATAGAATTCTGCTCCCCTCTGACCGGGCTGCTCGGCCCCGGCCCCTCCCCCTGCCCCAGATCCTCATGAGCATTAGAAGCAATTGTGCAGCAAATTTTATGCACCGCAAAAGAACTTGACGGTGCTCTCCTGATAGGCTCATGCGTTGGCATGCATGCGCACCTGCCGATATTGCCAGTCCCCTGTCCGTACTGACCAATCTCGCTCCGGTATAGGGGCGCTCGTCTGCTGATCAATCTGTGCATGCACAGAACGCTCAGTGGCGTCTTTTCCTGTCGGAGAATGAAAGGCACTGAACCTGCTGGGGAATTCTCCAGCCACGCACCCCGTCAGTGCTGGTGCCTGACCCACGGGACGAGCTTAGGCGTTCATGCAGCTCTGCAATGTCTCCGCTGCCCACTCGAAGGAATGTTGTTCCCCTGTCAAATTGCCGCTGTGAGCTCGATACAGGCAGCTCTTCATTCCCACTGCTTTTCTCTGCTGCCCATTGGTTCTGAGGGGGTGCAGCTGACGGCCGTATGCCAGATGTGCGCTCATGCAGAGACATAGATGCTGACACACTGTGCTCTGTTGCTGTATGCGCAACACCTAGCCACCAGAAGAGGCCAGGCCTCACTCAATTAGACGAGACCAGGCCTCACTCATCTGCTAGCAAAATCGTGCTTGGGATTTAAATTGCGCATCTAACACATCCAAGGCAGTGTATATGATGCATGTCGAGGCTGCTCAAGACTCCTCAATGGCCCTACTGCAACTTCTAACAACCATCCAGCAATGAACGGAGAATGCCCCTTCCAATGCATAGATTACGAAGGCGACATCTGTACGAACAGAGCCTTGTATTCACGAGATTTCAGGACCTGTTAAGCGCAGCCTTAGATACATGCGACACGCCTTGGCCTTCAAAGGATTGCGAATTATGAGAATAAATGACCTCAGTTCCGTCCCACAGCCTTCAATTAGACGCAATGCTTGCCCCGCTCAGCCTAAATTTCATTGAGGTGCAAATTTTAGCCTCAAGTTCACGCGCCCGACACCCGCTTTGTCACCGGCTGAAATGAGTCACCCAGAGCTTCCTCCTCTGCTCCAAAGGCTGCTTGTTCGCACTCTGGTGAAGCAGAAGTACACAAGTGTTGCGACAGCTGTTTCAAAAATTTGCTTTGCTGTGTCCTAGTGCACTTCCCTGAAGTATTCGACACCGGCTTGTGTATGTTTTATCAGTGCTGAACAGGACTGGAAATTAGACGTCGCGCTTCTGAGGGCCTGGCTTTCGGCCACTGACGTCCACGTGTATTAAATGTCGAAAATGGTGAATTCATAGGTTATTTATAAACCGAAAGCCTCATCGAACAGCATCTCTCAAGTGAAGGAAGCAGCCATGGGAGGCAGGCATCAAGACACCGACATGTCGGTAGCGGCGGCCTATGCAGCGGGAGGAACATTTGAAGCCCCCATCAGGCCTTCCAGAGCGCCTCACCAGCCGAGGGTGAGAGCTCCTGCGCCTGCAATAATTAAATTAAGGCAATAGTCCAGCTGGTACTAGGCCCCCAGCACTCCGCTTGAACCTCCAGTGACTCCTGTTCTTACGCACTCACGCATGCATCATCACGGTGCATTACAGGCGCGCTCAGCACGGGTTCCCATGCACGAGGAGGATTATGAAGACCTGCCCTCAGTAGATGATCTGGCTGTAGCGGCTCGGGCCGCAGCAGGGGCACCAGATCCTGTCGGCCCAGTGCTCCGGCAGGCGCTGGGGGAGGAAGTAGAGGAGGAGGATGAGCTCCTGGAGCCACACGCAGAGGCACTTGTGACCAGCAATATCGACAGTCCTATGGAGGTATGTGACAGCCATGAACCCACATCGTGGCTCCCGGCAATGCAATTGTGGCTAGGATTAGGGCACACACACTACTGCCATGTTGTCGGTAAATTTTGTGCGTCTTCATTGCACTGAAAGTAGAGGAGGAAGGATCATTGCTATCACCGAACCTCCGGCATGCATGCACACCTCATGCATATCAGAATGGGATGTCGGAACATGCAGGAAGCAGAGACACATGGGGAGACCCTTGATCATGCTGACAGAGGGGATGAGGCAGACAATGAAGATGATGAGGCAGCATCCAGCTCCGATGAGTCCATGTCGGAGTCAAGCGAGGAGACCTCATCGGAATCAGACTCCAGCGATGACGAAGATAATGCAGTCATGGCACTGACCAGTGATGCTCCCAGCCTTCGAATCCAGCTCAAGGTGCCGTCAGTGAATCTTTTTCCTGCATGCATTTGATGTACGCGCTGTGCTTTTAGTTCAACTTCGGACTTTAAGTTCCTTACTCTGTTTTACTTTTGCGGCAAATTCAACAGGTTGGCGAGGATGAGACAGTGAAGCTGGTGGTCAAGCGGGACGCCTATAACCCTGAGGAGCTGCGAGCAGAGATTGACCGGATGGAGCGAGATGGCCCAGACCCAAATGCAGAGGAAGAGGAGGAAATTGAGGCTGCCAAGCGGTGAGGCCTCTCCTGCCACGATCTTGTATTGGGGCAGAGGCTTTCGCATGCCCCTTGCATTAGACTGCGTTATAACAGGAGCCTGGTACACTATATTTTGTCCGTGGCTTTGCAGGGAGGAGGCGGCTACCTTGCCTCAAGTGGAGCCCTTGGACGTGCAGATTAGCCCAGAGGACACGCTGCTTCCAGTGGGGCTTGTGTCCGCGATTATTGGGTCCATCATTGTGGTCCAGGTGTGCACCTGTCCTAAATGGGCATCAAGAATTTCACACTTTTCTATGAGCTCCTTTCCTGCCCAAGCTCACTGCAGATCATGGCTTGCCTGCATGTGATGGGACTTGCTTTGCTGCGCATGCAGGCACCAGAGAACGGGCGTGCAGTCACAGAGGGCAGCGTGCTGTGCTTGAGCAACAGGGAGCCCATAGGCAAAGTGGAGGAGGTTTTTGGACCGGTCATGCAGCCGCTGTACAGCCTGCGCTATGCATGCGGGCCCACGCCGCCCGCCGAGCTGGCCGTGGGCGCGGAGATGTGCTCCGTGGAGAGGCTGACGCAGTACGTGCTACCAGAGGAGCTCTATGTTAAGGGGTGAGCCCACTATCTGCCTGGGCAGTCCTCCCGATGCCATCTCCTTTGTGGCATATCTGTCAAGCTCATTTGCAGTAACTCATATATGAAGTGGTGTTCCTAAGGTGAGCAGCCCTCAAGTCTGTGATCCTGTAACTTTTCTCTTTAAGAGTACAATGCTGTGCAGGTACGATGCCGGTGAGGCGGAGGCCGTGAGCGAAGCGGACGCGGAAGAGTACGAGTTCTCGGACGATGAGAAGGAGGCGGCATGGCGGCGGGAGCAGAAGGCGCTGCAGCCGGCCAAGCGCAAGGCGCAGGACGCCCCTCGCGGCCGCAGCGGGGCACGCGGCGGCCGCCACAATGGGCGCCACAGCACCGGCAGCGCCGACCCCGGAACAGGTCTGCCTGAGCAAGCTCTGCAATGTCACTTTCCGTCCCCATGTTATACATGCCGGACAGTTGTCCAGGAGGGTGTCAAAGGTTGAGCCCAGGATGTTTGCTTGGATCTTGATTTGTTTTCAAGATTGAGCTTGGAATGACGATCGGAGTGTTTGAATTGCGCAGGAGGCCGGCGGTCCGGGCGGGGCAGAGGCAGGGGCGGCGGCTACTCTGAGGGAGGTCATAGGCAAGCCCCCCAGCAGAACCACCAGGCTGCTCAGCCAATGCAAGGCTATGCAGGGCCGGGGCCCGGTGCGTTCGCTGTCCCTTTGTTCCCTCCCCTTGGATGCCAACTCTCTCGCCCACCTCTTGTTCACAGGAGCCTGTTGTGAAAGTGGAGCACCCGCTGCACAAACAAATGATAGCCTGCCTAGAAAAGGCGCAGTAAAGTGGAAGGGCAGTACACCTATCACCAGTGCCTGTGGAACCTCTGAGACATGCAAACGGTTATAATGCGCTGATGCTTGCTGCAGGGAGCTTCATGCCAGGCTATGCTCCGTACGGGCCACCCGGCTATGGACCGCCGCAGAGTGCGGGCCCAGCCTACGCCCCACACCAGCAGAGTTATGCCCCAGCGCAGCCAGGCGCCTATGGCAATTTTGAGTACGCCGCGCAGTATGGCAGCTTTCCAGACCAGTATGGTCAGCAAGCATACGGCGGCAACAATCAGTACCAGGCACAGCTGTCATACATGCCTCAGCAAGCACAGTATGGGCCGCCGCGGCCGCTAGGCATGCAGGGTGCAGCGTCAGCGACAGATGCATACATAGGAGGCGGGCAGAGCTCTGGGAGGGGCAGAAGGGAGCACCTGCAGCGGGTTGGACAAGGCAAGCGTTCCCAGTAGGTGCCCACCATGCGCGGAAGTGTTTAATAAATGTCCCAGGGCAGGCATTCCATGCAGGGACATAATCACAACGCTGCCTGTTGTGGAATTTCGATACATTCTGTACTTCTGTGATGTCAAGTGACATACAGCCGTAATGGTAGAAACCACTTGCAAGGGAGCAGACATGACTTTATTCTGATTGATACTTTGATTAACTGTATCTACATAACTAGCACCATTTGGGAGAGCTCTTGAGAGTAATAGGAGCAAAGCTCAGGTCTAGGTAAAGAATACATCACGAGCGCACTCCCCTCTAATAATGCCAAGTGTTGGGAAAGTATTGTGGGCGCAGTGTACCCTTGTGGTCAAATTTACCAATTGGTGTGACAAATCAACCAGTCACCAGTGTGATGGTCACATGGCAACTTGCAAAATAGGGCACCATCATGTATGCATCTTTCATGAAATGATCATGCTATGATGCATCATATGAGTCCAAGTATTTTTTATGCATTGTTGTGATTGGGTGTGGGATATATGCCTTGCGAGGAGATTACGGCAAGCCTTCTATTGTCATGCATAGTCGTACACGTAGCGCTGTCCAAGCATCTTTACTGCCAATTTGCTCTATAGACACAATGATAGTACATGCTGCATAAGCACATGCACGGCGCTCTCAAGCTTGCACACAGAAGCTCTAGCTTCACTACATTGCAATCTATTTCCTTCTTTCTCCTCACTTGTGTCTGGGGAACATTTATGTGCTTTGGCAGTCAGAAGAGATATATTCTGCTCTAACGATGTTGTCAAGACGCAGCAGCTCGCTGGGAAATGACAATGGCAAACCCCTGCAGGATGCTGCGGGGCAGAGCAGCACTCCTGCACGGGAAGGCTGCAGCGCTGGATGGGTAGGTAGGCAGCAGCAGATTGCAGGTTGTCTCCTGGTACACGCTGCTCAGAGCGTCGGCTGAGCGCTCGGCCTCACATGTGTCCAAACACGTTCTTGCTACTGCGGTCTCTGTCCCATTTGCCGCCATTGTCATGTTCGCCGCCTGGTCTACAAAGTAGCTGGAGATCTGCACATCCCAGCAAAACCCTCTTTGACTCCCTCGTGGCAAGAGCCTTTCCAAATGCGCCCTTGCAGCTAGCAGCAGAGTTCGGAATGCAAGCAGATGCCAGACTTGCACGCGGTTGAAAAACAATGCAAGCCACACGTGCCTGGTAGGCCGTCAGATTACTCTTGTCAGCAGTCGCCAGGGTGGCGTTAGCCATTGCGGTTGGCGTCAGCAGCCACTGCTGCGTGCGGCTCGTCGCATCACAGTCCTGCGCATTAATCACCAGCCCTCAACAACGCTGCAAACCTCCAGGCAGAATATTAAATCTGTGCTCACTAAAATTTGAAACAATCATTTCTAGAGGCAGCAAGCCATCATTCATCAGCAAGTACACTCAGGAAACAGCACGTCAACTGTCTCAAAGTTATCGAAGCATGGCAAACATTCCAGTTGGAGGCAGGAGGTCACCTCAAGGAAGATGTTGCCCGGGTGGCCGCACTGGCTGTACACGGAGGCGTCCGTGCACACGTCCAGGCATTTGCCCAGGCCGGTATTGTAGATCTGCTGCCCGCCGCGTGTGATAGTGGCGTTGGGGCCCGCGCGGACAAGCAGCCACTGCTGGCTGACCGGCACATAGCTGCCGCTGCCCACTGGCAGCTCCACCTGCAGTGCCAGCCAGCCTAGTCATTCTAAATGCCCAAAACGAGCTTCCCTTCGCACCTTTGCTGAGTAGTGGAGGCAAGACTTTCCCTGAGGATTTCTCACACGGTGTGAACAATCAACAACAGCAGCTAAATTTGTGGTGCCAGCCAGCACTTGTCACTGAAGATGCCCAGTTGAATGTCCCTATTGCAGCAGTGCATGATCCGACATCATGCTTGTGACTGCCACACAGGGCACGTGAGGGTGATGAAGCAGGCCGTAGACCTTCCAAGCGGTCCAAACTCATAAGCCAAAATATCCTCTACGCATCAGCGAACTCGGACTCTGATTGCAGGGACAGGAAGATTCATTCAGTCACCTTGGTCTCATTCTTGAAGGGGCACTGCCATTTGACGGTGGCCACGTCGGAGAAGACTGGCATGAGGGAGCAGGTGGTCTCGTTGAGACCCTTGGCCCTGCAGGAGTTGACGGAGCTCCAGCCCACCACGCATGTGTCTAAATCCTCATCCAGGGCCACCAACGACACCGGCTGACCTGCACCATGCATTCCCACCCCTTCTACATCTGGCTTCCATCAGGCGCGCGAGACGCGTACTACTGATTCCCTGCAATCCTGTAAGTAATCCTTTTGCAGGTGGTGGTCCCAGGGCCAATGCTGCATTAAGACTGTGACTGGGTCAAGCAGATGCAGTGGGTCCAGCCAAGAAGGCTCTCACCGAAGCCTGGTGTGGTGGGGGGTCTGGGCTTGGCCAGACTGGCGTTCTGCTTGGCGGTCAGGGGCCGCGATGCCAGGTACATGGCAAAGAGCGTGTCGTTGGTGTCGGTGATCTGCAGTGGCAGCTGCCACAGAGACGTCAGGCCGCCGTACAGGGCCTCGATGCCTGCCAATGCCTGGAACGGTGGCGCCGCATCCTTGGATAGCATGCCCATTCCTGCAGGAGCACGACATTATTGACACCCATTCCGACTTCCCAGAAGGCCATTGTCTTTGCAGGCTAAATTAATTATTTGGAGATGCAACCACGTGCATGTGTTGCAGCAAAAAGGTGACTGCGCACCTGGTGCAGGCGCAGGTGCAGGAAGGGGCAGGCCAGTCGCGTAGACAAGCTGCTCAGTAGAGGGTTGCCGCATAGAAACCGGCGCCGGGGCGGGCGCTCCCTTGGCGGCTGTAGAGGAAGCATTCGCCCTGGCAGAGGGCGCAGGTGCGCCTGCCACCGCAAGGGGAGCACCTTTTGGCGCCATATCAGGCGCTGTGGCAGGTGCCCTGGAAGGGGCAGCAAGTGGGCTTGTCGCCACTCTCGGCTTGTACGCTGCTCCTGTCGAGGGCGGCTTTGCTGCCTGGGGCGGCAGCGGCTGCGGCCTGGGCGCACCCACACTGGCACGTGCGGCCGCCTTTACCGCTGACACTGCGGCGGCCGGCCCCGGTGCCGGTGCGTTGGCAGGCCCCTTTGCTGGCGCCGATGCAGGCTTTGCTGTTGCTGCTTTTGATGCTGCTGCAGGCTTCTTTGTGCTGGCAGCCGGTGCCGGTGCATTCGCCACGCTGTAAGCCGCCACAGCTTTTGCAGGTGCAGCAGCAGGAGCGCCGGAGCCTGCCGTTGCGGCAGCAGGAGCGCTCCGCTGTGGGGCTGCGTGCCGAGGTGCAGGAGCACCGGCAGCTGCGGCTGCCGCGGCAGCTTTTGTTGCGGGTGCCGTTGCAGGCGCTGCAGCTTTGGTCGCTGGCTTTGGCGCAGGCTGTGGTGCAGCGACGGCTGCAACCGCCACCGACCCCTGTGCAGGAGCGGGAGCTGGGGGCAGCGACACAGAGCCGCGCAGGGGTGTGCTTGCGGCTGTGCGTGCAGCGGTGGAGGGTGCAGGGGCTGGAGTGCCACGAACGCGCGGCTCAGCCGCAGCCGGTACCGCTGCCGGCGGCTGCGTCTTCGGCGCTGTCGGCTGTGGGCGGGCTGTTGTGGGAGCCTGTGACGGTGCAGGTGCGCCTCCTGCTGCCGCCACTAGTGTTGCGGCTGCCTTGGGAGCCTTTGCAGGGGCCGTGGGCACCGGTGCTGCTGCTTTTGACGAGGCAAGTGGCCGCACAGACGATGCTGGGGCCACAGCTGGGGCTCGCACAGCACCCGGCTGAGGGGCAGCTGCGGTGGACGCCGGCGGCAGAGCTGTGTAGGCAAGCGCGGCAGGCTGCAGGGCCGGCGGCGCAGTCGAGGGCTTTGCCGCTGCCGGCTTTGCCGCTGCCGGCTTCGCCGCTGCCGGAGTTGCTGCCACGGGAGGCAATGCTGGTAGCGCCACAGCTGGCAGAGCAGAAGAGGAAGCTGCCTGAGTAGCTACCGCCGGGGCCGGGGCTGGGGCTGGGGCCGGGGCCGGCACGGGCGCGAGGGCAGCTGCTGTTGCCGCGGCGGCTGCCGCCGGCTTCCCGGGCGTGATGGGAACCGTGCCGCCTAGGACGGGAATGGGCCCGGCCGGCATGGAGGCTGCTGCGGTCGCTGGTGCGGTGACGGGCGGCTGCAGCGCTGCAATGGCGGCTGTGAGCGCCGCGGCGGTGGCTCCTGGCGAGGCTGCCGGCCCCGCGGCCACCACCGCAGCCGTGGCCGGGGGCGGAAGTGTCCCTGCTGTAAAGGCAAAGTCATGTCAGTAGCACGTGAGGCGGCTTACTTGGTTGCCATATATAAATTCACTCCGCACGGATTTGGTAACTTGGCTGCACACCTGTGAACGGATCTCCAGGGTAAGCTCCAAGCTCCTGGGTGCTCCTCCCTGTGGTAGTACCATTCTGAGGCTCAGGACTCTTCTAATCAACTCAGAATAGGGAGCACATGTCAACAGGCACTGACCCCTGACTTGCACCTCTCATGAGCTTTCTCAGGACATGAAGTTGGATGCTCACGGTTGCTGGCAGGTGTCCCCGGTGCTGATGGAGCCAGGGAGATGTAGGAGCTCTTGCTCGTGCTATTGTAGGTGAAAGTCGAGTAGAAGGCTCGCAGAAAGTTTGTGCCGAGAACAATGGTGTCATCCAACGCCCCACTCTGGAAGGCCAGTGCACATGCACCACTGGGACCAATCTGTGCAGACAAAGTCCACTTCAGGCCAGTCACTTCTACAAGCCTTGTCACATCTCCATTCACAATGCAGCCAGCAGGGGCTGTGTAGAGCTCCAGGTGCATACCTGTACAATGTACTGCTGTGGTGTCAAAGAGAAGTTGCCCGTCCCCAGGCTGAAGGTGATGTTTGGCAGTGAGGAGATGTTGCTGCATCCCCCAACAATCTCCAACGCTCCTGACTCCTTCCCCAGAAATACGCCCGGCACAGACTGCATGGAAAACGTCATGTGTTTACATTAAATAGCCATCATTGCCTCATGCAAGGGTTTCTGACAAATATGGCAACTGCACAGCGTGCATGCAGGCAATTGAACTGCAAATATCAGCTCGCAAATGAGGGATCACCGCTCCTAGGTACAGAAAGTCTTTGGATGTGAGCAGGCTCAGGGCGCTGCCGCTGTGCAGGATTGCCCCGCGTGCAGTCACTGGCACTGCCGTGGCCCCAACTCTCACTCCCATCAGCGGCACCATCCAGTACCTGCCAAAATGAAAGAAATGAGTTCTCGAGACTGCAATGCATGGTTGTAAAACTTGTTGTTGTCCGAACAAAAGGAGAGCGTGTTGCCATCAAATATGCAAAGCGTTGCAGGGCAGGGCCGCATGTTCAGAATATTTCATAGACCTAGAAATGGGACAGGGCGCACTTTGTACTGATGACAGGAAGAGGGTACAGGGACCCAGTGTACAGCGCAGAATCGCTGCCGCCAAACTCGATTGATCCAGCCGGCTCGCCGGCAGGGTCGCCATTCAGCCACAAAGAGAACGTTGGCTCATCTAGCAATCCCTGCAGAGCATCCACAAGAAGGATCACAAGTTGCCCTTCACCTCACGCAGTGGCAAAGTTGTCAACCAATGACCTGCGCGCTCACCTTCTCCGACAGCATCTTGTAGAATGCTGGTCGCCCCAGTCTGGCCAGTCCGGGGCGTGCCAAGCCCTGCAAGAACACAAATTTTTGATCAGCAGCATTGAGGGCAAATGAACCCAGGCAAACAACCCAAAGCACACATATGCTGTGAGGCACGGAAGGAGGGGGAAGATCACTCACAAAAATACCGTCACAGGAGGCGCCGGTAAGATTGACAGAGGCTTTAGTCACCAAGCCGAGGCTTGCATTGTTCACCAGTAAGTCCCCCACTTTCAGGGAGTCTAAGCCGAGCATTCCCACCACACCTCCTGTCATGTATTTCTCTGAGAAATTCCGCGCGACAACCTGTGACAGACCAAAGACAGACTCAGCTAACTTGCAAAACATTTGGCGTTGCAAAGATCGGGCAGAAGCATGTGATAGGGGGAGCGCATGCCTGGAAAGAGTTGGATGCGTTTGTAGAGAACTTGCTCTGCATCTGGGCTGTCGTGTCCATTCCTGAGAAGGTGTCAGCTGGGATCCACAGGACCGAGCTCCCAGTGTCAAAGCACACAGTTGTGTTCTGGCCGGGTGTGCCAATTTGCACAACTCCATAGTACTGCATTGCAAGACCAGTCAGTACAAGCTGAAAGCAGTTCTTTCCCAGAGCAGGGCATGATGCATAGCTGCTATGGGAGTCTGTACCATGGCGTTGTTGAGCCGTCGAAGTGGGTTCGCATCGAGCTGGGCACTGTTTCTGTACAGATCTATGCGATTGTTCAGTGCTGCTGCTCGCTGAGCACTGATGATTATCAGCAAAAGCAGCAAGCTCTTTGCATGCCATGATGTGTCCCGTAGATGCTGCATCATCTGTAGCGCACCAAGATTTTGATCCTGGAGTTGCATGTGCCTGGCTGGAATATGTTACCTTACAAATTTTCGCACAATAAATTGAGCGACGCTTAACATACCCGATGCTGAAGTGGAGATGTTTGTCTATCTATCTACAGTATTCAGCTGCATTTCAAAGTCGATGGCTCCTTTTACTATAAAACCAACAGTTGACGGAACACGCCAAGTTTCACCAGCGCAATTGCCGGAGCAGTGTATCCTTTGGTTCTGAGAAACACTGCAAAGTATTTTCAAGCTACTGCAATCATCATCCCAGTCATAAAGACTTTGTTCAGGTGCTCCGATAGCCCTACTGATGCACAGGACCCACCGAAACGATCAAAGGTTCAAGCACCCTTTCGCACCCTTGTGTACCTACCTGTACAAGGAATTCCGAGCCACAATTCATTGCAAGATATCGCATCCGTTGAAAGGCATTCACTGGGGTGACGACGATGAATCAGGCCGGACCCAAGAAGTTTCCGGCCAGTACAGCGGCGTTTCGCTGCGGCAGCTTCCTCTGTCCGAGCAGCTTCATGTCCTCCCTGAAGCCACAGAGCCAGCTGGCGGAACTGCTAACGAAGAAGTCGACAGAAAGGGAGGAGGCTGGGGGAGACCTGCCAAATCTCTTTCTCTGATGATCATATCACGGTAGATCCTCTTCTCATCTGCAAGCAAATTATTACAGCAATTCATCACGGCAGAACTTGCACAGGTTCGTCGTTCCGAGGTTCGGAAGTTGCGGCTTGTTGGTGGATTGTGATCGTCGAATATAATGGCTGGTTGCTTCGGTTGTTTTCATTTTGATCGTCATCCAAAAGCCAGTGCAGCAGCTCCGATGCTGCACCAGTCGTCCTGTCAGGTTGCGGACATCAGCCACCTGCTTGGGACAGATGGCAATGGAACGAAGGCTAAGGAAGTCAGCAAGCTCAGGTCATTGGTTCAAACACCACAGCATGGCCAGTATGCGTACGAGGAAGTTGGGCACCTTGGGGATGCTCAGCAGAGGACCCTCAAGCTGATGAGGCATAGACGGTCAAAGGAGCTAGTGGCTGTGAAATATGTAAGGCAGTCTGCAGGTAACTTATAAGAATCTCCTCACTGAAACGAAGCCAGTATGGACATTGTTTCTTTTTGAATCTCAGATGGGACCTTTCATCTTACGCATGTGCGCAGACACGCTGCTTGACAAGAACGTGGAGCGGGAGATCCTGAATCATAGGCAGCTAGTCCACCCGAACATCCTGGCCTTCCGGGAGGTCTTCACAACAGATACAGAGCTGGCAATTGTGGTACGTACTGCCTTCACCTTCTTTGAATTGCCTGCAGCTTGCTCTGCGTTTGAAGTCATTCAAATAATTGAGAGAGTCTGTGACCCAGGCGGAGTATGCATCAGCTGGACAGCTGGCGGATAAGTGCACTAGCCCCATGCCAGAGAGGGAGGCGCTGACCCTGTTCAGCCAGCTCCTAGACGGGCTGGCCTACTGCCACAGCAAGGGTGTCTACCATCGCGACCTGCGCACCGAGCTCATCTTCCTCTCTGGCAGGTGTGGAAGCCCTTCTTAAAAGTAATATCCAAGAAGTCTGCCATGACTTGAGCGCGTGAGATCTCTAAAGCGCCTGCATTCTGACTGCGCTGCTCTCATCAGACACACTTTATTGAAGCCACAGCACGGACGCAGTTCAGCAAATTGCTTCCACTTCTGCGCAAAGCGGCAGTCATATTGCCATGGCGCTTTGGATAAATGTACACCGAGCGCTCTGCGCATGCTGCAGCGTGTTTGCGCCGACGCTGAAGATCGGCGGCTTCGGCTTCTCCAAGAGCGCGGCGATGGACTCTATGGCAAAGACGGCGGTGGGCTCGCGCGGCTACATGGCGCCTGAAGTTCTGCTGGCCACCGGTGCCTACGACGCGGCAGCTGTTGATGTGTGGGCGTGCGGCGTGGTGCTTTACCAGATGCTGACCGGGCGCATGCCCTTCTGTCACGACGCCAACGCGAGCGGCGTCCTGGACCGCGCCATGATGCAGCGCATTGTGCGCGGCCAGTGCGTCCCTTTCATCCCCAAGAAAAACTCATATTCTACTCCTTTGAGTGAGAAAAAAGGACCAGCAGGCTCCCTTGAGCGCCGCTGTCTCATCCCAAGGTCATGAGCCTTCTTTTGGGACACATGACCTCATTGCGCATGCAACTTGGAACTCCGTCCGCTTTAGAACAGGGCTATTGTCAGTTGCAGTGCAACACGAGGAGACTGTTCCCGGCAGCTGTAGTTGCAACGGGAAATCAAGTTGAAAGGCACACCTCACCAAGTTTATGCAATATGCTCTGTGTTTCTCAAAACCGCCCCCACTTGCGCTGACGGAGCATCCCACTGCAGGTACTACCTGCCAGGCGATATTGCGCTGTCGCTGGAGGTGCAGGACCTGCTGGCGCGCATCTTCCGGCCGGACCCCAAGCACCGCATCGGCCTGGCCTCCATGCGCCGCCACCCCTGGCTGCACGACGGCGCGCCCTCCGTCCTCAGCCCCGCGCAGGAGCCGGCCGCGGCCGACGTCGCGCCGCTGCAGAGCGAGGAGGGCATCCGGGATGTCATCCACCGCGCCAGGCAGCGCCGGCTGCAGCAGCAGCGCAGGCTGAGTTCTACCGGCGTGGGGGCGCTTGGGAGCAATCGGCAGCCGGCGCTGGACAGGACCAGCCATTCCTTTGCTGTAACCGCCAACGCCTAGAGACAGCCGGTGGCGCGGTCTTTAGAGCTGGGATTATCATGTACAGTTGCCAAGTATGCATAAGCACTGAACTCAATGAGTGAAAGGGTTTTGTATTGTGGCACCAATGAATAGCTGGAATGTATGGCTGTGAAACAATGCATCATGGTGCTCACTGAAATACAAAATTGCAGAACTATAAATCTTATGTGCTGAATGGGTAGTTGCCTCTGGAGGGGCCTGAATAGATAAGCTCTCTGAATGCATCAGATCTGGACCAGGATCAGGTCTAGAACAGCATTCTGTGCTGTAGGTAGTGTTTGGATTTTTGCACCATCCTCAAAGAACCCCTACCGAGATGGAATGTGTAGGATAGCATTTAACAAGCTGCTTGCTGGCTTTGAGCATTGACATGTCCAACACTGGAGTGCTTGTAGCATTTTAGCGACGCTGAGTGCATGCACGTGCTGATCATCAATCAAATTGCCTCACGGTGCACGATGAACACAAGTGCATGATCATGAGGATTATAAATGACGTACCCAAATCGCCTTGCATATGCAAGGAGGCAAGTGGTGATCTCTGTGGTGAATTGTTATTATTATGATTACTATTACACGCTTTTCCTGCCGAAGGTGAGGTGCGTCTGCAGACAAGCTGCATGTAAAGGCCGCCAAATTCCGACCCCTTGTTGGACTCGCCAGATCCAAGCAAGACCCAATCAAGCATGGGCACGGTGCTCAGTATTTGTACTGCCCCACGCCAGCCGGGGCCAGGTGCTGAATACCTGGTAACATATGGTGTAGGAGACAGACATGTGCACATGGATGCGTTTGACTTGCACGCAGCATGAACCCTTCATGTGATGACAAGGCGGCTTGTGCAACGTTGTTAGTGATGTGGCCACATTAAAAATGACAGAGGTACTCAGGCTATTGAAAAAGCTTGCTGGATATCCTTGATCGATCTCATAATAATAATAACTATTTCACGCCAACACCTCCTATAAATCCTGCAGACACCCTGACCACGCCGTCTGATAGTGACACAACCTAATACATCCTAGTACAAAATTGCCTACCCAACAGAGCAAGCCAGCTTTATAAATTATGGGAAGATGGACTTCGACCCATAGCAAGCCATAAGATCCCAGGAATAAAAGTGGTACAAAATTCTGTCACCTGACAGGTTTCAAAATTTCCCCTACTTTCTTTGAGATGTTTGAGGCAACCTAAAGCGACTGAGCACGAGAACACACTAATACAAGAGTATACACTGCATACATTGTGTGGACACCTAACACCTGCTTCCTACACCGGCTTCCTAACCTAAACCGTTACAAAATCGAAACACCAAAATTGTTTGCTCCTATACCCGCTGCATGGGCTGATGAACAACCATCAACAGACGATCACTCATTTGCTGTGTGAGCACTACTTGCCAACAAAGAGCGCCATTCTTATCATCCAACACAAAAACGAGCTGCCTTCAATGCATGCATGCCTGGAAGGTACGCAGGAGGACTGCTCAGCAACAATGTCATTGCACAGATCAACAGATCTGCAGGCACCAATACCCAGTGTAGGTAGTAATCACTGAGCAAACCTCATAATTTTCGAACAGCTCCTCCCAAGAGCTTTCCATCAAGGGCCAGAATTGGCCCTTGATGCAGCATCACAATGCAAGGTGCGGCGGTAATGAATGGCGCCCCAACTAGGGCAATTCCAGTCTTTGCTCCAGACGGTGTCTGCAAGGTTGTATCAGCTGATTCCTTGGAACTTCATACAGGCTATTGCATGCCGCTGCCCGTGTGCAGCTTCCACGAGCAGGCCCGGTCCAGTACCGCCACGGTCAGCAGCTCAGTGTACTACTCTCAGAGCGTGCACGGAAACAAACTCGGAGAGTTCAGTACTCACGGCCACTCTCAGCGCAGCTTGGAGAGGACGTCGGCGACCTCGCGCGCATACTTGGCGTGGATGGCCGGCCGGCGCGGCTTGAATGTGCGCGTGAGGGTGCCACCCTCCACAGACAGCGGCTCCTGCAGTACCGTGAAGGCGGCCACGCGCTCAAAGTGCGGCCGCGATGCGCACGCCTTGTTAATCTCCGCGCGGATCACCGCCCGCACCTCCTCCTCGCTCATCGGCCCTGCTCCACCGAAAAATTGCAATTCTTGATGTAAAAACAGCTCTGCTCCACTTAATACTTGCAATTCACCGATGTGAAATGAAGCTCTGCTGCTCCACCAAGAACTTGCAATTCATGATGTTGAAAGGAAGCTCTGATCGAATCACATCAGAGAAAATAGTAAGCTGATGTGGAAGCAGAGCGAGCGCGAAAATTAAGGGGAAAGGGCTGCCTCGCAGTGTAAGTTGAACATGTGAAGCATACAAGACACCTCCTGTTTCTGCGACAATAGAAGCATCTCATGTGGACCAGAAGAAGCCCTCTCTCTTCCTCTCTCCTAGCCCAAGGATAGCAGCATAGAAGGAGTGCAAATGCACAGCAAGTGGGCGTTGCTCTTCAGTGAGCAGGTGCCTGATACTGTGGGAAGGTGGTAAGCATTTTGAGAGTGGCAGGGTGAAAAGTAGGCGCACCCTTTACGTCCTGCAGCTCGGCGAAGGCTTCTGGGGCGGGCACCACGAGGGCGCCCAGCATGCGGTGGTCCTGCCCCACCAGAACCAGGTGCTGGATGAATGGCGACACCGCGCATGCGTCCTCTATCGGCGCCGGCTCCACGTTCTCGCCGCTGCTCAGCACAATCGTGTCCTGCGAGCGCAGTGCCAGTAAGTTGTCAGTAATCAGGTGCTGCCATGCAAGGCGCAGAAGCTTACAATTGAATCTGAGCATTGTTGCACCCACTGGAGACAGCTTTGGCGCACCTTTGCACGGCCGGTGAGCACGATGTGCCCCGCCATGTTGCTGCCAGCAACGCCCGCTGCAACACCACATACAGAGCCCTCAGTCTCAGGCACAAACATCATTCACGGAATCGACAGAAACTCTTGCACTCTATGAGATTTGCACCATCGCAGCACAGCAGGGATGCCATAGGGGGCAAAGCTGCTCACTTGGTGCGCGCCAGCCGAGATCACCGGTGTCAAACCAGCCGTCGCCAGCCACAAATGCCTTGGCGGTGGCCGCTTCATCATTGAAGTAACCCTTCATCACCCCCGGACCCTTTGCCAGGAGCAGCCCCTGCATGACCACATCTCCCTGAGCCTCCAATGCTTCATTTCATCAATTTAGGGCTGATAAGCACACCAAATTAGGCCCAAGAGGCTTGCAGCTTCTGTCTGTCTATTCATGCTAGTCCTCAAGCTGTGGCTCATACACAGGCAGGCTTTCACAATTATCCACCTGTAGAGGGCCAGCAAGGCATGCAAGCTCTCAGTACCATTGAAATAGAGATCTGTGTGATTCTGCTAAAACAAACCCTCAAGCGCGCAAAGAGTTGAGCAAGGTGGCAAATCGTTCAAACTGACCTGCTGGCCCTCGGGCACGGGGCGCAGGGTCTCGGGATCAACGACGCGGACGACGGTGCCGGGGATGGGCAGGCCGACACTGCCGCGCACGTTTTCGCGCGTGGCGTCCCGGCGGCAGGACAGCACGGGGGAGGTCTCGGTGAGGCCCCAGCCATTGAGCACGGGTAGCGCGAGCGTCTCGTAGAAGTCGTCCAGGTGGCGCGCCAGGGAGCCGCCGCCGCTGATCACCGTGCTCATGATCCCCAGCGCCGCCCGAATCTTGCCAAACACCAGCACCTGCCCCAGCCTGCCGCCCCCCACATGCACCCATCAGAGTCACTCTTGAATTGCACTGCAGCACTTCAACGGATGAGAGAGAGGGAGAGAAAATCAGCACAGCAAGAAGAGCATGAAAAAGCTTCCTGATGCCTCCCTAACTGTGCAACAACACCTGCAGATCTCTGTACATGCTTGATACCCAGACAAGAAAGCGCTCCTCTGCTGTAGAGAGGATACATTGCAGGGTCATGCTGATGAGCACAGCACCCATGGCAGATGTGATGGACAATGATCTTTGGCTCCAGGCTGACCTGTAGAGGGGGTAGAGCACAGCGGCGGTGAAGGTGGCGAGCATGACCCGGAACATGGAGGGCGCCGTCCGCGCGTACTCCAGCGCGACGCCGTCCAGAATGCGCCTGGCCCGGATGTAGGCCGCGCCGATGGCGAAGAACAGCCGCGCTATGGTGCGCTTCACCAGCGAGCTCTTCTTGATCTGCTGCTGCACCTGCACACACCATTGGGACAGCATTTCAACTCTGGTGAGATTTCCTTATGGACAGCTTACAGCAAAGACGAGCATACGAGATTGCAGGAGAGGCAGGAGAAAGAAAACACACCCTGCCGTACAGTGTGTCGAGGACCATAGGGACGCAGACAAAGTGGTGGGGCGGATAGGCGGACAAGTCCTCCCTGAACTTGCGAATGTTGGTGTATACCTGCGACACCCAGCAATTAATCATGCATTGGGTTCTCCAAACAAGCTCATGCAGGAAGCAACAAGGCTAGTAATATAAACATATATTGAACAAAAGGGTGGACCTGGGTGCAGGCACGAGAGAAGAGGTAGTAGCCGCAGGAGCGCTCGTAGATGTGCCAGGGAGGCAGCAGGCTGAGCGAGCGCTCCCCGGGCTTGGGCTTCAGAAAAAAGCTTAAGTTGTCCATCTGATACTTCAAGTTGCCATGCGTCAGCATGACACCCTGCACACGAAAGAACAGTGTCCTTTAACTTGTGCAAAAGATCCAGAGCAGGAGAGAACATATTCAAAATGTGCCATGGTATGAGGTGTAGGAGCTCATCACAGTGCTCAGCAGGGAAGGCACCTTTGGGTTGCCAGTGGTGCCAGAGGTGTAGACAATGGTGGCCAGCTGGTCGGAGGACAGAGGGGCGGACTCAAACTGATTTGAGGCGCGGTGCCCCTGCGCCAAAACCTCTGCATAGGACAGAACTGGGCAGTCCAGCAAGGACCGGCACTTGTCGTTGGGCTCGCCCCATAGTATTACAGCAAAGCGCACCGCAGGTCGATGCACCTGCTGCCCGCCCACAGCCCGATCAGGACAGACTGAGCTAAACATCTGCATTCTGCATGATTCTGTATGCATCATGCATCATTCATCATGCATCATTCTGTACTGACCGTAATGTAAACTCGGTTCATTAGCAGGTGAACAGCCCTGTGTGCTGTTGAGAAAGAATCGCTCAGCACCCCGCATGCAAAGTATGAAGTAAGCTGGAAGCGTACCCCATTGTGGAAAGCTCCATTTGAGCCATTGCCGTTGCCGTTCTGCGAGGATGACGATGCCAGTGCTGGGGCCAGGCGCTCCAGGGTCTGGGAGTCCTGGGCCACGATGGCGCAGCTCTCAGAGTGGGACACAATATAGGCCATCTCCTCCGCCGGGCTGCTGGCCCCGCGCACCGCATCTGCAGCGCCCAGCGTCATCACTGCCTGATCCGCCACCAGCCACCGAGACGAATTCTCGCTGAACAGCGCCACCTGCGATGTCATCATGCCATGCGATGTGAGTATGCCACATCAGGGCTTCCAGGCCTGTAAGAAAGCTATGAGCGCTGTGTGGAGATGGCATGCTGCAGTTGGACAAGGAGGTAGTCCCTCATGAGTGATGAAAGTGGTCACCTTGTCTCCAGGCTTCAGGCTGAGAGCTCGCAGACCCGCTGCAAACTGAATGATCTGAGATTCCAACTCCCTGCATGCACCCACATAGCTTAGGAGACCGATTCAAGATCAGCCGTACTGTTGCTGAGCCTCACAAATAGATGCACTGATAGGGGGCATGGCACGCACAGGAACGTCAGCTTTGTTGCTGGGCTCTGGTGGGGGTCAATGGCAGCCAGCTTGTCACCATGTGCGTCAGCAAGAGACGCCCACCTGCACATGCAAAGAATTATCTTGATGCAGAAAGACGAATTGCAAGCATCGGCGAAGCAGACGGAAGTGTAGCTTGGTGGATGTAGCACAAAGGACCACGTCAGGAAGCTTACATTTGTGGGACCCCTATGAAGGAAACTTCGGATCCATCTGGCTCCAACAGAACGGGTTCTTCTCTAGGCTGCTCAGTGCGCTCAGGGGCTTGCACCTGCAGTGTCCAGAACGACTTGTTGAACGACGACAGTAACTTGTCTTCTCCTCAGAGCCCAGAGTCTTAACAAGTTTCAGGCGTACCCAAGGCATCCTAAGTTCATTTAGTACAAAAAAAAAGCAATTAAAGAGATCCGGAGCAAATACAAATCAACAGTATGCTAAGACCTTCAACAACAGAAGGCACACTATTATTCCAGGAAGTATGCACGTCGAGCACCTGGCAAGCTAGCCTGTTGTAATCTCGCCCACACCGTCTTGAAATTGATACATGCGACAAGGATCTTCTGTTCGCACAGCTATACGTGCTGTGCAGGAACCGCGAGCTTGCTCCGCTTGGTACTAGAAGAGGACAACCACGTCTCTGCACTGGAGGTGTGCAAATGCCTGCAGAGCAAGGCAATGCATGTGGCGAGCCCATCATGTCGCTCCCACAAACGAGAAGGCAAATATGTGAGGAAGGCCAATCTCGAACTCTTCATCTCTATGGATAGTTCTATTCCCTTTGTACCGCGAGGGCCGTTGAAGTTAATAGGCACGCGATGGGCTCGCTACTGTCGGGAAGACATGTTGACATCAAATGCCTTCAGCATTGGTCTGACAACGACTTTTCCCAATTGGTCGATGTATGCTCTCCGGCGCATACAGTTCTAATGTGGCAGCTAGCCATCAACGATGTGACAATCGCCTATTGTCACTGTCACTTTGACCCAACGCTGTAGCTTTGAGAACCTGTGCCGCTCGTCCCCTTATTATGATGCTACTACATCGAATTACTAGCGCGCAGCGTGTTGTAAGCGACGGATCTCTTGCAATATAGTCATGAAGAGTCGTCCTAAAATGGGGTTTGGCGAGGATTTAAGGCTGGCCCTGAAAGTCCCAGAGCTCAATCCTCATCCGATGTATAAGCAGGTACACTCCATTTCACCATTATTTGTGCTAACTTGTTCCGGAAATACTGTCTGGTCCCTGTCCCTAGATATCTGGCATACTTTGTAAAGGCGATAGCAGCGCTGGATCTCAAGAGGCTTTGCTTTAATGCAGATCGTCGCAGGAGTTCTTGTGAAATACGTAAATTTTGGCAAGGGTTGGAGACACCGCTTGTTCGTGCTGCAAAATGGCGTTCTTCGGTACTACAAGGTGATATGGAAGCTGGCCTTTTGCACTTTTGACGTTCCTGTGTTCATGTTTCTTTTATGTGACCTGAGCATAGTTTAATCTTTTATCTGACAATTGTGTGGCACAGGTATTTGGGGAAAGCAGAGTGAATGTCCATGCGCTTTTTGAGCAGCTTCGCAAACAGGGCGAGCTGACTTTGATAGGCGCAGAGACTGGCGTTGTGGAGAACAAGTGGAAGAGGTGGTCTTCCGTCTCTTGTGCCAATACATTCATCTTGCCCCAAATGCCCTTATGATTCATTGCATCTGGGCTGCCACCCTGAGCGCTTATTGTGCCACAGGAACAATGCCCTCATGGGTGTATCCAGCCCTGGATCTCAGGAGACACTTGCACCCCAGGCAGAGTTACACTTGCAGGTGGGGGCCACATGCCCTGAAAATGTGCTGCTTTTGTCTTGAAGTGCGTAATGAAGGCAATCTTGTGTACGGCACCATAGCTTAGTATCTCAATGTTTTGTGCAGGTGTCTAGTATCCAGGAATCCTCCACAGACTATCGCAAGTTCTACATGCACAACGGCGCCAAAGTGATGAGATTGCGAGCTGAGACCAAGTGCGTGCACCACTTGGTATCCTGCTGTGGGGAGGATACAAGCACAGGATCATGGGTGGCAATATCTTGTTTGGATGCTGACATATGGCCAAATTTGCATTCAGGGAGGACAGGTGGGCTTGGATAACTGCCTTGAGCCAGGCAAAGGTGATGCCTCCCATTCCATACCAGTATACACCATGATCTATCCCTCAAAGACCCAGCCATTAAGTAGCAGCAATTCCCCCTCTACTGGCTGAAGTCCAATTGCTGGCCTGTTTTTACTCGCAGGAGGTGTGGGATGACAGGACCCCAGAGACACCTGATGCCACTGCCCCCAAGTCCATGGCCAGGTGATTTGTGTGCTTGCACTGCTGCACTACCAGACATGTCGAATACGACACAACGACTGTCTACAAGCTGTATCTGACGCTTCCAACATCTTGCTTCATGTAGCGGTTTGCCTCTGCAGGATTGTGACTGGGGACAACATCTTCCTCACGGACCTCGAAGGAGTCCATGAGAGGCTGAAGGAGAGGGGCGCAGGCGATGACCTGTGCGGGTTTGTGGAGGACCTCCTCGTGAAGCAGCACCAGCGCTACCACATTTTTATGACTGCCGAGTCCGACAAGCGCCGCTTGCTGCTGGAACACCTCCACAAGCTTGAGGTGCGCCCTCTTGTCATCCAGGAATAAACAATCATGTGCACTTATTTAAGTCATCATTTGGTCCTCAGGTTGGAATTTTAAATTCTGGCCCAGAATTTCTGGGGCATCCACAAGCCTGAGCTACCAAAGTGCCTGGTTGCAGAATGAGAAGCGGCAGTTGGAGACTGCCATGGTGGTTGAGAGCCGCATTAGCAACAAGAGAAACATCAGCCGAAGGTCCCTGGCCGACACACAAGATGGCTTGGAGCACTCTGAGGTGGGCACACAATTCTCCAAGATCCAAACCTGCCCTATGCCATTCCAGTTATACAGGGTGTCATCAGGGAATTACACTTTTCTGCTCATTCTATCAGCCAGTTTCAAGTGCATGCTAGGTGAGAGAAATTACTGCCATGCTAAGTGTGGGAGCTGACGCAGCTTGGGGAGAGCGAACAGTCGGACACGGACGCAGACGAGGATGAGTCGACGGAGCGTGCAGACAGCGCAAGCACAGACGAAGACGAAGAGGTATTCTATGACGCCCTTGAGCTGGCGCGCAGCGGCAGCCTCGGCAGCATCGGCCGCGCCGGGAGCCTGGAGGATTCCTCCCAGAATGGTGTTGTGGAGCCTGTGACGCCTGCCAAACAGACCAGGTGAGCGCGCCCCTCAAAGCCCGAGCCCAAGAATGCCTGTATCGCTGCACATGCGTCTGACCTGTACAAGAAAAGCATGGTACCTACCAGTGTCTGGAATTCCTGCCATGACCTCTCTTGCGAAGTTTACATTGAATGACCCTGTGAAGGCAGTGAATGTCACAGCAACAGGCAACACAGGCACCTTATTGCCGGGCGTTGGGGTGATTGTTGCGCAGCTGTACGCACTGCCCTGTTTGTGGGTCTCTTTAAAATACTTTCTTATACACTGGAGTCGGCATGACATGAAGGGGCCTGTCTGAATCATGTCCCTCTCTTCCGTGAGGGACCATCCTGCCTCATTGAGAGGAGGGATATACTGCTCGGTGTCAATGATCCGATGTGGTGCTGCAGTGGGGAGGAGGATGTCCCGGAGTGGCTGGCCAAGGAGCTGCCAGCGCCGGAGCGGAGGGATCGGCTGCCGCCGCCGGCACAGCAGGAGAAGAGCGTCAGCCTGTGGTCCATCATCAAGGAGTGCGTGGGCAAGGACCTGACGCGCATCTGCCTCCCCGTCTACTTCAACGAGCCCCTCTCCGCCCTCCAGCGCATCGCCGAGGATTTGGAATACAGCGAACTGCTTGACACGGTGAGATTCCACTTGTCCCACCCCTGCTTATGGACACTGTATCCTGGACAGTTGAATTCCAAATTTTTGAGTGTGCAGTGAACTGACAACCCACCTTTGATCCTCCCAAAGTGCACGGCCTCGGTAAATCAAGCTTTGCAAGCGCTGCTCGCCTGACGATCACATGCGCATGCTTGTGCTTGCACATGCGGTGCTACCAGCTGAGAGGTTTTGTGTGGCCAGGCTGCCACATTCCCGGCGGGCAGCGAGGAGCGCATGCTGTACGTGGCGGCATTTGCAGTGAGCGGCTACTCGAGCACGGCTGGGCGCACCAGCAAGCCCTTCAACCCCCTGCTGGGCGAGACTTACGAGATCGTGCACCCTGAGAAGGGGCTGCGGGCCATTGTTGAAAAGGTGCAGAGGCACACTCACTAATAACGCAGCATACTCATTTGTATTGACACAAAATTGTCATGGAGAGTATGAGGCTCCTTTTCTGCTTGCTATTTAAACGATGTGTTGTGGGATGACAGGTGGTGCACCACCCCACAGTGCTGGCAGCCTACGGCGAGGGGCGCGGCTGGAAGTTTGCCGGGGATGCAGACGTGAAGAGCAAGTTCTGGGGCCGCTCCATCGAGCTGACCCCCATCGGCTTGCTGACCCTGTCCTTCCAGGACGGGGACGTGTACACCTGGAACAAGGCAAGCATCCTGCCCTCTCTTCACACAGCTCCCTTGTCCCTGTTGTGCTGCCACCCCGCAGCTCCTCTCTGCTGCTGCACTGAGTGGTCAGCCCGGTGTGCGAGGCTGGACAGCGTGCTGAAGTGCATCGGGATGCTGAAACAGGTGGTGTCAAGCATCAACAACCTGATCATTGGCAAGATATATGTGGACCATGGGGGCACCATGCGCATCCACAGCTCCGCCAACGGCCTTGTGTGCAAGCTCAAATTTCGGGAGCAAGGCGTCCTGCGCATGCGCGAAGCCCACGAGGTCAGCTCCAGCTCTCAGTCTCACCTGACGGCGGTGCACGTGATGTACTTTTGCCTGCATGTTGAGCTGTTGATGTCAAGTTGGCTTGCCTCTCCTGTGGTCTCATATACTGTGATCAGCTTCATTTGAAGGCCTGCTGTCCACAAGCAAAGTAGGGGCATGCGCTCGGGTTTGGGACGAAATTGCACTGAAGTTTGCTGTGGGCTGGCAGGTGCGGGGCCACCTGGAGCTGCCGACTGGCGAGAAGATGGTGAAGCCGCTGCTGTTCGGCAAATGGGATGAGGCTATGTACGCAGAGATGCCTGACAACACACAGAGCCTGTTATGGCAGAAGTCTGAGCCCCCTCCAGACCCCACCAGGTGAGCGCCCAGAAGCTGAGTTGCAACAAAAATGCGACGGAATGACTGTCACTGCGGCGCGTCATTGTCGCCAACCTTTGTAATTTGTTGCTGCAGGTACAATTTGACCAAGTGGGCCATTCAGCTGAATGAGATCACGCCTGGCCTGGAGGAGAAGCTGGCGCCGACGGACTGCCGCCTGCGCCCAGACCAGCACCACCTCGAGCTGGGCCAGTACGACCAGGTAGAGCCCTTCCCTCTTGTCTCCTTGTTATACTAGCACTAAGTGGAGCAGTCCATGGATAATGGGTGCCACACCAAGCCAAGAGGGCCCACATGCTCTCTTCATGGGCAGGAGGGTCACGTAATTGCGTCATTGTACCGCTGCACATGTGATATTTTGGCATTTCAGGGCTCGGTGAAGACCGTGATTTTGTGGAGTAGGAAAGGCAATGATCACTGATGGGATGTGCAGGCGAACGCAGAGAAGCTGCGGCTGGAGACGAAGCAGCGCGCAGCGCGCAAGGCGGCGGAGCGGGGTGACCCGATCAGGCCGCGCTGGTTCACGCGCGTGGAGGGCGCCGAGCCGGGCAAGCAGCAGGCCTACGTCTATCATGGCGGCTACTTTGAGGCGCGCGATGCCGGCCACTGGCCCGGAGTGCGCGACATCTTTGGCGCTACTGACCCCCCGGCCAGCCCCACTTCCCCGCATGCGCACTGACGCGCTCCGGGGCTGCACTATCATGACAATCAAGATATCTTTCTCTTCCGCTGGCTGGCGTTTGCTTGCATGTTTGATTGCCAGCGCTGCAGATGGGTTTCCTGCTCAAGAAGACTTTGATCTGGTCAGCAGCCATCTTTCGCACCTGCAGCAGCTTGATCTCGGCATTGCATTTAAGATTGTATTTAATGGCGCAGTCGTGCGGTGTGACGATTGCATGGTAATGCATAAAGTGCCGGCTGACGAAGTACTACTTCGTTAGTAACTCGAGTGCTTTGCAAAGTAATGTTGTGACAACTTGTGTTTGGTGCAATTGCAAGTGATTATCAATTTCCTGCACAGGAGCTGTGTTGCATGTGCGCATCGCCTACTTGCCGGTCTGACCTATTGTGTGCCACCCTTGCTTGATGCTTGATGTAAGCAGCCCCTCAAGATCTCTTGCATGCTGAAGCTTCCTGTTCCAGCCAATATAGGCTTTAATGTAGGACTGACTCACCAAGCGACTTAAACCTCTCGCAATTTTCTATTGCATCGGATAATGGTTTCTCGCGGATTCCCTTTCTGCTCGAGAGATTCTGTCGAATAGCAACAAAAGCAAATGTTTGGATTCTGGTTCCAGATATCAAACCAAGAAATGTTGCGACCTACTGTGCAGCGGTAAAAATCCTCCTAAAGTACTCTCTACAATGGGAATTGACAAGCAGAAACTCTTCACTACCATAAATGAGCTTGTGGAAGAAGAGCTCAAGGTGATTGTCCACATCTTGTATTTTGATGGCTTGCAATTATATTGTGGGCGCCCGTGGTGAATGCAATGTGATACCTAGACCTCTACCTTCGGAAGATGTGTCATTTATCAGGAAGCCCATCAGTTGTAGGGCCTAGAAATGGACGTGCTTGGAAAGCCCATCAAGTTGGGAAGTGGTCACCGTGCAAGTCTTTCTCGATGTCTGATTCAGTGGTATGCTTTGCAGCAAGGATGTCTGTCATCATGTGATAGCTTGTATGACTGCAGGTGGTCTCCTTCAAATGGTTGGCACGACAATATTCTCTACCAGCTAATGCAGCCAAGAAGGTCCTGTCGGAGTTCCTCGAGAAGAACCAGGGCAGGGTCTCAGCGACATATCTCATATCCGGCTGGACTAAGGGACCCGAGCCAGAGCACAGCATCCAGCTGGTCGATTCTGGAAGCCTCATAGAGCGCCGCAAGACGCTGGACCCCATCACATCCCTGCACGTCTACAGCGTGCAGCCCACGCAGCCAAAGGTGAGCACCACCGTGGGCACCCATCTCCAACCAGTGCAGCTCTAACGATGCTTGTGCTACAAGCGCTGTAAAGCTCAGATACCTACACGCATGAGGTGGTCCTTTGTGCTGTGCAGGATGCGTCGGAGCTGTGGAACACAGACAACTTGCAGACGCTGGAATTCTTCACCAGCCTGGTAAAGGGCGGCAGCGACAACTGCCTGGCAGACAACCGCTGGAGCGCCGTGCAGTGCCAGCAGGCAAAGCATGACCCCTCACTCAGCACAGCCAAGGCTCTTGGCGCGCGCAAAGCAGCAGATGCAGCCAAGGAACCAGCTGCTCCGGCCAATGGAGGTGTCGTGGCTGCCATCAAAAAGGCCGCTGCCGGTGAGAACTCTGCCACTGAACATCATAATTAACAAGCGGTGCTTGCACCCACGCTCAGCAGTGTGTATGCTGCATCCAGTGTGCTCAATGGTGAACTCCTTTTGTCTCCAAAGCAGGTAAGGAGGCTGGCAAAGGCACGGAGGCAGCGAAGGACAAGGGGTCGGGGCCGGCAGCCGCAGCTGCACCCAGCACTGCACCAAAACCTGCGGCAGCACCGGCGGTAGCGTCCGGCCCAGCCACTAATCAAGCCAAGGGGCCAGCCAAGGCTGCAGGAGGCGCTGGGAAGAAGGGAGCAGCGCTGTCAGCCATGTGGAACAAGGCCCCGCCCAAAAAGGCGAGCGTGGCAGCGGCAGCAGCAAAGTCCACAGCTGCCGGGAAGGCCAAGGCAGCTGCGCGGCCGGCCGAAGCAAAGCAGAATTCCACCGTTGCTGTGGACGCCGAAGCAGCCCTGCGCCTGAATGAAGAGGTGAGCTCTTTCTCCACTGTCCCAATCTGTAGTTTTGAGATCCTTCAATTCAGCATATAAAGAGATGACACCATGCTCCGCAAGAAGAATATCGCCGGTGTATGCGGATAGATTGATGTACGTCTTTGTCCATCATGCTTGACAGAGTTTCTGGTTGAAAGCTCACATCTCTCCGTTAAGGGATGAAGCCTTGAGGGAGTCAGAGAATGACAGGAGCCCTGAGGTGTGTCCACCATGTGTGCGCAGGCAGAGAGCAGCAGCGAAAGCGAAGAGGAGCAGGCGCCAATCCAGCGGAGCAATCCGGGCAGGCGAGCGCACGTGCTGCACGACGATGAAGATGAGTCAGGCCCTGACTCACCGGCCCAGCCCGCCAGCAAGCGGCCGCGCTCCGGGAACGCCCCCGCACGGAAGAACACCACTGTCCTCAATGAGTCGGATGACGACAGCGACTGGGAAGCTCCCAAGAGGGGCGCAGGTGGGCACCGTATGCATCATGTTCAGCCGGGCAACTGTCTCTGTTGTTGCAACCGTGCTGCTCTATGGGTACAGTAGGAAGCTTCATCGGGGTGATGAGGTGATTGACCAGCGCAGGGAGACTCCTTGCTGCACTCGGTCCTATCTTGGACACCTAACCCATCATGCAGTACTTCCTGCAAACTGTGCAGTGTTGACTTGCCCGCTGTTGTGATATTCAGGGAGAGGTACTGCGGCGGCAAAGCAAAATGGCGTAACGGCCGCACCGAAGGCTGCCGTGGTGGAGAGCGAGGAAGAGGAGGGAGCTAGTCAGAAGGGGAAGGCAGCGAAGCCTGCTGCCCAGAAGAAGACGGGCGCAAAGGCAGCCGCGGCCAAGCGGCCGTCGCCAGGGACCATCAAAGACCATGGCGAGGCCGCAGGTGATGGTCACATCCGTCTGCTGTCTTGCAGTCTTGCAGCTTAAAATTGCGCATGGGAAACAATGGCGACAACCATATTGTATTGTACAGAGTTCAAACATGGCACTGACGTAGAAATGATGCATACTGTGCAGGCGGCCCCAAGCGGAGGAAGGTGCTGCGCACGACATACAATGACAAGGGGGAGGAGGTGACTGAGATGGTGTATGAGGACGAGCCTGCGCCAGAGCCAGCCCAGCCGGCAGTACAACCACAGGCACGCCTCATTTTTATTATGCTCATGTGCCAGGACGTCACAAAGGACCAGTTTAGTACGCTACGAGTAACATAGATGTGTCGAGTGATGATCAAAAAGATTTTCTCAATGGTGCTGCGGTGTTGAAGGGATTTCAATCGTTGCAGGAACAGGAGAAGGAGGATGTCCCGGCAGCAGCTGCAGCAAAAGCGGCGCAGCTGAAGGCGGCCACACCGGCAGAGCCTGCAGCGGCGCAGGCGGCCAAGGCATCAAGCCAGTCGCAGGGCAGCGCTGGAGCACCGCCGCCAAAGAAGGAGCCGGCAAAGGCAGGTGCCAAGAAGGGCGGCGCCAAAGTGCTGCCGGGCCAGCGGGGCATCAAGTCCTTCTTTGCCAAGAAGTGACTCTGATAGCACCACGAGATCCCCAGAGCGCTGCAGGGTTGATGCGGCATTGAAAGAGCATGAGCTGTTGTGTACTGTTGTGCCTGCAGCAAACTTTCTGTTGTGATGCTGAGGCCTTTCATGGGGACATTGACCGACATTCTTCACCTGTGACATGGCATGAGCTGGCATGCAAGTGTCTAGGCCGTAGCTCAGTCAGCTCATGAGCATTTATGATTACTTTCTTTACAGAAGACAAGATCCACCTTTTGCATCCTTTACTCTGCATTCAATACCGGGATTGCAATCTACAAGGCCCCTCTAGCATTAGCAGTGTCCACTTGTAAGACTTTAAAGGACTTGGATCCAAAAATGCACTTCATTATAATAATAATGATCAAGGCGTACACGCATTGGCTATCGATTGCCTATGTCGGCATAAAATAATCATCTGTCACGATATCCAACAGAATGGTCCTCTATCATCCTGCAACATATCTCTGCATGCAACTAACCTCACTGCTGAGGCTGTCAGGGCACCAGTTACCCTTGCGCACTGGTCTTCAGGGCAGTTTTACTCCAAAGCTTTTAGAGGAGGAGGAGGAAGATGGGTTGGAGGGATTGGTAGTGGCAGCTACTGTGGCCGACGTAGAGGCGGACAGCGACAGGGTGGGGCTAGCTGGTGCAGGTGTAGGAGCTGCACACACCCCAACATGAGCACGTCAGTTCCCTAAGTTTTTTACCAAAACAATCAAATAATCCACCAATACTTTCTCCAAAGTCAGAGTTTCTGTTGGATGCTTGAGCTGTGGACCAGATGTAACTGCTGCACATACACGCATATCGGGGTGGGACTTTCAGGCTGCAGAAGCAGGCAGGCTCGGGTCAGATGAGGAGCAAACAGACCTGCCACAGGCTCAGCCGCTGGCGCAGGCGTCGCCGCTTCAGGTGCTGGCGCAGGAGCTGCATTGCAGAATAATAGGAATATTGTCAGACATATGTTTTAGCTCCTGCAGGCTACTCATTTCAGGGCTGCTCATATCAACCTGGTCCGAGAAAGAAGGGGAAACAAGCACAAGAAGCAGCAGATGGGCGGTAAAGACCTGGTACAGGAGCAGGTGCGGGGGCAGGCACTGGAGCGGGGGCAGGTGCCGGCACAGGGGCGGGGGCGGGTGCAGGTACAGGCGCAGGCGCCGGGGCTGGTACTGCCGCCGGCACCGGAGCTGGGGCTGCACCAGGACAAAACAGATATCAAACACGCGGATATGCGCGAATCCTGCCATAAAACTCAAAAAGGAATTATGCGCGTTGCACCACAAATTGGGCCTTGCCAAATCAAGTGGCGCAGCAGGCCCTATAATGTGAGCCAAGGATGCAGTAATAAGCATCTTGGTCCAGGTTGATCTTCCAATCAAATCAATCTGTTAATGTGAAAATCAGGAGGGCTGAAGTGCATACCGGGTACTGGCGCAGGAGCGGGTGCAGGCACAGGAGCCGGTGCTGGCACAGGGACTGGCACAGGAGCAGGCGCTGGGGCTATAAACGGCGCGGGACCAGGGGCGTGCGCAGGTACTGGAGCGGGTGCAGGCACTAGAGCTATGCCAGGTGCAGGAGCGGGTGCCGGGACTGGCACGGGGGCGGGTGCAGGGGCCATGTCGGGTGCAGGGGCTGGCGCGGGCGGCCAGACAGGCTCCAGTGGCGCAAAGCCCGTTGGGCAGGTGCACGTGCACTGCAGCCAACACAGCAACGATGGACGCAAAATCTGGAGCTAATGGAGCACTGTGACGGAATCTTTCCAGGTCACTCATGCTGCACATCACTGGGCGGTTAAAGGCAAGGGCATGAGGAGGCGTTGCACCTGACTGTAGTCAGCCATGGGGCCTGCGATCCTGGCTGGCTGTCCGCAAGGCGGTGCCGGCGTCAGCGCATCCTGGCCGGCAAGCTGCGGAATAATCTGCACTCTGGCGCCCGGCTGAGGGTTGGGAGAAGGCGTGGGCGATGGAGTGGTCCTCTGGCCACCACAGAAACTTTTGCACGCTTTTTCTACTTTTACAAGGTTACCCAAAGCAGACTGCTCCTTGGTTGGCACAGCATGGAAGATGTTGTTGGCAAGAGGCGTGCGCCACTTTAAGACTAGCAACAAGGGTGGAGGCACGGGGCGCACTTGAGCGAGGAAGGGGAAGAGCGGCGGGAGGGTGTTGAAGGGAGTATCCTGTTGTGGCGGGACCATCGCGGGGCCCGGTGCAGGCGCCGAGGCGGTGGCTAGCACAATGGTCGGCGCTGGGGCCGGTGCAAAGGCCGGTGCACTAGCCGGTGCAATGGCCGGTGTTAGAGCCGGTGCAAGGGCCGGTGCTGGGGCTGGTGCTGGGGCCGGTGCAAAGGCCGGTGCACTAGCCGGTGCAATGGCCGTTGCAAGGGCCGGTGCAAAGGCCGGTGCATTAGCCGGTGCAATGGCCGGTGCAAGGGCAACCCCTGGAGTAGGAGCCGGAACTGGAGCAAGCTGTTCGCCTGCAACAGACACACAATGGCAAGATCACCTTCCAGACTGATGCGAGCATCAGCACCTGCAATAATTATTGCACATTAGAATGCTGGCTGTGCTCAAGGAATGTTCAGACTGCCCAAGGTGAATGAAATGTCAAGTAAATTCAGATGAGACCGTACTTGGTGGGAGTGCTGAAGGCGCTGACACAGGGGCCCAGACTGGCGCCATGCTTGGGGCGAGGGCAGGGGCTGTCCAGGGCGCCACCCAGGGCGCAGCCAAGGGCGCCAGGATAGCCGGGATCGAAGGCATTGTGAGCGGCATCAGCGGTGCAGGCGCCAATGCAGGAGGAAGTGGCATCAGTGGTACAATGGCCGGCGGCAGTGCTGCTGTCGTAATGATCGGCACTTCTATAGGGGCCAGTGCCGCTGCCAGTGCTGGGGCTATCGCTGCTGCCAGGATCTCTGGGAGGCCGACGGGAAGGACTGGGTCGCTTGGAGGCACTGGTGGCAGCGCATCTTGCGGAGCTGGGGGATCGATTACAGGGAGTGGGTCTGTCGGCTGTGTTGGTGGCTGCACGGCAGTGATGCCAGGGTCCAACGGTGTGCTCGCGGCAGCTGATTGGTCAGTGCCGAGCACCTGGGGAGCTTGCGCTACGGCGTCTGTGACTTGGTTGGTAACACCAGTCGAAGCCACGGGAGATGCCGCGGTGTCTGCAACAATTGCTGGAGTTGACGCCTGGCTGACCTCGGGCGCTATCGTGCCGTCGACCAATGGAACAAGTGATGCCAGACTGGCTGGCGCACCAGCGGCAGACAAATCCTGGGCTGCAATATGATTGACCCACGCCGATATCAAAAGTAAGAAGATTGCGAGTATTCGAACCCGCGCAACAGCCATTCCTGCACATCATGTCGACCTTCTCAAGGCAAGTCGAAATCGGCAAATTGCGTTCGATTTAAAATGATGGCACTGTGTTGATGTTATATACAACAAAATAGAATGTGATTATCAGCAAAGCACCTGTTTACAGGGCCGACGCAGTACTTCCGAAACGCTCAATAGAGCACGATGCCTAGTAAAAGGTTTGTGTCAAAGAAAAAAGTCAGTGGCCATAAGTGCACAGGAGGAGTGAGTGCAATCGTATCAACTGTTACACACGCGAGATGCGTTGAGAATCTCGATGCAACTGTTCAGCTCAAGGCAACGGCAACTTCCGTCTTCCGAGACCGGGCCCTGATAGGGTCTGTATAGGGTTGCCCAAGAAGAGGAAATGAGGCAGGAGAATCTATCATTGTCCTCATGGTCAGATATTAATATTGCAGGTAAGAACATTTAGTAGAGATGCTTCGAAGATTGGTGGCGCTGGCACGATCTGCCCACACACGTGAAATCAGCAAACTGGTTGATCTGGGCTCTTCCGCCAACAAAGAGCAACGAAGACACCTGTCAGATCTTCCAAAAGAATACCAAGGCTACTATAATAAACAGACGTTGCAGCCGAAACGACCTCCCAGGGCATCCCGAGCGCCAGCCGAAGAGGCTGCTGCAGGCTCGGAAGAGGCCTCCACCAGCAGCAGAGCAGACTCTCCAGGGGACATTCAGCTGCAATCTGCACAAACAGGTGAGTCACTCTGCTCTCATCCTTCCCTGCCAGTGAGCTCTTGAAGTACTGTCACCTGTGATTGGCGAAAGGTCCGTACATTCCGTATGAAAGACCTGCTCGTGCAATGCCTGGAGAGTCTTTGTCAACACAGATGTGCCTCTGGCGTGTTTGTGCAGCGGATGTTGTGGTTGCATGATGTGCATGCGGCAGTGTGAAAGGATAGCATGCAGTAGCAAGGTATAACTGCCGCGGCCTGGTTGCGCTGCAGCGAGCGCATGGATGTTCCCTTGGGAGAGGCGGCAGATGGACAGCAATGCGCAGGGGCTGCGCACGTGGGAGAAGCTGTACTGGGGCGTCTTTGTCACCGCGCTGGCCGGCCTCCTCTTCTCGCGCCTCTACCGCTCAGAAAAGGCCGATCCCAAGGTGACTATGCTGCACGCTGCCGCATGCTCCCTGCTTGATCACTGGGTGATAAATGGCCAGTGCTCGCGCGGCAGCATGTGTCCAGCATGCAAACCCTCAAGTTGTAAGCAGGCCGCTAAGGGACATACGCAAGCCTGCCCTACCAGCATGGTCCAGATCACTGGACATGTGGTCCAAGTTGCAGGAGGCATGTGGCAGGCAGGTTGAGGAGGCTGCGTTGTACTGCAGAATTGAATAATTGGTGTCGGGGGTGGCAGGTGGACGAGGACAAGGAGGCCAGGAAGCTGCAGAAGGCGCGGATGGTGCTGGCAGGGCAGCCCTTCACAGACGATGATGACCCCTTTGAAGGGCTCACACCGCAGGTACCCTGGACCCCCCCCTCTGGCGGCCTCAGTCATCCCTGCATGCAAGTGTATTTGAGATTAGATTCCTCTCTTCTATAGTGTCTGGTGCCCACCGTATGGCTGCAATGTTGCAGGAGATCCAGCAGTACGTGCAGACTGCGACAGAGGGGGCGTCGTCTGAAGATCCCTTCGAGGTAAGAGAGCATCAGACGTCTGTTGTGCTTCAAGGGCAGTGATGGGCCTTTCTGCAAGGTCCAGGAGTAGAGAGCGGTACAAGTAAGCATAGCAACACTGGGATAATGTGCTTGCAGGGGATGAGCCCGGAGGAAATCAATGCATACATGGAAGAGCATGGCGCTGCGCACTTGTAGCAGCAGAGTGCATGCATGGACTAGAGAGTCTAGTCGCTAGGTCTAGACTGAGTGCAAGGACGCATGAATGCTCACTTGAAGTATGATTAGCATAGTAAGAATTGCATCATTGATGGTAATGGGCTTGCATAATTCACGCTTGTTTTTACAGACCCATGCTTGAATTAGGCTCTTGACCGAGCACTGACCTCTGCTTCAATTTTGCAGCAGCCATGTCATTGCAATATGAAAACGTCGCAACACAGCAAATCTGTTTATAATTGAAAGATGCCCTTGCAAAGCACTCAACACTATCAGATGATTCACTGCCATGGGCCCATTGTTAATTCAATGTTTCGCACCTGACAACCGGAGGTACCTCAGTGACAACAATACATTGTTGAAGAAGATACATACTGCTTTGAGTACATTTTCGAGTCAGGTTCACTGTGCCTGGCACTTGTCCCATCCAAAACGATCGCAGCATAAAAAACGTCAAGCAATGTCAGCCACATATCTACTGTAGCAGCCGCACAACTTGCAAACGCCTTCATGTCTACAGCAGCTACCACAGCAGAGATCAGAATCATTTGCAGGACTTGCCACTTCAGGTACTGTTGACAACATTGTCTGGAACACATTTATTTGGTATGTCCCAGATAGAGACTGGCTTTCACCGGAACCTAATACAAGATAACCACGTCTCACAGGTCTGACAAAGAAATGTTTTGGTACACTAAAACTGCCCAACCCCGGGTTGCTGCACAGACAAGCGCATGCAAAGGGGGTCCGAAACCCTCAGAAAAAGCGTGCCCACGATTACTCTCTGAGATTCAAAAGAGAAGGAACAAGAGATACTTAAGTGTCTTGGGTGGATTGCAAAGCTGTTGCTAAGGTGCACACACTCTGAGTGCCAAGTGCAGGACGTGCCTGGGAATTCAAGTTCCCCAGACCATCCTGCTCACTGATTGGCGTCAGCCAGGCTGGAGCGCCAAGGCACCAGGTGCCAGGGGCTTTGTCAGAAAAGGGAGCTTCTCTAGAGCGCCACCACTCAAGACCCGCCCAGCAAGCGCCCTTGGAATAATGGAGCATTAGAGGCAGTCTGCACAGTGCATGTAGGCCGGCCCGATGACCACCAAAGAGAACTCCAGCAGCAAAGTCACTCGACGCAAATGACTCCCCACTTGTATGAAATGATCTCCCTGCTGGCTGCGGCTTAAGAAAGTCTGTCTTGTGCATCAGAGGGACAGAGCATCAGCAATGCAGGGCACCAGCTGCCAGGTTGGCACGCATGACCCCCGCAGTCTCGAAGCACTCACTGCAAGTGCTCTCCTGCAGGCACAGAGAAAGCAATCCATCAGGCTCAAGACCAAAAAGGGATCTGTGTAGGCATCTGGAGATGTACAAAACGCTCTCTGCCTTGAGCTCCTGAGGGAATCAACATACCAGGGATGTGGAATTGCGGCCGTCGGTGGCTTGCTCCAGGCCGTTCCACCGGGAAGAGTGGTCCAGTGCCACCACATCGCAGTTCAGGTTGTCCTCCATCACATCTGCGCATAGCATGGCTTCATCTCAGAATAAATGAACTGCTAACACAATTCTGTGCCCTACAACAGCTGGGGATCTTGGGTGGACTGAACTCTTGGCTGGCCAAGTGAAAGGGAAAAGCCTTGAGATTTGGGAAGTGACGACGGTGTGGAGGCTGGGCGTGGGCACCTGCATAGGCGCTGAAGTCAAAGTCCATCCACTCCTCTTCGCCGCCGTTGTCGGAGGAGCAGCCTGGCAGGCAGTCCATGTCGGCGCTGGCGCCAAACACACTGGTGTCCCACGTGGCGCTTGTGCCCGTGCTGTACTGCTGCAGGTGGGGCGCCAGGGCCTTTGCCAGCGTCTCCAATGTATGCACATGCCTGAAGAACACTGCGAGCTCCTCAACAACCCACCACATGCTATGTACATTTGAATTGCTTGAAGACACAAATGGTGCCCCCTGAAATTTCATAAGCTACAAGTGCTTGGGAACAAAGGTAGACCACACAAGCCAGTGACATGAGGGTTACTTTCAAAGGTGCAGGGTGCGAAACAGGGGTAGCGCAGGAGCACGCACTGTGATGTGAGGGGTACATGTGAAGGCAGCCCCACGCAGACCACTCCCAAAACATCGTTGTTGTCCCCAACAATGGGCATGGCTGTCAGCGTTTTGCAGTCGCCCTTCTGATAGGCTGCCTCCACATCCTCCAGTGCCGATGGCCTGGTAAGGGCAAGTCCCGATTAGGGCTTCCCATAAGAGAAACAAAGCCACATGCCGATGCTGGCTGCACAGGACGAAGAGATTCAGCAAGTGAGGCGCTCACCTGTCCATGCGTTCTTCAGTGTAGAGAGAAGACGTGGACGCTGCTTTCCCAGCCAGGGATCGGTCGAGGTGTTGGAAAGACTTTTGCCATTGCTGCTGGAAGTCGTCCACGGCAATGAGGAGCTCGCGCCCGGCAACCACGGAAAGACTGTAGATAGAGTCACACCGATTGATCAGTAACAAAAGAACGGCTATGACGGTGGCCACGAAAAACTGGTGGCCAGTGTGGCAAGCCTGGGCTGAGAACAAGGCGCCTGGCAACATCAAGACACATCACAAGAATTGCAGATCAGCGAGTATTCGTCGTTGCCTCAATGTGCACAGAGGCAAGCATTCAGCTGAGCCATCTCCAGGCAGGCTGGGCACTACACCTTATTGCTGTCGCCCCCTCAAAGCATTCACGGGCTGCGCTTGAGACGCCGCCATCGTGAAGGGCCGAAGACGCCCAATTGTTGACTAAATTCTTTGCCACGCCGTCGACGTGGGACAGGACGCCCATCACGCTGCGCATACATGTACTGCTTTAGTTCCCCGAGGCACAGTCGTGCACATGTTGATCGGCACTTGCTGCGCGAGAAGGGCAAAGTTGAAACAAGTGAAACAAAGGAAGAAGAGAACAGACAAAGCAATTCACAATGTGTTCCTGGTGAATTTCGCGGGACATCGTGAGGTCGTCTAAAAAAGCACGTTGAAAGGCGTCGCCCTTGCACAACTACAGGCAACTGTTTGGTGCAAGAAAAAGATCAGCTGGCCACATACTGCCGCACACTCACGTTGAAAGCTGGAGAGGACCCGGTCAGCTCTGCTGAGGATGTGCACCGGTGGACACAGATACCACTTCCTCTTCCCTCTATTCCTCACGGCTTCTTCTTCCCTGCTCAAATCTTACCCTTGCGTCTTCGGAGTCACCGGTAGATGGGTTTCACGGTTTGGCGCAGAGTCTCAAAAGGGACAGTCAAGGAGGACCGCGGATTATGGGAGCTTAAAGTGAACAACAGGATCTCAAGGTACAACATTTCCTGTTCAGGCAACATAAAGTACACCAAAGCAACACGAAAAGCAGTACACATCGCAATATATGTGTCTTTTGATGATCAGATATGACCCATGTTGATGTGCCACGATTTACCCAGTTGCTTGATGCTCGTGCTGCCTCTGTTTGGGCAGACCTTGATTTCTGCCCTAGGACCTGCCTGTCTCATAATTCTCGCCTTTGCACTTATCATGCGTGGTTTGCTCGCCCTGTTGGCTCTGCTAGGAAATCTTATTTGTCCTTGCCATTGCCTGCTCGGTGTGTCACACAGATGCTGCGTTTCAGGATGGGTTGTCATGGCTTGCCCAGGGACACTGGCTCTTGGGCCAGGATTCCCCGAGCTGACCGTGCCTGTACATTGTGTGGACCCGGCAGTCTAGGGGATGAGAAACATTTAGTGTTTGAGTGCCCACACCTGCAACCTATTAGGGACAAGTATTCTTCACTATTTCAGTGTCCTACTATGTTGCAGTTCTTCTGGCAGGCTGACTTGATTGGGGTTACCACATTTGTGTCAGAATGTTTGGATGTGATGCTGGGCGCTGACTCTGACGATCAGAGTCAGACATCTGATCAGCCTGAGGTGGCTGGAATAGATGTAACCGACTGACTGACTGAGATCTGTCTCGACAGCATTCAACTTGTACCGGGCGTGGTGCATCTTGAAAATGAGAGGAACAAAGGTGGCCAGGCCAGAACCACCGTACGGTCACACTCCGGCTGAGCTTAGACACGCCATATCTTATGATATGGCATCACTGATCTCTGGCACACGCATCATGCATATATGATGATCAAGTAGTGCTACTAATAGAGGGGCCTCCGGGAAATGCAAGAGCAACTTGAAGGTGTATTTTGGAGCATAGCTTTGACCAGCACCCTATTATTGACGGCCCATTCCGGGTATGACACAGGCTTGCAAGATTTACAGGTCTCTCAGGAAGGGTGCCCATTTCCACTCAAGCAGCGTATTGCCAAAAGTAGCCTAGCCTACCCTAGGGTAAGGAGATGCGCATACAACTTTCTGCTTTGATGTCCGCAGTACTCTGTTAGAGATCAGCTATCTGGATTTCTGTCTGTGCCCATCACAATACGATAACATTCACCAGCAAATAGTCTTCTCAGCCGTCTTTCCTCTGCTGTAAGTTCCTCACAATTACACATATGAGGAAGGAGGGCGGCACGTGTCTGAATCAATCAGGTCGCATGGGAACACATCCTCGGGCTCGGGGTACAACAGGCGAGCCTTGCCCTCCAGGTACCTGCGCACAACAGCCCCAGTATCAGCTGACAGTATCTCGTGCACACCCCACCGATTGCATGCACCAAGGAGTATATCACATTTCATAGAAAAAGGCAAATGCTTGGAGCAGATCATGGTAGCAGCAAAGACCTGTTGAGGAGTTTGGTGGTGGAGTGGTTGAAGCCGTCGGTGGGGGACACGTTGCGGTCCTTGGTGCGGCAGGTGTGCATCTCCGCGCGCACTTTGCTGGCCAGCACCTTACCCAGCTCCACTCCCCACTGGTCGAAAGAATTGATCCCCCAAATGAAGCCCTGCTCAACACCCGTACATCTGACGTCATGTGGCCTGTAGCTGGACCATCACTCTTAGTTGCCAGGCACCTTGTCAGAACCTGGCAGTGAGAAGGGAGATGAATTTAGCGCACCTGAACTGCGATCCTGTTCTCGTAGAGCGCCAGGATCTGTCCCACGGTGAAGGCGTTCAGCTCGGGGAGTAGGATGGAGATGGAGGGGCGGTTGCCTGTGAAGGTCTTGTGGGGGATGAGCGAGTCTGGCACGTTCTCCGCGCGCAGCTCGATCGGCGTCTTGCCCGTGGCCAGCGCGTCCGCTTGCGCAAAGAAATTGCACATCAGCTCGTCGTGGTTGGACACCACCTCGCCCTGCGCCAATTTATATATGTGACTTAAATGCTTGTATAGACCAGCAGGATACTAGTCTTCCATGACCACATTCTAGAGGAGAACTGAGACGCCCTGCAAAATTTAGGACTGTTAAAAAATGCTCTGTGTGTGCAGAAGCGGTTTTATTTGGGCGGGGACAGGTGAATTGTGTTGCAGCGCACCTTGAGGTAGACACTCTGCTGGCTCTTCACAATGCCGATGAACTCGCAGGGGACCACCCTGCCCTGGTGAATGAGCTGGTAGAAGCTGTGCTGGCCGTTGGTGCCCGGCTCGCCAAAGTCGATCTCGCCGGCCTCAAAGGACAGCTTCGACCCGTCCAGGGCCACGCCCTTTCCATTGCTCTCCATGGACACCTGCAGCACAGCAGTCACCATAGATGACCGCTCAGAACCCCTTTATCCTTGTCACTGCTGCTGATAGTGTCATATGGTGGGCAAAAGTGTTCATGCATGCAAACCTGACCTAAGCATTTTGAGGGAAGTGCGGACCTGCTGGATGTGGGGAGCGAGCTTGGAGAGGGCCTGGGTGTAGGGAAGGATGGCGAGGGAGGGGTAGCCCAGGAAGGTGGTGTTCCACACTCCCATCAAGCCCAGCAGCACCGGAATGTTGTCCTCAAACGGCGCCGTCCGGAAGTGATCATCCACGTCGTGCGCGCCTGAGGTGGGCCAGTGAACAAATTAAAATGAGCGCCAGAAAGAAGAGCAAAATTTTGTAACTGTTCTTCTGCTGCCCTGAACACAGATGGTCCTTGCATGCTTTGCAGCCATGATGACAGAGTCACAGATGTGCCATTGACAGAGTAGGCAGGTAGAAGCTACTCACCCTCCAGGAACTTCTCGGTGATGTCGAAGCCGTACTGAAGGCTGAGAGGCAGCATGCCGACGGCGGAGCAGACGGAGTAGCGGCCGCCGACCCAGTCCCAGAAGGCAAAGGCGTTGTTGGGGTCAATGCCAAACTCCTTGACCAGCTTCAGGTTGGTCGAGACCGCCACCATGTGCTTGGCCACGGCCGCAGGGCCAAGCTCAGTGGTAAGCCATGTCCTGCACAATACAGCGCCCACTTCGATCCATCCAGCAGCGTCTAGTAATGGTCTTGCTCGCGTTATCAAAGAGAACCTATGGAAGGATCTTGTGGGGGCTGCAGCACAAGATGTCCTGAGTGCATGCAGTTGAACCAGGATTTGATATTATGGCAGTGCAGTTGCCAAGGAGGCTCACCGTACAGTACGGGCATTGAGCATGGTTTCAGCTGTGGTGAAGGTTTTGGACACCACCACCACGAGGGTGGTCTCCTGCTTCAGGCCATTCAGTGCGCGAGCCACATCCACTGGATCCACGTTGGCAAGAAAACGCAGATTTCGCCCCCGGCCCTGCATGCCAAAAGTGCCCTCAGGAAGATGAATTTTGCAGAAAGAAGGCAAAAGGAAGGCCTGCAGTTGGCTACAAGGGCCACCAAATGCAAAAGCAGTCCCATGTGTGTGAGAAGTGCACCTGCTCTGACGCGGTCTGGTCTGTGCGGAGGGCTGTGTGGACAAAGAGCGGCCCAAGGAAGGAGCCGCCAATGCCGATGGCCACCACATCCGTCAGGGGCTTGCCAGTGGCGCCCAACCACTCCCCCGAGCGCACCTTGTCTGAAAAGTCCTTGATCTTGTCCAACACTTGCCAGACGTCTGGCACCACGTCAACGCCGTCCGCAACAATTTTCTGCAGGGCAGACATCCCTTGGTCACTGCAGGTTCTGCTGAAAGGACCTGCATTAAAACAGCCAGATAGTGTAGCTCAAGAGCCGCGCCGGCCGCACCTTTGTGCGCGGAGACCTCAAGGCCACGTGGAGCACAGCGCGGTCCTCTGTAGTGTTGATGTGCTCGCCAGCAAACATTGCATTAATCTTCTCCCGCAGCTTGGCCCTCTCAGCCAGATTCGTCAAAAGCTGCAGCAGCACACAAGAAGTTTTCAATGGGGTTGCCAGTAGCATTAAATTAGCATGCTGTGCAAATGAGACAGAATGTACGAATAGGATATACTGATAATGATGGATCTGCGCCACCTCGAGAGTCTTGCTCGTGACCCTCTGCCTTGAGAAGTCTGCAATAATCTTGTTGAACTCGTGGAAAAGGGTATCACTTCTGTGGCCGTCCCTGAGAAGGTCCCTCAAATGCCTGCGCATATCTTTTTGTAAGCGATCCCTGACTGGAATGTTCGAAAAGGAAACGCTGGCTCGAAGTCAGGCCTTTTGTGTACATCGTCGCCTCTGGAAGCAAGCATGCGTGATCGACTTACGTTTTCTCGATTTCGGTGACATGATCTTCCAAAGCTTTCCACTCTGGAGTCTGGGAGATTTGCAACGACGCTGTCTCCAACTCCTTTCCATCACACATCATCCAACAAATAGTAAGCCCACAGCACACGAGCAACAGTGATCGCAGTGATTGATTCAACAACTTACTGGCAGTTGACATATTGGAAGTAAAGTGAAATCAGTTCAATACTATATATTTCAGTTTTCTGTAGGAACGCACCACCATGGCCGGAGAGAGAGCTCGAGTTGCTGCACCCCGTTGGGAAACAGCGACTGTGACCCCCTTGAAGAGATTCCTGCAATCGCCCAACACGAAAAGTCTCCTTTTTTGGTTCACAATGCCAATTTAATCTGCCAGAGGATATTTGTATAGTATCCTATTACCTCACTGGCTAGGGTACCTCCACACCATGCAAAATCCTTGCATGCTTTCAACTTGAATGCAACATAGCGGCAGCACAGAAGCAAAACTGAAGCGAGACATGTATAACACGGAGTTTGAGCCGATAATGATACTACTCAGATCCGATCACCAGAACAACTGATGGCCAAGTCTCCTATGCACACACCCCTAACCTGCCCATCAATCTTCAACTCGACGATAAAACGATTTCAGCTGCCTCCTTCAAGACATAACACCTCTTCGTGGAACACTCCTTGCCCTCTCTTCCAAAATTGTACTAGAGAATGGTGTTGTAGGGTTTCTAGCGGTGTATGCTTCATAGTCTGCGGCTCGCTGGGCGAGCACCCTCACCGTTGGTGCTGCGCACAAGGCTTCTTTTGCTGAGTGAACTGCGTAGAAGGCAGGCCAAATCGTGCGCTGCAGCCGTCACTCACACCTGAGGCCCATACACTAGGTCGAGCGCCTGCCGAGCCTCTCAGCGCATGCATCATGGGGCGCAGGTCTTAAGGCGACAACATAAGGAAGGCTTCGAACAATTTTGCAAGTTCGCAGGCCTTGCACATTTGAAATGATCGATCTTGGAGCTCCCAGCCAAGGCCACCCTATCCACAACCCCACCGATTGGGGGTCTTCAGAACATCTGGAATTTGGGTGTGGCGGGAATCCGGACCCGGTTCGCAGCACGATCGTAGCCGGGGATGACGGTGCATGCTAGCGAGGCCTTTGCCAGATCTATAGACATGTGTGTGACAGTTGAAACCCGAGGTGTGCAGAGGTAGGCACGGCGATCGATCCAGAGACCCCGTGGTGGCTACACACTTTACCCCTGCAAGCACGATCAGCACATCATGGAGGAGCCCACAAGGTCCGCTATAAGGAGGCGATCGCATGTTTGGCAATCGCCAAGGATGCATTGATGATCAACCCTGTATATTCCACAGTCTGAAGTCCCTAAGTGAATAATGTGCCTGCCAGGCAAGCGCAAAGAACGTGAGAAGCGCACCCATGATTATTGCCCCATGATGAAAGCTATCATCGATTAAACCTTCTCTACAGGTGCGTGCACACAGCACATTTTGCAATTTTAAACCTGCCTTATTTTCCTCACCTCGACCTGATCTGTTGTTTTTACTATGGTATTGGATCAGCTTCGTACAGAATTATATGAAAATGAATCATGACGATACAAACGATTTTTTAAAGACCAATTCATGGGCGTGCTGTGCAGATCGTGTCCTTTATTCCACGCTTGGCAAGAGGTCGGATCTCAGCAGCAGGTTCAATCCTCACCAGACCTCTCCATCATTTTCCGACTCACCCCAACAATAGGCTTAGTTGTTCAGCATGTTGAAATCCTGCGTTTAAGCAGCTATTCACGGGTGCCATGCATTGGGAGAATTCTGACACAGCCTTCCAGCTGCACCAAAGCAGCCTTTGTGCGATGCAGGGATTGGCAAGCTCATAAGCGGCCAGCACGGAGGGGCCACCGAGCAGCAGCGGCAGGCCGGGGACAGGGGGGCACTCCATCGTTGGGGACATCGTCAGGGATGTGATGGGGGACCACGGCGGTGGAGAGGCAGCTGCTGGACGCAACTCCGGCCGCGTGGTCCGCAGGTCGGCCTCGCGATCAGGGACAGCCAAATCACCCGCCACGACACCCGGTCAAGGTGGGTGTGCTGCCATCTCCCGGTGTGTTGTCCCATGAGCTGTGCAGTCCAGGCAATACTCTTCAGAAGATATCCCCTTGCGGTGGGTTGGACTCAAATTATCATGTGCCACATCTGCTCTGCGCAGGCACAGGCAACTGCCGCTATGACAGCTCACTGGGGTTGCTCACAAAGAAATTCGTGGCTCTTGTGGAGGCGGCTCCGGATGGTGTGCTGGACCTCAACAAAGCAGCAGAGTCCCTGAGTGTGCGTACCCTCTCATTAAGCTGGTTCCTGCTCATTTTTTACTGTGCCTTTACTTAGATTGCAGGTCGCTCCATCTTCTCATTCTGTTCTAACCCACCTGTTGAGCATGCAGGTGCAAAAACGACGGATCTACGACATCACTAATGTCCTGGAAGGCATCGGGCTCATTGAGAAGAAGTCTAAGAACAACATCCAATGGAGGCCCATGGCGACAAGTGCAGACGAGGAGTTCTCTCGAGAGATCCAACTCATGACTGACGAGATCGCCCTTCTCCAGGTGCTTCAAGCTCATTTCACCCTCTGTCAATCCCATCAACCTACAGCAGATTTTTAGCGTCCTCACGCAGGGTCTTGATATCCCACTTGATGATCTTTGCATGCACTGCAATGATTAGGCATTCTGAGACATCTTTGTTGTTGCGCGCAGAGTGACTCGGACGTGCTGGAGCAGCACATAGCGCATGTGCGGAGCAGCATTCACTCGATGACGGAGGACCCAGCCAACAAAGAGCGGCTGTACGTGACCAACGAGGACATCGTGAGCCTGGCCACCATCAACTCTGACACCGTCTTCGCCGTGACAGCCCCCCAGGGCACCAGCCTGGTTGTGCCCGACCCAGAGTCTGACGTGGAGATGGGGCAGCCGCGTAACTACAGGTGTACTCCGCGGATGTGCTGTTGACATCAGCTGCATGCTGAGACGATGCCTGCCTTTTGAGTGCAGCCTTGCATCTCTTGGCATGCGCTGTCCTTAGGGCTGACGCGGCTCAAGGGTGGTTCATTGGATAAGGGTTTTTTCCCCTGGACTCGAAAGCCTTGGATGACCTCTTAGGCGGGGCAACCTGTTACAAGACATGCAAGGCAGGGACCCCTGAGAAAGTCCTTGGCACACACCTCAGTTTTCAATTGTCCTTTCCTAAAGAAACATTCTCAATCGTACTGCATGGCATGCGCAGGGCCATCCTGACGAGCGACACGGACCCCATAGAGGTGTGGCTGGTGTCCACCAAGAACCAGGCCAACGCACTGCCGGACATGGCGGCCGCAAACGCGCAGCACCTGGCCATGGGCGCCCTGCCCGAGACGCCCGCGCCCCTCTCGCCCGGCGTCCTCTTCAAAGCCGAGGGCGCTGCCCACCCCACAGGTGCTTCCCTGCAGCTGTGCCCCTCGCCATAGCCCTGGCAGTGTCTCTACTATACATTGCAAGACAGGCCTGGCAGGTGCTGCATGCTCGGGGTGAGAATTTATAGAATATTGCATCATCGTTGTCCACCACTTCAGTGTTAAATCCCTACTGCAGTCATGGAGAAGACCTAGCAAATTCCACTGAGGTTGCTCGAAGCTCACACAAGTCAAGAGAAGCATACTCCTACAGCCTCGCACCTGGATGATGCGGCTGTTTCTTTTACTGAGACGGGACGCGGTGGCGCAGGCGCGGCGATGGGCGCGGGGCCGGTGGGGGGAGCAGGGTTGGATGGCGCGATGGGGCTGCCGGCGATGGGGGGCTACGGAGCGCTGGCGGGGGGCCTGGGCCTGGCGATGCACCCGCAGAGCCCCAGCGTGTTCATGAAGATGCAGACGCCCGACCTGGACGCCGGCACCTGCTGGTACGATCACGACGTGCCCCCCACCCTCGGCGTCGCCGACATCTTCTCCGACGACACCGCCAACCTCTGATGCGCGCGCACCGCACCGCCACAACCGAGGCGCAGAGACTGACGGCCCTGCAGCCCGCATGCTCCTGGGACCCTGTTGTAAAGAGGTGGACTGTGCCAGCAGCTGCGCTGCGAATGTGCAAGGCCTGGGTCTGCCAGGCGAGGAGAGCTAGGGGTGGGGTTCACCGGGCCAGCAGAGGGGAGGCGCCGAGCAGCGCAGGTCACGGAACCGACAGCTATTTGCAGGGATGAGACAAATGTCACGGCTTTATGGGCCCGTCTAGGATGTAGATTGTGGAAGGGCACGTGAGTAGCTATGTATGATACTGATGCAGAGGAGGACTCAGGCAGGGTGGGTTGAGTGTGCATGATGAGCCTCCTGGGGACTGGTGGAATGCAGCACTCAAGAGAATGCATGCTGACATGGGCGGGGAAATGCAAAATTTGTTGGTGTCAGAATGCTTATGTATGCTTGGCTTGTCCTGATTGAGCAAATGGGCGCCTGGGTGGTGCTGACCTCAGTGCAGGAGAATGACTTCGGTTTGTTTTAGCTATTATATTGTCATGACACCAGCTTGAATGAAAGTGCCAACATGAAGGAAGAATGGGGCTTAATTGCATGGTATCACAACACCGCCAAGAGCGATTGCAAAGCTAAAAAGAGCTTGTGACATTACACTTGGGATTGACTGCCTATGTAATGCCTTGTTGGTTCTGCAGGATCGGATTTAAACCAAGGTGAGATGCAAGACATACAAGGCAGTGCGATCAATTTGCAAAGGTTGCAATGGCTTTGATCATTTTTAAAAATTTGCCGTCCTGTCCAGCATTCACTGGTGGCACATCGAGATATATCAATCTCTGCGGTCTGTTTTGATCAATATGTTTGCAGCTACAGATGCTTTCACTGCTGCTGCTGCTGTCTGCTGTCTGCTGCTGCTGCTGCTGCTGCTGCTGCTGCTTTGCAACACGTACGATATTCTGTGGTCACCAAGCATTTCAGCAACTCACATGCAACCATGGAGCTGAAACGAAGCCTTAAGGTGCATCAGCCCGGTGTTCGCAGGTCTCAAGAATTGACAGATACGGTATGCCCGTGAGATTCAAAATGCGCCCGGCCAGCACATCTTGTTGCAGAACAGCAAGTACAAACTATCACTCAAGTACATCTGTCTCTGACACACAGGACAGCCTGGGAGAAGTTGATCAAAAAATTTGGTGCGGCAGTCATGTCCCATCATGTCAAGGTACATGCTGTGCTGCAGCGCTCTGCCTCTCACGTTGCTGCAGGAGCTAGACCATGCTTCTCCAGGTAGGCAATCAATTTCTTCCTGTCAATGGCACCCTCCTGCAGGCTGCCCTCGATTACTTTCCCATCCCTGAAGAGGATCAAGGTAGGCAAACCATACACCTGCAGGCAGGAGGACCAGGCACCATATTATCCCAAATAGCTCTAGTCAGGCCCTCTGCGCACCTAAGAGTGGCTCCAAATCAAAAGTGTGCCTTTTCAAGATTGGACTACAATGTGCAGGACAGATGCATGCATATTGCACAAAGGTAGGCAGGGGTCGTGCCTTATACTGCTCCATAAGGTTTGGACAGGGATCTGCTTCAATTTTGACAATCTTCATAGCAGATCCGTATTCCTGCAAGAGTGCAGAAGCCATCCTCAGGTAAATAAGTAATAATATCTTTGCAAGCTGTGTGCCTCAGGCTTTGGAGTTTTGCCCTATCCTCCCAGAGGTAGGCCACAATCACGAGTTGGTGAACGTGTGCTGCCGACACAACACATACCTTTTCCAATGTGGTCAATAGTGGCGCAATCAATTTGCAGGGGCCACACCACGTCGCCCAGAAGTCAACCAAGACAGGGACGTCAGCCTGCAGGACACACCAGGAACTCTCAGGAATGAGAACTTTCGAAAAAAGGAAACGCAAAGACTAACATAACTTCCAAAAGTCTCGATCGGACCTGCAAGACCTCCTTTTCAAAGGTATCCTCCGTTACATCCAAAAGGCATCTGCTGATCTGCACGCTTTTTCGTGCATGTCTCCTGCTCGCAGAGCGCAAGTGTGTAGCTGATATGTTGTATGACCCACGAAAAATGTGCCTGCTGGTAGCGATCGGTGCTCTCCAAGGTGCAGTCCCAGCACCACTTGTACTCGCTTGGCAACAAGTGGGAAGAGAAGCCTGAGCGACAAAGAGGCCCTGCATTGCACTTCAGGTGAAAGGAATCAACAAATGTTTGAAGATACTTTACGAGTCGGTAGCTCTCACGTATGGTGATCGGGGCCATGAAATTGAACATGTGTCTGGCTCGCCTCGCCTTCCGTTGCTGAGTCCGCATCACCCTAGCTAGGAGGTCTCCCATGCATGCAATAGAGATTGCTTCAAAACTTAGGAGATACAAAGCAGTATCGAATTACAATATACTCTGCACCTTACATGCCAAATTGCCAGATTTACTTAACTTTTTTGCTATCATTATAAAGTTACATAATGAGCTCGAGCCCAGGCCAAATTTGTGTAAAGTTTGCCTTCAGCTAGCTGGCACTGTCAGACTGTCTTTACAGCCAGTGGGCAGCATTCCCTGAGGCCAGGCTGCAGCTCATAGTACCAGACTGCATTGCCTGCCAAGGCAGTGAGAGCGCCACCGTCAAGGAAGCTGATCGCAGTCAGCTGGATGCAGTCTGCGCATGGGGGCGCAACTGCAAGTGTCGTCCCCTGCAGAGACATCCAAACACCATGAGCATCTCAAGTACATCTTCAATCACAGATTGCAAGCATGCTGGCTTCTGTGGGGAAGCTGGGCAATGTGGCCAAACCTGGACAGCATCGATGACGTGGATCGCGCCCCCGGGCAGCGCCACAGCCGCAAGCATCCCGCTCATGGCAACATGAGTGACCTCCTGCATGAACACCCCCAAAGTTAACTGCAGGGTCCTGGAAGGCTACTGGAGAGCCAGCGCAAATTAGAGGCACATGACAGATTGTGTGCAGCACAGAGGAGGTGTTGGGGAAAGGGGGCCCTGCCTGCTGATCGAGGAGGCTGGAGCCCACTGCGAGCTGGTTGTAATGCATGACCACACTCGCGAGGCGCCAGGGGCCGCGCTGCTCAGGCGGGAGACGGCTGTCGCGCACAGCCGCCAGCCCCGCTCGCAGACCCCGGCCGGCCGCGCTCGCCGCCACCGACGGCGGCAGCAGGTGCAGGTCGCGCACGCTGTATGCGCTGTGCTGCCGCGCAATCAGCAGTTCCCCCCTGGCGGCACAGATCCACATGATCACCATCAAATGCCTGGATCTGGCCTTGCTTGGATCTGGCGAGTCCAGAAAGGGGTAGGATTGTGGCAGCCTTTGACTGCAGCTTGCCTGCAGGACGTACCTTGCCTTTTGGCAGGAAGAGCGTGCAATAATGGTTATAATGCCTGGATCAAGTTGTCTTCCAGTCCCTTCCATTCATTCTAAATAATTAGGAGACTTGCACCTGCTCGTCTAGGACTGCCACCTGATGAATGACGATCTCGGAGAGGGCGCCTATGCGAGAACGTGAACAAATGGGTTGTGGGGATAGAGCATGATGGGAAGATGACCTGGCATGGTTCCAGAGGGCAACTGAGCCTGTCGAGGAGCAGGCCAGGATGCAGTCTGGGCCAGCCGGCGCCAGCTGTGCAATGTTTGGGAACTCGATGTTGCCATACTTGGCGGCCGGCAGTGCAGGGAGCTCCTTGAAGCTGTCAGCCGCGTCTGACACGCGCCACTGCTGCACGCTGCCGCCCTCCCCTGTCGGCCACACATTCAACATCGGCATCCTCACGTGCTACTGGCACGTCAGCCTCATACTAACTTTCAGGCTCTCAATAATCAGCCTTCAATAGAGCCTTGAAGGAAATTGCATGCAACAGGCGGGTGCTCACCTGCTGCAAACATGTGATCCTCGCCTGACACCAACAGGCAGGTGGTTTGCTGTGGTGAGGAAAGTCGCTGGACAGACTGTGTGTGCAGCTCCTTGCCCACCCCAAGCCACAGCACACTGATGCAGGACGGCCCAGGTTGCATCTGAAACAATCCAGATGCCAGCAGCATCACACCATCCCTGCACCAGCAAGGTCTTCAATGGTTTGAGTCACTTGTGTCCCTGGCTGCTCAGACAAACGATCCCTTCTTGAAGCACACTAGCTGGGTCATGCATGCGCGCCTTGTGGGGAGCAAGCACAGCCCCTGCTGCAGCTGTAGGCCTTCAGGCCGCTCAGTCCAAAGGCGCGCATCCGTGCTGCCCAACAACGAAGCAGGCTCTGAGGTGCTGGCCAAGCGCCAGACCTCCAGGCTGCAACAGGGTGACTCCTCATCGCCCAAGCACACCGCCATACACCTGCATGCCCAAGCTCAGATGTTAAAAGAAGTAAGTTGCCATCAGGGCAGTCCCAAAGGCATGTGTTACCGGTACCAGGATTGGAGATGCAATGGATATGTCACCTAGTGGATGTGCACGGCACAGCAGCGAGCACCGGTCTGGCAAATCTCATGAATGATGCTTCCCATTGAGTGCCTCTCTGCTTGTTTGCGGCAGCAGCGCCCTGCCCCCCGCTCGTGTATGCATCCCTTGCATGCTCGCTTCCCCCACCCTCCCCTGTGTGGATGCTCTGCTGTGCCTGGGCGCTCATGCTAGACAAGTGGCCTGCGGCTGGCACGCTGCTGCACATACTCCTGGCTGCTGATCTGGAGCCTGGCACAGACCTGGCGTCCGGCGTGTCTGGCACTGTGTCAGAGGGCGGCAGGGACAGCACCGGGAGGCATGTCTCCGGCACAAAGGACATGCCAGCAAGCGGATGACCGGTGGACACATTCATGCTGTCTGCATCTTGTGCCTCATGCTGCCTGCTCCCCGTCTCTTCCTCCCCTTCGTCCTCCCTGGGCTGCGCTGCCTCAGTGCCTGCTGCTCCTGAGCCTTGGGCATCTGATGGGCTTGCTGCCAAGTTGAGCGCGAGCTGGAGCCCGGTCGAGACCAGGTTGGCTTCCCTGTCCGCGCGCCCTGCAGGCTCCATGGAGAGCCCCTGCTTGCGCCGCCACTGTGGCTGCTCCCTGGCGGGCTCATTGCTCTCATCTCCTTCACGAATGGGTTCAGGCGAGATGTCCAGGGGCTCCGCTACCTCCACAGGCCGCACACTGCTGGGGGCCACAGCGTTGCCAGGCCTGCCGTTCCTCAAGGGTGCAGCGCGGTGGCTCCTCCTCTTGGGGCCGGCTCCCTGGAAGCCGCGCGACCTTGACACATCCAGGAAGTCGCTGTCGTTCTGGCTGTGCTCCGCCAGTGGAGCCCTGTTCGTGGGTAGCGGCTGCGGCGGCTGTTGCTCGTTGTTTTCCTGCGGCTCTGGGGGGCGCGCAGCTTGCTGCTGCAGGGACAGGACGCCCCACTGGCGGCGGGCCTGCATGGGCTGCGGTGAGCGCACTGCCAGGCAGCGCGTGCCAGAGGTGCCGGCTGGCTGGTGCGTGGGGACATCTGAGGACGGCTCGGCGGTGTTGAGCGCGGCCGCCTGCTCCATGCACTGTCCCGGCGCTGGCAGCCTCGCCATGGCTGGTGTTTCAAACTGACCAGGACTGTGCCAGCCAGCCAGACTGCCTGGCCCATCCGCACCCTCTTCCTCATCATTCGGATGTGTGAACTCGTTGAGGTGCTCATTTCGGGGTCTGGTAGCAGGAGACGGCGTCATCAGGTTGGCTTGAAGCTTGCGGCGCAGAGGTGTGAAGCCCAGCGCCCGCCGCTTGGCAGAGCTGCGCAGCCTGCCTCGCTGCGCGTCTGATGAAGCGCTCTGTGCAAGGGCGGTGGTGTTGACTTCTGCATTGCTTTTGCAGTCCCCAGATTGAGCTTGCACACCACCTTCACCTCCAGCATGCTGGCTCCCAGAGGTGCTTCCATCCGACCATCCATTCCTCAGAATAGCTGTTGATGTCGTCTGCATTCAAATAAGCATTTGTGAGGTCGTGAAAGAGACCCTTTGTCCGCATTATGAGCCACAACTGGGCAATTGACTCCTATATGAATAGATCAAGATGTATTTGAACATGATTCGTGGACATTCAAAGAGAAAAACAGAACCATCACCTTCAAGAGGAGCTTCAGAGCAGACAATTTCGCCATCAAGATCTCGTTAGAATCGCCCTGCTGAGGTTCAAGTTGAGTCCAAGAGTGCTCTTCCATCCTTTACACCACGTACGTGAATCGGATAGATTTGATCATTGATGGATTGCTGGCATTACGGTCGAAAGGACGTACTTACATCGCAATAAACATGGAATCGCTTTGCATGCTCGCTCTGCAAGTCCAAAATTCCATCAAGCTGTGAACTGCACGTGCACCTCTTGCTGACTGGATTGCAGCATGCAGGCATTGCACTGCAACATGTCTCAGGGGACTCTAAACTAACAAGATAGTTTAGAGTCCCCTGCATGTCTGGAAGGCAGGGAAGTCATTAAATATAATGACCTTAGCCCTGCTCAGTTCGTGCCTTTCTCCTACTCACATCTGCTTCTTGAAACCCCTAGTTGTCCTCATCCTGCGCTGCATGCGCATCGTGGCATCAATGCTGTCATGACCATAACTGTGCTCAATGCTCATATGAAACCATCACGAGGCAAAAATTTATGCAGTGAGGCGTTACAATCAAGTCAGATTCGGATCCTTAAAATTACTAAGCTTGCGGGTAACACCTTCAAGAAGTCCTGGGTACCGGTGAGGTGAGCAGCAACAATTGTTGCAAATGGCCAGCACCCATGGTAAATACCTTTATACGCTCATAACTCTCCTAATCCTATGCTCCAAGCAGTGTTCACTCTGAGATCTGAATGTCAGCCTGATGCACTGTTGAATGTCATGGGCACACACAACGTACCACCGGAGTCATCCAGTATTGTTGCATGCACGTGCACCTTGGACATCAAGGCTTGCATCAGCACATGTACATCTGTTTTCAATTTGTTGTAATGTACAGCGTAACTTGCCCTACACCTAATGAACATTATAGGTCTTTAAGCGCGACAGTCAGATCAGACTTAAGCTGACAAGCAAAGCTGCAATTGTAGCTTGGTAGCCAGTACAGCTGTAGCAACACTCAGACAGAAACTTGTCTGGAGCTCCAGCTCGAGCGGCTGTTGTTGAAGCTTTCAATGCAAAATATATATGATGGTCTGTCCTTTGAATTTACCATGTGGCTCAGGACCTTAGCAAAGCACCCTGCATGCCCTGCATGCTGACAGACAGTGCTGCAGCTACAGGTCCCGAGAAGAAATTGAAGTGAGGGCACCACTGCGGCAGAGTATGCACATGACTCTCTGCAGCTGCCCTACAGTGGTCATCAACCAGCACCTCTATCCCGCGTCTGTTCCCGAGCCTCCTTTTCCATTTGGATCTTCCGCTCAAGCTCTGCAAATGGATCGAGCACAACTGGCGGTGGCGGTCTGCCCTCCTGCACAGCCAGCTGCTGGTTGTACACAGCTAGGTCCCGCCTGTACACCTCCCACACGCAATTCTGGCAGCCGTTCTGCACATGAGATCACTTGTTAGCAATGGGAGTGCTGTGAGTCTGTGCTGCACCTCCTCGCTCTTTTCAGAACAAGGGTATAGGGGGTCACACAACAAACTCCAAAGATCGACGAATTTAATATTCACAGGTCCCTCTTGAGAGCATCTTACTGCCAATCACACTTGATGGAGCATGCCCAAATGCTATATCGGTGCGCCTGGGTGTCAACATTTTTCAGGGCTTCCCAACATCAGCGCTTCCACTTCTGTCTCTCACCTGGCAGCAATCCTCCGGACCAGGCTCCACAGGTTTCACCAGCAGTTCTTTCGTGCTGCTTTCATGGGCCTCTGTTCCAAAGAGTAGAACGTAAGAAAGTTGGCTCTGGAATCGTGAAACCACAGATCGACGCCTCCAGGTAGCTTGAGCAACTAACATGAAGATGCGAAATGCATCAAGCTGACTGCTGGACAACAATTTAGTAGAATTGAGATACGTTCTCACAAGAAAGGAGACCTTCGTCTGAGGATCGTCCAGCTTCTCGCAGCTTCCTACGGGCCTGGCCTCAGAAGGGTGGATTTCGAGAGAAAGGAGAGAAGATGTCCCTCCTTTGAACCCTTTGGCAGCTTATAGAGCATGATGTCAGTCCAAGCATCAATCGCCTGCAGCTGGGCAACTCCATTACAAGTGACAATGCCATGCTCAGGGAGCAGGCCGGCTGGGAGTACTCATGTGGGTAGCTCCGCTAGTGGATGAAGCGGTATCTGTAACTAAACAGCTGCCGACCTGGTCCCATCTGGCTCAGCGGCAATATAAGGCTTGGAGTGTGTTACAAGATGGCTCTCTCAATGGCACAGGACCTGATCATTACATTGCTCATGCCTCTTCATGTAAAACCTCAAATACCACTCTCAATCATACATCACTGTGACAGCCACATCCACTTCACCGTTCAACATGCTTTAATTATGCTTGCCTTTGCATATAAAATTCTAGTCGTATGCACTCAGGCTAGCCTAGCCCATGGCACCGGCAGCGCTGAGCTCAAACCACTGGCGCAGCAGAGAGGCGAGCGTGGAGGGCAGGGAGGCCAGGTCGCGCAGGACGATGTAGAAGGGGAAAGGGAAGCTGTCCAGGTACTTGGAGAAGGTGGGCTGCCCGCCCACAAACTGCACCGCCTGCATGTCCAGCACGCTCGCCGCCGGGTTGTCCAGGATTATGAACGCCAGCAGCACACCCGGCCTCGAGGCCGCCTCCTGCACACACCCACCAGCTTGCTGTCAGCCCACCATGCATGTCAGTAACTCCCTCTCGCTTGCTTGCCAGAACAGCAGCATGCAGGTAAGGAGCTCTATGGCGCTTGTCAACATCCTGCTTATGTGCTAGGAAAATGCCAGCATAGAGCATGCAGATGAGGAGCTTCTGTTGGAGCTTGCCACATACGAATGAGGTTGACGGCAGGGGAGCGCACCATGACCATGCGGCGGAGGGAGTCCTTTTCGTGGAAGCGGCCATCGGCAAGGACGAGGACGAGCTGATGCAGCTGCTGGGCGGAGCCGTGGGCAGCTGCGTTCGCGCGCGCCAGGTCCAGCATGTGCATCAGCATCGTCAGCAGCTCCACCATCGGCCGGTCCGCCAGCGTGTTGTCCTGCACCCACCATGTACAACATCAGCCTCTGCCCCTTACCACATGAACTCATGAACTTTTCAAAACAGCCTCACCTCTGGTCATTTTCCAAGGATGGCACAGGAACTCAATTGTGCAAAAGCAGGACAGCTTGATGGCATGCAAGCTTCAACCCTGGCTAGGCTGCGTCTACTCAGAGGCATATGGATGAGTTTGGCGTGGCACAGTACCTGGTCAAAGCGGAGGGCGGAGAGGACGGCGGGCCCGTTGGCGTCGGTGAAGGGGGCATCGAGGGCGTGCAGCAGGCGCACATGGTCTGTGCCGCCAAATCGCAGCACTCCCAGCTGGCCCACCTCCAGCCGCGCCAGCGCGCGCGCCAGCAGCGTCACAGCCTCCAGCGCAAACCCGCCGCAGCCGTTCTCCGCCATCGACCGCGAGTCGTCCACCGCCAGCACCACCTGCCACCACATCACCGCACTTCTGAATTTGCATTCAAATAAGCAGAATTCAGAATGACCTTTCAGCATCCTATACGAACAAGATACCTCGGGAGATACGGACCAGCCTTCACAATATGCAGATAAATATTCCAGCACGCTTGCAGTGGCCACCATGCGAAAACGGACTCCTCCCATGGACTTGTGCAACGCGGAGACAGGCTGCTGCCCATCCCGTACTGTTTCATGCTGCAAAACGTGACAGCAGGTACTTGATACAGCTGGCAAGGGAGGGCTGACCTGGTAGGTGCGCTGGTCGGGGCGGGTGCGGCGCAGCCAGATCTTGTCCTTGCGGAAGTGGGACGCTATGTACGCAATCACACGGCGCATGTTGAGCCGCTTGCCGCTGCGGTACTCGCCTGCCAGCCGCGTCGCATGCGTTGGCTCCAGAATCAGCCGCAGCTGCTCTGCAAGCTCACCCGCTAGCCCTGCACACACGCCACGACCCCTTTTAGTTGTTCTTCGTCTTTAGCGTTGAACCCTTGTCAGACAATGGATGTCCAGAAAGAACTTAGAAGAGGGAGACTTTTTATCTGATTGGCGGTGCAAGGAACCACAAATGTGAGATTGTGTGCCGTACTGAACGAAGATGGTCCTCTGTCATGGCATGATAGGCCGATTCAGTGAGAATCATCTAGCGGTACCAGGACATGCGGCTGGAGTGCACACCTGCGGTAAGGGCTTCGCAGCGCGCCCACATGTCCCGGCCGTACTGCGCGTCTGCGTCGTCAGAAGCGGTGGGCTGCCGCAGCAGCTCCTCCATCTGCGCGCGCAGCGCTGCCGCCTCCTCCGTTGACACCTCGCCCGCGTCTTCATCGTCTTCTCCCCCTGCTGCCAGGAAACATCAGGAACAGATTTGGCCGGGCCACAGTGATGGAACGATTGCACATCAAGAAACCCAAGCAGGAGAAGCACAGGAAAATAAGGCAGCAAGCATGTGCATAGCTTTCGTACAGCTTGCTTTGCCCGGAGCTTTGGCTGTGAAGCCTCAGCCCTCAACTCTGCCAACAGATGATTGCTTGAATGTCATGCGTAGAAGGAGTCTCACCTGGGCCACCGTTGAGGGAGGTGCGCTGCAGCAGGGACGCCACAAAGCTGTCCATGGCCGCATCGTGACCTTCTTCGCCCCTGGGCGAGCCTTCCTGTCCGTCCGCCAGGTCACCCTCCTCCTCAGCATCCTCTCCCATGTCCTCATCCTCCTCATCTTCTGCAATACCTGCACGCCTGTTGGCGCCCGCTTTCTGCTGCTTGCTCCCCCGCAGCGCCTGTACACACCAGCACCCAAACTTCACGCACTATCCCCAAACACAGCCACTTGATAAAGAGGCAAGACATGTGCCACTTGCACTGTGCTTAATAGCCCAAAACCCACACACCACCCTCAACAGAGTCCGCTGCCTATATTGATGTAAGTATATAAATGGGCGTCTTGCAATCTGCCTCACAGTGAATTGAGAAGGGGGCCTGACCTGCTGGGGCTCCTCATCAGGCCCTTCAGGCTGCGCGATGGCGGCCTCCTCCTCATCGGACGCCGCCCCAGCATCCGGCATGGCCTCATCGGCGTCTCCGCCGGCAGCTCCCGACTCGGGAGCAGCCGCCTCGCGCGCCTGCTCCTCTGTCGCCGGTGCCAGCGCTTGCGTGTCGCCTGCTCTCCCACACCAGCCACCAGTCAAGCACCAGCCTGGCCTGAATTTCTTGTCGAAGAGAATATAGGCAACATCAATCAGCCAGAGCAGTTCACATGTGGCGATAGAAGGGCAGTCAAAGACAGTGGCATGCCTGCTTGCTTGCGGTCGCCGTCAGCAATAAACTCATAGTTGCCCCCTGCCGTGTTGTCCTCGTTCGTCATGTCTTCGTCATGGTCTTGGGTGGCACCATCCCCGGCGTCGGGTGCAGCGGAGTCCATCGTGACGGACAAGCGCCTGCGCCACTGCTCCATGGCATCACCTGTGCCATGCCACAATAGAAGTGAATGTTTCCCTCCTTGACTGCGAGTGTTGCAAACAGCAGCATTGCCAGCACAACCTTGCAGATACTCAGAGAAGGTTCGTGGGTTGGAAACAGCCGCGACACCAGCAAGTGTTCTGCCACCAAGCCTGTACATTTCCAACCACACCAACTCAATTTGCTGTGAATGCGCTGCAGAAGAGCTGTCTAGAGGGTTGCTCACCGAGGCTGCGGTAGGGGTTGGCCTGCTGCAGGGCCTGCTCCTGGCGGCTGGGCGGCTGGTCTCCGCCCTGCGCCGCCTCCGCTCGGCCCCTGCCCTGGCGCCCGGACTCGGATGCGCCCATGCGGCTGCTGTGCGCCTGCGGCGGAGTTGCTGGAGCGCTCAAATCCTGCAAAGAGACGACACACGCCTTCAATACAAATAGCACAATGTAATGTCAGTACAATTATACCTCAGAATATTGCAGCAACTCCTGAAACCTGTCAGAACTACTCACTGCAACGTATCTTCCACAATTGTCAGGAGTTCAGATAATGCTCACCTCAGCCATCGCTCCCTGATCCTGTCCTCCGGCAGCATCTGCTTCATCCTTGTCTGTGTCGCCAACACCTCTCGCATCCGGCTGTGCTGCTGCCTGCACATGTCAGGGGAAATTCATCAGCGAAATTTGGCCGCCACTCAGCAGATTGTCAACAGCTGGGTCACGAAAATGAAGTTTTGTCTCTTGTACACACCTGGGCAGCGGCTGCCTGGGAGGCAAGCCCTGTGGGCCCAGCCTCTGGGAGGGCGTCCTGTTCTGGCTGCTCCTCGTCCCAGCCATGCTGCGCTGCCGGCTCCACCTCCTCTTCTTCGCCGGGTTCTGCCGACTCGTCCAGCGCCTGATCGCCGCCGCCCTCCTCCAACGCCTTGGCAGCAGCCTCATCGGCCGCGTCTGCACCTGCTACACAGCAGCAAGGAATGAAATTAAAATCAAGCAGGAATGAGCGTGGGTGCCTCTCAGACGCCACACAACAGCAATGCAGGAAAAGAGCATTCGAAGATCTCTCAGGAGTGGGCGTGGGTGCCTCTCAGGCTCAAAATGGCTGCAATGCGAAAGAAGAGCTTTTAAAACCAAAGATTGCTGACCTTCTTCAGGCGGGCCTTCGTCAGGGGGAGCGGTGTCCGGGCCCTGCTCTTCTTGCTCTTGCCCGTCTGCAGGGGCTTCCTCCTTGTCGGCCCCCTCTGGAAATGGTTGCTGCACGGCGTCGTCAGGGTGCTCGGCGCCAGCCTCTTCCTCATTGCCTTCTTGGCCCTCCTTGTCCCCCTGTTCTCCATCCAAGGCCATGTCCTCTGGCAGCTCCAGCTCCTCTTCAGGCGCCTGCAACAATGGCACAGACTTGCGGTATTAGTCAAGACGTGCAAATGAGAAATGCGTTCATGCAAGTATGGAAGAAAAGATTGTAAAAGAAAATGTCACGTCATATGTTCAAGGTATCGGCTGACCTGAGGAGCGGCAAACTGGCGCTGCTCATAGCCCTCTTCTGTATCTTCGTTGATGGGGCCTTCCCCGCCCTCCTCCCTTTGCTCCTCCTCTGCAGCCTCCTGGTCTGGGGCTGGTGCCTCATCAGGCGCCTTCTTGTCCTTCTCTCCCTTGCCATCCTTCTCCTGAGGCTCCTTGCCCTGCTCCCCGCCAGCTTCCTCCTCCTGGCCGGCCTGATACTCCAGGTCCTTCTTGTCATCCACCTGTGCATACAAAGACATTCATGAGCGTTTTGACTTCGCAAGTGCTGTTTGTGTGAGCCTGCGTTTTCCAGGGGTCACAAAAAAGATGCAGAATCCCTGCAAGTCTTGAGTTTGAAGAAAAAGGGACCCATCACTTGGTGCAAGCCTAGGCCCTCCAGGGGACACACACACAGAGGTGCAGACCCCTCGCAAGTCCAAGCTTGAAGACAAGAAGAAAGTCGCGGCAGCATATGCCTTCGATGATTAATGATTATTCAAATACATGGCAGGGAGAAAGGTGGAGGCACCTGCACGGGGGCGTCCTTCTCGTACTTCTCCTCCCCGGGCTTCTGTCCCGGCTCGGGCTTGTCCTCATCGCCCCACATGCGCTCGTCCACCACCTCACCCTGCTCCCCCACATCCCCCATCTCCTGGTCCAGCTTCTCCCCATCCTCATCCTCATTCTCCTCCTCTTCGCTGTTCTCTGCGTCCGAGGGCACGTCGTGGATGTCCCCCTGAAAGTCACCCTCCATCTCCACCCCCTTCACATCCTGCTCCTCCTCCGGCTGCTGCTTTGCTTCCTCCTCCTCCTGCGCGCATGCAGGACCCACCTGTCAGATTCCTCTCCTGTTACCAAAACTCCGTGCACGATTCCCCTGATGCCATGTCCAATAAAAATTGCATATATCTATTGAACGAGGGAGCTAGGCATGCTAGGGGTTGGGGTCGTAACAAGTAATTGTAGAAGAAGCTATAGTTGGTCAAGAATTCTGACGGGTCTGTATGTTGTTTGTGTATCAGACCGGCACCTTGGGGGCGTCTGCGGGCTGGTCCTTCTGCTGTGCGCCGAGCAGTTGGTCCTCGTCTGTGATCTGGTCGCTCACGTCCTTGGCACCCTCGCCCTCGCCCATGCCCTGCGAGGACACCACACCCCCATCACCAAATGGGTTCCATGCATGCTCCAGCATGCTTTTTTGCGTGACCGGATGGACATGCTCAGCAAAGAATATACCGCATTTACAATGGGTTGCCATTCACCAGTAACACCGACTGCACACAGGGGCATGCTTCACTGACTGGACTGGACACGATCAGCAAATTGAACAGATGGAGTATGCGGCGGCGCTCACCGTGCCCTCGGCTTCCTTGAAGGAGCCGCCCTCTCCGCCGACGGCCTCTTCCTCGGAGGCCTCGGCGGTGCAGAAGCCCTCCTGCATGAGCCCCACAAAGAGCGAGGCGGCCACATAGCCGAGTTTTGCCAGGGCTTTGTGCAGCGCCAGGTAGCGCGCGGCCACGGCCTGCAGCGCGCCAGCCGCCATTCCCAGCAGCGGCGCCAGCGCGGCCGACTGTGCCGCCATCGCACCCGCCCCTGATGTACACAGACGTCATCGTGAGTCACTCAGCCAGCAACATCTCTGCATCCCTCAGCCGCAATGGGTTCAGCCTGGGAGACTTGACAAGGTTACTTGTAGGACTTTCTGCCTGCCTGTTGCTGACTCCTGTGTAGAATTTCATACAAGACTTTTCTGCCTCTTGCTGACTCTTTGGGGTCACAGGAGAAACGTGAACGCATATGTGAGATCTCAAAAGGCAAAAGGAGGATAAGAGCAGGTGTGCACGCACCGGCAGGAGCATCGGGTGTGCCCAGGGCAGCGATCTGGGCAGTGAGGGCCTCGGCAGCGTTGCAGGTTGCGTCGAGGCGCTGGAGAGCGGCGTGGCCCTCCAGGTCTTTCATCATCTCTGTGATGCTGGGCGGCCGCTCCTCCTCTACTCCCTCCTCTGTGGTGCCTGCTTGAATGCAACATTACACTCAGATCTGCAAGATTTCCTATGGAATCCCCTTCATATTTTGTGCAGTGAATGGGACAAGAGCGTCCTGGCTGTGATGCAAGGATTGAGAGGTTGCGATGGTGCTTACCATTCTTGCTGTCTTTGGTAGGGCCAGAGGCTTGAGCGGCCTGTGCCCAGAGCAGGATTGAGGTGACTGCTGCCTCCATGGCAATCGACCACGCCTCCATGGGCTCTGAGCTCATGTCACATGCCTCTGTCGGCGCTGTGAATGTGCAGGCTGCTGCTTGGAGCTGAACACCGTCCATGGCTGCGTTGGCCACTGCCTGCTGCACCTTGGACCAATTGGGGACAGTCTTGGAGTATGCATGGATGTGTTCGGCTGCAGACAGATCCGCCTCCGACCGTTGAAGGACCTGCACATGCGCAAATTTGTACTCAGCACTGAATGACGCCGCTGCTAAATTGCACCTGATAATCACAGAAACGGATGTGGAATCAAACAAAAACCTGCAGTTTATGGTGAAGACACTGACCTCCTGATTGTGTAGAATGATCCTCGCATGTGCAGGTGTCAGGACGGCAGATGTGTTGCACTGCAGAAGCACGCTCTGCAGAGCCTGCTTGCTTGCCAATATTTCCATGTGGCACCGCTGCAGACAGCCGCCAGCATCCTGCAATCAACACAAACAGGGTCTCAAAATCGTAGCATGCAAAGTTAAACCCACTTATAGGCAAGTTACGTGTGGCATCTCTGGTTGATATTGGGAATTCACCTTGAGCTGCTTATTGGGCTGTGGAGCGTTCTCGACAGCAGAGAACGCCTCCAGCAGCTGCGCCGAGCCTCCCACCAGCACATTTAGGTCATCCAGCTGCTGCGCCTGCTTCTGAGCCCACACCCTGTAAGCCTCCTGCACCCAGAGAGCTCCTCCATCAGTCAAGAAGATCCTGGTTTTACAAGGGGCTGGCCATTACAATTGCCCTTCTGAACAGCATGCAAATATGATGTGACATGTAATTCCTGAAGACTGTGCTTTACTTTCAAAGAAAATTATTAAGAATACTAGGGTCAATGCGCGCCTGCGGAGGGACGGCTGGTGGCGCATCTACGCTAGCCGAGAAATCAGACAGCGTGCTTGACAGGGACCGCAGGCGCTCTGCGGCCGTGGAAAGGCGGCCGAGGAAGGCGCGCTGGCGGCGTTGCAGGAACAGCGCATGCTCGCTCAGCCGCTGCGCTGCCGCCACCTCCCGCTGCGACAGGTCCTTGCTCGGCGCCTGGGCCGCCTGCGCGCACCCACACCGACTGCATCTTGAGAACAAGTAAGACACATGCTGGCGATCCTGACACACTCACTCCCTGACGCTTCATGACCCCATACTCTCGAACATGCAAGAGCTCTCTCAGCTTCAAGGGTGAGGGATACGAATAGTTTCCCTCAGCAGTGCAGACGGCAAAATAGGGTATACCATCAAATTCAGGTATGCAGCGGAGCAGCAAAGAAGGTACCTGCCACAGGCGCTGGATGCGCGCCACATTGCGGTAGTAGTACACGTCCGCCTTGGACCACAGAGCGCGCGCCTGCGCCACTGACTCCGTGGGCAGGGCGCTGTGGGAGCCAGCCTCTGCGCCTAGCAGGTGCTCCAGCAGTGCACCTGGGGAGGCCTGTCCAGAACAAGCCAAGGTTAAGAGTTACAGTCATGACATTTACAGCAGTGCAGGTAAACACTGCATGTTGGAAAGAGTCAAGTAGCCGATACCCAGGGTAGATCAGGCGATAATAAACAAGACACTCCTTCATGGATCAAGACGCCTGCAGCCTTGATTACGCCCACATCCAACAAGGAGCAGCATTTTCTACCACCTGATATGTCCACCAAAAAGGCAAAATTTAAGAGCTAGTAAGGGAGGTTGTGTGCTGCCCAGGGCGCACCTGGGTGAACCAGGCATGGACGCTGCGCTCGACGGAGGGAACGGCGCTGCGCTGGCGCGACAGCCCCGCGGCGGCCAGCGCGTGCAGCAGGTCGGTGAGGGCCTTCTTCTTGCGCGAGCGTGCCCCCTTGTCCGCCGCCCCACGCAGATCCAGCGCCCTCTGCGCCACCTCGCCCGCCAGAGCATCCAGCGACCCCGCATCTGCAGCACAAAATATATCAGAAGCTTATTTCATGCTACGTGATGTAGAAACACAAACAGGAAAAGCATGAAAGGTAGCTGCCGCTGGCTTCTTACATTCCTGCTTGCAGTCGAAATTGCGTTGATCCAAGATGGGAAAGAGCAGTACGTGAAGCGTGGTGGCCGACATTGTCCAGGCTTGATGCCAGGACGTCCTGCATGCGCTGCGCCAGCTGTGGGATGCGCTGCCGGTACAGCGTGGAGCCGTCGGGCCGTACAGTATCTGTCTCATTGGCAGCAGGAACGTGCACAGCCGACGCTTGCAAATCAGCAATGACGGCCGTGCAGAAGGCGCGCCAGTGCACGGCATCTTGCGCAGCCTGCGAAAGTGCAATCATTTCTTCGGCCCGCATCCATCACTCTCTGTGCCAACGCATGCAGAGCAATTTGAACTCATTCACCGCAGACCATGCAATCGATTGGGCCCTTGCAACCCAGGGAATGTCAACACCTCCTTCTGAACCCCATCTGATCTGCAGGATATCTAAATCATTTCAGCTGTGGAATTTCTGCGTCAAACAAAGGCTCACCTGGGCGGTCAGCTCCAGCTCAGTGGGTGGCGCAGCTTCGGGCTTCCTGCGCCGCTGCCGAGCGGAGTCGGCAAGGACGGCCTCGGGGGCGGTCAGATCGGCCATGCCCATGGATTTGGCGGCATCGGCCAGCACGGCGGCAGACGGCTGCTTGAGCGCGGCGATGGCCTGGCGCTGCAGCTTGTGCAGCTGGCGCTGGGCCTTCTCCGTGGACTGCTTCAGGGAGTGGTAGCCCCGGTCCTCCCACTTGGCCAGCTTCACAAAGTCCTGCAATTGACACACAAGCGGCCGTCAGCATCGTTCCGTTGCCGAAGTTCCCTTGCTCTTCTATAGAATGAGCTACATGGCTGCTACGAAATCTGCATTACGCAATGTTGAGGTGTTCATAGAGAGGTGTAATCTTCTGCAAAGAGAGATTTGAGCAATGTACAAAAAGTCCAAGATAAAATGATGGGAATTTATTAATAATACTTGGGGGAAGAATGCACACCTCCAAGCGCTTCTCGATGGGCGCCAGGCTGTCTTTGATGGCCTTGTCCACAAGGGGACTGAACTGATTGTAGTACGCATGCACGTTCTCCAGTATCGCCACAAGCGTCTGGACTGCTGATCCCTTTGCAGCCGCTTGGCATCTGTGCATGCACACCAATTCCTCTTGAGTTCAAAACTCATAAGGTTCATCAATGAAGAGTCACGGTCACAAGGATGTTGTGCTAAAATACCAGTCTGCCTTCAAGCGGGCCCACCTGAAGGTCCCGATGAGGTCCAGGCGGCGCTGGTACTCTCCCAGAGTGGCGCTCTGCATGAACTGCTCCACCGCCACCGCCACCGCCGTGTCCTGCTCGGCGTCCGCCTCGCCGGGCGCCATCAGCATGCGGTACAGGTGGAACCACGACCGGTGCGCCCCTGCACGCGTGCAACCCCGGCATCACTCCGCATGTCATTTGGAAGATTCCCAAACATCCACAAGAGAACAATCAGAGCCGATCTCCGCTGCAAAAGCTGCGCAGAGGCTGAGGATGCAGCCAAGGGTCGACCTCCATCATCACGTGTGTCATACATGGCGCCTAATGATGCAGCCCACCACGCAAGTCAAGCGGTGATGCAGGTCGACTCCATGCTGCTGGAGGCAGCAGGAATTAAGAATGTGCACTAAACGAAGGGGAAAAGCGAGCGGCCGCACCGGCGGCGTGGCGTTGGGCGAGGGTGCGGATGAGTGAGCGCCAGGCGGCCAGCTGCAGGCGGCGCCAGCGCAGCGCGAGGGCGGCTAGGCGCTCCAGCTGGGGAGCCAGGCTGACGTGGGAGGCCGCCGTCTCCTGCCACACCTGCGAGCGCGCCAGCAGCAGCTCCAGCCCCGTCAGCGCCGCCTTCAGCGGAGCCTCCGCCACCATGCCTGCACCGGCCACCCCTCACTATGTCAATATTCTGCAAGACCCAAAGGAGGATAGTGTGGGGAACCTTTGCTATTCACCGCTGTCAATTTCTCTGCCCTGCAGCTCTGGGAGGAAGTGCAATAGCCCGACAGCGGTCTGTATGCCGTAATATGCATCAATGGTGTTCAGGCAGGTTAAATTACAGTGACATAAAGGACGCAATACAAGACGTGGGTGCAAGGGCGTACCTACGAGGCGGTCGCAGAGGACGAGGAGCTGGGATAGGATGGGGTGGTCGGGCCAGTCAGCCATCAGCTGCTCCAGACGCGCGCGCAGCGCCTGCACCGGCTCCTCCATCAGGCCCGCCTCCGCCAGTGACGGCTTCTCCATGTCAAGCGCACCCTCCCGCGCTGCAGCATGTGCAAACAGTAATTAGCTTGGTTGTAATTTTCACACTGCAAGGTTGCAAGACACATACAAATACGGTAATTTCACACTGCGAAGGTTGCAAGATAAACTGCAGATAGTGGATGGACAGCAGCATCAGGAAGCAGCAAGACATCTCAAGAGAATGTAGCAACGAGAAGCAGCAGAAGATTGCAAACCTGCAGCATCGGATGATGTGGCGGCGGGCGCCTCCGACAGGCGTTGCTGCTCCAAGCAGATCCGCATGAGGTGGCCGGCGGCTGTGCGCTCATCCAGCTCGGGGGGCAGCACGCCACCGGCGGTTGCATGCTTGCTCATTAGCAGTGCACCCAGATCATACGCATGCTTGAACACCATCCTGCTGTCAAGCTGACCAGCTTCATCTTGCGCCCCAGCGACATGCCGGAACACCCTGCACATTAGCGCACCTCCCTTACATCACCATCCTCTCTTCACAGACTCTTTGACGCAGAACAATTGGGCATGAATTACTCTGAAGTGCACCAACATAAACGCTAACCTGGGAATGACCAAAGGAAATGGAAGAAAGAAGGCATGTGACATAATGAAATGTGCACCTGGTATGTTCCTGCACAATGTCCTCCAGCAGGTCTCCCTGCAGCAGGGCATGCGCGGCTGCGCTGCCGGCCTCGGCCTCCGTTGCCTGCTCGTCAGCGGCAGGAGCAGCCGGCTCGAGCATGCCCTCATCACCTTCTGCATCCAGGATGTCTGCGAACGCAGCTGAGTGGTCCGGGAAGGTTTGCTTGTAATCTGCCTCCTCTTCTTCCTGAGCAAGTGCAGCGATGCGCAAAATGTGAACACCAATTTTCCTTCCAAAACGGGATGTGATGGTGTGATGCGGGTGTTGTGGAATGTGGTCATGTCAAGAGTGAAGACCACCAGTGGAGAGCTGGGGACCTCCGTGGGTATGTAGACAGACCCGGTTGTCAGCCGCGTGCAGCCGGCAGCCCTTGCGGGCTGCCCCGCACGGATCTCTCTTGGCAGCGGAAGTGGGGGGCCCACCGATTGCAGCAGTGGACCCCAGGCTATTGAGCTGCCTTGCGATGGGATTGCTGAGAGTCTTAAGTCCTTCTCTAAACTTCAAAGAGTGAACCCGTAATTTCAATAACGTCGTTCCCATCTTCTATAATAAGGGGTAAACCGAACGAAAATCGAGTTATGGGACAGGCCATCAAAAATTCTCAAGTGCTAGAAGGGCCCAGGAGCACAATTCTTGCAGCTGCATATGGGGACAGTGATAAGAAGACGCATGCAGGAAACTTGCCTCTTCGGTGAGGATGGTGGTGGACTGGGTCTTGGTCTTGAACAGCTGGGCCTCCAGTGCGGCGCGCGCCTCCTCGGCCGCCTTGACCTCCTCCCACGCGCCCAGCAGTGCCGTCAGAACCGCCTCAAACTGCGCCATTGGCCCTGCATAGCACGCTCCACATTAGTCCCTTATCCAGAACCATTTAGAAGTTAAATTGGTCCAGACCAATTGTAATACACTCACGAATGTCCTGGCTGTGGCATCCACTCGTAATTGCAGGACTGGAGTATCTCCATGCTTGTGAAAATAGTTGCACAAGGCCTTCTTCACAAAACATTCAGGAATATATAGGGTTCAGACTGGCTGTACATACCTCACACATCCCCTGACTATGGAATCCACTCACGAATGCAGGACTGGCATACTCTCTATGCTTGGGGTACTCGCCTCAAGCCTTGCCCTGAGATGCTCAATTTTTCCTGCTCTCACCTGAAGGCATCGATGGTGCAATGGCCATTGCTGCAGTGGAGTCACTGGGCGCTGCCCCAAGCACAGCTTGTGCAGCGGAGTGCAGCGCAGCGCGCAGCACGTTGAGGCGCGCAGAGTACACAGCCACCTCAGCACCGGCGGCAGACTGGCCCTGCTGACTCTGCCTGGCTGTGGCGGCTGTCACTGACACCGCCGCAGGACTGCACAGCAGCGAAGCTCCTGCACCAGGGCACACTAGCCTATCAGAATCACTGTCAAGGGGCTCCCAAACCTCTCTGATCAAGCAGGTGTGTCAATCATTGCTATCAATAGTGTAAATTGACACATAGGTCTCACCTGAGCGGAGGTTGGTGGCAGGGAATGCCATGAGCTGAGCAAGGACGGCGCCCAGCTCCAGACTTGTGCCCACTGTCTGCAGGGCTGTATGCGCGTGTGCGAGCATGGAGAAACCAGCGCGCATTTCGTAGACGGCCAGTGCGACCGGCTGCAGCAGGTCTGCGTACAGCGGGAAGGCTGGCAGCAGCCGGCTGGCCCATGCATCGGCATTCTGCTGCCACACGCCTGCCTGGTCCGCTGCGCCTTGCTGGCCCGCCTGTCAGAGCACATCCACCAATGAGACCCCCGCAACAGAGAACAATACATGCTTTAGCTGAGAAATCAGAAGCCTGTACAACAGTGCGATCTAAAAATTCATGGCACTTCACAGGTGATCAGTACATGAAGCAGCAAGATGGGCTGCATTGGGCTTTGAATCCAACAAATAAGATGCCTGGAGTGAAGGGAGAGGAAAGAGATAGCAGCAGACTTCATGGCATACCTGGAGCGCTTGCAGCAGGGCGACGATGCGCTGGACGCTGCCGAGGTTGTGCATGAAGCGCGCCAGCTCCTGCTGCAGGGCCGGGTACTGCGACGGCTGCGGCCGCGGCACCGTCTGAGCGCGCAGCTCCTCCGCTCTTGCGCGCATCGCTGCAGCCCTCTCCTCAAGCACAGCAATGCTGTGAGACTCGTCCGGGCCCAGCGGCAGCCGCTGCAGCGCTCTCCGTACCTGCACCCAGACATCCCTGATCATCTCGAGGGAAGCAGTGCCACAAGTATTAGCTTTCATGGTTCTGCGCCTGACCGCTCTAGCATGATGGCAATGCACAGTCACACGAAACGTGCCGGAAGGGATCAAGTATCTGTCAGTAGCCTATCAAGCTGAACAGCCACATGATACCGCACAGCGCTTCACATGTGACTTGTGCAGGACATCCTTGTGCATTAAAATGAACGATAGCTTTCCATTGTCTGAATCCTGGAGGCAGCAATTGTTTTGGGCGCACCTCAAGCCCTGCCAGAACGTCTTCCAGGACAGCCAGAAGGTGTGCACGCTTGTGTGCGTATTTGGCAGCCGGGTCGGTCCCGGGCGGCGGAGATGCGAGGTGCAGCCGAGCCGCCCCCAGCAGCACCCAGGCAGCGCCGCGCTTGGCCTCAAGAGAGAGGGTTTGTGCGCCATACGCAGCGGCTGGGCCGGCCGCCCTTGTGGCCTGGCTGCCCTCCAGCACAAGGGCAAGGAGGGGCAGCAGCACAGGCTGCAGCAACTGCACAAGGAGGCTGTGGCTGGAAGAAGCCAGCAGATCTCTTATCTGCTGTCTGAGACCCTCCTCGCTGTGACACCGGACAGGAATTTAGTACCCCAGATTGAATTCCATAACCTTCTGACAAATACAAAAATTGGTGATTCACATCAAGCACATAGGCGATTTATAATACAAACTCGACTGGCAAATTGAGAGTGGCAGTAGACAATCACCTGGCAGATGGCGTGTCAGGTCCCTGTGCAGCGGTGAGCTCTAAAAGAGAGGCGACTGCGGCGTCCAGCGCCTCACGCGCCGAGGCATCAGGCAGGGAAGGCCGGTGGGCAGCGAAGATGGTTGCCAGGAGAGCTCCCAGGCTTGCCCATTCCATTGCAGCAGCTGCTGCGCCAGCAGGCAGAGCCCTCTCTGTGGACCACCTGCAGTGGGCATTGCTAAGTGAGGAAACATGTAAAAAACTTTCATAAAATTATGACTTCTGCTCTTTTGACTTAACAGCCATGCACAAGATTGCTGCCCATGAGCAGTGGCAGAAGCTTATTGCTTCATGGGAAGGGAGCTGCCGAGGGGCCGCACTTGGACACATGCCGAGCAGCGAGTCTGAGCTGTAGTGACTTGGCAGTGCGCATGGCCAGGCTGCTCTTCCTGCTTGCATCCAGAATCGCTCCCACGAGGCCACTCAGGGAGGACTGGGTGAGAGCTGTTGGGCTCTGTGTGCCACGCTTGCAGTCCCAAAGTGCAGCATGCCAAAAGTACCACATCTCGTGGGTCAGCTGTGGCAGCTGCTGCTGCACCGTAGCCCTATCCTCCTGCAAGACATCGCAACATTGGTTCCCTCATGAGCGCGGATGTAAAGTGTTGATGCTGTAGTACTGGAGGTGCTGCAATAAGAAAGAGGATGAGACATATTTCTTGCATTCAGTCTGCGCAGTACTTGGGACGGTGCATGGGTGACATTGCAGTCATGGCATGGGATGTCAAAGTTCACCTCTGCATCAAGCAGCCAGAGCAGGAGCTGCAGAGGGGCAAAGTCATCGATGCTGCGGCCAGCAGCCATGCAGCCTGGCAGCACAAGCGTCCTCATTCTGTCCTTCATCCCTGAAGGATCAGCCCTCTGCTGCGACAGCAACATCACAGTCGCAGCAAGCAGGACCTGTCTCTGGCTCTGGAGGGTCCAGTGATCCTGCAGAGCACATCAGCAGAATTCAGAGCTGATGTAAAATGCATATTGAACAAACACACCGCGCCCTGTGAGGAAAGACGGTCACAGCATCGTGGGCCTACCTGGAAGGTCAGGAGCTCGTGCTGCAGAGATCTGGTGGTGTCGCTTGCCATCAACTGTGTCGGGAACACCTCTGGCAGAACACCATCATCCAGAGGCTTGTCCAACAAAGGGGCTGCATTCCTAATCACAGCGCGCTCATCCCCAACCCTTGTAAGCGCCTGCAGTGCAAACACCAAACATCAAGCTCTGCATTTGTCAGAAAGACAGTAATGGCAGTCGAAAGATGAGATTAATTTAGTGGGTTCAAGTGAAAGTTCTCGCGCCTGCTCAATGGCCTTCTTAACGCGCTCCTCTAGGGCGGACACAATAGCCAGAGCGCTGCTGGCGGCCTGTTCAGGCTCCATGTCGCCGAGCTTGCCGGCTACCGACGTGCCCTTGCGGCCCGCAGCCAGGGCAGCCGCCATGGCAAACAGGCCCGCCCCTTCCAACAGCGCGCGGCGCAGGCCCCAGTCCGAGGACAGAGCCGCCGCGACCGCCGCCACTGTCTCCCTGCTGACTCGAGGCTCGCCATCTGGGCCGGTCTGCATGCCATATTCCTCTTCTCCTCCCTCCAGCATGCCGGCATGGGTGCGAGGGACGAGCTGCGCCGCGGCGGCGTTGTCGCCAAAGTCGCCGGTGGCGGGGGCGCGCGCGGCGTTGCAGAGCAGGTGCAGCTGTCGGGAGGCGTTCCAGAGCTCGAGGGAGGGCGGATTGCTGGGGTGGCCGCCCCCGCGCCACAGCAGCGGCTTGGGTGGGGGACCGCTCTGCATGCCCAGGCCGCCGTTGACCTGATCCACGATGCCGGCCAGCCGCTCGGCCTCCCGCAGGGATGCTATGCCGGGAGCGGCTGCCGCAATGCCGCGCAGGGCCTTGGTCAAGCGCAGCCATGCAAAGGCAAAGGGCTCCTCCTGCACTGACAGGGCTGCAGGGGCTGCTCTGCTCGTGAGGCCCCCGTGCGCCAGCTCCCACAGCGCGTCGCGCAACTCCTGGAAGAGGGCCACCTGAGAGCAGAGACATATGAGAAGTCAGAAAGCGCGTAGGGAATATGTGGTGGTGCAAGTTGGTACATACATCATTGTGGGCAGAAGAAAAACAGTTTGGATGGAAGGTTGGCTGGCTTAGATGAAGTCCAAGAGAATCTGTACCTGCTGAGCCAGCTGTGGGGTCCATTGGATCTGGGGAGCTGAGTGTGGGTCCAGCAAAGCCGCCTCAAACGCCGAGAGGGCTGCGAATGCCGGGTAGATGCTGTCAAGCACAGGGTGTGGAGCAGTTGTCCTTGCTCTGACCTGCAAAACCCCACATGACAAAATCAATCAGGACCCCTTTGAAGATTTCTAGAGAACAGCACATCCAGTTCGAAACCGCTTGAGGGGTTTTAATCACAAAGATCATTATGGAGCATACCTGGGGGTTGATGTAGCGTGTGTAGGACAGCTGCAGGACGCTGGGGGATGCAGCAGCGCCAGCCGCCTCAAGAACAGCGCTCATGAGTGATGCGTGCATGGCAGCTAATCTGACCGACGAGTGGCGTGCTGACAGGATTAAGGCTTGGGACGACCACACTGACTCCTGCAGGACCATGGCCAGGGTGCCTGGCAACAGAGGCCTGCTCCTGGCAGCTGTCTGTGCATCTGGCGGAAGGATGGCCTCAAGCAGGTCCTGCAAATGCACCATGAGTTGTGAGTTTGCAGTACAGCTTAAGAGGTGCAAGAAATACCAGTGCAAGAATATTGCTGCTGGTTCAGGTGAGGCATTGATAAGAAGCCGGGAAGATTGGGGGGCATACCTGCATTGTCGGCCACAACTGCAGGAGCTCTTGGAAAATGGCATGTCCCAGAGCATCTCTTACAGCCTTTGAGGCCTGTCCAATTGCCTCTCTGGCAGAGGTGCACCCGGTGGCCAACCCATCAGCCTGCAAATAAAAAGGTCAATTTATGACGATCCATGCAGACATTAAAGTGCACCAAACATTCTGCAGAATCACAACAAGCCATGGGTTCTCACCAGTTCTTTGATGGAAGAGAGCCACTGCAGCCGGCATTGCCAGTCGAGCGTTGAGGCGCGCTCCGCAAAGCAAAGAACAGCAAAGCGAAGCAGCCGCAAGCCTCCCTCAACACCAGCCTCCAGAGCCTCATGTCCGCCAATGCTCTGCACCAGCGCAGCTGTGGCGCCGCCCTCCAGCGCATCACCTTGCAGGTGCGCCATCAGCATCGGCGCTGGCAGAGCAGCCGCACCAAAGGCGCTGCTCACACCGCCAGGCGCAGCCGCCAAGCTGGCCGCTTCTGCAGCACCGATCTGCGCGATCAGGTGCGTCAGCACAGCAGCGTCCACCTCCAGAGCGGCCAGCTGCGAGTCAGCGGCAATGCCGGCTGCAGAGAGCGCCTTGGGCCAGGCAGCCGGCCGGTGCAAGCTGAGCGCAAGGGGATTGGCAGGCGCGGCGTCGGCCGATGCGCCGGCGCAGTGCCGCTCAAAGACGGCGGCCGCAAAGGCGCGGGCGTCCGGAGACGGCTGGGTGCTGACGTAGGCGTGGCGCCAGGCGGTGGCAAGCGCGGCGGCGACCGGGCGGCCGCGCTCGCACAGCAGCCGTGCCAGTGACGCCCACTGCTTCAGCTCCCGTGCCGACGGCCGCCGCCTGTTCAAACAATGGATACCTCAAGACATCTCCTCTACTAGTTGCTCACATTTATGCTTTCTGTTGTTAGGGTCACAAGCAAGTAAAGAGGAGAAACAGTGCATGCCCTTCTTGACTGTGAGATAATGAAAGCAGCAAAAAGACTTCAGACAAAGGACTTGCCTGTGGCAGCGCGCAGCTTCCTGGGCGACAGCGAGGTGTGCAGCCACCATGGCGCGAGGCAGGGCTGAGCCAGGCACGCCTTGCAGGGCGAGCACAGCCATCAAGTCCTGGCTCTCAGATGTTTCTGAGGCCCCGAGCAGGGGTCCCGAGGCACCTGGCTCCCTGCCCTCATCCGCAGGCGCATCTGCAACGAACACCTCGATGCCCCTGTTGCGCATGGCCCTGGACAGCTCCCCATGCCTGCACAGTGAAGTGATTTTCAGGTTCTGACACCAGAGCCAGCGCCCAAGTCCAGACACCATCAGCATCAATTGTGCAAAAGGGTTTAGACTAATAGTTTCCATGTGGTCATAGAGCCATGCAGCATGCTATCGCGGAGGCAGCTTGCATGAAAGAAAAACAGGAGGTCTCAAAAGGGACGCACTTGGGGTCGAGGGCGAGGATGAGGCGGAAGTTGGGGTGGGGCTGCAGCACGCGGGGCCGGCCATTGGCGGTGCCGGCCTCGTTGAGGAGCAGCGCGCCTGCCGGCTCCAGCAGCGGGTTGAGGCGGTCCAGCACGGTGGCCGAGCACATGTTGGCGTTGTCCAGCAGCACCCAGCGGCCCTCCTCTATCGCCCGCGTCAGCGCCCCATCCACCCACTCAAACCTGGACCCCAGCCAGAAGGGGATTTTACACCAGACATGCATGCAATGGGATTTCTGCAGTTGAAAACTGTGCACAAGTTCTCAGCCGAACACATCACTCACACCAGACGTGCATGCACTGGGCGTCAGCTGCAGGTAAATATGCACTGCTTGGTACCGTCTCATCAGTTCATGTGCATGGGCATCATCAATGTAAGGAATGGCCCCTTCACAGGATATTCCAAGTTCTCTTAAATCAGTGGAGTGTGCGGGTTCATATTGAGGAGCATTCTGTGCATGGCGCTCACCGTCCTGCAACGCCGTCCCCAATGCGCTCGAGCAGCGCCGTGGTGAGATCGGCCACTGCACGGGACGACTTTGAGATCTGGGAGGTGAGTTCTGCAGCCGCCTCTGCTTCCAGTTGTGGTGCAGGGCAGGCCGCCAGTGTATTGGCCAGCTGGGTCAGCACTCGTTGGAGGCCTCCAAGAGCCTGCTGCAGGATCCCTGCACAGCCACAGCCTTCCTTCAGCGCACAGTCTGCATGCATGCATTTTGTATATGCAGAGATAAGCATTCAAGCAGTCCGTCCCCAGACATGAGAACTGAAGCAGTCCACCCCCACCCACCTGTGTCGAGGCTCGGAGCGTCTGACAGAGCACTGACTGCTCCCTTGCATGCCATCCAAGCGTGACTGATGTCCTTAGACAGCCGCAACCGATCAGCGAGGCCGCTGGGGTCGGCAGCATCGGAAGGTCGCCGTCCAGTGCCACACAGCAGCAGCCCCACAGTCCGACTGACCAAGCCTCCCACTTCATCCGCTGCTTCCTGCATTCAGAAATTCTGCATGTCATGCCGTCTCTCCCAAAAACAGAATAGCTATGAAAACCTCAGTCAAGCCTCACAATGCAGATGTGCTATGTCCTGCTGTACAGCCCATGTTAACTTTCTAGTCCTCTGAAACAGATGACAATGGGAAAGCAGCGGTGGAAGGCTCGCCTGCAGCTGGCGGCGTGGCTCCAGCTGCTCAAAGCCGCCCAGCAGGTCGGAGGTGTCGGTGCTGCTGGTCAGTGCAATCTCCACCAGCTCCTGCCCAGCAAGCCCAGCCACCACATGCGCCAAACTAGTCTTGCCTGCACCACGCACAGAGCACCCCTCACAAACTCCTTGACTGCATGGGCAGGGCCCCAATCACCAGCACATTACCATGTGCATACATGTCTGCATGAGGCAAAGGTAGGACGCTCACCCGATCCAGAAGGCCCGACCAGGATGCACATCCAGGACAGCTGCATGCACTGCGCCAGCGACTCAAGAGCAGCTCCCTGTCCTTGCAGCAACTGCAGGTCGTCTTTTGTGCCAGTCCCTGCAGTACATCCAGACCTTCAGCACATCTGGTCTATGACCCCTAGTTCAAACGAACAGTCTTTGAGGGGAAACGAGTATTGGGATTTGCCTCACCTTGTTGGGCACGTTGCAGGGTTGCCCAGCCAATGTTGATGGCCTCGGGGGAGGCTAGGATCGGAGGCCGCCTGAAGGCTGGCAGGGCTGTGCCCCAATGCTCGGCAAAAGCTCGGCTAACAAAAGCCCGGTCTGCTGCAGCGCGCATGCGCTGCAGAAATAGCAGCCTTGCAAAGTGTGCCGCAGCTGCTTCCTCAACGTCATCGCCAACCCTGCCACACAGTACAGAGACAGGGTCAAGGGCAAGACCAGGCTTGACCTCACGGAAGATCAGGTGCACCTGTGGTACACCGGTACATTCATTCCTTTCACGACCTCCAAAAGAACGCTTGCATGTGCAAGAGAACCACCAAAACATGATTCCATGCACATTAACATGATGAGGATTTACTCCCGTGGGTGGCAGCCCTCAGCTCTCATAATCCAGTATCATCTGAGCATGATCCTGCCATCGGCCTTGCACTTGAGTGGGGGGTGGTGTGGGGTGGGCGATTCAGGAGGTGGTCCACGCATCCGGCACACCTCGCGGGCATGCCGGAGTCATGGCCCACCTCCTGATCTGGGGAGAGGTGAAGGTGGAACAAGCAAGGCATACACCAAGGCAAGACTGACGGCCACGCTCTCACTAGTATGATTTGTCATCATCGGGCAGCCACCATCACCAGTTCTCACGATTACCTCATCCCTGCTCACTTCATTTCTTCTAGATATAACAGGGGCTCTGGCAGAGTTCAACTACGAATTGTCTGCAGATGGCCATTCCTCTTGGCACAGAAAGAGCATGACAACAGCACGCTGTTTAGACTCTGCGGTGCAAAACAGTGGTGGGAGTCAGATGGGCACCCAGGCTGTTTGGCGCCAGTGACAGTCTCCACGAGCTGGCACCAGCGCAGCAGGTCGCGCAGGTTGAACTCCCAGGGACCGCCAACGCCCCCGAATGAGCGCGCCTCATTCGCGCCCACATGTAGAGTCTGCAGGAAGGCGATCATGCGCTGCCGCACGCTGGCCGGCACAGCAGGATGCAACGACCCTGCAGAAGGCAACGTTGCAACACCATTAGCAAGAAGGTAACGCTAGTATATGCTCCAGGCACCATAGGAGAGCACCCATAAAAGACGGGACAAGATAACAGCAACACTAAGGTCGACACTGCCTCAAACAACCTGCACCGAGCTTCTGCAGTGAGGTGGCAAGAGTGTGTGAATTGAAGGCCCACCTGCAATGAATTGGAGGTCATGCACGTCCAGCAGCTCCACATGCACGCGCGTGAAGCGGTTGAGGAAGGACTTGGGCAGGCCACGGCGGCCGCCGCCCTCCTGCACCGGGTTCTGCGCCGCAAAGATCCTGAACGTGGGCGGGCACTGGAAGCTGGAACCCAGCTCCGGAATGAACACCTCCGCCCGGTGATCAAGGAGCGCATTCAGGCCCTCCAGGACGCTCTGACCTGCACAAAGGGAGATTAACTATCCGTCAGTGACCCTCACAGCAGCTTGTACAGGGGGATACTAGATACACTAGTTGTATCCCCCTGGCTCATGTAGAAGAATAAATTACTAAAATATCTAGGCTAGGTACTCACAGCATGAGTCTGTATGAGCGCTGCAATAACGACAACTTGCGCTTGCCCAGAACCAAATTTATCTCTGAAAATTTCCAAGTCATGCATGCCAGGCAATTTACCTGCAAGGTTGAGTTCGTCCAGGAGCACCCAGTCACCGGCCTTGAGGGCGGCCAGCAGCGGCCCGTCACACCAAGCAAACTGACCCGGCAGGCCCCCCTCCACCGGCAGGTCCGCGCCGAGCAGGTCCATGATGTCTGTCTGCTCGCTAAGATTGATACGCACATGCCGCCGCCCTGCGCATATAGAGTCCACAAGTCAGAAACAGACATGCTGAGTGCGTCCTTGTATTTCTTAAAAACAAAAATAGCAGGACCAGGTCCCTTCAAATACATGCAAAAATGTCCATAAAAGGCTCTCAAAAGGAGTATAAGCTGAAGCAGGCAAATGGCAGGAGCATGACGGAGACAGGATGCTCGCCTGAAGCGCGGGCCAGGGCGGCGACAAGTGCGGTCTTGCCGACGCCAGGGCTGCCCTCCAGCAGAACGCTGCGCTTGAGCTGCAGCGCGCGCAGCACCCGCAGTGCGTTGCGCGCCGTCGTGGGCGCCCGAAAATCAAAGGCGGCGCCGGATTGCGCGCCGCTGTGGGGTCCTCGCTCTACAAAAAATGGCGGGATGCCCCACGTGCTGCTCGGCGATGCAACGCCGGCAGTCACTCCTGCACAGGCATTTCAAATTGACATTCAGATTCATATTAATAACTGCCTCTTCGAAGCATCAGAGCAGGGCAACAAGAATAGGGAGGATGCAAGCTTGAGAAGGTGCAGGTGTCATGGCACACCTTGTGCTACTGTTGTACAGGGTGCGTTGTCAATGTTCATAGCGTTGGGATCCTCGTCATGTGGCCCCGCGGAATGCTGCGGGTGTGCGTCGGAGGTGTCCAGGACCATGTGGCCCGCAGCCGCCAGCGCGGCCGGGCGCGCAGCTTCCGGCAGCTGCTGCAGCAGCTTCTCTTGGCACATGGCGTGCAGCCTCTGTGCAGTCTGCAGCAGCACAGTGCACACTCAGGTTTTAGTGGCAGCTTCACTCGACATTAATGATGGCAGCACGAGATAGACATGCTTGCAGCAATTGAATAACATGCATAAAGCTGCAGGCCTTCAAAAGAAGCTGCGGGCATGTATTAAAGGCTACTTCGTGGAAATGAGACTCTAGACTCCTGAACTTCTGCCTCAGGCATGACTTCGCAGCATCTGCACCCGTCGCTGGCCCTTGCAATGTGTAAAACACTGCGAGTACACACCTGATCCAAAAGGGCAGGGGCATGCCTTTGAACAATACTTTTCTGTAGATCACGGAGGAAAGAGAGATCCAAAGAAGAAGATGGGATTTGGCACCTGCGTGGGCAGGCCGATGCCGAGGCCGATGCCGTCCAGGAGGACGAGGTGGGCGCCGTGGGCGTAGGCGGCCAGAGCGCCGATGCGCGGCGCGGCCGCGTTCACAAAGCCGGCCCAGGCCAGCAGGTCGCGCACTGACAGCGCGCCGCCCGCCGCGGGGCCGGCTGCGACCCGGAAGAAGCGCCAGAAGTCCAGCAGCCGCCCTGCCACCTCCTGACGCACCTCCTCGTCTGCGTCATGCCATGCCTCAAGCCTCAGCATTTCTGTGCACGCAAAAAAGCACGCTGCAGCATTGCTCAGGGAATGAAGCTGATACAGATCATCTCGGGCCCAGAAGTTGTGAGAACCTGATGTTGTCCTATCTACATTTCAAAGGCCAAACAAGCAAATTGCCTCAAATTTGCAGCTGGTGCAGACATCGCTGCCACAGGCCTTCAATCTACCTCTAACAATGCCCAATTGACAGGCAAACAGATACACACAGGGGGTCAAGGCGGCACCTGCGACGCGGGCATTGAGGATCTGCGCAAGCTCGGCCTCGTCCTCAATAGGGGGCACCCAGACGGTGGTGAAGCGGTTGGCGAGGGCGGGCGACAGCTCGCGCTTGCCGTAGTCGCCGCCCGGGTTCATGGTGGCCACCAGGCGGAAGCCGGCCGCCGCCACCACCTCCTCAGCGCCCGCACCTCCCTTCTCCGCCAGCGTCAACGTGCGCCCAGGCTCCAGCACACTGCAGCAGCCGGCAACGGATGTTCATTGACAGCACAATTTTGAGAAAGAAAGGGAAATCCAGAGTATGATCACAAAGATGCAGTCAGCTACACGTCAGCTACAGGTCCAAGTGGCAGCGGAGACTAGGAACTCAACATCAAGTCCCTGCTTCCTGATCCATCCTTGGGTACAGTGCTCTCACGGAGAACATCAGCAAACTGGAAATACGAAATGCTGGGTCGCTACAGGCCCTCGGATACTGTGACGCGCAAAGGAGATGACTGCTCCGAGACTGTGCAGAGTTACCACATGCAACTCGACATGGTTGGTATTGATGGACGATGACTGCAGTCACCTGTTCATGCGCTCAAGCACTGCGTCCTTTGCCAGGTTCAGCTCATCAATGAGGATGATGTCGCCCTGCCGCATGGCCGTGACTAATGGCCCGTCCACCCATTGGAACGGCGCTCGCGCAGCCACCGCTGCCGACATGGCTTCACTGGCCGCCCTCTGCAGGTCCTCCAGGAGACCTGCACCATAAGAAATGCATCATGCAAATAATCCCTACTATTATACTTCAGCTCACCAACACTGGAATCCTTGAAATACACATGCAGACAACAGGATAGTACTGATGAAGTGCCTCCCAGGGTCCCATAATCCAAGGCGTCCAGATCAGTTGAAGCCATATCACAGTGCAGCAACTCCAATTGCCCCAGGACAGAAGCACCATATGGTGGTTGTGAATCACACACCTTGCATGTCATGTGCAGAGCCATCATTTTGGACGGCTATTAACACAGTGTGGACTGCCTTGGCAGCAGCCTTGGCAGTGTCGAGGAGGTCAGGCGCCTCTAGACCGGTGGGCGCCGCGGGTACGTCCATGTTGAAGCGTGTGACCAAAGGGGAATTTCTGATTGTTTCAATTGCCGATTCCAACCGCATAAACGCGCCGGCACGGTCCCTGGAACACCCAACGATTCGTGAGCATCTCCCATCTTAAATCATGTGGTCAGTTTGATTCATCAACCCCTTACCAGCCCTTGAATTGTATTCGAGGTTGCTGTTTGTAGTAATGATGCTCAACATCAAGTTGGCAGAGGTTAGCGAGAGAAGGTTGCGCTTTCTAAAGCATACTGAAAGCACAGAAGGCTCGCTGCACGCCATGCATGCATGCATGCTCACCTGGCGGGCCGGAATCCACCAAGAAAGTCGGAGACTTCGGTGTGCTGGTTGCAATTCAGGATGTGCAGCCGCTGCCCACGCATGAGCGCGGCCATCTGGCAGACAGTCGTCTTGCCCGTTCCTGTTTCGCCCACCAGCAGCACCGGTTCCGCATTCTCAAGGCACCTGCGCAGCAATACAAATTGTTAAGCTCCTCAAGCTCCAGGCATGAAGCATCCCAAATAATGATCTTTGCATTTACCAGAGGCCATGCATGCCCCAAAAAGAAGCTCGTGCCCTTATTACAAACCTGAACACATTTTTTCCCCACCTAAACTAGGCTAAAAAGTGGCACATGCATGTTCTGAAAAAATAGCAAATGCCTAGGCTTATATTAATATAGCGTTAGAGACACATACCGGTCAACCAGGGTGTACATTCGGCGCATGCTTGCAGTCCACACGATCCCAGACAGGGCCGCCTGCAGCGCGAGCTTGTGCGCATCTGTATTTTGTGCCTCCAGCTGCAGGGCCTGCTGCAGTCGCAGCTGGGGCTCACCCCCCTCTCTCTGGTACAGCTCCTGGGGATCAATCTGCGAAAAAAGCATGCCTCGCTCAGAGGTGTTCTCGAATTGATTTTCCAACACACCAACACTGGACAAACAGGCTCTGATACGCAAAGCCCAAGGAGGCGAGACAATAGCATCTCATGCTCAGGCCTCCTCCTATCAAATATATAACACAGTGACAGTCAAAGAACAGGCCCGCATGCGCACCGGCCAAGGAGGCGACGACACATTGGAAGATAGATCACATGCATTGAAGGGTGGCGGACCTTGACTCTCATGATGTCCTCGATGGCCTTTTGGACGACGTCGCGCTCGGCAGGGTCGCGCAGGCGCTCGGCCAGGAGTAGGCAGCCATTCTCGCCCAGCTCCTGGTATCCCACTGCGCCCCTGCCGGCCCACTTGAACAGGTCCCGGGGCGTGATGAACCCATGCTTGCCCGCAAACACGTTCGTGGCCTGCGTAGTCACGAAATCTGTTCAGGTTTCACTGACTTGTATGCAAAGCAGCACCAGACAAGCACAGGCGAGCGCTAACATGCGGCAGATAAAATTAGAACTCAAGCATTGTTATAATCACACGCTATTCCTGCCAGAGGCAACGGTGTGTCTGCAGACAAGCTGCATGCAAAGGCTGCCACAAATTCTACCCCTTGAGGCACTCGCCAATTCCAAGCGAGATCCAGGGAAAACCAGCTTTTTGAAAAATCAGTCGGCCGCGCAAGAGTGTACCTGGCGGAGGCGCTGCAGCTCGCGCATGACAGCGACAAGCTTGGCGGCGTAGGAGGGCGCGAGGGCGCAGCGCAGCTGCAGGATGTGGGCCAGCTCCGAGTCGGGGATGTCGCCGACGTGCAGTTCCAGGAAACGCGAACGGAACGCGCGCGACAGCGCCTTGCGGCCGCCGTACGCGCCCGCCGGGTTCTGCGTCGCAAACAGCATGAAGTGCGGGTGCGGCCGCACCATCTCCCCCAGCTCCGGCACATACAGCTCCCTGTTGTCGTCCAGCAGCCTGCAGCATCATTCATGAAATGACGTTCAGGACCAGAATTCTTGTTTCAAGGACTGTAAAGTCAGCAGGGTTACATTGCAAATTTTGAGGAGCTCCCGCTGGCAAGCTGGTCAGCCGCAAGGGCACCAACAAATGCATATATGCAAGCAGAGCTCCCAGCAGGGTATACACCAGGGCGAGGCAATCAACCGCACAGCAGATATCTCCCAAAACACCGCTCACTCCCTGTTCCAAGGCAGCGGCATCACATGCATGGTCACCTCCTACACACATTGGCCTGTAAAAGGAAAAGGGCCGGCACCTGTTGAGGGCTTCCAGGACCTCGGAGGGCGCCAGGTTGAGCTCGTCAAGGATGACCCAGTGGCCGGCGCGCACGGCGGTGACGAGGGCGCCCTCGCGGAACACCAGGCGGCCGGCCTCGTCCGCCACATAGCTGCCCAGGTACTCCTGCAGGTCCGTCTGCTCGTGGTTGTTTATGCGCACGCAGCGATGCCCTGTCGCGCGCGCCAGGTGCGTCACCAGGCTCGTCTTGCCGCTCGACGTCGGACCCTGTGAAGAAATTCTTAATCTCAGCCACCGCTGATTTCTTTGATCATAATGGCCCCCTCTGACAGTCAAGACTCACCTTGTGAACTGTATAGGCAATGATAGCCTGCCTAAGTTCGTGCAGCAAGGGCGGAAAGTGTGCTACAACTTTGACATCCACAATGGCAGTCATGCACATCCTCTCCCGCCCTTGGGCATCTCCAATGCGTACAAATTAAACGGTGGAATGGGCAAGATGAAGAAGACAGTGTGAAAAGCCAGCATGGGAAGTTGCAAGAGGCGGCAGAGACGGGTACCTGCAGAAGGACGGGGTAGCGGCGGGTGAGTGCAGCGCGCGACAGGCTGCGCAGGTGGCCCTGCACACTGGGCGTCGCCACAAATTGCACCCGGCCGGCCTCGGCTTCAGCGCTTGGCTCGGGCAGCGGCTGGTCGCCTGCTTCCACCCAGAAGTGGTCAAAGAGCACATGGGAGCCCCCTTGGGGTGGCGCTGGTGCTCGCAGAAGAGCCTGCAGCAACACAAAATGTTCAGCCTCCAGATTATGCCCTGCCTGGGAAGGAAGTCATGATAATGGTTATTATAAGACCCACTGTGGTGCGGAGCATTGCGCTCAAAGGCATTGTCATTGTCTGCATGTGATCTTGCTCTCTTGCCAAAAGGTACAAGGTGCAGTCAACAGCAAACGCATACTCACTTTCAGTTTGGTGCCGGCGCCCAGGATGTGGGTCTGCAGCAGGCCCTCCATGACAGGGGCGGAGGAGGGGGACAGCTGGGTGTGGAAGGCCATGCTGCAGCCATCGTACAGCGCCCGCAGCAGGCCATACACCGGCAGCACCGTACGCGCGTACTCCAGAGCCCGGCACAGTGTGCGCAGGTTGTAGGTCGGCTTGCTGCCAGCGCCGTCCACCAGCTTCCTCTCCTGTGAGCGAAGGGGCACACACCGTGTCAATATCTTGGCATGCCTCCCTGCATTGGGTTGTGTAGAAGAGTGATGACCGCCTGTGAGGTGGCAAAGCTTTCATGCTCACGCCGAGGACCGCAAAACACAGCAGGCATGACAAGCCGAAGAGCTGGCACAAGTCGGTCTTTGAGCCAAGGACAAAGCATGAGCAGTAAACATGATGAGGAATTGGCAAATGTAATTGTGTTGCAGTGAGATGTCTGTTCATTATAGACCGCACATGGCCACTGAGAAGCTGCCAGAGGGTGCTGAATGGACAGGTCTGATGTGGCACCCAAGCGAAACAGCCGCACCCCGTGAAGGTGCAGCGCAGCTGCTTTAGTAGGATGCACATAACATTCGCATAGCCAATCGCTCAAACACAGTTCATCAAGAATGTGGCAAAGCTATGGCATGCGCACCGACTCTAGTTTGGCAGCCAGGTAGAAGTCGACGACTGCATCCAGGGGAGGGTTGGGCACAGTGTCTCGCAGGTACGCTGCAACAAGGCCCCTCAGGTCTTCGCGCGACGAAGGCTCCGCCACAAAAATCTCTGTGAAGCGGTTCCTCAGCGCCGCCGGCAGCTCGCGCTTGCCTGCATCAGAGCTTCCCCGGTCAACCTTGCGGCCCCCTCTTCAATATAAATCCTGGCTGGAACATGGCATGTTGATGTGTAGCTTGCAGGAAAAAATACAGTTCTCTTTCCTCAGATCATGGGCATGCTGAGGGGAACAAGAGCATGGGGGTTGCAGAGCAAGGAGTAGAAATGAAATGGACCTGCGTCGGTGGCGGGGTTCATGGCAGCGAAGAGCCGGAAGTTGGCTTGGCGGGGGACGGCGTCAGTGGTGCCCTTTTCCATGAGGGTGATGCTGGCCCTCTCGTTCTCCAGCAGGCCAGCCAGCCGCTCCAGCGCCTACAGTACAAAAACAGCATTGCACTCTATAGGGGACAAACACAGGACGCGGCATGGGGCGCTGAAATTTGTCTCAAAGTGTGGAAATGTTCTCTGCTGGGTAGGACCGAAAGGGTCACGGCGCCGACGGCACCACTCCCCACGGCGATGGAATCAGCAGATGGCACCATCCCCAGGAGTCCGAAGTCTCGACCGGGGTGCCTCACTTTTGAGCGTTGGAGCTGGGACATGCGCCATATATTCCCCGAAGGGGTGGCGCCCCACTTTTGGATGGCTCATACGGGGTTAATCGTATGGCCAACCCGCCCATATCACTTTTGTCTTTCACCTCTGCCTTTCCTTCAACACTCCGTTTCCTGTTGGCCCAATTTTGAACCAACCTCATATATATACACCCCATTGCATCGATAAAAAAAGTACGGGACCTGAAAATGCCGCCAACATGTAGCCACCCAGGCAGTTTACGGACAGACACACACCATGGTGCAAGCATGCCTGCAATCAGGTATTGTGAGGGCAAACTTCTTACCTCGGAGGGTGCCAGGTTGATCTCATCTAACAGCACCCAGTCGCCGTTGCGTAGCGCCTGCACCAGCGCTCCCTCCTTGAAAGCAAAAGCAAAGCCGCCCTCTGCCACCTTGGCCGCTCGCTCTGCCGCAGACAGCTCTTCCTTGAACTGCGCCCAGTCCTCCCTGCATTTCAAGTCTCAGCGATGTAAGGCACATGCAAGTCTCAGTGATGCAAGCCAGATGCAAGAGCATTTCTGCATCCATACTGCGGCAGCCTGATGCATGAGTCAATTCAAATATCAAGGAAGAGGAGAGTGCCGGCTACACACCTCAGGTTGCTGTCAAACATCTTCTTCTTCTTGCTGGGCCGCTTGCTGCCCTGACCCTCAGCCGCCAGGGAGTCAACTGCTTCCACCTGCAGAGATCATGCTTACGGGTGAGAATGTCACATATGAAAAACAACACAGAATCTCCAGCGGATGTGGCGCAGGTCAGAGCTCAAATTGAGGAGAAGGGGCAGCTCAAGAGAGATCAGCACAGGCACCTTGCCGATGGCAGTGTGAAAAGCCTTGAGCAGCGAGCTCCACTTGCGGCGCTGCGCATACTTGATCGCGCGCCCCAAGAACTCATCGTTGTTGCCACGGTCCCAGGTTCTGCGCACAAGCCCCTGAACCAGAAACCCCCGCACTCAAGCCACTCTTGGCATGCTCTGCACTGATCATCACAAGATTTGTAGGTGGCATTAGATGGGCATCGCGCTCCTGTCCAGAAGTGGCGTATGTCTGAACGGCCCTCATCATGGGGCTGACTTTGGGCAGAAGTAAAGATGTAGCAAAAGGAACATACCTGGAAGCGGTCTAGTAGGGGCAGCAGTGCATGGCGAGGCTCGACAGGCTGGAAGCCACCTAGCAGATCAGCGCTGTCCGTCTGCTGGCTCAGATTCAGCACCACCAGATTGGTACCCACCTGCCACAGCACAAAGCAATACTGTGACGCTGCTGCCACATGTGGCATTGTCGTGACAACACATTTCCATAGAGGTGGCAAAGTGGCTTTCTGCAGATGTGGCCTTCATCAATACCAGAATATTTAGCTTGCCCTTCCTGTTGCGAATGAGGCCGAGGGAACGAGATGCATCAGACATGAAGGCACATACAGAATGGGTTGGAGTATAAACACTTGGTGCTTTCATGCGTCCAGAATCACCAGCAAACGGCTCAGAGAATTGTAGTCTATTGATATGTTCATCATGATCAGAACAATATGATCATCATCGCCATTGCTTGGGTGATATATGCATGGGTACTGCACGGGACAGGTGATGCCAAAGGCCAGGCATCAAGCAGCACACCTGTTCAGCTATCTGCTGCACCAGGGTGGTCTTCCCAGTGCCGGTCTCTCCCACCAGCAGCACAGGCTCCTGCTGAGCAGTCGCCACCGCCACAGCCTCCATTGCCCTCATTGCCTGGCCGGTTCGCGCAAAGCTGGACTTGCGAACCTGTGCCAGCACGACCCCATTTGTAAGGTGCATGTCTTGCTTGCAGAGCAACTCCCTTGAGGTAGGTATTCCAACAAAAGAGTGATGAATCCTAAGAACATTCAAGCTCTGGGCGTATGCATCTTGAGATGCCTGAGACATGCAGATTCAAGTGCACACCTTCTTGCTGGTGCTCTGATCGGCCTGCATTGAGACCTTGGGCAGCACAGCGCGGCCCACAACCACATCTGCGCCGCTGTCCTGGATCATGGGCTTCTTCAGCACTAGGTACTGCTCCAGAACATTCTCTGGTAACGCCCACACCGCCAACATGGCAGTCAACACCCTCCTCCGAGCCTGCGCAGCAAATACAACAACCACTTCAAAGTCCGTCACACTACTGCATGACGATTCCAAGGGATCGGATCTCTTACTGGATTTTGCATCAAGATAGCCAAACCATACTGGGCGCACCTCTGGCTTGGCAATCATTGCAGTATAGCAGTCGGCTGACTCTAAAAATGCAGCCTCCCGCATTGCCACGGGCAGCAGAGACACGTCGGAGTGGACGTCCGGATTGTCATGGGTCCTTACGGACCTCTGGAGAAGGGGCGCATGCACAGACTGCGCAGCACAAGAACTGCCTCTGTAGCCAAAATCGTGACTGCAAGTTGCTAACATTGAAAAATTGGGGATGGAAGACAGAACACAGCATGAGGTGACTCTTGGAAGCTGTGCATCTGCTGGATTGAGCAGATATATACCTGCATACGGCGACACCATTTGAGCACGTCCCTCATGGAGAAATGGCGCCCCACATGGAGAGCTGCATCCCCAGCATGCAACCCTGCACTCTCCAACGCCGCTCCTGCTAAGCTGTCCCACCCATTTGCTTCCTGCAAGACAATGACCTCACATCATGCCGATGTCACAGCCAACATGGCTACATGATCAACCATGAGAGCACGAAGGGACATGAGCAAAAACTATTTATGGCGCTTGTATGTACTGTATGGATATGGGCTGACCTCAGCTGCAGACCACTCAGTGCTGTTGTCTGCTGTGGCCTGCCCAGCCGCAAGCCGAATCAGGCTGAGTGTCGCAAGAGCAGGGGGCAGCAGAGGCGCCAGGAGGGGATGTGTCTGGGATAGGATGGCCAGCTGTTCCTGCCCAGTAGGAGTCTGGACTGTCACAGAGGCCAACAGGCTTCCCAACAGGTCTCGAACGCCCTGCGAGCTGCCATAGGCTCCCCCTGAGCCCCCACCTGGCCAACAATAAATCACCAGTCAAGACCGGAACAATGACCCTTGTTCACAACAGCGCAATTTTCCACGCAGATGCAGTCAAAGCAAACACCTCCATGGGTACTTCATGCAAGCCATGAGGCAGGTAATTGAGTGCACACGGTCAATGGTTTGAAATTCCAGCAAGACATTAAATATATAAGCTATCAAAAACAATGAAAGCCACACCTGGGGATGAGGTTATGGTGGCCAGCAGCTGAAAACCGTCGGCAGCTGACAAGGACTGGGCACGCTGTGGCAGCTGCAGCTCGCGCCTCTCCAGCAAGGGGATAAGGGCAGCCAGCACATCCATTGGAGCCAGGTTGATGTCCTCTATGACCAGCCACTTGCCCTCCAACACAGCCTGCCCAAAGAGAATTTCAACTCAGCAACATCCAGAACATTTCAGAGAAGAGCAGGACATTGCACGCACTAAGACAGCACTCTACATATCTCGACAGAAAGTCTCAGGAGCAGAAAGTCTTAGCAGAAGATAGTGGTACCTGGGTGAGCGGGCCGGGCTGCCAGACAAATTCGCCGGGCACAGCGGTGCACACATAGGCGCCCAGCAGGCTCTTGGCATCCATCTGGTCATCCACATGCACGTGGATGAAGTCGCTGTTGCCAGTGGCAGCCGCCAGCTCCTCCACCACAGCAGACTTGCCGGACCCTGTCAATGCACCATCATAAGTCCTAGGCCTCCTTCAACATCCAGATATGCTTGAGGAATGAGATGGTATGGACTCACCAGGTGGGCCCTCCAAGAGGAGAGCGCGCTGCTGACAAAGCACCAGTGCAGCAGCCTCCAGGTTGCGGGCCACCGTCTCCGTCTTGACAAAAGGGGTTCTGCTGTGCGCTGCTGTGGCAAGCCCAGGAGCGCTTCGGCAGGGCAGCTCAACGCCACACAGTGATACAAAGCCGCTTGCTGGCAGCGCAGGCTCAGCCATGCCTGACAAAGGCACAACCGAGCTGCTGCCTGGCCCTCGGGAAGTCTCAGAGCCGGCCGCGCTGCTGAAATGGGCAGGTGGCTGCATCCAGAGGCATGCATCCTCAACAGTGTAGCGCAGACGGTCTTGCTGCCACCGCAGCGCGCTCGCCAGAGCTTCCTCGCTGGACAGTACCTGAGCCCTGAGACTCTCCTTTCCAGCATCGCTCTGCACCCACACACACCTTCTCTACACCCCTTCCATGCATATTGACCTTCACCAACAGGACAAAAACATATTGACAGGCAACATATTAAGTGCAATACCAGTAAGGAATAAAGGGGCCCTCACCATGTTTGTGAGGATAGCCATACACTCCACGCCCGCCCACCTCACATCAGCATCTATATGAAGCAGGAGGGCCTGGATGGGGGCCAAAGACCACTTGTCGCGCAGGCCTGGGGACATCTGGAGCATGCGCATGGCAGCTCTGGCCATGTGCACCTGTGATGCAAAACAACAGTGATTCACTACTCAAGAACAAGCATAAAAAATCTCTCACAAAAAACCCAGTCATGCGGCTAATTGCTGGATGGAGAAGCTCTATTACCTGCGTGATGGGCTCTGCAGGACTCCCAATGTTCAGCAGGGACGTTGGCCCTGCCAGCAGTTGATGGAATGGCGGCTCAGCAGCTTCCATGTACCGCACGACGACCCTGTTTGCAAAGCACACCATCAGGAGCACTTGGATGGGGCTGCCTGCATTCCAGACAGCACATTGCTATGGTTGTGGGAATGTTCCCTGCTGGGTAGGACCGAAAGGGTCACGGCGCCGACGGCACCACTCCCCACGGCGATGGAATCAGCAGATGGCACCCCAGGAGTCAAGACTCGACTGGGGTGCCTCATTCTCAGGCGTTTACGCTGGGCCTCACGCCATATTATGTCCCCCGAAGGGGTGGCGCCCCAATGTTGCGCTGGATGACTCATACGGGGTTAATCGTATGGTCATCCCGCCTAAATATTTCTGAATAACAACAAAAATTGGGCCTTCAAAGTTCTGTATTACTTTCATCATGCCTCATGTACAGAATATCAGCAGACAGATCCGCTCACCTCTCCAACTGTGGAGCCAGGTCCAAAAGGCTGATGAGGGCCACAGATACGGCTGCATGCGAGGGGCCCGAGCGTGTGGCACCGCTGAGACGGGCATCCACGAAAGCGCTGACCAGGGAAAGTAGCACGGGGCGGAAACAGCTGCCAATGCCCAGGGTGAGGCTTGGGCGAATGAGGAGCCCTTGAAGGGCGTCCAGTATGTGCCTAATGCTAGGTGGATCCTGCACCGTCAAACCAAAAGTCACGCACTGATACTAAGATCAATAAGAACCTATAGGTTTGTGGTTTTCATGGGGAAAAGGAAAAGATCGTTTCAGTGGGATCTGCTTTCAAGGTGTGATTTGGCTAGGAAGTAATGGGGGTCTAAGCCACAGATCAGTGCGATGCTGGCAGCGCTAATTATTTTTTACAATTATCCAAATCGTAATTTGCGCCGTACAACACCCGCAGAAAGAAGGTGATGCACCTGTGCCTGCAGCAATGCGCCCAACTGCGGCTCGTCCTCCAAAGATGGGAACCGCCCCAACAATGCACGCAATGCGCCAGACCACTGAAAGTCAAATTGTTGAGCCATTCCTAATAATGAAAAGCTTTCAGCTAAAATTGCAGAAAACAGAAAGCGGCTGCTGAGTGTATATTAATACGTTCCGTTTTTTGAGCTGTTCAAAGTGCATCATGACACCCAATTGCAGCTTGGAGGCTACAGATCATGTTGATTGGTTTTTTTAATGTAGAAGTGGCGGCTGGCATCGTTGTGACGGCAAACAAAAGTTTCGGAACAGGAGAGGGCAGCCTGATTAGGCAAAGCATGCTGGAGATCTCATGCAAGGCAGGCAAGGCATTCGAGGGCAGGCCTGTTGCTACTGGCGACCAGTAAAAGAGGAAGTCATCAGAACGTGGAAATTATTGAAAGCAGGACACCTAAAATTGCGTCCTCGTAAGCAGTCCAAGGTCTTCAGTATTCCAATGTTACTTGGCAGATAGTGGGCACGAGACAAATAATCCCAGAACTCTCACGTGTTGCAACGATGAGATGGAGCTTGTGACTCCGCCTCAGCGTCGGTAGTGTTCATGGTGCATCCTCTGAGGTGCCTCAGGGCACCTTTCAATTTTAGGCAACTGACTTGCAATGCCAGGTGCGTCCTCTAAGATTCAAGTGCTAAAATTAACGTCTGATCGCTGATTATGTTCCTGGACCACTGTGAGCTTAAGTTCACAAGAAATGGATCTGGTGATCCACATCACCTACATATGTGCAACTGATTTGCAACAGATCACAACGTTGATAAAAAGCTTACGAAATACCCTAACAATTGCTGCTCATTCAATTGCAGGTCGGTTGCCACTGAATCAGCCAGCGCAGAGCCAGAATTGCTTGGAAGGAGATCGCCAGAACTCGTGAGCCAGAGCTGTCCTCAGTGCCTCCTTGTAGATCGCTTTGAAGAAAAGTGCAACTGCAGGAATTTGACAGTATATTCAAGCCATGTTTTGTGCTTGCAGCTGCGAGATTATCTGCAGAAGTCGCTGTATGATCCTCACGAGGGGTACTTTACTTCATCCAAAGGGGTCCTGCCAGTAGGATCGATTGGGCAGCCTCTGCAGTTCAGCAAGCTGCTAGGGCAAGCAGACTATCTGGCTGCTGTCAAGCAACGCTACAATGAATTACAGGTTGGTGTCCATCTTCATCAATCAATTTTTGTGATCGCAATCATTTGAGCTGCCCGATATTAGAAGGTGGGTCCAGCACAAGGGTGTCCTGTGCAGGCATCATGGCTCACGCCCAGCGAGATCTTCACACCATACTATGGTCAAAGCATAGCGAACTTCATTCTAGACAAGCATAGCCAGATGGCAAAGCCTGACACTCCGCTGCGTATCTTTGAGATAGGTGGGACTCCAGTATGCCATATTGCCCCCTCAGATGGCTTACTTAAAGATGAGATGTTGCATTGCCCTTCTCCATGTCGACTGGTTTCCAAGGTTCATGCATGCAGGTGGGGGAACTGGGACATTGGCAAGGGATATCCTGGACCATCTGAGATGCTCTGTTCCAGAGGTCTACAGAGATGTACAGTATTGCAGTGTGGAGATAAGCCCCCATTTGGCACAGCTGCAGAACAGAACTGTTGCAGACGCTGCAGGGCACAGCAGCCATTATCAGGTGAACCATCCTCGCATTTAGCGGCTGGATCATGGGCATGAAATTTTCTGCCACCCCCCATCATGCATGGCAAACGTCCAGGCTGCATGTGAGACATTCTGTGAGTGAGCAGGTTGAGTGCAGGGATGCTACTGACCTGCTTGGCTGGGACAGCAGCCAGAGTGAGGAGCCTTGCTTCTTGCTGCTCATGGAAGTGCTGGACAACTGTCCACATGACCGAGTGCACAGGGAGAGCACATCAAATCCTTGGCTGCAGACAGCAGTGATTCAAAAGCAAGTGAGCGCGCATGCCACACTTGTTTGTGCAGCAGTCTGGTGGCATATTCTCTGTCCTTTGTAAAAACTAGAGGACGGATCTCAACTCTTCCATGCCATCATGCAGGATCCAATGGCGGAGCGATTTAAAGCAGAGGAGTTGCTGGAGCCCTTGACAGATGACTTGATACAGCAATGCCTAGCAGTGGGTCCCTGGGAACACAATGGCAAGCCTGTTTGGCATCGTCTGCTGGATTGGGCTGTGGGCGAAGGTGAGAACTCGTGTCATGTGATTCTCATGTCATGCGTCAACAATGATGGCCTTTGACCTCACTTGCTTCCTCTTGCCTGTCTGCGGTGCTACAAGGACTCTATGATGCTGCAGGGTTCGATAATGTTGAGAACACAATTTTCCTCCCGACAAAATGCATGATGTTGCTCGACACGCTCGTGAAGGCTTGCCCATTCCATTGCATCCTTGCTGCAGATTTTGATCAGCTTCCTGAGACAAGAATACCAGGGAAAAATGCTCCTCTGGCAGCAACAACAGTAAGCCCTGTCCCTTCTGCATTCGAGTAGTCGGACAAATTATGTGCAGACACAGATATGTTGAAAAAGGGTGATGCTGACAACTGAGTTAAAATTGCATTCTTCCGCAAGGTTGGTGGGCAGACAATCGATCACAGCACATATTTGATGGAACCCGGGAGTGCAGACATATTCTTCCCAACCGACTTCTACATGCTAGAGCGCATGTATGGAGTGCTGGCAAAACAGGGCTTGGCTTCAGCTGGAGGTGCATGCCTTTGTGATTTCTTCGCATGCCTTGCAGAATCAGCTTGTGAGAATTGTTGCTGAGTGCCTGTTTTGTTTTTTTGTCTGGCAAATGATGCCTGATGGTTTCTGGTGCAGGCATCTCGACGGCGGTGATGAAAAGTGAAGCATTCATGAAGCGCTATGCAAGCATTGCGGACACCACCACAAGCAATGGATACAACCCACTGCTGCAAGATTACTCAAACACTTCGTTCTTTGTAGGCCAGCTAAGTTAAGAAGCGCCTGCCGTGAAGCCTCGCAGTCAAATAATGGCATACCCTTTTTTTGACAAGGTAAAGCATTGGATCAGATATTTCATATCATATCGACATTCATATTGATCAAGATGTGAGGTCGTTCAAAGAAATTCACTGTATATATGCTTCTGCAAATGGGAAGTGTGGCCTTTTCTTTTGTGCCTTTTGTTTTGCATGGACCTGCAGGATTGTGTACGTCAATGAAAGCCCATCTCAATTCTAACATTGGTCAGGCACGCGATAGCATGCATCTCCAGCCCAAGAATGGTTGGCGTGCTTCATTGGTACTGCAGCTGCAGATTGTTTCATTGTTACTGAGCCTTGTAAAGCAGCATGCTGCCAAAACAAACCTATTGAATATCTGTTTCACAGTTGACAGCAGACATCCCGGAGACTAGCAAACAATTCACACCCTAGCGGCAGGTGTCATGTGCATATCCAGCTGTCAGGTGGATCAGGTGATTGGAACAGACGCATGCTGTCTGCATGCGCGATATGGAACAGACAAGCTACACGTAGGGCTGGGCCTGACTGCTGCAAGGACATATTCGCGGCCCTCAGCACGCTCTCAGACGTACCCCACTTATCGCCCTCTGCAGATTCAAGACACACAGCAAGCATTAGATCAGACTAGGGTCAGCATGGGTTTTACAGCTAAGCAGGCCTCCCAGTAGGATACGGGCATCAGGTTCAGGGGCGCACGTCGTTTGCATGAGTGTGATGTTGTCGCCCTTCAGAAGTATTCTGCCTGTGAAATCATTGAACATGTACGTTAGCACCCAGCCCAGTTGTACTTTCTCTGCATACAACAAAGCTGCAGCAAACCCTCCAGGCATACCTAGTGCTTTTCTTGTTTTCCTCTTCATGGAGACCTCCTCCGCTTCGTCCAGCACTAGGTTCATGTACTCATCGAACCCCTGCAAGAACACAAGCACTTGTTATCTCTGGCTGATCACTGGCACAGGTACAGCAAAGATCTTGGGTGACATGATAGGGCAGTGATTTGAGGTTTTGTCTGAAAGACTTACAATGATACGTCCTTCGATGCGAAGGTCTGTCTGCTCGTAGAGCCAGATCTGCACCTTCTGCCGACTTTGCAAGAAGCGAAATATAAGATTCTGCATGGAACACACCAGGATTTTAGCCCACGCACAGGACGTGCCCTGATAGAAGTGAGCACAAATTTTGAAATCTGAGATCATACAAGGAGGACGTACGATGGGCTGGGTCATAATTCTCTTGACTTTGGTGGCCATCTTGAGATCTTTCTGCAGGGACAGAGGGGATTCCTCAGGCTACAGGCTAATCCTTTTGAGCAAGAAGACACAGATATGAAATCGTGTATATATGCTGATGAAACTTATCAGCTTTGAGTTTAGCTGAGAATGTTCTGACTGCATGTCTCGGAGCCAGCGGGTCGGCGGCGTTCTGCAGTGAGCTCCGAGCTGTCACAGCTTCTATCACTTTCATTGTTGTCCCTCGCGCCAATCTCATCAAATCTCTGAAGCAGAGGAACTCTGAGGAACTTAAAGAGAGAATGCTGTTTGGAAACGGACATGCTAGCACGTTGTTGAACTCAATTAATTCTCCAACCATGCATGGAGCCTACTTCAAGAGGGCGTGCACTTGTTTGATTCCTCTTCGCACATTTTTGCAGATTGAATCCAGGCCCCATCACGGCGTTTTTTGCCTGGATGAGGGTGGTAAGCTAGTTGGAGGATGTCAGACCACAGCCACCCTCCACCATCGGCGGTCCTTGACCACCACTTTTGCTGCCCAGACAAGTCCATCTAATGTTTTGAGCGCCCATGGAGACTACGATGCCGATCAGATTCAGGTGCGTGCCATTTTGGCGAAGACCAGCCTTCTTGGTGCCTGCTTTCTTGTCACTGCAGAGCTGCACAGTCTGGCAATCTGCACGTCTCTGGCACCTGCAGCCAAAGCCCAGCCAAACATTGGTTACTGTACACAATTGAACGACCTTCAGGTGCTGGAAGGCTTGGATCCTGTCAGGAAGCGGCCTGGCATGTACATCGGAAGCACGGGTCAGCGGGGCCTTCATCATCTGGTACAGGACTTCAATCACATTGTTTGAAATTTATTGCTCAATGGATGTGTGAACCACAACCCCTCATTATCAAGTTCAGCCATTCACAATTGTATCCCACCGGCCTGACCCCTCCGCTTGCAGGTGTATGAAATCCTGGACAACGCCATCGATGAAGTTCAGAGCGGCTATGCGCACACTGTCAAGGTACGAGCACAATGCAAGTGTGTCAATCACCCCAAAGCCCAGCCTAGTCATGTGGTAGCTGGATCCTGACCTGCACATTCTTTGGACAGGTGGAGATGGATTTGACCAGCGGGTGGGTCACCATATCGGATGACGGGCGGGGGATCCCCACCAACACACACCCACAGACAGGCCGCTCCGCTCTGGAGACTGTGCTGACGGTGCTGCATGCTGGCGGAAAGTTTGGAGGGCAGGGGAGCGGGTACAGTGTCTCTGGGGGGCTGCATGGCGTGGGGATTTCAGTGGTCAACGCGCTCTCAGAACAACTCCATGTCACTGTCTGGTAAGATGCCAACCTGGCCCTGACTCTTGCAGGCCTTGCTAGCTTGTTCTTCTGTAACTTGTTCGGAATGCAGCATTCTAGGATGTGAATTTCAGCGTTATCGTGCAGGCGGCAAGGCAAGGAGTTCCAGCAGAGCTACAGGCAGGGCCGGCCCATGACAGAGCTGCTGGAGGCTCAGCTGCCAAAGAAGGACTCCAAAAAGTCTGGAACACAAGTGAAGTTCCTGTACGATAAGGATGTCTTTGCCAAAGGGTGCGGCTCTTCTTGCATTCCAGATGCTCTCTTGTATATACTCCTTCTGTCTTCTTCATGACTTTTGTTTATTTTTGTCAACTTTGATCTTGAGATTGAATGTTGGCTGTGGAGCAGGGTGACAATGGACCCAAAGACCATCCGCACTCGTCTGCAGGAGCTGGCTTTCCTAAACAGCAATGCCACAATCTGGTTCAGGACAATCGAGTCAGGCAGCGCACCGAGCAACGGCAATGGTGCAAGCCCTCCCCCAGAGCCTGAGTGGGAGAAGCTTCACTTTGATGGCGGCCTCTGCGAGTATGTGAAGTATCTCAACCGGGACTCGCAGCCCATGCACGAGCCCATTTTTGTGACGGAAAAGGTGCGAGCGTGGCACTGTCACTGCTCCCTGGCTCCTTTTACAACTTTCATTGTCCCATGCTGACATGTGAAGGTGACTAAGGGTGCCAAATGCTGGGCAGGTGGACGGCGTCGTTGTGGAAGTTGCTCTGCAATGGTGCAGCGATACGTTCTCAGATCTGCTCATCGGCTTTGTCAACAGCGTCAAAACAATAGACGGCGGCACGCACATCGATGGATTGAAGGTGTGCAGCATCCTGTACTCTCATGCTGGAGCTGCCACCACTGTACAACCTTGGGCGCTCGTTTGTTCGGTGGCAGGAACACGTGTGGCCAAGTTAGGCACATGCATGGAATTATCATTTATTGCCTGCCGCATGTGTTCCTTAATGCAGGCGGCTTTGACCCGGACGCTGAACACATTAGGGAGAAAGACAAAGGCCCTGAAGGAGAATGAGGCCAACCTCGCTGGGGATCACATCCGCGAGGGGCTGAGCTGCGTCATTTCTGTGAAGGTGCAACATCATCACTGCTTCACACTGGCTTCCTATGCACTGCATGAACAATGTATGTTATTCCTGCCTCATGGATGTTCAGGAATTGCATCGAGGCATGACATGCATGTCATGCCCATGCAGGTGCCAGAGCCTGAGTTTGAGGGGCAGACGAAGACCCGACTAGGCAACCCAGAAGTCCGCAAGATAGTCGATGCCTGCGTGGCAAAGGTTGGTAACCTCTCATGCGCTCTCTTGTTGCTTCATGTTTGCTTACTGTCTGCACATTATCTGGCAGAGTCTGCTCATGCCAGATGCCTCTGTTGTGCGCACCATGTATCACTCATGTCTTGTGCCTCTGCAGCACCTAGGATGCTTGGGTTCATGTCAACATGCCCCTGGAATGCCAAGCATGCTCTTTGGATGCAGGGGATCATGGAGAGCCTAGAAATGGACACAGCGACGCTGGGGCTTGTTCTGGGAAAGGCTGTGGCGGCCTGGCGCGCGGCGGAGGCGGCCAAAAAGGCGCGGGAGCTGGTGCGGAGAAAGAGTCTTCTGACCAAATCTACGCTGCCTGGGAAGCTTTCGGACTGCACATCCACGGACAAAGCCCTCTCGGAGATTTTCGTGGTCGAGGGGGACTCAGCAGGTCAGTGCTGCACCCCTTTCCTCAGCATTCCGGTGACATGCATGCCTTTCAGATGTCATGCATGCTCGGCAGTTGGGCCGTGCCATGATGTATCTACAGCAGACATGGCCACATCTCTGTTGAATGCAAGATGGCACAGCCACTTGTGCACTGATATAACCACATGCCTCCCGAATGCAACCTGTCCACTGGCCAATGGCAATCTGTCCTCTGAATGGGGCACAGCTCTGTAGAATGTCTGCTGAATTTTATGAAATGGCTGCATGTTGGCTGCCCTGGTCACATGTTGCAGACATGTCGCCATGTGGCCAGTACACGTTAATTTTGCAGGCATGTGGTCATGCTCTGATGTATGCTATGCTGCTCTTGTTGCCCCATGGCATGTTCATAGACATGCTTGATGGTGTTCATTAGGTACATCAGGCAGGTGCAGCCTGCTAGGACTTGATCATCTTGATGCAGACAGGAGGGCATCACTGAAGGCATATGGGAAATGGCATGCAGGGGGAAGCGCCAAGCAGGCTAGGGACAGGCGCTTCCAAGCCGTGCTGCCGCTGCGCGGCAAGATCTTGAATGTCGAGAGGAAGGATGATGCGGCCCTCTACAAGAACAATGAGATCTCGAATCTCATTGTGGCCCTTGGACTGGGCTTGAAGGGCGAGGAAATGCCAAATTTGCGCTACGGCAAGGTGCGCATCTCCAGGATCACCTGTTGACATCAGTCTCAGAAGCCCCTCATTGTGTCTGTCATGACACGTGCATCATCTGTCATCAAGCAATCCTCATCATGGATCACCTCATCATTGTCATCGAGTGCTCATATTCTGTGGCATCATGTGATTCCAGCATGCAACATTCTGCTGATGGCTGCCATGCAGGTCATTCTACTGACAGATGCTGATGTGGATGGCGCACACATCCGGACGCTCTTGCTGACCTTTCTGTTCAGATACGCCCGCGATCTGTTTGATAGAGGTCACATCTATGTCGGCGTACCCCCCCTTTACAAATTGGAGGTGGGACGCTCTAGCGTGTACCTCTACAGCGAAGGAGAGCTATCTGCGCGCACGCAGGGACTGGCCTCAGGCAGCTACACTGTACAACGTTTCAAGGTGCGCTGTGCTTCCATCTGAGCTGCTGCTGTCACATGAGCGCACATGCACGGCTTCTGATGCTCAACTGGTGCAGGCCTGGCTTGACGAACATGGCGGAGTGATTTCAGATGTCTAATGCTTCTCGCCATTCTGTCGGCGCATGTGAGCTTGAAAGCAGCCTGTTGTGAAATGCAGGGTCTTGGGGAGATGATGCCTGACCAACTGTGGCACACAACCCTCAATCCAGCCACGCGCATGCTGAAGCGGCTGACTGTGAACGACGCAGCTGAGGCGAGCCACCTGTTCGCTTTACTCATGGGGGATAAAGTGGAGCCGAGGCGTGCCCTCATACAGGCGCACGGAGCAAGTCTTGCATTAGAAGACCTCGACATTTAATTGTGCGCTTGTTGACAGACAGATGTTGCATTCCTGTGCAATATCTGGGATGCGGGAGGTTCTCAGTGGTGCTGCAGAATGTGCAGGGCCAAATAGCATGTATGCGTGCTGCTTGACACCAGCTTGAAACTTGTGTAATAATTCCAATGTGCAATCTGGCTTTTCATGGCTACTTTCCGAGTTCATCCAAATGCTTGTGCATTTTATAGACAAGATTGAACTATACTTATAGAAGAATCACTGGACCAGTCAGTACTGCCAATCGGACCCAGAACATGACTCCCTTCCCAATCCAAGTCCAATCCAACAAGCCCCCATGCTTTGAATCCCAGACTCTTCAAGCACTCCTCAGTCAGGTAATAATAGCCTGGCTCCTTCGTCCTCCGCTGATACTTTTCTCCCGTCTACAGGGGCCTGCAAGACAGCAGAAGCTTCAACAAAATAGCAAGTTGACTCTTGAACTGAAGGAATCCTCCTATGACACTGCATTACCCCATGCAAGCCATCTGAATTCCTAGGAGGCCACTCTCAAGGCCTCTCTTAGCCCAGAGCCCATGTCTGAGTCTTTGATCTCTATGATTCTGTGCAGGCTGGATAGTTCCCGTCCCCGGACGTGTCGTGCAACTATGCAAAACACAGGCCAAAAAGCAGTATTGATCACAACATGGCACACAAACACGTCCAATCACTGAGCAGGCAATATGGAGGTCCTGTGAGACACAAGGTCCAATAGAAAACTGTCGACAAGGCGGTGGAATGCAGACAACCGGGCAGGGACAGCAGACATGAAGTCGTCCCTCAGAAAAGTGGCGGCCCTCTCGAAGGATGGCAAGCCAAGGAAAGCATCGAACAGTCGCTCTCCAACTGACAATTGCTCTCCAATTAGTTCCTGCAAAGAGTCAAACATGGCACACCGGAGCACTGCATAAGCCGGGCAGACAAACAAGGCATACCATCAGCAACATGATTACAATGAGCGCAATAGGACCCTTGGACAGCACGGTCACAATTCACTTCATCGACATGTTGAACACAGGAGCTTCTTTCTTCTTGCACAGAGTGAATACTTGCAGTCAGAGAGCACTATGTAATTACTGATGGCCATCCGATGTGTCATGAATCCTTGCAGAGCACAAGCCTTGTACCGCAGCAATTGACAGACATGGATCAATCTGTAGGGCTACTGATGTTTACACATGGAAACCACAGTTCTTTATTGTGCCCATGATGTTTGGACACCTGACCTTTGATGAAAATCCGTGGGAAATGTTTGCAATCTGATTGGATGGCAAGGAGCTGAAGCAGCCTTGGTCTCTCACCGGTGTCATCTCTTGGTGAATACTAGCGCGATGCAAGAGCAACACAACTTCACTAAAAGCATGGATTATTGCTGCGAAGAACTCTGTGCCAGGGCGTCGTCAAGACAGCCACAAGAATAAGGAAAGCCGCCTGATATTGCCGCCTCATCTCCTTGTAACGGTACTTTGTATGGTACACCTGCAAGGCGCAAAGCCACGGTTTGCTGACGGGTCAAAATCCGAGAGCAGCCTGAAGCAGTGCACCAGAACTGACCAGAAGCAAGCTGTTCAAATAAGAACCTAGGCAGGCACGTACTGTGTCAATAGCGCCAATGGCAATGCAGGCAAGGATCTGCCCAGTGATCCACAGTGGCTTGCTGGGACCCCCCATCTGGCTGAACACATCTGCACCCACTGCCAGAAGAACTGCGCCAAAGGTGGCCATAGCATAGCCAGTACACGCCACCGCTTCCCAGCTGGCAACAAGAAAGCGGCGTTGGCACTGCTGTACCGCGGCCACTCCAGCAACTGGGGAGCACAAGCAAGTATTGATCATGCACCGCCGTGCTGACCATTGACACTATCGGTGACCAGTCTGATACGGGCTTCAACAAATTTGACAAGGTGAGCTTTCAGATATCGACTGAGCAGGGGACTGACAGAAACGGACACATGTTGCTCACACTGTTCAGCTTCCGTAAAATTCATGTAAGGACCGCACCAACAGACACTCCGGAAATGAGGAGGCAGAGCATCAGGTTGGTGGCTGGTATCACGACCTCCGCAGCCCCCAGCAAGCGCTTCACTTTCATCAGATTGCACGTGATAATGCTCCAAAAGCCTTCTTGGGCCTGCTCCACAACAATCACAGCCATGCAAGAGGTAGCCATTGAGACCTGCTTTCAAATGCATGGACTTGATTGACTTCCATCGTGTGTGACAACCATGGTGTAGAAGGTGGGCAGGTGTGGTCTTGACAGGGCAGGATGATGCTTCAAGGTTTGCTGCACCATAATTTGCTACTGCAGGTTGCCAATGTGACTGCAAGCACCTCACAGGAATCGAGCTGTAGATCAAGAGATCCAATGGCTCCTGCGCAGTGTTGCGATCCCAGCAATTTAATGGCTCCTCTTCAGTCCTTATATGGCCTGTGATCTGCTCAGTTTCTACAAGCATGTGTCAGCCAGCTGGAAGGCAGCCAACCTGCAAGGTACCCAATAAGCAGCCAGCATGATGCAGTGCCAAAAAATGCAGTATTTGACTTCTTGTCTATGTACTGCCTCCTTGCCTCATCCAATTTCTGCACGGCGACAGTATTTTTCAGTCAATCACCCCGGTGCCGTGGCTGTTCGCTTTATGTCACAGAGCTCAGCAGCAGCGCATTGATGCATCTTACCTGCTTTTCAACAATATATTTTCTTGAATGCATTTTCCTGGCAACACTTTCCTGGCTAGAGTGCAACTCTCGAAATGAGGCTGATGCTCAACAATTGTCCAGGCGTTTTTTGCTGGCAGAATGTCTTACTCGGGCTACCCAAATCTTTCGAGTCCCTTGTGACAAAAAATCGATTCTATCAGCTCGTACTGCGCTGTGGTATCCGACGAAGTGCTCACCCGTGAGTAACTTGCCAATTTAGGTCTTGAGACACCGACACTCAAGTCAGGCCATCATTGCAATCTGGGACTCCTAGTGGGACTGCGAAATGAATATCTATCCTTTATAAGAAGCGGCCATAAAAATTGCCAGTCGCAAAGTGACATTCTTCTTGTTAACACAAATCGACATAGATCTGTTTCCTTCGCCGCCAGCCTCCTTCGTCGATGTCGTTCGTGAGTGAGCTGCACCTGCTGGGGTTCAGTCCTCTGTGATAGAGAACTCCAAAGTCACCATCAAACCCTCAACGAAGACAAGCTACCATTTGTCGTGGAAGATTTTGGAGAGGCAACCGATACACTGTACTTTGAAATCACAGAAATAGAAAGGCTGTGCCACAGTGGTACTGCACACAATCTTCCTACTTTCCCATATCGACATGCTTAATTTGATCCCTTTCCACCCCCAGGCCCTTGAGAATGCCACGTGCAAGCTTATCAGCAACTTGCAGCCCAATTTTGTGGGACTCCTGGCGGCCATGAGCTTCCTTATGTATGGCTACTTCCTAGGTGAGTGCCAAGCTTGTGTGCATTTCACCACATGAAGCATGCCTGTCACACATAATGTACACAATCCATGTGCATCAATGCGACCGCCAAAGCTTTCACAATCTGCCTCGCTTGCTCTTGATAATCAAACTTGTTCTGCATTTGCGTTGCAGGCACAAGTTCGGGAACGATGGGACTGACTTCCTTTGCCCAGGTAATACACCTCGACATTTGCAGTATTCGAAGTCTCCTTTCAGTTTCAGAGGTGTGTTCTCAACTTGTTGCAGGATTCCCTTTGGTTCCTTCCTGCATGACAACAACAAGCTATGAACTTGTGGTTGCGCAGTCAGTACACAGCAACATTGCTGCTTGGGAACCTTCCCTGGCAGCTTGCGAAGCTAGTGACTTGTGCAAGGATGGATCGATGGATATCAGGGGTGTAGTGGGAGCTCCCTTTTTCGACAGCATCGTCCTTATCATGTTCGCTATTCTTACAGGTCTAGAGTGCTCCCAATTGTTCAATGAAGGTGCTAGTGCGATTCCCTTTGTGAAAAGCAGGGGTCTTTCAAATTCAAGAAGGTCTCAGCAAAGCAGTGTGCACTCATGCAGGATTCCTCCATGTTGATGACCCGTCAATCTACAGAGAGGAGCACTCTTTCCCGATAATGCTGCAAATACTAATTAGCGGGTTCGCATTGCTCGCCTGCGGCTTCTGTTTGCAGTCATTCAACACCCATATCACCGTCTTGATCATTGGCAGGATATGCATCTGCCTTGGCATCAGTGCAGTAACTTATGTAAGTATCATTCTTGATGCTGCATGCTTGGCATACTTTTGAAGTGCTGAGATGCCAAGCTTGAGAAACCTTGCCAGATGACAACTTAATATATGTTTTGGGCGCAGATATGTTCGATGTGCACAAGGTCATCATAACCTGACATACTGTATGTGTTCTGCAGGTAACTCGAACCTATGTGAAGTACAGCCGCTTGCGGGTATATTACGAGAATAGTTTCATCTGCTGCGCCATCTTGATCATAACCCCGTGGCAGCTGGTATTGAAGCCAGGAGAGAGCTTTCTTGCCCCTTTGTACGCCGCGCAGCTAAGCCAATAGTTTGTGACAGGCACGCCAACATGAAATATCAAGGAGCTCCTCATTAGTTGCAGCATTGACTGAACAAGACTTTACTTTTACAAGTTGAAATTTGCACATCTTTGAGGTCTTCTAGTCTGAATCCAAGGACGCAACGTGTGGCAGCTTGCCGTGTCAATGCATCCCCAATGAATACTCTGCCATATACCCACAGCACTGCCCTCAGGGTGCCACTCTGACAGGCAACTGGCTTGGCAGCTTCAAACACGGCTGAACATTCATAACGGGATGCTCAACGCCAGGATGATGTCATCTACTGATGTACACGAGATACTTGAGCCCTGCAGTTGCAATGCCCCAGAATGCTATTGTGAAGCCCAGCACGATGGGGACCAAGTACACCAGAAATGTTGCATCGTAACCGTAGTACCTGTAAACAAACTGCGCTACATAAAGGTCCTGGCCGAATGGCCCATCGTCTGGGTCAAAGCCGTAGGTGTTGACAGAGTTGGTGAAGTCATCTCCCAATTGCGAGGCCACCAGCCCATAGATGCTCCATGCGAATGGGTTCAAGTAGTAATACCAAGACCAATAGTCTGGGATGCGCTGCGCAGCATGCCAAGAAAGGAGTCAGAGTTCAAGCTCAGCCTTGCCGCAGATTCACTTTCTTCTTAACTGCCTAGAAATGATACCATTTATTGTGCGACACAGAAAGAGCAATGTTGCAGGGGCAGCTCACAAAATCGTCATGTAAACATCCCAGTGCAATCCTCTGCGGGCGCACCGGCTTTGGAATGATGAAGCCAGCGAAGAGGTTCCACATTGCAAAGAACGCAGACGAGAGCACCGCAGCCATCATGAGGTTTGGAGTGACAGCCACCGCCATGATCCCATACATGGTGCAATACTGCAGCGTGGCAAACATGAAGAAAGCAAACCAGAAGAAGCTTCCTGCGCACGCCAGGCATCACAAGCAGTTCAGCACAGAACCTAAATGCTGCACTATATACGCAACGCATTGCCTTGGCTCATGGCTACCACTATCACCAACGTCTATAGAACTGGCAGGCGAGTGGAAGAGGGCAGGCTCACCAGCAGAGCTGCTGAAGCCCACCATGAAGTACACAATTGAGCTGTACAGTATGGCCTGAAACATATTGTACATGACCTCCACAAGCCCCTGCATGTGTGCACCATTTACATGAGCCACTGCATTTATGGCTGCTAGCTTTGACTGCATATATGTGCCAATCTGAAGGTGCCATTATTGATTACAATTGGTGCATGGAGCTGCAGCAGATGGGTCTCCCGCTGTAGCAGCAATGAGTGGTCATCAGGCATGACGAATGCCTCATAACAACATCAGCATGTGTACAAGATGCTGAACCAAGCGTCTGTAGTTCTGAGGCAACTGGTGAAAATCTATTTGCGTGGATCAATCCTAGGGCAATTCAGCCTCGTTGGAAACGGCAAGGAAAGGGAGAGGAGCTCACCATGGCGAGGGAATAGGCGGCGACAGAGTACATGCCGGCTGCGCGCTCACGGTAGAACACTGTGCGCTCTGCTGCAGCCACGGGCTGCACTATGAGGCTGTTCACAATGCCCATGAAGAATGTGCAGAAATATAGCGCGCCCTGGATGTTCAGAATGTCCTTGGGCAGCAGCCTGCACAGGTCACAAGCTTAGAAGATTCACAGAAGCAAATTTAGCAGTAATAGATCTCGCATTAAAAAGGAGGAGGCAAGGCAGCCATTTTGTCTACCTCCGTTCAATAGAAAGAGCCAGATGTCAATGCAGCTGTTCATCTTGGATCCGCTCGGAGCAGGGATTATCATTGCAGCAATCAGGGCCCTCGAGACAGCGATTCAAGTTGTCTCAATAAAAATACACAAAAAAGGCCGCGATGAGAGGCAAGCACTGCGCAGAAAGCACTGTGCCCTTTGAGCTTGCCGTGGGCCACAAAAGATTAAACAAGAAGTGTAGGAGGCACACCTGCGCGTGGCGCGCATCCAGTACATGGAGCCAAAGATGAGCGCAACGCCGAAGCTGATGGCCATGCGTGTGGCGTTGTAATCCGGCGTGCGCCAGTAGCAGCGCGCGTTCCGCACCAGCAGCTGCCCCAGCTGCGACCCCAGCGGCTGCGCATACCGCCGCAAGAACGTCAACGGCAGCACGCTCGGCCGCGCACCCTCCGCTATCCGCTTCTGTACCGCCCTGCACCCAAGCACAGACTTGTTAACACCACAGAGAACTGGCAGAATGGCTCTGCACTGCATTGGAAAGAATCAAATTTTGCAGCGCATGATGTGCTGGCTTTGCGATCCTCCAGCGCCCAGCGCCCAGCCCTCATGACTTCCTTAACACACAGGACTGGAAGGACGGCTCTGCACTAAAAAGGAACGGGTTGTGCAGCGCATGATATGCTAGATACAACACCATGCGCTGCGCAGAGTTATCTGATTCTGCACTGCTCTGTACTCCAGTGCAGAATTTGTGGACCTTGCCTAGAGCTGTCTGGAAGTCTGCACAAGGCCATGATGCTGTAAAATACATTCCGAATAATGCGCTTCATGATTGACGTTCTCGCGCATAGCGAAGCTGCTGTCACATGCATGGCGGACAGGGGTCATCACAAGGAGGATCATAGTGGGGCGTGAGACCTCACCTGGCCAGCTCCGACTTGGCAAAAATGTCAGCAAAGTCCACGCCGATACGGTCTTCACAAGCAGGCGTGCTGATGTCCAGCACCCAGGTCGCCGGGTTGATGGCAGCCAGCTCCAGCCGCCCAACGCCACCCTCGTCCTCCCTCACAAGAGGCGGCACCCCCTGTATGGCCTGCAACAAGGCATGCTTCCAATCTCACAGGGCTGTGTGTGAAAAATTCTTGATTTCCAATGACAATTTTGCCGACTGCAAGAATATTCATGCGCCAGGGAGCCCACCTGGAAATGCGCCACCAAGTCTGATGACTGTGCTCCAAGGGGCCCGCAGTAAATGGTCTGGCCGCCGCGCTTCAAGAGCAGCAGCTCGTCAAACGCCTGCACCACAAGAGCAAGTCAAGCGCCATTGCTGTCTTTGTTCTTCCCTACTGCTGTGCAATTACAATCCTGGGAAAATTGCAGCAACATCTGGATACACCCTACCTCAAAGATCTCAATGCTGGGCTGGTGCACTGTGCATGTGATGGTTCGGCCTGTGTCCACTATGTTCCTGACCACTCGCATCACGATGGCAGCCGCCCTGGCATCCAGACCTGCATGCAAAATTAAATACCAGCTCATAGCAGACCCGGTTCATGATTTACACATCACAATAAGTGCAAAGTCACAAAAGAATACGAGGGAGATTTGATAGTGTGGGTGGTAGGCTGACCAGTGGTGGGCTCGTCCATGAGGACGACCGAGGGATTTGGTATGAGCTCCACGGCAATGGACAGGCGCTTGCGCTGCTCCACGCTCAGACCAGTGCCCCCAGGAACACCCACAAGTAAATCCCTGAGCCCAGTCAGCTCCACCAGCTCCATCATCTGCCATGCACAGCCATCCACAGTCAGGCCTTTGAGTTCAGGAGGGACCTCTGAAGTCAGGAAAGATAGGCTTTCCAAGATGTCCAGAAGTTAGTTTCAGAGATGTGGGGTGTACAGTGGTTGTGAGACGTGTACACATGCTCCAGCACATTAATATGCTGGCAAGGAGCTCATTCTGCGTTGTGGTCTGAGCAAACGTTGTGAAGACGGGTGCGTACCTCTTCCACAAAAGCGACGCGCACTTTGCGGGGGATGTTGGCAGCCATGCGCAGGGCTGCGCTGAACATCAGCGCCTCGTGCACTGTGGCCTGCAGAACAACAACTCACAGAGCGTTAGGCAACCCTCACACAGCGAGCATTGAAGCTGTATCCCAGCCTTTGACTGCTCTGGATGGGACATCGTGAAAGCATGGAGTTGGTTCGGCAGCCAGCACCTTGGCAGAGTGGATGTCGGTTTGCTCCACGTAGCCGGACAGGCGCGCATACGTGGTGCTCTCCCATGGGTGCCCATTGACCCGCACCTCCCCTGTGATCCTCCCCGCTGCACATCACCCGCACACAATCTTCAATGCCACATGTTTTACTTCCTTTCAAGGTGTACCAGGCCTTCACGTGCAGCATGCATTGTATCATACAAGCCCATACCACAGTAACCTGAGATATTTCATTGCTCCCATTATACCAAAACAGCAAGCAATGTCTTATATAAAGCCCAAATAACATCTGCTGCGCACTTGTTTTTCGGCCGGCCAGGATGTCGAGCAGAGTGGTTTTGCCAGCGCCACTGACTCCCACCAGTGCTGTCAGGACCCCCGGCCGAAAGATGCCAGAGATGCCCTTGAGGATTTCCAGCTCCCGCCTCCTGGAGCCCCAGCAGGGCAGGCTTGCTCGCAGGCCCTTCCCAGCCCTGTTGCTGTGGCCGGGATTGTCCGGATCCAACCTCAGATCCACCTCGTGCCCCTGACACAGCCAGACAGAACGTCTTGGTCCTTGATTCAGAGCGCTGCCTCCAACCTGACAACGAGGGACGCAAGTGTCATCGGTGCTTGATGCATGCATCGAAGGCGCTACACAGATGGTGTGAAGGGTGGTGCCAGTTCCCACTTACCGCAGGGAGGTCCACAAAGTAGTGGATGTTGCGGAAGGTGAGGGTGACAGGGCAGAATGGCAGCACCATGCCGTGCTTGATGCGCGGCTGCACTGCCTGCAGCGACTCACCCTCATCCAGCACGCCATCCCTGCATGCAGAGCTAGCATCCTTCCGCAATGCCCCTTGAATATAACCATTGAAAGGATTGTCGAACGAACGCCAGCAGCTCAGCCTCTGCGAAATTAGACAGTTCAACTAGCATTTAGGGTCAGGCGACTCTCACCGGAAGGAGGGGGTGCGAGAGCTGGCAATGCCGCCTCTGTTGGGTATGAGCGCAGCATCTTGGTCCTCGGCCAGCTGCCTGACATGTGTCCTGGGGGACCCTTTGTAACGGTTTGCTCCTCCATGCCACGCTTCGACAGGTGCTGTGTGCATGATATCAGGCCCTGGCGAGCTGCAGGTAACAGAATACCATTCAGTGTTATTAGATGCATTTGTCTCAGAGCTTGTTCGCCCCTTGCCTATGGATGCATGCAGACATTCTATCCAAAAGAAAGAGTGCAGAGAGAGGAATGGCAGTAGCACGCATGCCTGCATGATTCAGATTTGTTGCCATTCAGGCCGCGGGTGGCATTGTGAGGCATGCTGTAGATGCGCCGCAGGGGAGGAGTGTCCAGGATGAGGCCGGCGGCGGCCGCGACGGAGTATGCGCGCTCTGAGGCGGTCACGCTGCGCGATGTGCTGCTGCTGCTGGTCTTTGGCTGCTGCTGGGTGCCCCTCTGCGCTGCTATACGCTCCTCCAGGCTGTCCTCTGACATGACTGCCACCGGCTTCTGAAAGGCTGCACATGACATGCATGCAATGCATGAGAGGATTTGTAATTACAAACCGAAAGCAGGCACCTTTGCATGCACTGCTCTGGCTTGGCTTTGACACATGATGACATGCATGCCATCGATGACTGAGGGTAAATTGGGCAGAGGATGACTCACGTGGCATGATCTGGTGGAACAGTATTGTGAAGCCATTGAATAGGATGATAGACCCAGTCAGGACCCCAATTGCCACCCAGCTCCACCACCGCTCTCCCCTGAAGCCCCTCACCTGCCAAACCATGACACCTGGTGACAATCAATTTGATAAGCGCCAAGCTCTTCATAAAGCCCCCCAGAGAGGTAACTCAGAGTGTAAGATGCGGTGAAAGATGCGCACATTCAGGCATGCCTGTCCCAGAGTGATGCTCCTCCTTTTGCTGGAGAATTCGTTGTATGGCACATTCCACCGGGGCGCCGAGAACTCATTTGCAATGAGGCCTTGGATGGCGTACGAGAAGGGATCCAGCCAATATGCCCACACCCACCAGTTGGGCATGTCAGCTGCAAACACACAGCCTTCAGAAAATCAAGCTAAAACATAGCCTGGCCTCATCACAACAAATGCATTGAAATGAAGAAGAAGCCATCCATGGAGGGCGCTTTCACACATGTGGCTGCAGTCATGGCCTGTACATAGAAGCTGCAGATGGCGCACGTTTGGCAAGGATGTAGCCGGACAGCATGAGGTATATGACCAGGAAGAGGGAGCCCACAGACGTGGCAACCACCATGTCACGCGTCAGCGCAGCAAAGACCCGGAACATGGCCACTGCGTTCTGGTGTACCAGGAACAGGATTGCGAAGAACACCAAGAACCTGCACATTGCATGACATGACATTTCCCCTCATTTTCCTCAGATCAGAAGCCTGCACGTTGGTGCTCCAGCCTTCAGGTCAGCAGAAGGTAGTCAGTGGGGGTCAAAGATACACGCTCACCTGCCGGCGTCCGGGGCAAAGCCGACCAGCCAGTACACGAGCACAGACCAGATGCCGGCCTCCGTCAGGGAGTAGAAGATGCGCAGGAAAGTGATGGGTAGGGTGTAGGCCCACGCAGGGTGCAGCCCCTCCAAGCGTTGCTTGTAAAATGCTGGCAGCCTGTCCACCTGCATGCAAAGGATTTATCTTACTAACAATCAGCACAGTAGCATGCCAACATGTTGCCAAATGCACTCTGGGACGGCATCAGGCGAAAACTTGGAAGTGGTCAAGAAGTCTCTACCCATCTCTTGACCCCAAATTGCACAAAGCTTTGAACAAAGCTTTTAGAACGTCATCCGAGAGTTTGCGGTAACCGGTGCCCAAAGTTGATGAAACATTTGCTGCATGACTTTCAGCTTGATGCGATTCTCAAGGTGCATTGGGGAGGGAGGGGCGTACCGCGATGGTGAGCTCAGTCTGGCCATTGAAGAAGAGGACCATGACCGAGTAGAAGCAGACGGACATGTAGTTCTGGCCGTTGAGCAGGGAGGTGGGCGCCTGGCGGGTCTTCAGGAAGACTGTGCCGGTGATGGTGGCCATGATGAGTACCTGGCACGTCCTGAATTTGTATAGGAACTGGTACCTGTCCGTCAGGATACACTCCCGCCGCAGGCACGCCTTGAACGCCTGCCACCCTGTGTCAGCATCCGAATAGGTTTTGAAATTACTAAGTCTACTGGACATTTGCGCCCTCATAGCCTCCTGCAGCTTTGCATGCTGACAAGAGCCCAATTGTTACATGCAGAAAGCAAGCAGAGAGTCCCCGACGCAACTGGTGCGCAGACATGTCAAAGATGCATGCAAAGGAATATGAGCACTTCATGCACATGAGCAGCTTCAGCGCGCACCTGTGAGGGCGAATTTGGTCCAGGCAAGCGCCTTGTCTGACTCCTCCGTGCAATTGAATGGCTTCAGCAATGCCTCTGTCTGGGCCACTCCGGCGTCTGACCGAGCATATGCGTCCGCAAACTTCCGCACTGACACTACCCGGTACAGTGTGGGGTCTTTGGCCCAGTATTGCTGCACCCAAGGAACAATCAACTTACCGAATTATCATCGGCATTACGGTGTACTCAGGCAGCAGGCTGTGCAAAGAAGACACCATCAAAAAAGGAGTCATGAAGGTCCACAACAAAATTGCAAAGAAGAGACCGTCATGAGACATGGGCAGCCAAGGTTGCGCACCTGCTGGTCTTTGCTGGAGGTGATGTTTTGGAGGAAGCCGGGAATGGCCATGCGCGGCGGGCACTGGAAGCCCATGCCCTCAAAGAAGGGCAGCACCTTGGTGCATGGGCCGTAATAGATGCATATGCCGTCGCTCAGCAGCATCACGTCATCAAACAGTCGGAAGATCTCCGGTGAGGGCTGCAGCAGCGCCATCATGACCGTTGCCTGGCAACCCCATCAGTAAAATTTCAGTGCTAAGGTCTGACGAAGTATTCTCACACCAGCACTTCACAGCATTCATGGAAGTGGTGGTCTAACAGGCGCTCACACTGCCTTGTACTTCTTGCATCTCTCTTCTCTCAAATGATGCCCCATGCATTTGGCTTTGAGGTGATAGGCATGACAGCCAGGCGCACCCCATCCATGTGGGCAAAGTCCCCAATGGTGCGGACCACTTGCTGCGCGGTGGAGGAGTCCAGGCCTGTGGTGGGCTCGTCCAGCAGATACACCTGCTTCGGCCCCACCAGAATCTCCCCTGCACAGATGCCCAACCCAACATGTTGATGGCTCCAGCAGCCCAGCTCGACAGATGAATAGCGGGACCTTTCACAGTGCTGTACCTCATCACGAACAGATAACCAAGCATGACATTTCTGGTGAGAAAACGCATATTCTAACGAGCTTGACGCGGCCCAAATTTTGGCAGATTTTATAGTGTCTCATCATCGACTGTTGTTGGCAGAGCTTGAAGAGCAGCACGCTGCCTGCAGTGCAGTGCATCATGTAATTGATCATGGCCACCATTTACGTAAAACATCCATGACGCAATAGTATGTGGTTCCAGAGTCATGAACAGCGCACCTGCCGAGACGCGCTTGCGCTGGCCGCCGCTGACGCCCCTGAACCAGTCGTTGCCCACCAGCGTGTCCTGGCAGATCTCCAGGTCCAGCAGGCGCAGCACATAGTCCGTAACCAGGCTCTCGCGCTTGCCCGCCAGCGCGCACGCCTTCATGAATGTATCCACCGCCCACTCCACCTCCACCCCCGCCCTCTTCTCCCTCTTGCGCAGCTCCGCCATCTCAGCTGCACCCCACAGAGGATCATTATTATAATTAATATTACATGCTCTTCCTGCCAAATTGCAAGGTATGTCCTGCAGACAAGCTGCAGTTTTAAGGCGGCCCTTTGTTGAACTCGCCAGATCCAATCAACCACAGAATATACAGTACATGAGACTGCAGACATCATAAGATGTACCCATCGTCACGGGTATTTGCAAAGAGAATAGTGCAGGAGCAGAAATGCACTGAGGTGCAGTTTCCTGTGCTGAGGGGTGTTCCCATGGGCCGTAGCGCGCATGAATGGGTTCATCACACACCAGTTTGGTTGCCCACGCCCTGGCAGCGAGCGGAAAAGTTCAGAGTCTCCCGGACAGTCAGGTGGGGGATGTGGATGTCCTGCTGCTCCAAGTAGGCGGCGGTGCGGTGCACCACAAACTCGCTGAGCTTGCGGCCGCTGTAGGTCACGTTCCCAGACACCTGCAGTTGCCAGCGCCTCTCACTGCCATGTGCGCCCCAAAGTGCATGCCACATGACAGCAGCATGTTCTGCTGTGTGAGAGCATGACATAGTAAGAGGACCTGCACCTCCAGATTGCCACCTGAGGGCAGGCGCCCTGCCAGGGCCTGCAGCAGGGTAGACTTGCCAGAGGCGGGCGGGCCCAAGAGAAGGGTCATGCGGCCAGGCCGCAGCACACCGCTCACCCGGTCCAGGATCTGCAGGTGCTGCCTCCGGTCTCGCCGGAGTCCACACCTCGACAGACCAGCCTGTGCAACACATCACTCCTGACAGATAGTACCATTCATATCCAGCCATACAACAAGAGACATGGGCAGCTGTGGATGCCAAGCAGCGCGTATATAACCCCAAGACTGTCCCCTGTAAGTAAAGGCATGTACTCACCGTGATGCCATTGCTGTAGTAGTTCAGAAGTGTCTGTCGCGCCTGCTGTCCAAGGAGCACTTCGACTGACACAGACAAATTCTCAAACCGCACTTCCACCTCTGGCCGCTGGACACCGGCCCTGCAAGCAATGCAAAGAGGCAATCATCATGATGTCGGGCTCAACGGCCCCATTCTGGATTGCATGTACTGACATAAATGAATACCATGCCATGAAGTCTGAGCTAGTGCAACTTCGACATAATGAGTGACTGAAGTGTGGGCCAGAATAACGTTATAACGGCATGACTGACTTTGTACGACATGCTAAGTCATCTACAAGTGGTCAGTGCTATGTATACAAGAAAGGATGGAAGGACATGTACTTGCCTATCCAGCCGCTCCCGTATCTTTCTGCGAAGTCTGCTGTTCTGTCTCCCATTCTCTTTAATAAGTTTGTCAAGGATAAGCTTTCTTTCCTCGCGTCTCAAGCGGCCAGGCACTATCTTTCGTGTTATCGTAGCGCCTGAGTCACGGACAGGGCCCCTTTTCCTATCATCTGCCATGGTCAAAGCCTTGGGGAATGTTGACTCATTCCAAAAGCTCTTTTGAACATGACAAGGGAGTAATATTGCTATGTGCGTTCAGAGTAAGTTGTACAGCCTCGTCGATCTGTTCCAACCAGCTATATCAGCAATGACAAAACCAACCTCCAACCATCGCAGTAAGTTTCAGGTGCATTCAACTACAACCATAAGTGATAAGCTGCATTCATACAACCCGAAGACGGGCTAAACTTGCTCAGCTAGTCCATTTTCCGAAACAATTCCGAGAGGGGTTCTTCATTTCCCTTACCCTATCAGGGTGAATCAGTATCTACATCTCCATTGCATGCACTGGTGGCTCTTGGCATGGTGATGAAGCAAGTGATATTTTGGGGCTGACACCCTTCACATCTTTCAGCATGCTTCCATCACCTTGAAACGATGACCATGGTGGCCAGCAGCATGCTTTGATACATTTGGACTGAATAAGCTGGCCACGTGGTCTGAGTCGGACTCCGTCGTATGGCTGGCCCACAGGGTGATGGACTACTAGTAAGACTGACATCAGAGCAGCTCTTATGGCAATTGGTCCAATGGCATACTCTGGCAGCAGGACCGCTGCCTGTGGACCATGCAAGCTGCACGATGGTAGAGTCTTCAAAACGATGCATATGCAGGTGCTGGCAAGCTTGGGGATTGCAGCGTTAATTGCAGCATCAATCAAAATATCAAGTGGGCTTAGCCTGCATTCAGCCTTGGAATGCTCCAGTGTACGACACATACTTTCTTAAGGCTTTGATTGTTGGCAATCACTTTTTTTGTCTCCTTGTCATCTCACTTATTACTGCAGACTGCAGAAACCATCCATTGAAATGCATGTTTACAATTGATCAATGCCATATTCATATTTCCACAGTGCCATGTCTGTTGAACATTGAAACAGCCTACAGGGAGCTCTCTGCACAAAGCCACCCATGTGGCACATGCATGGCAAGTAGTAAGCCCAATGACATGCAGCCTGGTTGCCACCCCTAGTATCCAACCCGCACAGCAGCCACAGCTGCCAGGCTCTCGTCGTTGCATGTGACTGGAGCATCTTCATCGTCGCTGGTCTCTGCATTGAACTCCATCTCTGGAGGTGGGTCACCTGCAGCACAGAACAGATACTGCTCATGCAAGCATCACCAAGGAAGCAGCTTGCCTGCTTCCCAAAGAAAAAAATTTTCTACCCCACATATGCATGCAAATTGATGCGCACATGATGATCTGTTGGTTGTGAGGCTCAACGGGCATGCTGAACAATTGTTGTTGGTCCGTTCCCAGGACGCACCCAGCTCTGGAATGATGATTCCGCTGTGCCAGCGCAGGCCTCCCTTCACAATCTTGGGGTCATCAATCTTGCCGTAGGGGAACACTTTCTTCACGATGTCCACATCGACGCCCTTCTGCTGAGCAGCCATCACACCACACCTCACGAAGCTACAACTGAAGGTGGTCCATTTATGCTTCTGCTGAAAATTTGCCTTGGAATGTAGATGCGAAGCAAAGAAGTCGTGGTGTGTGGGATCCCAGAAGTGTCACAATGGAAGAGGCATCAGGTGGGAGCACCCCAGGAGGCGTACAGGATTTGGGACGGCAATCTTGGTCTTGATGCGCACTCCCTCAAAGCCTCCAGGCACAAACTCCAGGACAGCAGGGAGGCTGGTCTTCTCAAGAGCATCCTCCACTGCCTTGACTGCCGCTCTCTGGGGATCAGGTAGGACGAGTGAGCATCGAAATTCTGTGTGCATTGCTGACAACATTGAACATGTAGCAGATCTAAATCAAAGTCTTGGAAAACACTCTTCCGGAGGTGCCACATACCGTGGGGTCCTGGCCGTGCATGTCCACACCGAATCCAAATTGCACTGCGAGCACCTGCAGCCTTGGAGCGTCAGGTCATGCGTATTCGGACACTTGTAGACCAATGGCTTCTCAAGCAGAATTGCTGAGTATCTGAAATTCAAAGAGGGAGACTAGCAAAGCACCTTCTTGAACCCTCGTGGCGTCCTCACAACTGCCCTCGAAAGTTTTGACGACATGGTGCACTGTCGGAAACCCACGAAACCTGCGCTACTGGCAGCAATATCAGGATAGCGCCGAAAAGTTAAATTTCTTGAAGATCATATTGGAGACGATCTTTCACATGAAGGGTTTCAGGATTTCAGAAAGTGTTTGTGAACGCGTCCAATGCATGTCACATTGCACTGGTCGGCAACGTAAGCTCTTGACGCAAAACATTTGTGAAGGAGCTGTACCTTTGAGTTTAATACTTCTGATCTGCTTTCAGAGTACTCCAAATGAGGATGGGCCTGGGCCTTAGGTGAAAGCATCGCTGAAAGGGCGACAATGCTATTTTCGGATAGCAGCATGGTGATTGTTGTCTGCCCACACCTGCTCAGAGCATCTCTACCATAATAATAATAATAATAATCTTTATGAGTCGCGAACCCAGAGCCCAGAGGCTACCATGCAGGCTGCATTAGAAGGTAGTTTGCTCTCCACTCTCTGGTGTCATGAATACCTGCATGGCCCTGCCAGCACAGTCGGCAGACCAACTAATCATTATGTGAGGTTCCAATGATTGTGAGGTTCAATTGCAAGCAATCAGTACGTAAATGCAAGTGCACATGCACATGCAAGTGCCAAGCACATGCAAGTGCACATGCTGCCAGCTTTTAATATCGCGATGAGTGGTCATTCAAATCACCAGAATATGCTCATATGCTCTGCTGTATTTGCCTGCGTCCAAAGCTTTTATGCCAGCTTTGAGAATTACACTTTTGGTCATTGACATTCCACTCAACAAGCAGCTTGTTGCCATCCCCTGAATAGTTTGAACGTTCTGAAATCCTCATTAATGCCAGAATATTAATGGATGCCTTGCAAAATTAAGCAGCGCTTATTGAACACATGCGCACTGTACATAGACTGTGCATTGTACAGTCTAAGCACCCCCCAGAGTTAGTTGAGAGCTGCACGTTCCTGCTGTGATGTCAACATCCCAGGTAGGATAAGGGCAGCAACCTCGGTCATGTCAGTGTGATAGTCCTGAAAGAGTTCATTCCCTAAACATTTTCCACCCGCTTGGTCACCAAGGGAGCGCTGGTGTTATTGCTGGGCGAGGCTGCAGTGCTCTGACTGGCTGATGCACCGGCCTGTACGCCGTTCCTGGCAGCCTCTGTTGCCCTCAACGCACTCAGCCGATCTCTCCCTATTAAAGGCCCGCTCTTTGAAGGGTCCCTCATCATCAGCTGCTGCGCCAACCCCCTCTTCCTTGCCTGTGAACGATGCACAAATCCCTTCAAGCACGGCCAAATTTGTTGAAGTGCAAAATAGAAGCATTCCTACTTATGACAAAGTCACCCATGCTTCAGAAAACTATGGCTGTTCTGTCTCAAGAGCTGTGAATCACACCTTTATGGCCGCCCGTGTGGCATACCAAATGGCCCCCGCCATGCTCACCCCCAGCCCAACCACGTTCCATTTGGCATATACAAAGTCGCCGAATGAGACAGCGCCAATCAGGGTCATGATGATGTTCTTCAGGCTTCCCGCCACGCTGGTCGTGAGAGGATCGTTGTAGCGGGTGCAAATGAAAGTTGAGTGGTTAATCGTCAACCCCAACACGCAGCTCAGCATAAGCGTGACCTGCGCAGCACACATACTCGCCAGTGTTCCTACTGCTCCAGAGATGGCATGCAAGTGTGCGATGATCACAAGTGCACCAACAAACCCCACATGGACGCAGCTTCAGGCACTCACCCGGAAGCCTCTGCTGGCAGCATCAGGGTACGATAGAAACCCAGCGGGCTCCGGCGACACAGCCACTGCCACCGCCAGGAGAGGCAGGGAGAGCGCTGCATTGTAAAACAGCAGCCCAGTGGTGGTCAAGCCGGCTGTTGAAGGCGTGTTCTTGACCAGGATGAGGTACAACGCCGTCAGAAAATCATTGCCCAATACCGCGGCGTAGCCATACACGCTGAAGGTTAAGTCTGTCGTCGCCGCAATCACAGCACCTGTGCAAGCAGCCCAGGCCAATTTTATTCACTGCCTAGACAGAGTGCAGATGGAGCCGGTCATACCTTTGCAAGTCCAACAACAAGACTACGGAAGGCGCTCACCTCCAATCATGATGGCTACCGCTCCGAGCGTAGATCTATCGTGCTTTTTCTGCATCATGAAGCGCTCCAAGATAATGGTACAGAAGAGTGTGAAGCGCCGCAAAGCTATAAACATGGGAACGTTGAGCCCACCCGTGCCTGCACAGCCACTTTTTCAGATGAGCTCCTCAATATTGCACTCACTGCCAGGTCACTGGACACTCTGGGAAGCAGCTCTGCTGCCGCATTAGAGGAAGCACAGCAGATGTAGGGAGAGGCTGACCTATAAGCCCGCTGACCACGTTCAGGACGTTCACCATTGCCAAAGGTAGTGTGCCCCGAGCAATGCCCCATTCCAGCTTTGGGCGGGCCACAGCATAGCAGACAGGAGCAATGACTGCCATTTGCAGGAATGCCACTGTCAGGGGATAGTTGAAGCCATAGAGCGTGAAGAGCGCCTGCAAGAGTAGGGTGAGGTATCAATAATGGTTGCATTTCTTATGGTAGCAAGTGAAAGCAGAGACATGCAATCATCTGGAAAACTTTTCATCATCTGCAGGAGAGTATCGTCTCCAGGTGTCGACTGTGACACTTTCTCTCACAATCACCAAGGCAAATCTGCAACTTGCAAACAGGTCACTGGGTGGTTCAGCTTAATGGAATGTATTCACTTGAAATACGTTTTGTTCTAGAACATCAACAAGGAAGTCTATTACCTTATTCATAAACTGCACTGTCATGCTCGCCAGACAGTAGTAGCAAGCAGTAGCAAGCTTCAGCCATCCTGGCTTCCCTTGCTCTTGTGGCGGAGCCATGCAGCACTGTAAAAGTTATCTTTCACATTTGGAGTCACAACAACTCTGGGTGAACCACCACGCAAAGTTCGAGCATGCTGTCAAACCCATCACCTTTCAACGCTGTTCATCTCTGAACTGCAAGATCGGCAGAACCTTTTTGTAATCCGACCAGATTGCAACCCATGTGAGGTTTGAAGGGACAGATCGGGCAATTGGAAGCGATTTTCAAGAACAAGAGTCAAGGCTTCCCAGGGGGTCGAAAATCTGAGTAGGCCACAGCCAATTTTAGCTGCACATCCAATTCCTTGGACCTCGAAGGGAACTCGTTTCCTGCTTACGCAACATGCATGAAAAGGAAGGAATGAAGATGTGATTGTACCAGAGAAAGCTCAATCTATACCTCAACAGAGCAGAAGTTAGTTGCTGATGGACGACTGGTTGGATGATGGAAGGTTCAATGGCGATCAAGCAGCAGCTCATAATTCTTTCGGAGAGCATGAGCACTACGTCGATGAAAGATTGGAAGAACATGAAGAAGGTAAAGTGAGACAAGTACTTCAGTCTGCATAATTGTTCATGCTCTAAGACAACGAGTCTACTCCTACTCTTCGCAAGAAGCCCACGCACAGATGCAGAACGCCACCTATCTGAGGTGCAAATTTCTCTTACTCACACAATCACAGATGTGGAGCCACACGAAGTACTGTCGAGAATAGAAAGCTGCATACTAGAATTCCTGGAGCAGCTCTTCCACCAGCAAAATGCACCGGACATCTCTGTGGTGAGCTGGACAAATTGCTCCAAGACATTAAGCAGGTCTTCTATGTACATTTGATGCAGATGAGGCAGATGTACATATGTCATTTTGGCGCTCCTGTGCGTGACGCAGCGCAGTACACTCATGCTGCAGGGAACTGTCATCACAAGATATGGGACACGTGAGAGAACACGTTCACTCATGGCAAGACAAGGACAAGGAGCCCATGGCTATGCAAGGCTGTTCCCCATTCTGGAGATAGCATACGAATTGACAAGCCTGGGCATGATAGCATCACAGAGGGACGTTTTCTACAGGTTGATTACCCTGCTCCTGTCTGGCTTGTACAAAAATTTGAGAGTATTGACAGGATGTCTTCATGCCTATGCTCCAAGGATGCTGTCTATCAAGTCTATGCATGCCTGCAAACGCAGGCTCAAGACACTGGACATTTTCAAGACACCAGAGCAGGTGAACCAGGCTATCCAGGATGTGGCCAGCATGGTACAGGTGCCCTCCATGCTGCTGGGATTCAGCTGTGCCAGCAGGGGAGCAGTCTATGGACCACTGCTGGTGCGAGAGGAGGCAGCCGGGGAGTGGATGGATTGCAGCATGTGTGCGAGGAACATCCCAGGCAACAGCAGAGTTGTCTCTTCATTTGGCTTTCAGAGCCCTGCTAAGTGAGTGGCCATGCATTAGGCTTCAGGGTTGACGCATGGTGCATGTCTTTTTGCATTGCTGCTGCATTTTGACATCAAAGACATTGGTGATCTCCTGTCAGTTGTGAGCGTCATCAAATTCTACAGTTTGCTCCTTGCCTGCGCTCCAGGTTTGTTGTGGTGGTTGAGAAGGACGCTATTTTTCAGCGGCTTGTGGATGACGGCTTTGCAGAGCACATTGGGGGCATCCTGGTCACTGCTAAGGGGATGCCAGACATGGCGACGAGGGCCTTTCTGCATGCTCTGACGCAGGCTTTACCACATCTGACCCCCATAGCAGGCAAGTCACTTCACAACGGGACCACACTGAGTCTGAATTCCTTTCAATGGTGTTGATGATGTGCTTTCGTGCCTCTGTTTCCCAGAATGAACACTGGTATCTGATGGGCAGTGGCATGAGATGGTGGGTGTTGTGTGCAGTGGTCGACTGGAACCCCGCTGGCGTCAACATCTATTGTGTCTACAAGTATGGGAGCACAAGGAGGCACTCAGCGCAGTATGGGCTGTCTGGATTGACATGGCTCGCTGCCCGTGCTGCGCTGCTGCATGGAGTCCCCAATCATGTACTCCAGGTATCCTTCCTGATAATATGCGTTGCATGTGCAGGTTTGAGTCACATGTGCACATGAACTTGATGCAATGTGGAATGTTTGCAGGGGCCCCTCACGACTCGTGACAAAGCATTGACAGTTTCTTTGAAGGCCGGTCCCCTGTCAGCAGAGCCAGCAGTGCTGGCAGAGTTGGATGCAATGCTTGAAATGGATGCAAAGGCAGAAATTGAAGCCTTGTATGAGAAGGTCGGCATTGACAACTTTACAGCATCCTTAGCACAGAGTCTCCTTCAGCAGTATGGCACATAAGCACTCATCCAATAGACTTTGGATGTCTTTGTTCTGGGTACTGGGTCATACTGTGTCAACATTGCTACCACCACCGATTGAGAATCTCCCAGACCAGCCGGGCCTGAGCAAGGAGCCCCAGCGAACTCAGCCAGAAAAGCAGACAATGCAGTCCACTCTGCACCACTGACAACTCAGCCTGACTCAGATTCCTCTGTAGCCCCAGCTGTTTCTTTGTTCCATCAGTCCTAAAGCAGCTCTTGAGTGTATCGTACATATGACACATCCCTTCCTGTCAAGGGCTCTCATCCTCAGCAGCAATCAGTTCTGTACATTCTATACTCATCTTGAGATGACAGAGAAACAGCGGCCTTGATCCTTTATCCTTGATCCTTTATCCTTGGTCAGAAGACATTGCTGGGCGCCAGTGGCACATGCACCAGATCGTGCCCACTCACAGACTTGAACATCAGTCCGCACAGGTGCCCCTTGCTGTCTATGCGGCGCACAGTGTCAACACCCCGCTGGCTGGGGCTGTCGCGCTCAAAATTGAACATGCGCGAGTCTCCCTCACCCTCGTCATTCACCTGGCTCTGCACCGTCGTGCACCAACACTTGCTTCAGCTTGACGCTCACATCCTCGCAACCCACGTGACAAGGTCACGGTGATGACTGCAGGACTTGATGCATCAGGACAAAATGGCCATCTGAAGGGCTCACGTACCTCGAAAGCGCATCCGGCAGGGAAGGATGACAGGTAGGCAGGCACGGTGCTAATGATGACATTATCGCCGTTGCCATCATCGACGCCCCAAAACAGTGGAGCTGCACCCTTTCTGGCTACGAGCAGATACCTGCTTGCAAACTCCGCAAGTGTTACACCCAACAACATGGCAAGTTTTGACGCTGTATGATCTTGAATTGCAACAGAAGGCATGCAGAAATCGCACTTCTAGGCGCACCTGCTGTTGGAGTCGTGCAGGATGTAGTTGAAGTCTCCCTGCATTGGCCACCACCCAGGACATTCAGCCCCAGCCAAGCTGCAGATGACTGCGTGTGAGGATGGGCAGCGATCTGACCCACCTCCATGCAGTTGAGAAGAGTCGAAGGCTGGTCAGAGGGGTCGCCGTATTGGTCTTTGTAGCCCTGCAAGTGACAGAGTGCGGAGTCAGCATGGACACCAATACTATGTAATCTTTTGAGCTGTTAGATTTGGCAATCAAAAGACGATCCTCGCAGTATGCCCGCATCCAGATTCACATGTACCTGGAGGTACAGGTGCAGCAGGAGACGTGCTGGGTCATGCACTGTCAACATTTTCTCGCAGTCGTGGTACAACGAGCAGATCTCCTCGTAGTTGAGGAGGTTGCCTATGAACACTACCTTCACCTGAAAGCCGAAACATCTCAGGTCAACGTAAGCGACATCATCCATAGTGTTTTCAGCTAAGAGCGTCAATGGCAGGGTTTCGAGTCGTTCCGGGGTGCTCACTCCGGATTGCCGTGCTGCCCTTGCTTTGTCATCCGTCCAGACAAGCGAGTGCCCACGTTCATCGAGGTGGATCTTCTGACTCAAATGGAAGGTGCTGGACGAACAAATCTTCGCAGCGTGATCGCGGAGACTGCACTGCACATGATCGCCCTCGTCTCTTAGCACCAAACGACGCGACCCAAGGAATGGTGTGGCGATAAGGTCGCGATGGAATGCAGCCAACATCTTGATATTCAGAAGATTAATTCATATGAGGGTGATTTCGGGTTTGGTGGTGAGATCCGCTGACGCAGACGATATCTTTCTTGGACTTGCTTCACCCTTTTGCCCTCGAGGGAACTATCCCAGGGGTAAAGCCCTGGCTTCCCAGTCCAGGGAAGCTACAGTCTTGATCTGGAATGCCAATCTCAGAGCAGAGGAGAGCATGCTTATCAATGTCAATGTCACGTTTTGAGATCGAGATATAGATTCTTGTCATCGCCAGCGTGTTATGTGAAGATTTTGCTTAAAAGTGTATCACTAGCCAACACATGGACATGGAGACAGCTCGGCGTGTTGCATTTCAGCAGCTGCGACCGTTGTGCTCTTGCCTGATGCAGCATCGCAATGACGTACCTGAACTGTCCGATGCCCTACGCAAATTGGATGCTCGCCTGCATGCACTCGACAGAGATGGGCTGCAGGGCTGCAGCGACTATGTGCTCTTCCCACTGCTGTTCATAGTGGACTCTATATACGCTGTCAGAAACGAGTCAGGCGAGTCATACTTTGCAATTTCTTTCGCCATTGGACTTCATTGCCCTTAAAAGGACCAGGAAGCAGAAGGCCTTCTGATCCTCATCCAGGAGTCAGCTCAGGAGCTGCTGCTGCATCCGTGCCTGCTGCAAAAAGTGACAAGGTGGCGGAGCTAGCACTGTCTTGCTGCAAGACGCTGCTGGAGAGATGCTGTCCCCAGAATGGAGAACGTGCACTCGAACTGCTGCAGCGCATTGGAGCTGTAGCTGCCCTGAGCCGTGCTGCAGCGGCAGAAGAGGTTTGTTCGGATATACATGAAATTACAAATTCTTTTGAGTTTTTCAGACATGATAATCACCAAACCAAATGGATTGCCCCATTAATGCTTGTGCCCAAAATGCAGGTCCGCCATGCGGCTCTGGAGTGCTTGGTTGCACTACTCGCCACTATTACAGATGAATCTCCCGCGGCAGCACAGACGCTGCAGTCAGAGGCCAGCACGCCACTGGTGGCCGCCATCGCCATGATGCTGCAGGAGGCAGCCAGTGCAGAAGCTGGCGCCGGTTTGCATGGGAGCAAGGCAGTTCGACTCTCTGCGCTCCGGGCCCTACGCCTGTTATACGAAGCTGTGAATGATGCGCAGGCACTGTCTTACGTGCTGCCAGGCGCAGTGGGCGGCTTGTCCAAAGCTCTCCTCCAAGGTGTGCACTTCTCTCTGGGGCCACTGCCATCGTCATGTTGTGAGGAGTCATTGGCATTGCACATGACAGCTGCTGGTGTCAATCAGCATGAATCAGTCAAGCAGCTGTGTAAAGTAATTGGACCATTTGCTGAGGAATATTGACACCTCAAAAGTGCTGTGAGATCAGTGCAGTGAAGCCAGGTCAGTCTGAACGCTGTCATGCCCATTTCTGGACAGGGTCAGCGATGACCAGGCATGGCACGAGGGAGCAGAGCGGGGCTGCAGCCAGCACCACAGCCACTGTGGAGGCCTTGGCCGGCCTGTTTTCTGTCATTTGCATCACACTGAGTGATGATTCCACAGCAGATGCCCGGAGCGCTGCTGCAAATGCAGCAAGAAGCGCAGGTGTGCAACAATTGACAGTGCTCATAGTTAGATTTAAAGTTGGTTCTTCACCCTTTCTCGCAAGACCCAGCCTCGAAGAAGATTTCTGCTTGACGAATGCTTGTCTTCCAGGTGGGGAGCGCATACAAAGCAGCTCAGATGCTTTGGTAGCTTTGAAGGGCTTGCAGCAACTGGCAGTGGCAGTGCCCGGGCAACATCCTGGGCAAGATCAGAAAGCCCTAGAAGTGCCCGTGTCAAGCAGACGTGATGCACCCAACGCACAGGTGACTCTTTCTGATCCTGCTGCAAATGGAATTTAGAGCTCTTGATTGAGAAGCAGCGTTTGGATGCATGCTCCATTTGGTTCCCTGTCATGTCTGGATCCTGACATCATTGGTGCATGGGCAGACTAAGTACAGAGTCATCAGGGACGCTGCCTGGCTGGCCAACACAGTGACGCACCTGGAGCTGCTACTGAGACGCGTCCTGCCACCTTTAGCCTCCAGCCGCCACCCCAAAGTCCGCCAGGCCCTGGCCGAAGGTAATGTTCATCTCTATCTCTTGTTCTGAGCACTGCCCTCATGCTGACTCTGGATGACACGATGCCCCTATGTCTGGGGGTGGCACTCTTCTGAGAAGCAGAATGGTGGCAGCACTCGATGTCAAGGTCAGGGAAGGAGGTATCCTCAAGACCGTTCATGAGCCTGTGCAATAAAGAATTTGTTTGACGACTAAATGATTGCTGCGATGATCCGGATTGTCGTCTTGCAGGTGTGTGCAAGCTGTTGGTGAGCTGCCGGCACACGCTGGCGCCATGCAGCGAGCTGCTGCTGGAGCTGGTCTTCACGCTGGCAGCGGACACCTGGCCGGCAGTGGCAGCCCCCCCGCGCGCATGGCTGGCGAGGGTACAAACGGAGGGCTCCCTGGACGCGCACCTGCCGCAGGCCTCTGTCGAGCGCTTCATCGGCCGCCTGCTGCGTGCGCTGCTGCCGGCTGTGCGCACCCTTGATGGGGACGGTCTCGCCCTGGCCAACCGGCTGGCCGCCGCCATGCAGGTACATATTTCGTGCAAACTTCACTGCGTTTGGTGAGTGAGTCCTTACAGGAAGATGTGTGAAAGTCGGCTCATGGTTCGGGCCTTTGGCAGAGCACAGTTTGCATGTCTATTTGGGGTCACTCTGTTATTTTTGGGAGGTGATTGTCTTCTTTTACCTGCCGCCGATTCAGTAGAATAAAAATAAGTGAAGCATGCAATTGAAAAGGCATGCCTATTGCGCACAGGTGGCGGATGTGCAGCTGGTGGCGTCGCAGGTGCTGCAGAGCCCGGTGCAGCTGGGTCTGCTGTGTGCATCTCTGTGCCAATGCTTCGAGTTCGACCGCACTGCTGCCGGCTTGCTGCTGCATGCGCCCCAAGAAGGCGGCTCGCACACGACCAAGGCGCTGCCTTCCAGCGAAGCAGGCAGCGCAGAGGGCGCTGCAACTGATGCAGAGGTCAGACTGCAGAGTGGAGAGCAGCAGCCTGTATCAGCACAAGAACAGCATCCGGCCCAGTCGGCCATCTTGCTGCCGAGGATGCCGAATGGTCTTGCGCACATCTCGTCCCAGGAATCCTATGAAGCAGTTGCAAGCGTCGCGCGAACCGCTGGGCGTGTTGCCAGCCTGGCAGGTGGGTCCCAGACTGGAAGACGCACACATGCATGCCTATTCAACCAAATCAAACCTCATTAGCAGGGAGAGCGTTTCTTCATGATGTTGCCCTTACATAGCATTCAACGATGATGAACATGCAGCTGGATGATCTGTTGTGGGCACTGAATATTTGTTGTGGGCACTGCAATGACAGGTGGCACAGTACTGCGTGGGCTGCTGGACCGCCTGATCAGCGACCTGCGCAAGCTGCTGCCGGGGGGGACCCGCCATCGTGGCGCGCCCAGCGCCAGCTGGCAGCTATCTGCAGCTTCATGCGTCGTCGTCATCACCGAGGTCATCTTTGGGGCATCGGCTGCCTGGCGCCCGGCCAACTATCTGGGCTCAATGGAGGCGGACAAAGACAGCGAGGCACCCAGGCAGGGCCAGTATAGTCTGCAAGGGCATGGAGCGGAGCTGGAGGCCATAGTGGTCATGACCCAGGAGGAGCTGGTGCGCGAGCCTCTGTGGGGAGTCGCCACCAGCGCCGATGCTTCTATGGGCGACGCAGCAGCCAGCCTGACACCCCAGGTGACCCCTGGCACTTCCACTTGGCTGCTTCAGGGTCCCCGTTGTAAAATGGCGCCTTTTGTAGGTGTTTAGTTCATGTGTGGGCGCCGAGCCAGTGTTATGTAATTTTCCCAGGCTCTGGCGGAGAATGCATTGCTGTCGAGGGCGCTGCTGGAGGGCGTTGGCGCCTTTGCACGCGCGCTCGGGCGGCGGTATGCGGCGGGTGGACGGTTGATGTACACCGTGCTCATCCCCGTGCTGGAGCGCCTGTCTGACCCCTGCCCCTCCGTCGCCTCCGCAGCCTCCGCGGCAGTCGGCTCCATCTGCCTGCACTGCGGCTATGCTGGCCTGGAGGAGCTGGTGCTGCCCCCTCATCTCTTAACTGATGACATGCGTGCGTTGCGTGTTGTGGAAAGCAAATGGGAGTCTGTGCGGCCGCCATGTGAAGTAAATGCTGATTGGAGGACGCGGTGCAGGTGCGGGCGAACGCGGACTACATTGTGGATGGGCTGTGTCGGCAGCTGCGCCACCTGGACAGCCATCCCAGGTGACTCACTGCTCCGTGCACCTCTCACTACGCTAGCAATTTCGCCCTTGTGCATCGTCCTCAACAACGAAACAGTCACCCCCCTCCTCAGCTTCCGGCTGCAAGAAGAGCTGGTGCAGAACAAACACTTGGACGCCTGTGTGCGCTCTTCAAGGATGTCTTGACATGCGCAGCAAGACCATAGACAGATGCCCTGTGCGGGCTAAGGATACCATCACCAGTGGGGATTGCCTACACGAGACACAATCGCACGATTGTGCTGGACATCAGGGTAGCTGGCGATGCTTTCGAGACAAAGCACCCGCACAACAGATCGCTCGATGGGTTTGCTGGCATGCAGGGCGCCGCATCTGTTTGCGGCCCTGCTGCGGCGGGCGGGGATGGCGCCGGCACTGCTGCCGCTGCTGGCAGAGCCGGCGCGCGCGGCCGTGCAGGGCCTGGCTGTCACCGCGCACCGCAAGCGGCCGGCCCACATCGCCGCCTTCCTGGCCGCCCTGCGCGAGATCTGCTCCGGTGCCGCCTCCGACGCCGCCGCGGTGAGCGGCGCTGCCCTCTCCTTGCCGTCTGCACGATGCAGTAGCTACAAGAAAGATTTTCCTCCCTCAAAGTGCCAACTTGTCCTTTGAGGAGATACTCATCGACTGAAAGAACGGAAGAGTGGTGGCCTGGATGTGCAGAGCAACTGCTCCATGCTGTCCAAGCTGCTCTGAAATGCACATGGAAGCACCGGAAGAGCGCTGCTGTTGAGGGGATCTTTTCCTATGCGGGCATCAGGTGCTGACAGCTGCCGAGGAGGCAGCATCTGAGGCGGAGAGAGAAAGCACAGCTAAGCGAGATGTGTACCATCAACGGAATGCAGAGGCTGAGAGGGAATTTGAAAGGGGTGGGGTTCCGGACAGCAAATACCCTCACTGTTCTAATTGGTGTTGTATCTCCCAATGTTGACATCCACCATTTATGTATCCTGCTTCCACTTGATCCGAGGCCTGTGTATTGTGTAATTCAGGGAAGACAGAGGAAGAGGTGAGGCAGTACTTCATGCAGCACTTGGAAAAGAAGCAACAGCAGGATGAAGGCGAAGCAGCGCTGGACCTCACTGATGAGGAGCAGGAAGCAGCCCAGGTGTTTATCTCAACTCTGCAAATATTTCAAGACCCTTCGGCGAATGTACTCCCGTTTGGTTGATGCGCAGTGCTCTGACCATGATGAGGGACATGCTGCAGGTGTCGTGGAGTGCAGAGGCTTGGGCGCAGGCAGACGATCGGCTGCGCAGGGCCCACGCAGATGCCACCCTGGCACACGCTGCCGCGCTGATGGCCGGCCCCCTGCTGACATCACCCGACCTGCGGGTGAGCATCCCCCTTTAGGCCCTCCTTTGTTTTGACAGCATCTTCATGAGGCACATTTGGGCAGGCGTCATATTACGCAACCACGGCCATAGCAGATTCTGTGGCAAGTTCAAGTGGGGATTTGCTTTCTCAGTATGATAGCAGGTCAATTGTTTTGTTGCAATGTCTGCTGCACGCAGCAAGGTGTCATGACTGATTTCTCAGTACATGTCAGTCACTCCCTTGATTGGCTTGCTCTGCTTGATTATATGTGAGCGTTTGCTCTGGAGTGATCCAAGCATCCCACGGTGCAGGTTGTGCTGCTGGCCATGGATGCGGCCAGGAGTGCACTGCGCACGCTGCAGCACACGTCGGCGGTGATAGACATCCATGAATACCGCATCAAGGCCGCCGTCCGTAAGAAGACCTCCGTAGAGCCGGTGGCGCCCGAAACGCCGCAGCTGCTCCCCACCATCCATGCGTTGTGGTCGCCGTTGGTTCAGTCCCTCAAGGTGCCCGCCATGCGATTCTCCTGCAATACGCCTTGTGTATCAAGCATAGCTCACTCTTGTCTTATGACAACACCGTTGCGGCGGATCCTCCTGAGTTGAGGAGCACATGAAGCCAGGCTTGCGCCACTACTGCCAGCGAAAACAAAGCTTTATTTCTGTACTCTCTTGGCACGCTGCAGGCCTTGACTTCACTAGAAGTAACTCATATACCCCAAAACCTAGATACCCTTGACTGCACTGACAGCGTGCGTGTGCATGCGTGTGCAGGATGCACGGGTGGCGGCAGTGGAGCATGCGCTGGGATTCCTGGCGGATTACACAGACGTCGGAGGCGGCGAATTTCTGGCGCGCAGATTCCCGCAGGAGGCGTGGCCCCAGCTGGCACTGCTGCTGCACCGCGGTCCTGACACCGCGCTCGGAGCCGAGGACGGCGGCCCGGCACCGGCCGTCGTGCAACGCACACGCTCAGCTGTGCTCACATGCCTGCTCAGGTACGGGCAAGAACTTCAAGAATGCTCCCTAGCCTTGAGAGAAATGTCCCCAATGCCCCTCAGTTTCCTTGGCATTTGCATATACCATTCAGCATGTACCCCATCTGCTCAAGGTCCCTGCAAGTCTTCTCTTCAGTATATGGCCCGTGAGTTGGCTCATCCTAGAGATCACCCTAACTCGCAACCAGGGCTAGCAACAAAATTGGGAGGACCATTTTTGCTAGTGTAGCGCCTAGGTACGCGCCATTATGCGATGATGCCTCTGGCCTGCTCAGGATCGCATCGACTTCCGGGTGCGCGGGAGTCCTGGCACAGATCGTTGCCAAGGTGGCGGATGCTGTGGCCGTGCATGTGGCGGACAGCGCGGGTCTTACTGAGCGCACGACTGCATGTCAGCTGCTGCTTGCCCTGGCAAAGCTGGACGCCGATGCTGTGTGGCTGCTGCTCTTCCGCTTGCAGGTGAGAGACTCAAGAATGCCTTTTATTGCGCTGGTAATTGCTGGTGCGCATGTTTTGTCAATAGCTTGAGAACAACCTGTATGTTGCAGGGTCCTGTGACAGGCGGCAGGCAGAAGATGCCCAACCCCTACTCTTCGGTGCTGCCTGACGTGCGGGACATCTTCCCCGTGAGACCAACAGCGGGGAGCCAACCCACAGGCGACGTTGCAGTTGTAAAGGCTCTGATGAAACAGGTCGAACAGGATCCAGTCGCCTGGCACCAGCATGCGGTTCTGCAGCAACAGGAGGCCTCCGCTTGAAGGAGACGGGAGGTCATGTGTGGATAGATGTCATTGGCAATTTATATCTTCGTTGTGATATCTGCAGGATGTATGTGATGTGATACCATTGACACGTAAAGAGGTTGTTTACAGAGCAAATTATCACAAGGTTCTAGTGATGCCATTGACACATGAAGAGGTTTTTAACAGAGCAAATTTGCTTTGTTTAAACTTATCACAAGACACCTGCTGGCCTAGGTGAGGCAATGCTCAGCAATCTGAGTTGTGAGCAGTCCATTGTCCATAGCTGGCAGAATGAACTTCACAGTCAAGCAGAACATGGGGTGCACACGTGTTAGTTACTAAGGGTTGTCCATGCTGCTATTGTGAATCAGCAATTCGAATTGCTGAATGAGTCATCAGAAATGTTAGCGCCTGACAGTCATATAGATGTTTTTAGTGTTGCCTGCCAACAGCCCGTTTTAAGAAGATGTTGGAGCCCACGTGGTGCACCTGCAGTGCAGATTTGCTGCGATGGGAAAACAATGCAAACACAAATATGACACCCTCACAGCATTTAAAACTGCCTTGGTTACACGCCCACATAAGTATAGACTGCACTTGAGCTCCCTTGCAAAACCAAAGGATTGAAACACATTGTCTGTTGATGGGTCACAAAGCAGTCCCTATATAGAGGAAACAAGTTGAGATTTCAAAGTATGGAACGAGAAGTATGTCATCCCCACCAAACATCCTGATGTCACAAACACCGATGGCACAGCGCTGGGAGTTCCAAAATGTTTGATGAAAGCCAGAACACAGGGCTCAAGCCTATCCTATGAGGAGGTGAAGGGTTGGTAACAATGCTACAACGAAGATCTGGAATGCACAGGAGACTGCGCACACCGCAGGGCAGGCCCTGCTTAGACAAGAAGCTTCGTGAAGCCACGCCACCTAAAGTCCAGCACCCAGTTCTGAGCATGCCTTGCGACAAGGGCATGCCAGCAAGGGCTGAGCAGCTCCCGCTGGGCAGGAGCTGCCTGGGCACAACAGGGGCGGGCATCGCCAGCCGAGGATGCACAGCCCCAAGCCCAGACCTTCATGCAGCTCTCAGCGGTTCACTTCTTCTTGGCAGCTGCCTTGGTGACCTGCAAGGACAGTTCACAACAGTCAGCACAGCTGATCTGCACATGTCTCATTCCTCACATCACTGACAAGCAAAGGGCGACAAGGACGGATGGCGGGGACATAGAGTGGGAAGGAGGCAGCGCGGCGCACCTTGCCAGAGGCGTCCTTCTTCTCGACGGCCTTGATGACGCCGACTGCCACGGTCTGGCGCATGTCACGCACGGCAAAGCGGCCCAGGGGAGGGTACATTGTGAAAGGCTCCACGCACATGGGCTTGGTGGGCACCTGCACAGGACAGGACATGGATGTCAGTCTCAAGATTTGTCAGAAGGCAGTTTGTGGAGCAGGCAAGAAGGGACGTGTTACACATTGCTGGAAAAAATAGCATTATAGCAATGGCACAATGCAGCAGCACAGGGCGGGTGTGGTCAGAGGGCGCACCATGATGACGTAGGCGGCGTCACCGTTCTTCAGGAACTTGGGAGCGGCCTCCAGCTCCTTTCCGGAACGGCGGTCGATCTTGGTGGTGATCTCCTGGAACTTGCAGGCAATGTGGGCTGTGTGACAGTCCAGCACGGGCGCGTAGCCGTTGCCGATCTGGCCGGGGTGGTTCATGATGATGACCTGCGCACCAGCCACATGCTGTGTCACTCTCACAGCTCATTCCTGCAGCCCTGATCATCAAACCATAAAAAAATCCGCAACCAACAAAGCAGTCCAGACTGCTTCTGATCACATGCATGACATGCAGCAGATATAGACACCGCAGAAAAGGCTGCCAGAGTGCTGCGTGGGGCAAGTAGATGCGCACCTGGGCAGTGAAGTTGGTGGCCTCCTTGGCGGGGTCGTTCTTGGAGTCGGAGGCGACAAAGCCACGCTTCAGCTCCTTGACGGACACGTTCTTCACGTTGAAGCCCACGTTGTCACCTGGGGCAGCCTCGGGCAGAGACTCGTGGTGCATCTCCACGGACTTGACCTCAGTGGTCAGGCCGGAGGGAGCGAACACCACCACCATGCCGGGCTGCACATTACACACGAAATGCATCAGCAACACATCTAAAAGCCCACAGGCTACCATTGCAGCCAGTGCCATGGCAACTGCATCCTGCTGTTGCCTCATGATCCTTCATGTCATGCATGCATCCTGCATGGGTCAGGACCAAGTCAATCAAGGTTGTCCTGTTGTGGCCATGCTCACCTTGATGATGCCGGTCTCGACACGGCCCACCGGTACAGTCCCAATGCCGCCAATCTTGTAGACATCCTGGAGGGGCAGGCGGAGGGGCTTGTCGGAGGGACGCTTGGGGGGGTCAATGGCGTCCAGGGCCTCCAGCAGGGTGAGGCCCTTGTACCAGCCCAGGTTGGTGGAGCGCTCAATCATGTTGTCGCCCTGGAACCCGGAGATGGGGACGAAGTTGACCTGCAGCCAACAAAAAGGTTGATGTCAGCAATCCTGCCAGGGTAAAATCTTGTAAAGGCCAGAACACTACTACAACACCTGTAAAGCTCCGAGATATACATCTGCAAATTCCTGCACAAAAGCAACCAGAAAGGCCACTGATGGCAACAAAGGGAGCAAGTGTCAGCTCCCGATGCAGTAGCTGCAGGACAGGTGGACGTCCTGGTGGACGCCATAGGCAGCCAAAACCCCCCGTTGACAGCCTTTCCTCAGGATGTTGCACACCCAAAGGGCACAACTGCGCAGCAGTCATGAGAACCAGTTGCAAAGCCAAGATAGCCAGGTCAAAGAGCCGCCAAGATCGGCTGTGAGGCGCACCTTCGCCGGGTTGTAGCCGACCTTCTTGATGTAGTTGCCGACCTCCTTCACGATCTCGTCGTACCGCTTCTGGTCGTACTTGGGCTCGGTGGCGTCCATCTTGTTCAGGGCCACGATCATCTGCTTCACGCCCAGGGTGTAGGCGAGCAGGGCGTGCTCGCGGGTCTGCCCGTCCTTGGAGATACCGGCCTCGAAACCACCAGGGGTGGAGTCGATGATGAGCACAGCGCAGTCAGCCTGGCTGGTTCCCGTGATCATGTTCTTGATGAAGTCACGGTGGCCTGGGGCATCGATGACAGTGCAGTAGTACTTGGGCGTCTCGAACTTCCACAGGGCGATATCGATGGTGATACCGCGCTCACGCTCGGCCTTGAGCTTGTCAAGCACCTGCAGCACAGGGGCAGAGCAGTCAGTGGCAAACCAGAGCTACAGGAAGCTGAAAACACTGTGGCGCTACAATCAGCAGCCAGAATCCAAAAGGCAACAAAAACACATCCAGCAACCTCGCCACCAATGCATAAAATATTCTTTTCATCGAAGAAGCTTGAACACTCACCCAGGCGTACTTGAAGGACCGCTTGTTCATCTCAGCAGCCTCCTTCTCGAACTTCTCAATCACACGCTTGTCAATGCCACCCAGCTTGTAGATGAGGTGACCGGTGGTGGTGGACTTGCCGGAGTCGACATGACCAATGACCACAATGTTCAAATGCAGCTTCTCCTTACCCATGGTTGCGAGTTTCCTGCACAGCACACAATCTTGTCAGATCAAAAAGCCAAGCTTTCCGAAGGCAAAACAACTTCATATTCAGCCTCAAAACAATACACATGGAAAGGGAAAAGTGGCTCACCAGCAACAGAGGATGCGTAGTCTGGTTGGAGAAAGAAAGGTTTGCTTGAAGAATCCAGGAGAGGAGGCGGCTCTCAGCGCCTGGGCAGGCTTTAATAAAATGAGAAGTCTAACCTAATCTGGCTCCTGGAGGCTGTAGATGGTGTTGCTGGCCTGGTGCCATCAAAGCAAATGTATTTCGAACGCACTTCCTGAATTTTCTGGTCCCTTGTGAATTCCAGAAGGCATCGATCGATTCCTTGATCAGATCTGATTGATCTTGTGCGGTTCATCTTTCTTGTGATCTGGTGGTGATCACTCTGAAGCAGCTCCTCATCAGTATAAAAAGTTTCCGTTTGCAGAGAGTTAAAAGCTTTTTGAGGCAAGTGGAGGGCAACTGGCATCGCCTCTTAGCATCACAGGCTCCCCGCCACGACTGCAGGCACGGTGGGGTGTGAGTGATTCTCACTTGGTATCACAGCGCGTCCCTTCAGCATTGAAGGATGTTTCTAGGTCCTCCAAATTAAAAGGAGCTGCACAGCCGCACTATAGCATGACTACGATACTACCAGAGCCCGTGAAGAGTCCACAGGACAAAAGGCTTTACAGACGCATCCGTCTAGCCAATGAGTTAGATGTCCTCCTCATTGAGGATCCAGACATGGAGAGATCCTCCATAAAAGATGACGACGCCAGCAGCATGGCGTCGAGTGAGGCCGACAGTTCTCAGGAGGAGGTGCGCCATCATTGAGGCACCAGGACCCACAGAAAAAATGATCTACCCTGGTCTATGCTTGCCTGGCATGGCATTGCTTGCTGACACTCGGAGGGATTTGCGCAGCAGGACAGTGACAACAGTGAAGATGAGGATGGTTCTGGTGATGAAGCGACGGCCAAGGGTGTCAAAAAGGTGATGGCTCCATGTAATTGTGTACTGTACATCGTTGTTCTGCAGTATGATCTACATGTCTGGCAGCATGCATCATCTCATATGGCTCTCATGCTATGCACAGGCAGCTGCAGCCATGGCGGTTGGGGTGGGCAGTTTCAGTGATCCAGATGATGTTCCGGTGAGATTGCATTGTAAGCTTCTCTTTAATGCTTGCGTGTCTTAATATGCTCTTAGGCTGATGTTTGCCTGCTTTGAAACAGGGCATGAGTCATTATTTGGAACATATGCTCTTCATGGGCTCCGAGCAGTTCCCCGACGAGAACGATTATGACGCATATCTGCAGAGTCACGGAGGTTCAGCCAATGCGTTCACAGAGCTGGTGCGGACCAAATCAGCTATCTCCACATTTCACCTTGCACTGATGTACTTAGAAGTGTGTTGCATGTCATGCTCAGGCATGGTGGCTGTCATTCGTGTGCTTTGTGCAAACAATCATCCTGCATGTTATCTGAACAGGAGTTCACAAATTATCATTTTGACTGCAAACCAGACGCACTGCACGGCGCTCTTCAGCGATTTTCGCAATTCTTTGTAGCGCCACTCTGCAAGGCTGATGCCCTTGAGCGGGAGGTCAATGCTGTGGACAATGAATTTTCTGGTAATTTCAGCTCTTCTTTCATGCTGCTTTGAGACAGTAACCTCTAATAAATGCTGTGCACTGGCTATCCTCATGTGAGCTGCTAGAAGGAGTGAAGGGCTTCCGAACATAGACTTTCAACATGACAGATAGATGAAGAATTGCTGACATTTGCATGGCAGGGGTCCAGCAAGATGACTCGATGCGGCTGGCGCAGCTGCGCTGCCACACATCCCATGAGGGTCACATTTACAGGAAGTTCACATGGGGGAACAGGAAGTCTCTGGTGGACTGCCCAGCCGCAAAGGGCATCGATGTCCGTTCAGAGCTGGTGCAGTATTATAAGTGAGTCCTCCATCGTTCATGAAATGCCTGTATTTTCTGTCCATGTTTATGTGACTTATCAGGACTGCTAAAAAATTATACGAGCCGCTTCATGTCATGCTCTTTGCTGCCGGAGCAGACCTCAAACATGACCCTTTAAAGTGGGTTTGACGTGATGCCTGAACTGGAGCATGCATGATGCACCCAGGGAAAATTATAGCGCTGAGCGCATGTGCTTAGCTGTCCTTGGCGGAGAGCCGCTGGACACACTGCAGCAGTGGGTCTTGGAGCTCTTCTCAGCTGTCCCCTGTGGCCGCGGACCCAGGCCTGAGTTCTCAAATGTCGGCCTGCCTTTCACGGTGCACTTCCCCTCCTGCCTGCCCAAATCCCTCAAAAGGTAAAATTGTCATCTTGGCATATACGAACTTGAGCAGCTGATATCAGCAACTGTGTCGCAGGGCGGCAGGCTACACATGATGCCTGCGGTGAGGCAGGGCCACCAGCTAACGGTAACTTTCCAGCTGCCTTCGCTCTTGACAGCCTACAGGGAGAAGGCAGAAGACTACGTGAGCCACCTGGTGGGCCATGAGGGCAGCGGCAGCCTGCTGAGCGCCCTCAAGGCCGCCGGCCTGGCCAGCAATCTCAGCGCCGGTGTCAGTGAGAGCGGCTATGAGCGCAACTCGGCCCTCTTTGTCTTTGATGTGACTATCACCCTCACTGAGGCCGGCCTCCGAGCTGCTCCTGGTGTGCTCATCCATCCACCATTCTTATCCCTCGTGTCAGAGGGGCTCTGGCATTTTCTGCATGTGAAGGGGTCTGAGGCGATTTATGATGCGGTGCAGAAAGCCGTTGGATCATTTGCTAGAACAAACGTCCGTCCTTTCTGACACTTCATATGCATATGGTCAGGGAACGGCTTGGCGACGGTGGGCTTTCTGTTTGGGTACCTGCAAATGCTGCGCACGGTGGGGCCCCAACAGTGGGTTTTTGATGAGCTCGCTGCCATCGCCAACCTGAAATTCAGATTCGCTGAGGAGGAGGACGCCTGCGAGTACGTGGCTCGCATTGCTGCTGACATGCCACACTATGCGCCAGAGCACGCCCTGTGCGGGCCCCACCTCTATGATACTTGGGATCCATCACTGGTGCGCAAACTTCAAGGGTACAGCTCCCCAATTTATTTGAAATGTACACTAACAGCATGCATAAGAACTGGAGTTGTGACTCACCAGTGTTTGATTGGCTGCAGGTCAACACTTTGTTAGATCGCATGAATCCAACAGCAGCGCGCTTTGACCTGCAGACCAGCGCCTTCACAGAGTTGATAGAACAGCAGAATGTCTTGTCACAGCCTGGCGCAATCTCCAGCACAGAACCCTGGTACACAGTTCTCTCAACACCTCATTCCAGCATATCCACATGCCATGTCATTGACTCCTACTGCACATTACCGTTGGACTGCATTTGTGTGCCGTGTGCAACACGGCCTGACAGAGCAGTATGCCATGACAGGTTTGAGCTACCATATGTCTCCCTGCCCCTACCTGCTGAGCTTGTCAGGTCCTGGGAGGAGCCCTCAGAGGCCATGATGCGGGCCCTCTCCCTGCCTCCCCGCAACCACTACATACCAACAGATTTCACGCTGCGCTCTGCTGGCAATGCAGATGCCAGCAGCAACGGTGCTCAGGCAGCTGCGCTCAAAGAAGCTGCTGCCGCTTTGGTCAGAGGCATGTCAGGGACAGCTGAGGAGGTAGGCTCCCTCCTGCCATGCAGGATATTTCCATATCGGTCTGCCAGCACTTCGTCATGACAGGCTGAAGGGTCTCATGCATGCAAACATGCCTCATTGATCGCATGTGGCTTCCATATGACAGGCGGCCAATGGGGACACCAACGGAGCTGCACAGCAGAATGGAGGCATTCAGCCTCTGGCAACTCCGCCACAGCTCATAGCAGACGCGCCGGGGCTGCAGGTGTGGCACAAACTGGACAGCACATTTGAGGTGCCCAAGGCGGTTGCATACATCAACATCACGTCCAAGGCGGCCTATGAGAGCCCTCGGGCTGCGGCAGCCACGCACCTCGCCATGAAACTGCTGGAGGATACCCTCTGCGAGACCACCTACCTCGCTGATGTTGCCGGGCTTGGATATGATGTGCGCCCTTCCTGCCCCTCATCTCTGACATGCACTGATCATGCATGCCTCAATCAGCTTCCAAGATTGTCCAGTACAGCAATGATGGTGTCCTCACGGTGTTTTTGGAACTTTGCAGGTGTGGCCTGAAGGTCTGTCTGGCATCGAAATAAAGGTTGAGGGCTTCAGTCACAAGATGGCACTGCTCACCTCCACCATTGTGCAGCAGCTGGTCTCACTGAAGGTTGCTTCTTACTTATCCCTGAGCTACATTAGAGCTCCTGAATTTTCATCCAATTTCCAGTTTTCATCTCCACGATGTAATCCTCTTCTTCATGCATGTCAAATGTTTAGTGGCCTGTGTCCTTGAAAAAACACATGCATCTTGTGAAGTATGGTGGTGGATTACAGGCTGACCCTCAGTCTTTCGACCGCATCCGGGAGGTCTTGGCGCGCAAGTACCAGAATGCCAACATGAAGCCCGACCGGCATGCCAGCTACTTGCGGCTGCGCGCTCTCAAGCACCTGTGGCATGTGGACAACATTCTTCTGGAGCTCAAACTGCTCACACCAGCAGCTGTGCAGGCATGTTTAGTCACGCAGTAATCTCTAACTCATGTTCCTTAATTTCAGCAATATACTGAGAGAGACACACTGCTTTACTGAGAGGAATCGCATGAAGTGAGAGAAAATGCATAATAATTAGACAGAATGATTATTTACTGGGGAAAACTGGCATTGGTGAGCGATGATGTTTGTCTCGTTCGTCGGAATGGCGAGATCCACCAAGTCTCACAAAGCCTTGACGACAATTTTCACCACCCATAACCTGAGCTCACCGCGGCACAAGCTGCCAGAAATGCCTTCACCTTGCTGTCACCCAACAATCCATCACCCTGAACGCCAACTCTTTCACCGAGTGCTCCACATCTTTGGTCTGGTGCGCGCAGGAGTTCCTGCCGCGGCTGTTCAGGGACACGCACATCACAGCGCTGCTGCAGGGCAACCTGACAGCGGATGATGCGATGGAGATCGCCAGCTCTGTGCGCGCCGCATTCCCTGACGGCATCATGCCAGCTGCCGAGCGGCCCCTCGATCGCGTCGCCATGCTGCCGCAGGCCAGCAGTCTTCTCCACAGGTGCTGCTCCGCTGCCCTCCCCTGCTGCGCTGTCCTGCTGCCATCACCACCTGTGTGTGTCGCTCTGGTTGTTATTGCCCCTTTCAGCAATCTCTGTTCACTCTGGCATTCCACACCAGTGCGAAGCGAAACAGCGCTTTTATGCGCTGGCAAGAGACACTTCCCTGGAGGTTGTTGTTGTGCGACACTCTTGGAGGCCGCCCTAGAAAATGTCACTAAGAAAAAGTCACACTTTGAGCCAGCACCAAGCAAGTAACGCCTCATCAGAGAGTCCATTGCTGCGACTGCGAGACATTTCCCAATTTTCTTGTGGACACTGTGCATGAGGGGTGCATCTGTGTGCGCAGGGCGCCGGTGAAGAACGCGGAGGAGGACTGCTCGGTGGCGGAGGTGTACCTCATGGCGGGGCCAAACGAGGTGCGGCTGCGCGCGGCGCTGGATCTGCTGGAGCAGGTGCTGTCCGAGCCCTTCTACGACCAGCTGCGCACCAAGGAGCAGCTGGGCTACAGCGTCCACGCCTCCACCCGCCTCACCCACGGCATCCTCGGCTTTGCCTTTGTCGTCGTGTCTGGTGCGCGTTGCCTCCTGCTGCGCCCCCTCCTCAGCTCATCTTGCTCGATGCAGCCGGGTTTTTCGCGCTGTGGATGACCATGCTAGTCATGGCAAGGTCCAAAGACCCTTCTATGCAGCTTGTTCTTGTTGCATTGTGGATGACTTTGCCAGTCATTAAGATGGCCTGACCATGCAGCATCTGTTTTTTTGTCCATGGTCATCATGGGTTACTATCATGGGGCACATTTATATGTCCTCTGGAGCGGCTGTGTGTGAGGGGAGCTGACGGTGCTGCTTGCGTTGAACAGCGACTTTTGGGCCGGGGCATGCAGACGAGCGCATAGAGGCATTCCTGAGGGGCTTTGCTGCGCGGCTGGACGCGCTGTCAGTGGACGAGCTGGACTCCAACCGCCAGGCACTCATCGCGGCCAAGACCCAGAAGGACCACACCCTGGCAGACGAGGCCGACCGCAACTGGGAGCAGATCTCAAGCAAGAGGTGCGCGCCAGCCACATTACCTTGCACTCTGCTCCACATGGAACCCCTGCCGCCCCTATCTTTCTACCTTTTGCCATTCTAGCCTGATTCTCTATGTTTTTAACCTTTCCTGATGTCCTTCTTGGCGCTTGCACTGCCTTGCATGTCTTGCATTCTGTCTTGCTTCAGCTTGCCATAACGGCGATTTGGAGCAGGTCACCTTAGACTTTGCTGTTGGCTGGGGTGATTGACAGATCCGGTGGCCTTTCAAGAGTGGCAGTGTCTGAGAGCTGGCTGCCCTGTTGCAGGTATGACTTCCTGGCGCGGGAGGAGGAGGTGGCGGCTCTGGAGCAGCTGACTGTTGAGGAGCTGCAGGGAGTATTCAAGGCATTGCTGGTGCCTGGAGGGCCGGAAAGGAGGAAGCTGGCAGTGCATGTTGTAGGGAAGCCGTTTGCCCAGAAACTCACCAGTGCTGCGCCCGATGGGTGCACCATGCTGTCTGACCTGGCAAAGTTCTGGGAGGACAGTAGTAAGTATGCACCTGTTGTGGGCGCCACTCCAAGTGTTGCAACTATGTAGAATACAGTGCAATAGGTTGCGCTGCAAGGCCACTTTTCAAGTAGGGCCAACCTTCAAGTTGCAATTTTGATTTACAATTGATGGGGTCCAGACATGATTGCAAGTTACTGAAGCTTGCCCTCCCAACTACGTGAGACACATACACAGCTTGCCAACTGTCTGTTTGAGTCCATCCCTCCCATTTGAGGCCTTGGTGTGGCAATCCTTATGTATCTGGTAGCTCTGAATTCTTTAGATATTGTAGTATACTAGCTAGCATCTAAGCATCTGGGCCAACAAGCAACATCCATCTAAGCACCTCAAGGTCAGACAAAACAATTGCTACCTTTCTTGCTAGGCAGGCCACTGGATTTGGTTATCAAGCAGCTGCATGACCTTCTCATAGATGAGGAAAGTGATGGCTGACTGCGGCATGACTCGCAGCACATTGGGCAGCAGGCCCTTGTAGAGGCCCCTGACGCCTTCTCTGCGCATAGTCACCTGTAAAGTGCGCAAGCCACTGTCATAGCGCACGCCCCTGAACTGGTCCTGACGCTGCTGAATCCGAGCACGCACAACCTGCCCATCACACATCCACCCTCACACGTGATTCATGTCGAAGCTGCTGTAGACATCTCTATGCATGATATTTCATGTCTGCAGGTTATCACGAGTCTCTCATTCTGTGAGAAGGTGCCCACAGCTCCGCAATTGAAGGAGCGGCAGGGGGGAGCGGACATGATGTCACACAGTGCACATGTCACACAGTTGATGATTTTGATGCATGGGCATTAGGGACATGATGTCGGTATGTGCCTGTGATGGGTAGGTCACGATGGAAGCTGCAAGCTTGGACACTGCTCCGATGACAGAGATTTCGAGGGAATTGAGGGGCTGTTTGCTGTCATTGTCTCGCATGAGCGGCCCTGATGCCGCCTTCTTGAGCTCCTCATACACCATAAACTGTATTGCGCCATGCGACACCTGCGCATCACCAGCATCTCATTGCGCTGAACACTTGCCTGAAATGACATAAGTCTTCAAGTAAGATAACGTGACAACAGCTCGCGCTGCATGATCAATGACATGCGCAGGAGAGGAGCAGAGCTCACCAACAGCAGGGATGGGAGGAGACCCCTGTAGAACCCTGCGAACCCCTCCTCTTTGGCTATTTGTCTGACTGCATGCCCAAAGCCTCTGTATGGATTCGAGAGCCTGGCTGCTCGCTGTGCTGTTCTTCCACCAAGTGCCTTCAGGCTGCTCACCCTTTGCAGCTGGAGGCGCGTTTTGATGACCCAGATTGGATTCGTCAGCAGGCAGACCTGCAGCAGCCCTTGAGCAGTCAAATAAGGTTGCCTCGAGATGCAGATGATGCACTTAGCATGTTGCAGGATTCATTCAAAGTGAGGGATACTTACAATGCAACCGGCCTCAGCAGCAGACAGGAGGTGCAGTGGCGCTGACAAGGAGGCTTCATTCCTCAAACCCTGCCACCTCATCTTTGCATTGTTATATGCTGTGAAGTAAATGCCCCATGACAGCCCTGGACCATGGCAAACAGTCGTGAGCAATGCACAAGGGAGCGCCTGAGTCCCTAGCTGGAGAGGACAAACAATGTCTGTTGAGATGGGGGCCGCACCTGCGCCCAGAAGGGCTGGCGATATGCCAGCATAAAGCGCTCGCCAACCCTCGTCCTGAACAATCCTGAAAAGTGCATCTCGAGTCCCATAGTACACTGGAAGGACTCCGGCCACACCGTCTTGGACTGCAGAGGAGCATACACGGGTTCAGGCTCGCCATCAAAATATCTAGTAGCGACCAAAGTACCCTGAGGAGCACCTTGTACCTTGGAGACGAGTCTTGACGACGTCCAACGGATGCAGGGCTAGGACTGAAACCAAGCCAGCGGTGCACCCAGCAACGGCATGCTTCCTGCAACGAGTAAAATCAGTTCAAATTATTGCCTGATGATCTCTCAATCGTATCAAAAGTGCAAGGCTATATAAAGACAGGATCCACTGAGCAATTCATCCCAAACAAGCAGCTGAGGAGCGCTGAATTTCTGAAGCCCACCAGCTGTGCTCACTGTTAGACATTTGTCAAAGGGGTAAGGTTATCGCGCTGCTATTTTCTATTTCACAAGACCGTACATAATCCCAAGTACGAAAGCAAAATAGACCTGTGCAATGTGCATGTACACCGAACCGCAACTTGCCAGTGAGACTGAATGAGAATGAAGCGATAAAGGTGAGAATTGTATGTGTCCTTTACGGAGACGTCAATTCTTCAACTTCATAGTAATGGAAAGAGGAAGAGAAATGGACGATGGGATGGCCTGCGTCGTGGAAGGCAGCTTCCACAGAAAGGGAAGGTGCCTTGGGGGTGCACTGCAGGAAGACATGGGTCAATGCAGATTCTCCATTAGTATGATCTCATCACTGAGATTTGGACAATAAGCTTTCGTGGGAGTTTGCTCGACTCATGCATGTTATGCTGCACAGAAGCCCGCGCTCATGAGTGATCACAGATTCATGAATTATTATAAGAATTCTTTTTTTATTATATATAATGATTATGTATAATGATTCACTGATCAGCTGCGCAGTCTGGCTGGGTGGCTGGGCCAGCTGTGAGCAATGATCAGTACTATAGGCATACTAGGCCTAGCCTGGCAGGTGTTTTGCAGTTCAAAATTTGCACGGTAATTCAAGTTGACTTCAATTAGAAGCGTGGCTTCAAGATAAGATATCGTCATCAGGTTGATTGTTGTTCTTAGAAAATAATACCAAAAATCTGCTGTTCCAAGAAAGGCCCCATATGGCTGCGCTGGCTACATCCTAGATTGCCCATTGGCAAATATATCATTTTCTTCTCGCCATGTAGACCGAGTGTGCATCCCTGACTCTTTCCATGCACTGTCAACAGCACTTCAATTGCGATTGCCACCCTGCTGCCCTTTGGCTGACAGGCAAATTGAAATCACCATGCATTCTCGTGCTACCAGCAAATGTGCGTGCACCCACTCAGATTCCCTGTAATCTCCTTATGCAAAGTCGCTTTCGCTCTGCCTTCCGTACAATTCTTGTCTTCTCGCTCACAGACCAACTGTAGTTCACAGGTACCGGCCTCGGCTATCCCCATCATCGAGTGGGAGGCCCAACGACAACGATGAAAATAAATAAGATTGCTATCACCAAACCACCGGCAATCTGCAGAACCACGAGTTGATTCTGTCAGGTATAATCACATGCCTTGCAGTTTGTTTCAGCACCTTACTATAGTGCCGAAGTAAGCAGGACTCACGCGTTGCTCAGGCAAGGGAGAGACAGCGACCACTTGCCTTGAAGAAGTTCTCTCCGCTAAACACGTCAAGCAAAAGACTTTCTTGCTCTCTGATCTGATCTCGTCGTAATCTTTTGGCTGATCTCCTTGTGCTAGTACTGCTCTCCACCTCAGGCAGGTCTGTCAACACATCCCAGTGAAGGTCTTGATTTGGCACGCAAAGCATATCTGGAGTGAATAGTTCAGAGTGAAGAATGTCAGAATAAAAACACTCACTCTGCTTTGCCTTACTCCACTCAGCGTCCCAGTCAATGCCTCCTTTATCACGGTCTTCTTGCCGTGCTCTGCAACAGTTATCACTTGATCTGACTCGTCCTCTAGTGAGTGGTGGTCTTTTTTGTGAGAATGGAGACCTGACAAGACACTTATTGACTGATCCGAAACTGCAGTGCCCTGTCACAGTCATTGTAGCCCTGCAACAATAATGTGGATGAGTGCCTCACTAGTGCCAAGCTCTTTATTCCGTAGAGAAACAATATATCTTTGGGGCAGTGATGGAGTTTCTGGATAATTTGCTCGTGTGGAACATGAGCAGTTCGGGAGCATTCTCTGCCCCGCCTCAACACAAGACACGCTTAGACACCAATTAATTCCGAACAATTCAACGGACAGCTCAATGATAAATGGGGAGAGTATAGCTGTTTTGGGCAGATGTCAGCTCTTGGGTCTCCCACAATACGTTAAGAGGTGAGACCGTCATGGACTGGGAGACCAGCAAGGAGAACTTTCAGCCCCTCAAGCAAGGAAGGGACCCTACACAGATCTTGAAAAAAGCTGCCCAGACTCCAAAGAAATTTGATTCTCAGGTTGAAGAGCAACGGAGGTGAGCAAATAAACATGTGAAATGTACTATTCTTCCAAGGACTATAATTGCTGATATGGCACGTACACAGCTGGGCTGACAAAACTCCATTGCAGGCTCTTCTGGAAAGAAATTACAGAGTACGAAGGTCCCGACCCCTTGGAAGTTTGGCTGAGGTGCGGTATCTGCCCGTAATGTCTCGCCTGAATGCACTGTTCATATTTGCCCTCACGCAAGCTGACACTCCAACATCCTGCAGGTTCATCAAATGGACACAGGATACTTTCAAGAGCGGGGGGCACAGGGCGGAGGTCCTTCCGCTCTTGGAACGTTGCACTAGAGAGCTGCAGGACAATTCGCAGTATAAAACCGACGTCCGCTACCTCCGTGTGTGGATTCAGTATGTAAGAAAGCTCACCTTCCTGCCTTGCCTGCCCCTTAACGATAGCCTCTCTTTCCACCGGGCATATGCCAGGAGTGCTTTGAAAGTTTATGTCAACTTCAACTTTCTTGGGTGTTCCATAGGCCGACTGTTTGCCGGAGCCAAGAGATGTCTTCACATACCTGAAGGTGGGAGCACTCTCCACCTGCCTTTCAGGGTATTTGCGCCTAGGCACATACTCTTCCTCCATACAATTGCCGTTCAGCATGCATGGTGAGCGCAGGAACACAACATTGGGCAGGATTTCTGTGTCTACTACGTTGCATATGCTGCCTACCTTGAGCTGCGAGGCAGTTACGCCAAGGCAGAGAAAGTGTTCCAAGCCGGTCTGCAAAGGTATGGACAATCCCTAATTTTGGCTTGCTCACAACACGAACCCCTGTTCCCCTGAGTACGATGGGTCATACTCTGATTTCGTGCACAGGATGGCACACCCTGTTGACAGGCTGCGCAGCAAGTACGAGGACTTCCAGCACAGAATGGTGCGTCTTCACTCGTCGACACTGCACAAATGCTTTACTCCAACTATTCATCTGATCTGTAGATAGCATGTGGAGCAAAACAAGGATGGATCCTGCGCTGTGCCGTTCCCACTCAGTGCCCTCTGAGATCTCCGTCAGCATCATGCAACAGCTTCCTGTGATGTGGCAGGCGCGGCGGCAGGCGCGCAAGGCGGTGGAGGGCGATGTAGCCACTGCAGCAGAGGATGAGAATGGTCACCCAGCGCGGGCGGCGCTGAACACCCTCAAGGCGGCCAGGCCGCGGGGTCCTCGGGCCAGGCAGGCAGCTGCCACTGCCCAGGCAGCTGGAGGTATCAGCCGGCCCAAGCGCAAGGGCCTCTTTGCAGCCGCATCCGACTCAGAGAACAGGCCTTCTGGCGGTATGCTTCCATCTGCACCACTTTACAAGCACATCACTATTTTGGTTCAAAACTGTACATCACTGAAATCTTTAAATTCATGGTTGCTTCGGTGCAGGGCTGGACATCTTTGTGGACGAGGCATTCCGGCCCGGCGGATCATCTGCTGAAGCAGTGCCAGAAGCCGCTCACACAGGAGAGACGGGCTGGAAACAGCTGGGCACCTTTGAACAGACCCGAAAGGAGAATATGCAGCAGCCCGGCAGATGGGCAGGTGTGCATGCACCCATTGCCTTAACCCAAAGTACAAAAAACATTGAGCGTGCAATAGCACACCTCTGCTTTCTGGCACGTGAAGTTCCTGCTACAAGTTCATCTACTTGTGTGCATACTGGTGCACCGGCGCTTACTGATTTATGTTTGCTGGTTTATTGGTATTTTGTTGTGCACAGGAGCAAAGTTGAAGCAGAAGCAGTCCTTGATGGTGGAACCGGCTCCTTCCCTGGAGATCCATGTGGACGAGGAACTGGCGCAGCAGCCCTTACGACGCAGGGCCAAGCCAGACATCGCGGCTGGACCCAGCCTGCGCCTGCGCCTGGACGCACCCGACCTAGAGGAGCACCTGCAGCACGATCCCCTCCGACTCCACAAGGTATGCTGCTTGAATTATTGAGTCCACAATTTGACATTTCAATTTCACGATGTAGAGCACATGCATGCGCTTTGCCGCCCTGGGTGCAATCTAACGGCGAATTGCTGCCGACTGCATCTAGAAATGGTTTGCACATGGACCTTGTATAATGTCAAAAGACTGATCGTACTCTCTTTCTTCATTGTGATGTGATTTCTGGCTGATCCTGAGCTCCCTAGCCTCTGGTTTCTTCATTTCAATTTCGATTTGGGCACGCCATGACCCAGCGCCCGCTCATTGTCAGCATCACATGGTGCTGGGGGGGGCTAATGAGTACTTTGTGGACCACACTGTAAGCATGTGAATTGTGGCTTGTAGGGTCAGCCACTGGCGTCAGAGGCGATTCACGAGCCCATTGCTGCATCGCGTGAGAGGGCGGTGGCGGAGGGCCCTGCCCCCAAGCGCAAGCGCGAGGAGCGCTTTGCCTGGGATGCTGAAAAGCTGGAGGGTCCCTCTGGGATTGAGTTGAGCTTTGAGGAGGTAGAAGCGCAAGCATTTGTTCAAATCTTGAAATGCTATGCTTCTGCAAACGCAAAGGTTGACAGAAATGGTGGCCTGCTACTGTATCATCATGACGCATCACCTTTTAGATTAGTGAACCTGATGATGATCTGCTGGTTGCAGGTGCGTGCCCGCGACTATCTGCAGCATTCCAAGGCTGCGGCGCAGGCTACCCAGCGGTCTCCTGCGTCAGACGCCATGGACATCAGCTCCCCAGTCCAGTCGCCTGCAGCCAGGGCCGCCCCAGAGCCGGACCTGCACGCCACACCCTCCCCGGACGCAGCTCACCGCTCCCCTGCAGCTATGGCAGGCTGCAGTGAGCCGGATGCAGGTGCGGCCGCACAGCAGCCAGCGGTTGGGGAACGGCTGAAGGCGGTGCGCACGCAGCTGGCGGCCGCGGCAGAGGAGTGCGACGCGGTGCGGCTAGGCCGCGCAAACTCCAGTGCGTCTCCGGCCTCGGACGGCAGCAGCCAGCCGCGCACGCAGCCCTCCTCGCCGGCCTTTGAGCGCTCGCTTTCCGGCAGCCCACTGACAGCCGTCCAGGAGGAGCTGCCCTCTGACCTCGCCGCGGCGGCTGAGGTGCACCAGCCGACGGTTGACGCCGCAATGGACGTGACCATCGCGACACAAGCCGCCTTTGCCGCGGTGAACAACATGTTTGCGGAGACCATGGCCCTGCCGAGGCAGCGGCAGCCGTCCGCCAGTGCACCATTCTCCGCAGCAGGCGACCAGCACGGCCTTCAGGGATCTACAGGTGCAGTGCAGGCAGAGCTGCAGATGCACGGCGAGGCAACGGCAGCCGCACAGCGCAGCGGGGCCGACATCACGATCGCAACGCGCAGCGCCTTTGACGCGGTCAACTCCATGTTCCACGGCGCGCTGCCGCACGACGCGCCCTGGCCCAGCCAGATAGGGAACTCCCTGCCACGCCGCGGCGCCGGCCGCGTGTCGTCCGGCGGCGCCCTGCCCGCCAAGCTGATTGCCGGCCGCCACCAGCCGTCAGCGCGGCGCAGCTCGTTCCGCCGCAGCGTCGCGCCCGAGCCGACCGTCACCATGGGCACACAGGCCGCCTTCGACACCCTCAACAGCATGTTTGCCAGCCAGCTGCCTCACGAGAGCGCAGGCGCAGCTGCGCAGCATGCAGAGCCGGTCAGCCATGGGGACGAATTGACTGGCAGAGGACTGCAGGCAGCGCCAGCCGAGCCTGCCCTGGGTGAAGCCGGCCTTGACTTCAGGGTCTACGAGGACACGCAGGTCTTTGGCCGAAAGCCTCAGACAGACGCCAGCGGGGAGCTGGCAATCTACGAGGACACCCAGTTCATGCGGGCGGCTTCCGCACTCACCGCCCGCTCGCTGGCAGAACGTGAGGGCTCAGATTTTTCCGCGGCCGCCGCACCGCCCCAGGAGTCCCCCACAGGCTTCCAGCTCTACGAGGACACGCAATTCATGAAGGAGAACGGCCAAGGCGGCCCAGGCGACAGCCTGCAGCTCTACGAGGACACACAGTTCATCGGCTCTGCCGCGTGTCGCGCCGGCCCCGGTGCCGCACCGCAGCCGGCCGCACAGCAATCGGCAGGGCTCGGCATTTATGAGGAGACAGAGTTCCGTACTGTGGGCGGCGCGCAGCGGGAAGACTCCCCACGACACGCTGGTTCAGGCGTCCTGGAGGTGTACGAGGATACGGCACTGCTGCAGGGGCTGCAGGCAGATGCGCGGTTGCCAAGGCAAGATGTGACGGCCTTCATGACAGAGAATGTGGCGCCTCCTGCCAGGCACCAAGCCGACCAGGACACTGGAGACCTGTTGGCCGACGCCGATGTACTGGATGTCCTTGCAGACCAGGTGGCGCTATCTCTTCCTTCAATGCATGCTTACTTCGCCTTCTTCAGTGCGCCTGTGCTTGAAAAACATTCCAGGCTGCTGCGAGCTGATTAAGAGCAGAAGCCATCAATGTCTGCAAGCGGCAGCTGTGCTGAGGTCTCTGCAATCTTCAAGCGAGAGGTCAGTCATAGTCTTGTGCTTCTGTCGGGGTTCTGCAGGCTAGTTGAGAATACCTGCAAAAGCCATTGCTTTTAGCATGCGGCAGCTGTGCTGAGGTGTCAGTGGGATGTCTGTTGGGAGATCTGACGCCTGGTGATTTTGTACAGGAGAACCTGGGGACGGCTGAACGCATTCTGCCTGCGCGCGATCTGGGCGATCCTGCAGCGGCTGCCTGCGTGCTGCAGGACTTGTCTTTGCAGCGCACTGCGGCTCTGGGGGTCCAGATTGACGAGGACGTGGACGCGCTGCAGCGACTGCACCTGGTGAGAGCCCATCACGCGCACCTTGGCATGCCCTTCTTGGCCCAGCATCCCTGGAATAGGCTTGGCATTGCATCAAGAAAGCTTCATCAGTGGATGAGGGTAGAGATCAATGTGCCTCGCTCATGCTGCGTTGGATTTCTGCTTGCAGGCGGGCACTCAAGAGCCAGAAGGTTTTGATGTGTTTGACTGTGCTGACGCGCGTGAAGGCGAGAGCGGTAAACTCGGCAGTGGAGCAAGCAGCAGCTCAGCCCACCTGTCATAGGATGGTAAAGATACAGGCGCAGCATTTGGTCATGGCATGATGATTCTGCATTATGGAAAAATTGACAAGGCTTGCCAGGCTGGTACTGCACATACAGCCTGCAGAGTTGGATTGCTGTCTGACAAAATTGTATCTAGGGATTGTAGATTCAAGGAAAGACCCCAAAAGCTGATGAAGTCCACTCTTACAACTGCGCATGCGTAGCTGCAGCAGCTGAAATTTGTAAGATGGTGTTGTTACGACCCTATAATGATTATTTGAGATCTGTCATGACCTGCTCATATGTCATGGCTGGTTCATCAGACCGGCTTCGGTAGATAAGATCAGGCAAATCGCACTGGTAATATAGCCCTTTGCAATGGATATACAGCTTCAAGACGGACTTGCCATCCTTATTGTGCTAGTACGAGTTGCCAAGGACTGAGAAACAACACAGCACAACAAATCATACTACTTTCATAGTAAATGCGTGTTTGGCTGTATTTCTGAGCTTGAGGTACCTGCAGGACAGTGGGAATCAATTGAGTTCCAGACACAGTCAAGTAAAAGTTTCTATTCAGTCAGAGCTTCAAGCACCTTGCAACATGCAGTTGGGACCTCACACATACACATACGCAACACAGCGGGGTGATTTCAATCTAAAAAACAATGGTGAGCACCATGCTGTTTAAGTGCTGGCCTGAGAAGCTCACGCTGAGAAGACCGCCTATCGCGCAGCAAACCACCATATGGCCCAAGCTCATTATTGTCAAGTGGCTGGAGGCTGACTGAATGAAGAGACCCATTGCCAGGGCACCCAGCCCAGCAGAGCACCAGAGCCCAGGTGAACGACCATAGTTTCGCCAATAAACACGGACATACTTTTTGCATATAATGTTCATAACAGCTGCGGGTTGCATCACGCACACAAGTCAGCTGCAGCCTCCTGACTGTACTATGAACAACGAGCAACAAGGTCCAAGGCAAATATTGGATGTTTCAAGAATGTGGGAATTTTTCTTTTCATACCTGAGAACACAGAGAAGGACAGGAGGATGGTAAAATTCCAAAGAGGTTCCCACAAGAGAAAGTCATTCTCCAGTGAGTTTTGCTGGCACGTCTTACCGCGTCCCTCGGCGGCTGTTGCTCTCTTTTGCGCTTTGTAATTTTGGCCTAAAGCCTGTTGAGCCAGCACCAATCAGATGGAATTCGATACTTTATAAATCAGAAAATTGCTGGAGAGACGCACAAGCAGATTGACACGTTTTTGCATCTAGAGGTGTTTGAACCCTCCACTCCTTTTATGTTTACCTCGCCAATGTGACCTTGAAGGCCATACACACCCACAGCGCCATCCGTTGCACCTGCAGTGGCGCTTGTGTATCAATCAAAGGAACGGTGAGCAGTGCATCCGTGAAGACGAGTTAACGCAGAATTTCACCGAGTATGTGGAGGTGGGTTTACCTAGAAAGTAGCCAAATGAAAGCAGGCCGATTGCTGCTATCAGTCCTACAATGTTGGGTTGCCAAGTGCATACTCCGTTCATGAGGCCCTGGATGAATTTTTAAGTCTTCAGATGACTTCGCTGTGATCACGCTGTTGATTCACAACCACGCCTAACACTCGATGGTTGGGTTTTTGAGAACTGCTTTCGCCTGTATGGCTGGATTACACAGCGTGCAGCTCCAAAAGCTGCAGCTTTTCCTTAATCATCATATATCCTGTATTTCCGGCTTTGAGTCCGGCTTGCCACCGTTATCCAACCAGGTTGCTGCACATCCAGGACTGAAAGATTATTCGAGAGCAAAAATGGCGAAGAACTTACGAACGACATAGGCAAGGGATCAGCGGCAACTATGTCGAGCGCGGTTGCTTTGAAGTGTGACTGATCTCAGCAAAACAACACACTTCCAGTCAATTTACACTATGGCTTGTTCACAGGGCATCACAGGAAAGATTTTACTAGTGTGGTGTGCTCAGAGTACAACCTAATCAGGCAACTTGGCGATGAAACATCTTCTTTCTCTTGATATTTTCTCGATCCTGGTACAATGTGGTGATCAATAGAAAAGGCTGGATCACTTTAATTTCAAGCTCAGTCAATGTCTGGTGAAAATCTGTGATACAAGAGAACGGACGAGATTCCGAAGATTCAGGGATCTTGACCACATACACTGTCAAAATTGCGAGAAGATGAGGTCGAGAAGGTCATTCCGCAGACGAGAATTTGAGGTTTGGCAGTTTGATTTTACTTCTTGTGCATCGTGGTATCTAGCGCAACCAACATTTCGCAGAATGAAAGAAGGCAGATGTCCAACCTCGCCGCCGACTCACTGGCTGATCGCCATATTTCTTGCTGTGCAGATGCGCAACGAGAAGAAGAGGGAGAACATACCTTGGAGGCAAAGCGTCAAGATATTCAGTGCTGCAACGACCTTACTAGTCGTGGGATACATTCTGGGTGGGTGGGCGGCCACCTTCATGGATTCTCTTGCTTTCGAAGGCTGTGCCTGTCTTAACAGGCAGCTCTGAATCATGGCTGCTGGGCAGGGGCTCTTAGGAAAACTGAAGGGCCGTACCAGATATGCCAGGTAAAGTAAAAAGGCGTAAATGCAGACATTCTTTTCTGTCCAAAGCATGCCCCTTCCTCTGAGAGTGCATCAAAGATTTAGGAGCTCCACAGGTCCCCCACACCATGTCATGGACATCATCATAGATTGCCCCTTGTGCTGGAATAGGTCGGTCAGGGAGCTCTCGGGGTCCTTTCATGTCTTGCTTGGGAGACACAGCGGAGTCTCAGATCGACCGCACTATTGGGGCGTCTGTTCGGCATATTGTTCTGCTGCAGTCTTTCCGGGGTATTTGTGGGTAAGACCCATACTCGGTGTCCAAAATACCAGACGACGAGCCTGCAGTTTGGTTCGTTCTCCTCTATCTTGTGTGTATGAAAAGATCTTGGCAATGTGCTCAAGGAAAGGATGGTAGGCGAGAATACTGCTCACTGACAGCCCCCGCAATCATTGCTTTTGGTTACGCACTGGAGCTGTCTAAAACTACCAACCAGAAATACTGTACAACGCATGCAGGGTTGGGAGCGACCCTTGCGAAAAAAATCCAGCGGGTCTTCTTCCGCGCCAACTGGATACTGATGGTCATTTTCCTTGTTAGCTTTCTATATGGCAACAAATTGAACTTTGATAATTGGATCATATACAACAAATCAAAAAAGTTCAGCTGGTCAATGTGCATCAGTGGGCAAGCCATCCTCAGCGCTGCCATTGGCGGAATGGACATGGTAAATCATCAAGCTTTTGAGTCGTGATTTCAGTGCAAGTAAGTCTGTCTGTGACAGCCGCTGATGAGAACTTTTCTGTTGAACAAGTGACTTGTGCGCATCATTGCAGGTGGTTCGGGCAGGCGATTGGAAGCAAATGAGGTTATGGTATTACGCGGTATACAGCGTTACAGTATCTCTCTTGATCCTCCCCTGGCAAGGACTAACCCACACTAGCCAAGGCTTTCAATAAAACCATTTTTGATCTTTTGGCACCCCAGCTGCCACTCAGTGCGCAGTGCGTAGGGAATTGACGCTGTCCGCACTGCAAAATGCAAGCCAAGACAGGGCCAGATTGTAGGGTTGGGGTCGGGGCAAAGGCAGATATGATTGGCTGGCTGCCCGCTGGCTGGCTTACAAGCATTGCTGACTGGCTTGGTGGCTGAGTGCAGCCGGCACTGTTACGTCATGTTGAAGTCTCAGAGTGTGATGGCAATTGAGAGGTTGTTCCTGCGAGGCTGAGATCATCTCAGTGAGATGCGATTGCTCATGCCTGGTGACAGTATCATGAGGCACTGACTGAGTGTCTTACAAGACTGGATTGGTTTGTCAGACGGGAAGACAGGAATGTAAGGGCCTTACTGGCTCTGGCCTGAATCAAGCAGATTCAACCGACTCTGCTACAAAAGTGATTGCTTTCAAGGGGAGAGACTTCACCCATGCGCAGACATCTATCCTACACTTGCTACTAGTTATGAACTCTCTGTAATTGGAAAATATTCCCAAACATGTAAATTGTCTGTGCTTAACGAGAAGCTGATACAGAATCATGACATTTTGACATACAGCAGAGTGCTGTCTTTCTCGGTGGCTCGCAGATCAGGACATCATTTGCATGCAGGATGGTGGGGGTTGCCAGAATTGGCACCCGTCAGCTTCAAATTTTGGAAGCTGCACAGCGATCTGAAAAGCAAACTGCGACACGCAAAGCTACCCAGCAAACTAAGAGCTTTGGAAGAGCTTTAGATAAATCTCAATAGACTGGTGCCAGCATGACGAAGCGTCGTACGAATGACCAGAGCTCTTATGACAGGAAGATAAATGGCGGAAGGCAGAGGCGGGAGCTGTCGCCACAGGTACAGCGGACCGTATGTGGAAGTAAGTTGCTCTCGCGCTCATCAGTGACAAACTCTCGAGTGGTCATGTCCGCAAACGATCCCCTCTGGAGGAGTGCTGGAAACGAAGATTTCAGGGTATATACCAATCTACTGCCCTCAGCTCCTGCTCTTCATTCTCTGACATCATCCATGATGCAGTCTTCGTGGCCGTCCTCGTGCTTCTGGCCGCCTGTTTTTACCTTGTCTTTATATTCGCGCAGAAGAACCTGCAAAGCTCCTACGATACACTGGGTGAGATTCTCTCATATAGGTGTCTTTCACTGACTCAGCTCAGCTCACATACCTGCCAGTAACGTCCTTGCTACCACTTCTGTCGACACTGTGTCCTTTAGAAGACATTGTACATGCTCTCATGACATCAAGCTTGTGTCCTGCAGACCATTGAAGGCTTGCAGCCGGCCTTGAAGACTGTAAGGATGGCAGGAAACAGAAAGAGGCTGCAGGTGGATTGGAATGGAGGGGTGAACATGAGGGCAACTCCAACCTCAAGCCCTTTGTGATACTTGAGGACTGCTGTTCTGGGGTCTGTGCAGCTGTACTTCAGGACCAATGTCGTTCCTGAGGTTTCACCAGTTCAGCGGAAAGTGTTCAGCAAACTCCAGACTCTGTCTGTGGTTGGAGACAGGCACAAGATGACCTGTAGCTTGTGTCACTCCCCAGTGTACATGTAGGTTGCTTGTTTTGTAAAGGCTCTGCTCTATAAGATCTGACGCCAGCAAACCACTTAGCCTTTCCACTTGTTGCCAAGCATGCATGCACTTAACCATGTGCAATGTGCAGTGTCTCAGGTGCAACTTGCAGAAGAAGCATGGCAACTCAGCAGTTGCATGGCATCTGTCAGGTGGTGACTGGCTGCCAGAGAGGTGTAAGGGCCTTTCTGATGATCATTGATGCATGGTGCCTTGAACATTGATGCATGGTGCCTGCAGCGCTGCGCTCATGCTGAGCATGCTGAGCTCAGCTATTGCATGCAACGCGCAGTGCAGAAATGACCCTCTCATTATGTGTTGGCCACAGAGCTGAGACAGTAGCAATACTCTTCCTGATGTCCTGCTAAGTTTTGGACACTCGCTTTGATTTTAATCGCCAGTCATGTGTGTGCACCTGTTGTTTTTCTGCCCTGCCTTCTACTGTGCTCGCAGCTCATCTGAGGCTTCCTCTGCAGCCGGCTCTTCACTTCAACCTTCAGCAGCGCTGCATATCACAGTGCTTCCTGGCTTGGGAGTTTATGCATCCGTGTGCGCGGGAGATGTTCTCCTTTATTCTGTGGTTCTAACTTCTCACCATCTGCATGCAGGTGTTGGTTTTGCCATTGTCTGCCTGGCCTCTTGTCTTGCATTGACTCCTGTGTGTGTTCCTCTGATGGACCGAGCCAGTTGTCAAGCAGATTTTGTGTGTGTTTTGGTTTGGCAGTCCCTGTCTGATGTAATAAGATTGCACCATCTTTCCCTCTAGGCCTTCCTCTACATATATATCAGTACCACACGAAGGAGAGGTGGCTGCTTAGGGTCCAGGTGACTCCTAGGGTTCTCAATTTCACTCCCTGCTGTGTGTGCCATGAGAAATGCTCCTGTGGAAAACCACAAAACGCTCTCCCTTCCACCTGGCTACCTCGCATCGTGGTATCTTGAAGTAATGAAGGCCAAAAGGAAGCGCAGCAAGAATGCAGGTGTTGGAATCGACTTCAAACGTGCAAAGCTCAAGGTTGGCAAAAAATTGCCGAAAGCCCAGAATGCCACGGACACAAATTTTAAGGCCCAATCCATCAGCCTACCAGGACAGAGTGCCTTCACGGATGATCGTGCCGGAGTTGCAGTCAGTGATCGCAACCTCACACTGAAGGTGATCTGGGAGACGATCCAGTCTGAGATAGCACTTATAGCGTGCATTATGCATCTTTATTGCATCAGCTTACTTCAAACCATATTCAAATCCGCATGTCTTCGCAATCATTTGTTTCCTTCGTGCAGGACTTGCTTGGCCAAGTTGGTCATTACAGTGAGAAAGTCCGCAAGGACGCTCTGCAGGGAATGTCAGAGCTCTTTTCGAATCATCCAGCGGAGCTCAAGAGCCAGGTGGGTTGCGTTGAACGCAACAGTGCCTGACAAGCTCAAAGAAGTAGGAGCAGTCCTGCTCTGAAATTATAAAGCTGTCGGCCGATGATGATGCAGGCGGGGCTTGTTGTAGAAGCACTGGCTGAACATTTAGCTGATGCTGATACAAGTGTGCGTGCGGCTCTCAAAGACCTACTCAAGGCTGTTGTCTTCCCTGGCCTGGGACCTGCCGCACTGGCGCCCTTTCTGCCCCTCATCATGGCTCACATCACCAGTGCCATGACCCATCTGGCTGAGGCTGTCCGGTGAGCATGTCCCTGCACTGTCTGCATGAAACTCTCAAACGATGGTTTCCCTCGAGGTGGGGTACTGCCGGCACCTGTCTGCAGTCACAACTGCTGGATTCCTGAAATGAGCTCGTCAATGTTTGTGGCGTGCAGCAAGGATGCCCTTCGTTTCTTGAACCTGATGATGGCAGCAGCGCCGCAGCAGGTCACTGGCACTTTCTTGCTGCCGGCGCTTCAACACTACAGCCACCTGCTGCTGCCCTCCCAGCGTTCACGCTCTGTCAAGGCCGGCTCTGTCAAGACACTGCTGGAGGTGCGCTCTAAGCACTGCAGGATCCTCCAAGACAGTAACAAGATTGCTTGTCCACCCTTAATGACCTCAAATGCAAGGTTCACCACTGCTGAAGCATCCAATACAAATTGGAGTGCTCCTTCTACATTTGATCACATCGCATGTGAGGGGCCTTGACATGTTGCAGGTGGTTGAGGGGTTGAGAAGCCTGCTGCATCAGGCAGCAAGTGTTGACCAGCGCAAGCTCCACGAGAGGCCGCATGTGGAAGCTGGCACAGGCACCAATACACCCGCATCAGTGTCAGGCAGAGCAGCAGATAGCACGTTGTTTGCACAGCGATTTGAACCGCCGTCGAGGTCCCTCATGGCGCACTTGATCGGCACCAGCCAGGGTAACCCCTTGCGGCAGCCTTCAGGGCAGAAGCAAAGAACCGGTGCTGCTGAGGGTGGGCTCTCGACTCCATCCATCCCCACGCATTTGATTGCTCATGGTCCACATCTAATCGGAAATAGCTTTTTAGTGCGTTGTCCGAATTCACACTGTTCCTGCACACCTCTTGATCATTACGGTCCTTGGGACTTGTAAGATTTGTGGTATTGCAGGAGGCAACACAAAGGAGCCTCGTCAGCTTGCGTTGGAGAGTTTGCTGGAGCGCTTGTTGGAGGCATGGGTGGAATGCACCCCAGGCCAGCTGTCCTCTGCTCCTGATGCTGCGGCGGTGCAGTGCTGCGAGGCAATCCTTCACTGCGCAAGCCTTGTTCTCGACCGCATGACGCCGGGTAAGTCTTCAATTGATTATGCTGCCTCATCATTGCTTGAACACGTCCATTTCCGCCGCATTCTGCTCCCTCAGCATTCCAGCATGCCTGTGTTCTCATGCAATGCGGCTTATCGGGTTTACTTGTTTATGAGTTTGCTGGATGTGTGCAGGAAGCGACCCGGCATGGGCTTCTGCCATCATCAGTAAGGTTGCGCCTCACGTGCCAGTGAGTGCGCCGGTGGTGAGAGTGTCCCCGGCAGTCACAGACTCCCTGGTGAAGATCAATGTGTCATCCGCGAAGCTGCTCACGAGATTCTTGACAAGCACTGATGCTCGGGTACACCTCCGCGATCCCCTGCCTCCATGTAGATATGCAAAAGCAAAAGTACATGGCAGGAATGAACTCTGTCAGCAGAAAAAAGGAATTCAAAGCAGATGTAAATTCTGTCACAGCAGCCCTCAGGTTGCCATTGTTCACCTGAGTTGCTCTGCAGGCGTCACAGCGTGGGAATGTCATCTGGATGGAAAGATTGCTGGGTTTCTACGAGGGATTGTTGCGGGACGGCCAGGTGCTGCCAGCCAGCAGCAGCATTGGCGAGGCGCCAGAGCAGCCCGCCATCTCCGCCGATGTCTACACGCATGTCCTGTCGGGTGCGCACACACTCCTTCAAGTCTGCTCCCTGAATCTAGATGACCATCACAGTCCTTGCTGCACTGCACGAATATGTACTGCGATTGCCATTTTATGAGAAAATATTTTATGAGCAGATATTGCGTTCTCTACTTGAATAAGTACCTTGAGCAAGGGATGCATGCATAGCAGGTGTGCGCACTGCGCTGCCGTTTGTCACTCCGGAACGGCGGCACAGCCTGCTGGCGGCTGTTGATGCATTGACGAGCCGCGTCACCGCCAGGTCAGCGGTGGCTGCTGCCTGCCTGCAATTCCGCGCTTTTTTCCTTGCGCGGCCCGATGTGTTCTATGCTGACCCTGCCACGGGGCTGCCGCTCATCAGCGAAGAGGAGGCTGCAGGCTGGCTCAGGGTGAGGCTGCAGCCTGAAAAACAATGTCCTGTCTGTTTCACGATCATGCCTAAACGTCTGAGTGAGAATGATTATTCTCTCTGTTCATGCTCATGCCTTAATGTCTGATTGAGAATGAACATCCTCTTTGTGAATGCTCACGCCTACATGTCTGATTGAGGATGAATACTCTATTACATGGTCATGCCTAATTTTTTCATGCCAATACCTCGCAAGAAGCTGTCATGATGCAGACATTGATTGGAGTGTGCAAGTTGGTGTTGCAGCCGCTGCCGCGCCTGCTGTGGGAGCTGGGCAGCAAGCACCCAACAACTTCCTTGACAGCTCTGCGCATGCTGCACAATGCTGCGCGCTATTCCAGACCGGACGGGCCCATCAGCGCAACCCTGCAGGAGCTCCAGGCTCAAATGACCCCGCTGTACATCACAGCAATGCCCGCAAAAGGCAGCGCAGGTAAGGTGAAGAAGGGGGTTCAGGAGGAGGCGAGCATGCATGCTGGAGAGCAGCGAATTGGTGCAAGACTCATGCCAGGACCCCTGGCGCGGCTTCCGCTGGAATGCCAGGTGAGTGCTCACGCTCGCTGTCGTGCACTTATAACCTCATGACCCAGGGAATCACCTGAAAAGGGCATGCGTGTACAACAGTGTTTGAAGTCCCTCCCTGATGCTTTGATTGAGCAGACTCTGGCGGTGGACATCATCTACTTCTACGCTACAATCACAGAAGCCACGCTGCGCATGCTGGCGCTCCTGTGCCTGTCGCCCATCTACCCTGTAGCTCTGGCCACTCGTGCTCTGGGAGTGCCGCAGAGAGCAGCAGCCCTACCCAGCGTGGCACCTGAGGGATATCTCAGCCTCCAGCTCTCCATTTTGACAGGTTGCAGCAGTCAAGTGGACTCAGAGCAGTTGGACTCCGGCTTTGAGAGGTCGAGATGTTTGGTTGACGCAGCACGTCAAGGCCTGCAGACATTTCCGGGGGGCGTAGGTGCGTCATGTCAGCTTTCTTCAAAATGTTCTCACAACAATTGAATCTTGCTTGAATCTGTGCATGCACATCATCCAGCAACGTCAGAAATCCATTTGTCTGAGAGACTGAACTCTTGAAATGAGTGCATGCAGGCGTCGCGTTGGATTGTCTGGCAGGCGCTCTTCTGCAAGAATGCAGCAAGGGGAGCATGCGGTCTTACTATGGCGCATTGCAGATCCTGACGGCAGCAGCAGCCAGTCATACGCCGTCTCAGCAGCAGGCAGGCTTAGCACAGACATTGGTAGACAGCATTCCTCGAATTGTAGTCCAGTATGCAGTTGGGGTGCACCAGCCAGCTGCAGCAGACCAGCGGAATGGCATCGCAAATGCAAGCCCGGCAGCCGAAGTGAGAGGTCAGCAGTACCCTTCCGAGGCATATATTGGCCTCCTGGCTGCTGCACCTGCATTCCTGCCAAGGGTCTTTGCAGAGCTGGCAGCGCATGCTGATGCAAGTCAGGCGGCAGCAAGTGAACAGGACATGCAGCAGCGTGGACTTGCAGCAACAAGCACTCTGTGCGAGGTGTTTGCTGATGACCGCCTCAAATGCAGCCTCGTTGGGATGCAGGCAGAAGCAGGCCAGGTTGTCTCAGTGCTGGGAAGATCAGCTGCAGCTTTGCATGCAGGCGAGAGCAGCAGGTTGAAGAGCTTGTTCACTACCTTTTATGGACTGCCTGTGAACTATGCGGACTGAAGTAGACATGCGAGTTGCAATAGTTTTGTGGAATAAGATTAGAACGTAAAGAAGGACGTTCCACCTGGTAGCAAATTAAGAGGTTCACATACAATCAAATACAACAACGAAATCCTTGTGGAGTTCGTTGACAACTCCGAACTATCTCTCTTGTCCGATGGTCTTAGATCTAGGAAAGCATCAGGTTTTTTGCTTGTTCTCTGCACGGCTGCGGGGTCTGGATACTAATATTTTAAATATGCATCCTGAACAGACACTGCGTCAGACTTCTACTTGGCAGGCACAACCACCTTCCTTTTGCGTGGTATTCCTCCTCTGCCTGCAGCTATGCCGGTCACCAACGCTATTGGTGGCGCATGTGGTGGTGCCGGCAAGATCGAAATAGCTGCAATGCGCAGCTGGTGGAGTTGCTTGAGTGCTCTATTCCATTGCTGTTGACATCAAAATCCAAGCAGTAACTCATCGCAGATACTTGACAAGCACTCAGGAGATCAGCTATTTTCCTGAGCCTTGAGACCTTACTTGTCGTAATTCTTGCAAAGGGATGTGGCATGTCAATACCTGCTGGATGCCTGACTTATTGTGGCAACCCCAGAGTAGTGTTTATGGCTGGACCAATATGGAAAGCTGGGCAGGTCTAAGGAGCGACTGCAGTGTCAGACAATGCATGCATGCGCACATAATCATAATGTGCGTATGCACTGGAAGGGCTATGTTCTTGTTGCCGACAGGTGCGCATGGCACAGCACCATGCGGCTATACATATGGCGTGGCACTGCCAGGCAGTGGTGATCACGTGCCAGTAACCAGTGTGGTACCACCGGTGACCACAAGCCACAGTGCGTACAGGTTACAAGGCATGGCAGAGAACATCAGTGCCAAGCATCCCAGTTGGAGCGAATCGAGGCGATGTCTTACAAGGAACATGTTGCAGAGCGCCACAAATTGATTGAAGAGGTTATCAAAGGCACAGAAAAGTATACAAAGGTGAGCATTTCTTTTGACCTGCATGTCACCCATCAGAGTGCTTTACAGACGATATTTTGCACCATTTGCTGCTCTTGAGGAGGGCGTTGTTCAACCGTGCGCCAGGTCTCAGGTGTCTTCTGCTATTTGCAACGTTATCCTTACGTGCTTTGCTGATGTTGCCTTCTTGCAGATGCAACCCATCCATTGGTAAGCCTGCGGCATTGTGTGCTACCGCAGATGCTCGAGGAGATGTCAGGCTTCATTTAGGAACAGCTTCCTCTTGGACGGGAGAAACACTCGGGCGCATGAGAGTGTGCAACACTTTTCATGTTCAAGCCTGGGCTGGAGGAAGGATGTGATGAGGGAATGCCGCACCCTCACACCTGTACCCTTTGTGCATGCAAGCAAATGCAGTACTGCAGCACCAGCTGGTGTAGCACCCGAAGCCTTTGGGAGTTCCTGCATGAGGACTGTAACATGACATCATAAATCCACAGGAGGAGCATTTCTCAGGCAGCTGGGTGGTTAGGTGACTCTAGATGTCTGCCTGGGTTTTACATTGGTAATGAGGATATCGGCTTGCAAATCGTGTAATCGCTGTGCTTGCATCCTCACAGAATCAATAAGATCTCCAAGAAGTTCATCGCATTCACTCATCACGAGCATCTAAGAAAGTAATTACTTATAAGATATCAGGTCACCTCGCCATGGACTGACTAGTGTCACAGGGGAACCTAATCAGCGCTGATCAGCTCATGAGAGCTCATTTCATATGTATCCACTGCAGTTGCAAATACTTTGTCACTTCACCATTTCATCTTGGAGTCAGCTTCCAGCAGCTTGGAAGCTGTCCAGATGCCCTAGTAAAGTTGGCAGCAATAATACGGCATCCTTAGCATGCGTCCTCATTCAATTGCTGGAGTACTTCAGTTCCTAGGAGGTAGGACTGGTGCAATCGTTTTCCCTATTCTAAGGTATCCTGTCAAATGGCGCAGTGTCGGCAAAGCACCGGTCAAACACGTTATCCACTGCCCGCTTAGCACATCCTGGGCCCTTGCAGTAATCATTCATTCCAACGGACAGCTCCGCCCTGCGGCGCACGCAGCGCTGGTGCTGGCCTCTGAAGCCAGTGTTCCCTCGCAAAAGCTCCTGCTTAAAGTGGCAGTCACCGCTGAGGCTGGCAGCCCGCACTTCACTGCAGGCGTGGTGTTCACAATTGGTCCAGTCCAGGTCTGCGCCTCTGCAGTGGTCGTAAGCATGGATCAACTCGTGCGTCAGCACGTGAGACACCTCTTCCTGGGCTGACAAATGGTTGCTGCAGACAATCACCTGCACAACACTGAGCCCTCATATGCAGAATTCAAGCCACCGGGCCCCAATCAGTCATTGCGTTGGAAAGTCCGAAGAACAAATAATGTGCGCTGTGAGCTTACGCCGTCAGGGACTCTGAATCCACCGCCCACTTCTTCTGAACAGGATTCCAAACTGAAGAATCTCTCTCCTACTGGACAGCCCGCCTGCGTGCAAATAGGAGATATCAACAGTCTATAATTACTTGCGTTATGGTTGTGAGCAATTTTACCACTGATGTCGCAGCAGATATGTACAGCAATTAATGCGCACCTCCTCAAGCTTCTCTACCATGAACTTGACCACTGGATTTCGGGTGAGGGCATGATCGACCATGCGACGACATTCTTCTGTTCTTTTCCCAGAATTGTGTACATTGACATCATCACTAGCACCTTCGCTCATATCACGCTTTGATCTTCATGAGGACATTTACACGCTCACTCTCACCTATGATGAAGTGACACAGCAAGTCAATAGTGCGCAGAAAGATTGTGAACAATTTGGATCTTTGACTGGTTTGAAAGAAGATTTGACGAAGAGGCGACAACCGACGTTGTCCTTCGGCGAAAAAATCCATATTCGTCAATCCCCTTTTGCATGCAGGGGTTCATGATATCTGGCGCACCAATTGTCGCTTCAATAAGCAAGGAAGGAGGAATTTGAGAAACTTCAGTACTGAAATGTCAAGCGCAAATGTTGTATCAGCAAAGTAAATGTTCAACAAGGTTCTTGGCTCGTCAAACAAGAGATCAGCGGGTGTCTCCTTTGGGCGTACAATAATGAGTAATATTGCTCCTCGATCTTCCTTGCGGACGTCCTCCCCGATGAGGATTCTAGTGTCATTAACATATAAAATGCACAACTGTCATAGTGCACGTCCGATTTCTTAGTCCCTTTGAAGCACTCCCGATGTGGCTCGTCCACATCTGGACTGCGTTTCTGCTTTTTGCGCTGCTACTCGTCATTGTCGTGCTCCTCCTAAGGTGCAGTATCCCAATCTACTGAATACAAGGTTATCATTGATGCATGTGTTCTTCATGGCACTGATGATAATGCTGCAGCAGACTAAGTAGCAGACTGTTCGAGTGTCTGCAGGAAGGTGCAGGCACTGAGGCGACTCGTATGTCTGAAATCCAGCATCCGATGTGTGCCAAAATTGTCTGGCATCACAGTGGACAGATCCATATTTTCTATTTGGGATGGTATGACTCGAGCTTTAGTGCTTCTGTTTGCCGATGGACACAGTGAGGGCCAGTTCAACACTTGCCTCCTCAAGCGGTCATTGAGAGATTGCTGACGCAGGTTCAATTACTTTGCATGGAGTTTCCCTGTCGTCAGAGATCTTGAGGAAGCTAGACTGGCATCTGGAATGCCGGCAGGGTGGGTGAAGAGTCCTAACTCCCCGACTGAAGCTTTTTTGTTTTCTGCAGAGTTTTGGACACAGACTAAGAGTCATCAGACATTGCCACATGATTTATGTGTTTGCAGTCACCGTCGGAAGCGTGCATATCCAGCTTGCCTGGCCATGGCGGGCACGGGGGTGTGCACGTCTGCGCATTGTTGGGCTGTCAATTGAGTTGGTTGCCAGAAGTCTCCCACAGGTAGAGCAGCATGGAATTGCAATGCACTCATCAAAACATTCAATGCTTCAATGAAATGATATCAATATCGAAGATGTGCTGAATGTTGAACTGCACGCATGGTGTCTGTTGTGCAGCCCATAAGCCCAGAAGCGCAGCGGCAGCAGGAGATCAGAGCGGCACAAAGAATCAATGGTCCAAAGCTTGCTGCCGTTGATCGCTTGCTGTGGGGTGGAAAGCGGGGATGGTCATCTCCTGGGCAGACATGTGTCCCCATGTGCAGGAGATATGTGCAGCGCCTCCTGCAAGACGCTTCTTTGAGTCTTCACGACTTGTCCATCACTTTCAGCCCAAGCCAGCCTCTGAAGCCGGTAAACAGACATTTTTATGAGGCTCCCTGTCACCCTTTCATGTGAATTCTATGGTCATGATTAGATGGTCTGAGATAACTTGATTGCAGGCACATGTATCTGGCCCAGCTGACACTCCCTGGAACTTCCGCCTTCTTCTGAGAGATGTCCTCGTGCGAAGCACCAGCACAGTGATGGCATCTACTGATTTCCAGACTTCCCTAGATGTCAAGGGGTTGAGCCTGGAATTCCTGGCTCCCTCAGACAGGTGAGGCTCTCATTGTGCCCTGTCCTGCATTGAATTCATTATATTGACAAACAAACTCTGATGCCAATTGTGAACCAGGCCGGCCATGCATCGGACAGCGCGCCTGCCATTCAGCATCCTGCGGAGATGGGGCCTCAGTGTGCAAGCCAACTGGTCCTGCCAGTCTGAGTCTCTGGCAGCCACTGTTTCAGCAAATGCCATCCCACTTTGTTTCAACAGCGAATGCGCCGAGGCAATTCTCCAGATCAGAGCCAGCTTACTCACATACCTCAGGCACAGCAGCTACCTGCAGATACGCCCACAGGTAAATCTGACGGTTTCGTTCAGTCAGAACAATTAGAATGGCCCCTACTGTTTAAAAGCAGGGACCATGCCGAATTTGAAAATATACATGACAAATCTCGTCATCTGTGACCAACTCTGCAGGTGCCCATTGACGCCTCCCCATCCCAGTGGTGGCAGCATGCAGTGCGCTGCATCGACAGAGAGCGCATGGGTCTGCTGCACACGACCTCACCAGCCATTGTGACGCCTGAGCGCCGTGCGCTGCGACATGCCTACATGAAGGCATACCTGAACCAGCACGGTCCGCGCCGATGGCTTCGCATGCCATGGCATGGCTCTGCCAGACTGCTGAGGGTGCGAGGCATCTGCATCACCTTGTGATAGACACGAGTGCTGAACTCTTGTGGCCCATGCCATGTCACATGCATTAAGCAAGTCAAGATGGACATCCTTTGTACATGAAAGGCTGGGAGTCAACACACTAGGCCCCGTTTGCTGTACAGGAGCATGAGGCAGAACTCAGCCTGTGCGAGATTGTGAGGTACCGCTGGTGGGCATGGGCAACGGTGCATAGCGCAATACCTGTCGAGGTATGAAGCTAGGGAGATTTTGTTCTTTTTGCATTTTCCTCATACCTAAATGCAGGGCAGACCGCAAACTTCCGTTTTGCTGAGCAGGTGTTGTCAGCCAAGTTGGCCAAAGTGCTGGCTGTTGCAAAATTGCGGGCGAGCAGCAGCGCAGAAGGGCCCTGTTCGCACATCCAGCTGCGCTTCCACTGTCCCAGAGTGTCTCTGGCTTTCCATGTCCATCCGCAACCTGCAGCCTCACACATGTCGTCAGCCTCATCCTTGGCAGCAAAGCGCAGCCATCCGGCGGTGTTTGAGCTGTGCATGCGCGAGCTGCAGGCCTGCGCATTGACCCACATCCAGCCAGAGTTGAAGAAGATCACAGGCTCCATGCGCACGGCTTTTGATGGCAGCATTGCAGGTCTCACGTTCAGGGAGGTTGGGGCAGCTCAGCTCAGGAGTGGCATGTCAGGCTCTGAGGCAGCATCCAGCTCTCAAAAGCCGCAATTTGGCGCTGTGCCCCCATGGCTCGTGATGTCTCCTGCTACTGGTGGAAACGCGGAGCATGGGGTATGTGAAAACACCTTGGGAGCTACTGGGAGTCATGAGGGTTTCATGTCATTGTGCATGCATTCCGACGAGTACAAGAAATCATTGTGTTGTCATCTCGTTGCAGGATGCTTTTGTCCGGCTGCAGTATCGCCTGCCGTTGCTGGCCAGTGAGCCCAGCAAGTGCTGGGTCAGGTTTGGGGCACTGGATGCCATCTACTCTCACTCATCTCTGTTGCGCATCGCCGGCTTTCTGGATGACGCATGGCCGGCAGCGCCAGACCTAGATCCACTGGCTGTGAAGGCAAGCGTCTCATTGAAGGAGGTGGTTCAAGAGTCAGTCCGATCCGCGCAGCTGCAGAGCTTGGAGACGCAGAGCCTTCCAGGGTTGCAGGTGTAAATCAACTCAAAGTCATCTTACAGATTCTTGTTTCCTTGTTCATGCATGATTGCGTGAGAAACCTTGATCGTCCTCCAAAGATACTGTCTGTGACTGGTGCAGGTCATAGTCGGCAAAGTCCTCATTCTGCTGCCATGCATACCACTGCCGCAACTTGAGAGGCCTCCAATCCTGCCTCATGGATCTGCCTACGAAGGACCGCCGCATGCTGCAAGTATGGGGCTTGGATTTAGCTCTCCTGCGAACACTGCTGCACCCTTGGAGGACGAGGGCATCAGGGTCCTTGTGCTTCTCCTTGGAGATCTGGCGCTGACATCTGGCGCCTCTGCACAATCTCAGTCTGGGACGCCGGCCCGAGAGCCTCTCATTGCTGCAACCACGTCAGACAGAGGTGAACCCCTACGTAGTGCACGCACCTGGTCAATGCTTTCTGGATCCTTTCTATAAGTATCGATAATAGTGAGTGTTGATGAGAGTCAGGCGACAAGAACATACAGTACACGTTCATGTGGGTTTAAAGCAAAGAAGAATGCTGCGGTGAGTAAGGTATGGGGAATTCTTTCACCACTTACCAGGGTTGCTTTTGCATCAGGGCGCTTGTGGGACTCATTTCCACCAACCGCTGAGTCCGCAAGCAGCAAAGGATGGCCGTCTGAGCCTGGTTCCTCAGCCAGAGACCCTGCAAGGCGCTTGTCAGATGGCGGCCCTGACAAATTGCAGGCATGAGCCATCATCTCTCCCATTGAAGAAAACTTTACCTTTGGAACAATGAAGGTTTGTATAGCATGGAGACCACGAATGGCGTCTGAAGTTTGAATATTTTATCATCACAGGCTCATGTCCAGCTGGCGATTCAGTTTGCTGAGCTGTGCGGGGGTGAGACTGTAAACTTGCGCGGGCAGACGCCCTTGCTCGAGCCATTCACTGTGGACACAGGCATGCGTCAGAGCATCGACGCGCTTTCAGGCTTCGCCCACAGGTTTCACTCCATGCTCCTTTTCTTCAGACAGTGAAGGATAAAGTACAGCAATACTTTGATGGTACATGAATTCACTGAAACTGTTGGCTTGAATGTGCAGACGCGTCTTGCACCTGGACACCAGGATATCTGCAATTGGCATAACCCTGTCAGCAGCCATCGTGGAGGACTTGTGCACGGTTTGGGGGTGCCTCAATGCAGCGCTCAACAACCAGGCTGTGTGCTCTGCTATAGCAACACACCTCTCTCGCAGAAAACCCCCCCAGGCGTGTCCTTCCCTCTTGTCTTCCTTTATTCGGGTGAACAGCATGTTAAAAATTTCATGAAAAAGCCTGCCGGACACGATTGAATGTCCTTGTTCCTATGAACTCCAGGGAATGACTAGCGCTCGATTCAGCGACCCCAGTCTTGTCCCCCCGTCGCCTTTCCTGCCGCACGCATCATGCGTGGCCGCCAGTCATCCTTCTAAGAGTCCGGCGACCCCACTGGTACGCACGCGCCAGTACCACTCAGCTGTCTCTTCCTTGGATGCTTCTGCTTCTAATGGCAGAGAAGGGGATAATGTCCTTCGTCAGGTAGGAACCTTCGCGCCAAAGATATGCCTTCCTTCTCAGTAATACCTTCCACATTGCTCCACATGCAAGGGGTCTTGCTGCAACAGGGTGCTCATCAGCCACGCTATGGCATTGGGGTGACCCATCAGTGGAGCTGCCCGCTTGTGTCCATACGGCTAGAGCAGGCTGGCGCGGCTGCTAATGGCATGGCCCCTCCTGGCGCCTTTTGCCTCCAACTGTCCAACCTGCAGACGAGCGTGGCATTGGAAGGATCAAACAAGGATGTCAGGTGAGCTTTATTACTCCTGAGCTACTCCTGAGCTACTCCTTAGCTACTCTCCAAAAGGGGATGCTAGTACATGGCATGTCATGCTAGCATTGACAATTGGGGCATGCTGGCAATACAGGTTCAGCATTGCTACACTCTCTCTGGAGGACCTAGCTGAGGGAGCTTTCAGGGCGAGGGTCATCGAGTCAGTGTCAAAGTGCACCATGGCTGTTGGCAGAAGAGCCCTCTTGCAGAGGACATTCCAGGTGCTAGATTCTAGAATTCTTGAAGGGCATGAAAACTTATGCATACACAGCTAGAGCAGCTGGAGCCTGTTATACGTTGCAGACTGCAAACAGGTAACCAATCTAGTAAAGATTTGGCTATATATCTCCAGGTCTGGAGGCTCAGGGCCGCAGAGAGGAGTAGACTCGCGCGGCAGATGCGCGTCAACGCTGAGCACCTTCGAGTCACTGCTGACTCGCAGCTCTTTGGTTGCTGGACAAAAGGCACAGACAGCACTGAGTTTTTGCTTGAGGTCGGCAGAGTACTCTCCGTTGCAATTGAGCTGGGGACAGTGGAGCGAGGCCTCCAGACAGCATGCAGCCTTGTGGAGGTACTATGAAGCAACATGCAGTCACCTTATCGTGCAATGGTGTGCAGGCAAGATGACAAAAAACGTGGGTGTTACCTGCAATCACCCAATGTTCTGTCTTCTTCCCCAGGCTGCCGTCTCTGGACTTGAGGCAGGTGGCTTGCAGCGCCAGGCGCATATAAGCAGCCACTCCTCGTGCGCAGAGATCAAAGAGGCAGCCACGGCGCTACAGATGCATGTCCATGTGCACTGTGCACAGATTGAGGTAGACCTTACACCTCACATGAACATGCAAAGCCTTCAAGCTAGCAGATTATGCGCTGAGAGAACATTGCACACCCCTTCGATCCAAATAGCGCTGGGTTCTCTGTAGTGAAACTTTCTCTGGAGCTGCAGGCATCGCTGGGGAACAGGAGCTTTGCAAGGCTGGCCCTTGAAGAATGTTCTGGAGAGCGGACCAGCGCTACCAGAGAGTCAGAAGGAGAGAAGGTGGTCATCAGATGTGAGAGTCTGCAGGTGCGGCCCATGAAGCTATATCGACGATCATAGCAGGCTCAATTACATTTGCTATCTCCCATCATGCTTGCCATAGCCTGAGAGCCCAGGCCTCACTGAAAAGTTTGTATGTGGGTGCTTTCAGGTGCATGATCTGCTGTGTGTGGAAGAGCGGTACAGCACTGTGCTGTGCATCGGAGGAGGAGCATCTGGACCTGGCATCATTGTCAGCCAGACGAAGCACATGGTGCACCATGCACGCAATTTCTCTGACGGCATGTCGGCCATGGAGGCAAGCTAATCTGTCCCAGCACACTTGTGATGCTGCTGAGCTTTCTGACATTTGTTTCGGACCATGATCCCTTGTCATGACAAACAAGAAGGAAATTGTGTCCTGCATGTAGATGCTCCTGCCACAGACGGAGATCCTTGCAAGCTGCGCCGGTGTCCGTGCCATCCTGACCATTCGCTTCCTGCGCGATGTCAGCTTCTTTGCAGACTGCTGCAGCGAGATGCGCTCTGTCTTATGGCCTGCCAAAGGGCCGGCCTTGAAACCTGCAGTGACGGATGGGAGCTACCGCACCCTGATTGAGGTAGTCAGATTATTCATGATCCCTGTCAATTTGCATGCATGCCAACCTGACAAACATATAGAGAGCTAAACGAGGTCTCAGTTCTCTGTATTTTCCTACTTTCAGGTTACTCTCAGGGATGTGCTGCTGGATGTTCCAAGGCACTCTTGGTCAGATGACTTCTTGCGCTTCGCGTGCTGCAATGTCACCGTCCTCACGCCTGCCTCGGCCTCGTTCTCTGAGACGGCTCAGCCAAACATGGAGGGCTGGGCGCAAGACACAGCATATCCAACCAGGGAGTCCACTGGACCCTTGGACCCCTCAGTGAATGAAATGGCAGCCAGCGGCAGCTCAGATGCATGGGAAGCATCGGAGGGCACGGCGCAATCTGGTGAGCACCTCATCAGCGCTTGGAGAGAGACAGCGCCGTAGAGAGGACATTTAGGAAAGTCCGGGCATGTGTAAGCCAAGATGCCTGCATATCCTCCTGACCAGCCATTGTGTGCAGGGATGGTGCATGGTCAGTTTCATCACTGGCATGATGGCAGTGCTGCCACCGCTGTGCTAACATGCTCAGCACCCAAGCTGTACTGGGGATCGGCTGGAGCCCTGCAGCAGGGCTTCCATGCCCAGGAGCTAACGCGTGAGATTTGGAGCGGCGCAGATGCAGTTGTCAAGATCTCCCCAGATCCCTGTCACGTACAGGCAAGCAGCCAGACGTGTCCACGTCTGCTAGACTGCTCAGAATTATGCATATAACAAGGTTGCTGGAATCGTCGGAAATGTGTGAATAAACGTGTAATTGCTTCAGGTCTGGGTGCCGGGTGTTGATGCAACGTTTGGCTGCGTGGAGTTTGAGGTGCTGATGGGGGTGATCTGGGAGAACATGGAGGAAGCCTGCAGCTTTGGGCCTCGGCTCAGGCCGGAAATCCCCATCGGCCGCCGGCTGCCGCCTACCGGCCCTCAACCAGAGACTTTGGGCGTGGATCGCAGCAACCCTCCAGTCTGGCAGGTGGAGGTGAATGTGGGCGCCATCAGTGTTGCTGTGGGTGGCGCGCCGCCTTCAAGCGCGGAGACCTTCCTTGGCTCCGGACCTGCGCTGGCAAGAGTGTGTCCTCTTTTTCACAATGCAAGATGACGCATGTCTCTGGAAGGATGCTATGGTCTTTCTTGCCAGCATGGGTTGTAAAATCAAACGTGAGCTTGTTTGGCTGCAGGTGAGGCTTCGCGAGCTGCAGGTCAAGGCAGCTGTGCACACCTGTGGCTCATTCAGCATCATTGTCTGCAGCCGGACCCTGAAGATCTCCGATGACAGGGCCTGCAGTGCAGCGCCCTCTCAAGCCCCTCCAGTCATCAGCATTGGGCAGGACCTGCCGACAATGTCCTCTGGCCTGCGCCATGTGGACTCACTGCATGTCAGACATCGGTCCAGGATTTCAGTGGGAAGCACGCAGCAGGTTTGGCACAATGGAGCTCCTACTGACTGCCATACAGAGCACCTGTGCTTTTGCACTAGAATGTTATTTCGTTTACTAGTAATGAAGCCACTGTCATATTGAGGTACAGGGCTTCAATCCTCCCCACAGCTTGGCGCGGCTGTCGTCGCTGAAGTGGGAGCCCCTTGGCGAAGCGATTACACCGAGGTCTCTCAGATCCTTGCGGCCTACTGCTGAGTCAGTAGGCACAGACGCGCAGAGCGCAGCTGGCGAGGTCTGCTCATACTTGAAAATTACAGCATTCCCTCTGTTGCCAACTTGAGTTCCCACTGCGCTAATCGTGTCATAAGGGCGCCCTTCAGGGGTGCCAATTTATATGGTATCTGTGCAGGATATGGATACAGACGAGTCGGAGGATGAGGAGGGCTTCTATTTGGAGTATGTGCTGCATTCTGGTCGGGCAGCTGTCCCTGGGGGCCCGTCTGCAGGAGGACCTCACCTGTTGGAGATTGTGGGGAAGGGAGCGCAGCTGTGCTGGCCTCATCTCTGCCAGACAGCCTTCATCACGGACATTGCAGCCACCTTCAGCCACTACTTTGTGCGGCCATGGGTTGCACCCAATCCTGAGGTAAGACTTTAATCTCATGTCTCAGTGCCAATAAAATAGATTGTGCAGATCTCACAGAGTCACTTGCAAATTGCTCTACACTGGCCTGATATGTCATTTGCTTTTTAGGGGTTGCAGTTGACCTCTTTGAGGCTGGCTGAGTATTACTTGCCTCATTGCAGGCGTTGGGACCCAAGCAGTGGATGTACATCAATGTGATACTGGAGAGGTCCGAGCTTCTGTTGCCAAAGGCCCATGCTCCTGAGCCGCGCCATGCGCAGTCTGAGACGGTGGACACAGGACTCTTGACAGAGTGGAGCGGGCTGCGAGTTGGCTATTTCTGGGGAGGCTATAATGAAACCATCCTCCGCATCAATGCCAACGACCTCTCCACCTCCTGCCAGCTTGCTCCCACCCAGCAACCCCAGGCAAGCACCCTTTCCTGTGTGCTCCATACGCCTGACATTGTGTGCTTACAATTTCTTTGTACTGGATCTGCTGTGACTCTCTGATTAATGTTCTGTTGTGAAGGTCCTCGTGACGCACTTCCAAGCCACAGCAGAGGTTGCATGGCAGCGGCTGCCGAAGCAGCCTCAGAACACAATCGCCACTGTGCGCCTGTCTGACATGCGCATCCAGCCGTCTTTTACCTCTGGGCCCATGATCCAGTGCTTTCTGAGGGACATCTCTTGTTCGGCTGCCTCTAGGCAGACGGTGAGCAACCTCCTTCATCATGCACTTGTCACTAGCCGTTTCAGATGCAGTGCTGGAGGTTTCGAGGTTGTGTAGTTGATGTTAGGCCCTAATTTTTCCAAAATAGGCAAAATCTGGATCCCAAGTTTCAGGGCACTTGAGAAACCAACTAAGCAAATAGAGACAAAAAGTGCACTTTGTTGTGTGTAGGGTGAAGTGGCAGGGGGTTCAAAGCAGACAGCCAGTTCTCCACACCCAGGAAGAATGCAGCTTGACATGACTGTGCACAGCTTCACTGCGGCTCTCATAGATGACCGCTCTCATGGTGGCCAGCTGGAGGTCATGACAGTCCGGTTCCAGGCGTTCATTCTAAATTCTTTTTCTCGCTTCTATTTTGTACAATGCGATATGGCGACCACACGTCTGCTGTACAATCTGAAAGCTGTGTTTCAGGACATGGACATTAAATTTGAGCGGAAGGCATCGGCGCCAGAGTCCCTGTCAGAAACGACCGGACGCGTCAGTCTTGGAATTGAGGTCCTCTTCCTCAACAGCGCAGTCGATGCAAAGGGTAAGTTTCACAACTAATTCATATGGAACTGTTCCATGCAACCAACCCTTTGCCAATTATGTAGATACAAATCTGGTGGGGGAATCTCCATCGAGGATTCCCAGAGTATATTACAACCATTGATTTCCAAAAGGGCGAGAAATTTACTCATATACATACCATTTTGTGGTGTTATAGAGCCCATGATTGAAGCCTGGACTATGGTCTTGACATTCCGCCACTTGGCGTCCTTGCGCTGCCTCAACCTGACCTCTGACCAGCGCCTGAACCTCATAGCCACCCCAGCAGCCTTCCGGTCCCTTGGAGACCTGCGCTGCTTCCTGCTCCTGTTCTCATGCTCCCCTCAGGGGTCTCTGGCCCAGGCATCCACCGTTGTCAGGCGCAGAGCCATGCAGTGGCTGTCCCGCAGCAGTGCCAGCAAGCCAACCATCTACAGGTGATTGGCTAACCCCCACTCTCAGTTGATCCTCACATCTGCATTGCGTCTCCCAGATTTCACATGAGGGCCTGAGATGAGCCTTCTTGCGCCGCTGCAATTCTGAGATTGATGGTGCACTGTGCAGGCTTGTTAATCGCTCAGGCCTGAGGCTCTCATACTGGACGAGATCTCCAGAGGGGACCAGCATTGCGCATTTGTTGAACACCTGGGAAGAGAGCCCTCTGCTCGTGGAACCTGTGGAGCACCATGTGGTTCTGGCTGAAACGCAGCAGCAGGTCACACTGCCCAACGGCCCTTTACATGGATGTTTCAGCTGCTGCACTGAATGCTACTCTCTGTGCTGACATACTCCTGTGCTGAGATGGTCTTTCTGATAAATTTTTGTGAACACCACTTGTGCACAGGTGATTGGGCGGACCATATGCATGCAGTTTGAGGGAAGCTTCGCTGCCAACTGTGATGTCATGGTGGACAAGGTGACGCCTGGATTGCATTTTCATCCATGGAGATGCACTCTGGCTGCCCATCTCCTCTTTCATCTCTGCACCAATGCTGTTCTTGCATGCCAACATGTGCTTAAGCGTGCCTGAACAACTGCGTTGCAGGTGGGCAAGTACGCCTACGCCATTAGCAGCCCCTCCCAGGAGGCTGTCACGCCCATCATCCTTGATGTCGCCCTTGATGTGCGCACAAAGGTGCGGTCTTCTCCCTCCTTGAAGAGTTCACAGGCAAACGCAAGGATTCAACCTTCCAGATCACCTGAAAGTAGCACAGTACTCACATGTATGTGCTGCCACAGGTGCTGACTGTGCATTCACCGTTCCGCCTTGAGAATCGCACGAACACGCCCCTCAGCTTTGTCGTGCACACTCACGGGCGCGGCACCACTTTCAGCAGGGCACCCCACAGCGGGCCCCTTGCACCGGGCTCGCAGTGCTACCTTGCCGTCAACTCAGTCTGGTGAGCTTTTCCAGGCACATGCATCCCATACTCCTATCCATCACCGTCAAATTGAACTGGTGAGTCACCGATGTACTTGTGCAGGGGTGGAGTGCTCTATCTACAAGCAGTGGACAACGCCAATTCCTACAAGCCAGCGAAGCGGGACCGGATCACGCTGGATGCTACCAAGCTGAAGGACGCGCAGGGGGTGTACACCTGCCCTGCCGCACCTCAGGGCAGCAAGCCAGACTTCCACTGCTGCCTGGAACTGCAGGAGACCCAAGTCTTGCACCAAGTGCGTCTGCGTATTTCTTGTGAGCTAAACTTTTCTTTCGACCAGGGCTTTGACAAGATAGCAAGTCTATCAATAAGGCTGGAAACAATCTTTAATTGCATGCAGGGGACCCTGGGGACTGGTCTGGCTCAGAGCATGCCAGAGTTCACTCTGTCCTTCCAGCCGCCCCTGACACTCCGGAATTGCCTGCCGTGCGAGATTACCATAACTTTGACAGACAGCAGCGCCAGGCCGCAGCATTTTGATGTTGGTGTCGGCGGCTCGATCGAGGTGTACAGCTATGACATGAGCCGGAAGATCCACATGGCCATGCAGCTGCAGGTGTGCTTCTGCCAATTGTGTCCTTTCTCCTCATCCCTTCACACTGCCTTATTACTGGATAATTGAATGACGCTTGGTGATTGGCTTGATATGACTGGAGCATGACATGGAAACAGGACTACAAGTCACGCCATCGGGTGGCCATACACTACCCCCCGGCGTTGGGCTTGGATGACAGCGTGCGGCGGAGCATCATCGCTGACCTGCCTGGCTTGCGCCTGGCCAAGGACATCCTCCTGCAGAAGGACCAGTCAGCGCCTGGCGTGCCTGTCATCTCTGCACTGGCTGGCTCCAGGCTGACTCTGCGTCTCCACAACAGGGTGCGTAACATTATAACACACAGGGCCTCTGTACCAAGTTAATGTGCTCTCTAATATGGGGTGCTCTTTGATTACAGTGTGCTTTCTGCCAACATCTTCAGGCCCATCAGGACAGAGGTAATGAGTAGTTGAGACTGACTGCTCTTCTCGTGCTGCGAAGCTGAACGCTGCGAGCAAGGCTCGGGACGTGGTGATTTTCTGCCCGTACTGGATTGTCAACAAGACAAACGCGGCGCTGAACATCAAGGATGTCAGCCCGTATGGCTCAGCGCCCAACAGTACTGCACCTCCCATGGCAGACAACGGCACTGCCAACCCTGTCCTCTTCAGGTGAGCTGCAGCATTTAATTTACCTTCAGATTGCACATATTCAAGTTTTGTTTTGCAGTGTTTGTGGGCGCAGTCAAATGGCATGTGTATGGTGGTTAAGTAATCTTCATGTGTGGCGTGCAGCTCGCCACGTGGTGCCATGCGCGTGTGCATGCACACAGCGCTCTGGTCCCGCTCAATCAACCTGGAGTCGGTGGGCATGCATGGCAGCATCCACATACTGTCGCCGAGCCAAATGACCACCGGTGAGAAGGCTGTCAGCGGGCTGCGGCTGCTGGAGGCACCTGAGATCATCAGCGCAAGGTCCAAGAGGACCAAACAGCGCGAGAGGTAACTCCTTTGCCTGTCTCATATGTTGCTGACAGAGCCTTCAAAGCTTTCTTAGTCTTCATTGCCATCAATTCCAGCTGGGCATGCCCTGGCATACTTGACTGCTATTACTGATGGCATTTCATGGTCATGTAGGGCGCCGGCAGCTGCGCAGCCAGACAGCACTGAGCCAGGCCCGGCTCAGGGAGATGAGCAGGGCCAGCAGCAGAAGAATTGGCACAAGCACAGCGACCCGGGCCACCTCCTTGCAAGCTTCAATTGCACTGCTGCCCAGGATGACGGCGCAGGGGAGTCATCCCGGCTGAAGCGATATGACCTGGCTATCGATGCCTCATTTGGCCCAGACATTTACCACCGGACCAAGGTGCTGCCCAAAGCTAATCAATAAAATCAAATCGGAATGATCCTCTTGCGAACGCTTTGCAGCCCTTGGCGATTGTTGTACTCTTTTACAACACAGCTGAGACATGCTTGCTGCAGGTCATCACCATCAGCCACAAGTTCATTCTTTGCAACACCAGCGATGGGACCATCCAGTGCGGGCAGCGAGGAACCAGCACCATATGGCAGCTTGAGCCGGAGACCAGGGCCCCCTTTCATTGGTGTGACGCCGATGAGCCTCTGGAGCTCTGTGCACGCCCAGGCATTGGGCAGTGGGGCTGGTCTGGTGCCTTCCAGGCATGTTGGCAATGACCCCTCCTCCTTTGACGTGCTCATATTTATCTTTACGCAGTGAGCTGGCATGCACTGCGTGCGCAGTGACCGATTGTTGTGTTGTTGTGTCTGGTGCAG